CAATCGAAACATTGTTAGGGATATCCCCGACCCCCCCGAACCTCCCATCACCTCCCTCCCTAAACCCCTAACCTCCTAACCCCCTAACCCCCTAAAGGTCAACCATTAGTATTCCGCCTCCACCTGCGGCAGAGGCAATGACTTACAGAGAGTAGGCACGCCCCACCTTGAATTAGGCACGCCAAAGGTGGTGCCCGGGGTCACTTCGGGTGGTGCCCTAAGTCGTTATCGTAATTAAGTCCTTCTTTTTGAAATGGGTGTAATTAAGTCCAAAAACGTTAGAAAAGGCGTAATTAAGACCTTTCCTCGCGCCGGTGGCCGGTGGCCGCCAGAAATGCCGAAATCGGAACAAAGCCCACTTTGCCACTTTGCCGGTGATCGGGCATCGCTCAAAACCGATCACTTCTCAATGCCTCCGGATTTTCATCCCACAGCGCCTCCCAGCGGCCCAGCCATACCAGCCATATGTAGTTAGCACAGAGCACCGTAAAGATCGGATCATGTCCCGGCCATACGATGAAGAATGATGAATCAGCTGAAAACGGCTAGAAAGAAGAGTATAACTGAGACAAATGCATTTTTCAGTCACATGCCAGATGATTGGATTCTTCTGCGAAAGTACGAAATACAATTGAGACTTCCTATGCTCTCTCTCAGTCTCCCTCGACCCCTCATTTCTCCTCGAACACGATCATTCGGACTAGCTTCACACAATGTCGGATGGTCTCTTTGCCAGACCCTTCGGCCGCCGGATCATGAACAGACGTCGTCATGTCATGTCATCAGAACCTCTTTTCGGGATAGGTCCGTCAAAACCCCCTTCCTTCCTCATCTTTCCACACAGACATCGAAAGATGGCCCTGATCACTCCCACATTTTTCTAGGATGACCTTCCACACTTCCCTTCCTCGCACACTCATCTAACAACATATGTACCCTTTCTCTACTCGCCGTACTTTCCGCTCCTAATAAACTCGCCTTATCTCTCACTAAATTCAACAGCTTTCCCGTTTGCGCCGGTCCATACGTCCGCATCACCTCTGCGCCACACACGTTCAGCCATGCCGCTATGAGACTTGAAACCGGGTGATGTTGAATCGTCCGAGGTTGTAAAATGGACCGAAGCCATGTCCATGCTCTCGGTAAGCGGAATTCGGGGATGACGAGGTCAAGGAGTTGTTGTGGCGTAGGAGGGATAGGGAGGGTGGAGATCAATGGCGTGAGGGAGGTTTGCAGTATGGCGAAGTAGAATGTGCAAATGCCCGTCATACGTTCAACGAACGAGCTGGTGGTTTCATTCACGTCGAAACCAGCCGCTTTGCGTATTGCCGCAGGATCGGAACTCTGCTCTGTCAGAAACCCGCTTTCATCACACTACAGTAGAGAATAACTCACGTCTGGTCTGGGGAGATGGGGAACTACCCATGGACATTTCTTCGCCAACCTGGAGAATAATATCGGTCCGAACGAGGCATGTCCGCGTATCAATAGACCGAGGACGACCCACGCCACAGGGAAGGCAGCGTCGGCTTTGACACTCACTTCAGCTTCGGCCTGTTCGATCAAACACTTGGCCAGTCGACTGGTCATGTAGAGATACGCCACGGGAAGATCGCTTTTGTAAATCGCTGGGTTGGCCGCTGACGTTTCCCGTCCCAGTTGCTCGCAAAGGATTTTATGTATATCGCCCGTCACTCGAACAATCACACTTTTCTTGTTGGTCACTTGTCCGACAAATCGACGCATCTTGGCGGCTATCTTGAAAAGCGAACCTTTCAACGCGGGGTTAGTCTTGACGGGTTGATGTATATTCTTTTTGATATAGTCCTGCTCAAGACGCCAGCGGTAAAAATCAGCCGAGCCCCGACGTTGATGGACCATAGTACGTGTTCGCTGGTTTTCCTGTGTGACTGCGGTTACAAGTGCTGCTCGTTCTGGTGTCTGCGTGGGAGAAGCGGCGGTGGTTGTGATAGCAGCTTCTTGCTCCTTCTTCCTTATTTCCGCTTGTCTTCTTTGCTCCTCCGCTGCCTTATTTTCCGCCTCCCGTTTCAAGTCCGCCTCTTCCCTAGCTCGCCTCTCCGCTGCCTCTTTAGCTGCTCGTTTCTCCTCTTCGGCTTTCTTAACGACTTGGGCAGCACGCTGTGCTTCCGCCTGTTTCTTCTCCTCTTCCAGCTTCTTCGCGGTTTCTGCTCGATGTTGAGCTTCTGTAGCTTGCTTTGTTCTAGCGGACACAGCTACGTCGATAGACTTTGTATCAGCAGTGTTTAAGAGACAATAAAAAACCTCAAGACTCACCGACCAAAGTCCACTGATTTTATTCTTGAGAGCCCCCGCACGTTCCTTCTTCTCAACTGTCATAGCTTGCATCAACCTCGCAATCTCATCTTGCTCTCTCTTCATCTCCTGCTTCGCCAGCCAAGCAGAATCTGGGGTTACGGTAGGTTCTTCAGACACGGCCCGACGGATCAGCGCCATCCGTTTATTGATCAACATTTGTCCGTTTGTCTATTTGTCAGGTTTATCCCTTCTACACATCAAGACTACTTAACAGAGCCTCAAGCTCAATCCGACGAGCAAATAATTCGGGAGGACTTGGTTGGGTAGATTCGTCTCTTAAAGTGGCGACACCCGTTTTTCTGGTGACGAGGTCATGAAGACTTCTTGAAGTAGACATTGTCATAGTTTGTTTTGAGGCTGCCGAAGAGGCATGGTGAGACACGCCTTGTTCTGCAGGAACATTGCGGATCATAGGTCTACGGATCAGCCTCATGTTGAATGGTTGAAAGGATGTACTGACGGAATGACTTGCTTGACGGGTTCTTCATCCGACTCGGAAACACTTGACACTTCCGACGCTACATCCAACAAGTCGGCAGCCTCATTTTCGGAATCATACGAATCTCTTCTGACGACTCTTGGATGGTCGTCATCTGATTCTGGTTCCAGGGTAGCTTCTCTGATCCTTCTACCCAACTCTGACATGGGATTTGGAATCCTACAGAGATCAGCATACGTCATTTTAAATGGTTTGACTGGGAGAGGAAAAACATACTGAGAGGTAGAGTCATGTTTACTAGATGTACTCTTGACAGAGGGAGAGTCCGTCTCCGAACTTGAGATGGAACCCGAATCCGAATCTGAATCCAGGGCAAACTTCATTTTGCCTCTCCGGCGATGTAAAGCTCGCAATAGATTAACAGGCATTCGGTGGGGACCAGTAGATGAGAACTGAATATACTTCGGTGTAATTAGGTTAACAACCAATGACAAGGGGATAAGTGGCAAATGGTGGAGATGTGGGGTGTATGAATGCTGTGTGATGTATGTAGTGCGTTGATGGTGTGTTGAACTGACTGATTGGCGTGTTGAATAAATTGAGATGGTGGGCTTGCGATTGACGGGGTCGTCCTTTTTAAAGAGATACAGAGTGAATCATCACCTCTTCAAGAGGTATACATGATGATTCCTCGATATGGAGTAGTGATGCCGTGACTGATATGAGTGTGACATGTTGAGACTTTGAGTTGTTTCTAAGATACTACAAAAAGGGTGGTGGTTTTCTTGAGTGGTCACACTTTGTCAATGTCATGACGGACAGCGAATAAAGTCCGCGGCTATTCTTTCCGACGGAAATTGCTCCCCACCTTTCTCCACGTCGCTCTGCTCGTCTGAACAGCTTAACTTTCCATTTCACATTTCATCCCACAATATGCGCAATCTAGATATATATCTCAAAGGTCTATTGGCTCTAGGACTCACAGTGAACGGTTTAAAGTCCCGGGCAAACCTTCGTGATCTACACGCTTTCCCAAAGTACGCAGTGGAATTTCTCAATCATGCTCCTTTAGCTTCCACCGATGCGGATTTGATACGTTCTGGCGTTCCATCCGAATCAATCTTTTTAGAACCCCGTGTGAGTTCTGGAAGACATCTGAGCGATGGTAGAGATGTAATTGAAGAGGTAAGTCGCCACGAGCTTCTGTTACCAACCAGAGTCACCTGGTGGGGATGCTGATTGCTGATAAGCAGGATCGACTAGAAGTGATACCTATGTCGCTCAATACAACCAACGGAGTTTTGATAGAATACCTTTGTCTTTTACCTGGATCAAATACAACAAGAGCTCAAACGGATTTGGTAGAAGCAAATGCCAGGGTGGAAGAGGAAGAAGAGCTTGATCCTAGTTTAGGTTGGGCAGCATTGAGTCATTTGGAAGGAAGATGTTTATATTTGAAACAAGGGTGGTTCACTTATTCGTGAGTTTTTTCCTTCCCGCCATCCTCTCGTTCACTCCCCAGAAGCTTCTCATACCCCTCTCAAAGCACCCTTCTCCTTATACATACGGAATCTAGAAATGTATCCTGCTCGTACACATAACGAGTCACCAAAGACATGACTTCACATGCCGAATTTCATCATGGACTTTGATGGGTCAAAACTGATTTAAAGATACTGTCATAATTCTCACATTCGTCAATTTCGTGAAGCTCGACATACTCATCCTCATCCTCCTGGAGGTTATACACCAGAAGAAGATCCAACATACGATGCTTACACATTAGGACAAGCACCTTCTGTTAAATCCATTCGTAAACCTCATCATCGACAAAATTCTTTAGATCCAAATTCAACTCCTAACAATCAACCAAATTCCCAAACCAAATCAGATTCTTCTGAAAAACAATCAGAAAAATCAATCTCACGTCCTGTCGAACAACCAAAAAGTCGATCTGAAATTTCATACGGTCTCAACACACGTTCACGTTATTTAGTTCAAAGATGGACTGATGGAACACGTTGTGATAAAACCGGTCGACCAAGAGAAACTGAAGTTCAAATTCATTGTGGTATGACATCTACCGATGTGATTTACATGATTAAAGAATTAGCTATTTGTCAATATGTTTTAGTTGTTCATTCCCCTCATTTATGTGGTTTACCAGGATTCAAAGCTGAAGAAGTTAAAGTTGAATCAGCTCCAATTAGATGTAGAGAAGTATTATCTGATGATTTGTATCATGCTTGGGAAGAAGGGAAACATGTTGAAATGATTGATTTGGGAATTGGAGAAGGTTTACCACAACCGGAAGGAGGAACGATATTGGGTTTACCAGAAATGATCGAAAAGGACAGTGAGGAGGATGGGAAAGAAGATATAAAAATTATGGTGGGAGATTTATCAGACGATTTGTTGAGTCGGATATTTGGTAAAGCTATGGAAGCATTGAGCTCAAAAGTGGGTGAGAATGGGAAAAGTGAAGAAAGTATGGGAGAGAACAAGGAAAATTTAGCCATCTTCGATTTGGAAGAAAATGAAGAAGGTGTGATTTATCTTGATGCTGATATTCTTCTCGGAGGGGAACAAGGACAACAAATGGGGGATAAAGATAAAGAAGAATTTTTAAAAGTTGTCAGAAAGTTGTTGAATGAACAATTACACTCGGCAGATGGAAAGGGGGAGGAGGAGGAAGGTAGACCACATGATGAGTTATGAAAGAGTCGGTGAGGGATGATTGTATTGATATCCTATCTCCATCTATTCGATTTGCATATGCAATACGCTTTACACGTTTTTCTTGGGGCAGATGGCCTTATTGAAAAGACAAAAGGTCAAAGAGATTACAAACATGACCAGATTCATCCGATACACTATGAGACGATATGCAGATATACAAAACGATTTCATTATATTATATCCTTGATCTCTCTTTCACATCCAATATCATACCTCAAACCTATCTTGATTTTAACCTCGCAACATGTGTTCCTTTCCACCTTTAACATCTCTTCAACCCATACCATTTCTATACACTTCGCAACAAGACACGTCTTCGTCAAGCCGACCCAGTAATCTTCTCTGAAGTTACAGATGCCATAATGAGATAACGCGATGTCATGTTCCAACCATAAAAAGAACCCTACACAACCGTCCGTTTTGGCGCTTTCTTCCTAACGGCCATCCCGATCTTGCTCTCTGCAAAAGTCCAATTAGGATCATACTCCGTGATGAAAGGATGTTGCAAGAGTTCAACGGCCATGGGTCGATCCCGAGGATTCTTAGCCATGCACTTTTCGTTCATAAAGTCCAAAGCGGTGGCTGAGAGGTGGATGTCAGGTGGGAGAGGAGGTCTAGCTCGATTGCTGAATAACTGTGAGTCAGTGGTGTGATCTTTGTCCATGCTCGATCTCCGGCGAGTATTCCCAAGACGTGTCTATGAAAAGTATCCCCCAATAAGAAACCTGGGCAACGTAGCTTGGCCCACTGACCGGAGAGTGACGAAGGTAAGTAATTGGAAAAGAAAAGAAAAAACCCACCTTCACCATCGCCGCAACCTGTTCCATCTCACCCCAAGGACGTTGCCCCGTCCACATTTCCAGTACCACACATCCCAAACTCCAAATATCAACTTTACCAGAATAAGTCCTATCATTAACCGAATGGATAACTTCTGGAGCCATCCAAAAGACCGAGCCTTTCATATTGGTAGCTTGTCCAAACGAGTCGTACGCGTCCGCTAACCAATCAGTACTTGTCATTCTTGTTATTTTCTTTGGAACCACTCGACCTAGACTTGTGACTTCTCCACGAAGGATTGTACTGAGATCTGGGATATGGGTAGAAGGTTGACGTTGACGTCGAGACTGACCAGTTTGCTTTGATATACCAAAATCTGAGATTTTACAGATTCCCTCGGCATCAACGAGGATATTGTCACCTTTAAGATCCTGTATGTGAGTGAGATGGTCTGAAGAATAGAGAAGGAAGAATGGGAGATGGAGGACAGAGATTTGAGATTCAGAAACGAGGACTGAGGATTGGGAAATGTACATGGAGTATAGAAATTAGAGAGACCTACCCGATGACAAATGTTCCTACTGTGCAGATACGCCAAACCTTCGAGAATCTGAGCAGTAAAGTATTTGACAAGTTGTTCTTCGAATCTACCTTGATTGGGTGTCCGATAAATTGATGCTATAGTACCTCCTCCTACGTACTCGAGGAAGCTGTAGGTCAGCTAAAACTCGGAGACTCCTCACTCAATGACAGCGCATTTTAACATAATGGTACTTGAAACACCATTGCCTCATGACAGTGCAACGAGAGATGTGTAGTACCGAGGCGTTGTAGTTGAAGGAGACGAGCAAGGTGCTGAGCACCAGAAGGCAACAATGGGGAACATGAAGATACTCACATAGACAAATACTCCGGACTGGTCTCACAACCGAGATACGCGACGATATTCGGGTGATATAAATCTTTCAATAATGCAATCTCCGATCGTAGAGCGTCAATCATTCCCATTTGTCTTGAATCATTCCTATCTCTCTCCGTAGCGGGTAATTCGACCTGTTTGACAGCCATCATGTCTCCAGTTGAGACGTTCATAGCGAGGTAAACACGACCGTAAGATCCTTTACCGATGAGTTCACCTTTGACCCAGTTCATGATGGCTGAGATGTCAGCTATTCTGCCCCTTCTTCTCTCACTTGCCCACTTGGTCATCATCTGTATCTTCCCTACCAGTCTCACCTCGCTGGCGAGGAAGGTTCAGATCATATGATATGCAAGGAGTTGTGACATGTGCCAAAGCTGGGTGGGATAGTTATGTGAATGTTAAGGTCTATGCCCATTCCCAATCCCCAAGAACTATTAGGATGACACAAAAAAGAGAGCCTGGTCCAGACGAAAACAAAAATTGACTCACGAGGTTTACCATCGCTAGAGGGACTTTCAGGTATTGCAGGTGGAATCGAGGACATTTTACCCGGTGTGACTTCCACCACTCTATGTCCCCACATACTCGAACTCTTTCTTCTCTCCACCCTCCTATCCGCTCTAGTAGCCAAAACATTCCTAGGTTCTTTCTCTCCACCGTCCCGATTCTCCTTCAACATAGTCTTCCTCTTATGATCCGCCATGACTCTTATACTCTTTCTATTCTCCGCTTTGTTAAACGCAGTCCTTGCTGGATGTAATGGTGGTGGTCTATGTGCTTCTTCATTCTTGACAGCAGATGAGATATGTTGAGTCTGCGATTGAAGTCTCGAAGGATGAACAGGCGGAGGAGGGAATGAATCGTCAGGTACGGGTCGTTGAGGTGATTCCGATGGCGTTGTAGGTGTTGACATACCTCCTTCGACGATTGGTTTATCAAGGTCAATCTTGGGGAAGAAACTGGATAAATTGTCATAAAGCATATCAGGATCAGGTCGAACGAGCCATTGATCTGGATCTTTTTGTCTTGCAAAAGATTTGACACGATGAATACGTTCACCTTCCGATTCAGTAGCGCTATCGGATGGGGTTGTAGCTGATCTATCTGCCATATTTCTCGCTGCGGCATTGGTATTTACTGTCAGATTGGGTTTCGAAGGTGATGGACGAAGGGCCATGGTTCGGTGTAAAGGTTTTGGAGAATCTGTACTTCTAGAAGGTGCGGTGATCCAAAGTGTCGCTTCGTCTTCATCGTCTTCGTCATTGGGAACCATAGGACGAGCAGAATGGATCATGTCTTGAAGTCTCTTTTGTAAATCTCCAACACGAGCGGTATTTCCTGAATCATCTTCATCACCTTCTCCAGACATGGTACGTGCTCTGATTGTAGCTTCAGAAAATCCAGAGCTCACCGTGCCTGCCACAGAAGCAGAATCACTTGTATCCGTCCGTTGGCGAGGTACTTCCAGCCATGATTGTTCTGGAGATCTCACGTAAGGGAGATGAGATCCGTCATCACTCAAGATACCTCCTTGACCAACATGACGAAGTTCTTCAAGCTGAGGAGATAATGTCTGTCGAGAGACGTTATCGGATCCACTTCGTTGCCGCCAAGCTCCCATACGGAAATCAGGATTATCATCGTTGATAAAGATCCGAGCCGTGGGGGGAGGGCTGCTCTCATCATAATAAGTCGAAGGACGACGGGGTAATGTGGAAGTTTGAGGAGAAACTATCGGAGGTGAACGGTCATAATGTATCGAGGAAGGTCGAGAGGTATTTTGGTCGTGTGACGGTCTTCGTTGTGGTTCTCTTGGTGATCTCCATGACGCAGGACTTGCCGAGCTCAGTTGAGGAGAAGGGAAGGGGACAATACCGATAGGTGAGCCAGATGAAGAATTAATTTGCAAAGGAGGGACTCTAGCAGGCGCTGATTGTGATGAGTCGGGATATCTACCATCCTGCATCCGGTCAAACGAAGGTGAGCGTCCACCAGCAGTGGCAGGGAAATTTCTGGTATCGATATACCCTGGAGATGGGGTGATAGCAGCTCTGGGTGGGACACTTTGATATGGTGATCGTGGTGCGGGACCTTGAGGAGGGATAGGTCTGAGATTCTCCATGGATCGAACGTTACTCAATGAAGGGGAATGTAGTTCAAGTCGAGGATACGCATATGGATGTCTCGTATGTGTGTCTTGTCTGTGCATTGTGTTCGTTCCAGCATTGGAAACATTCTGTCCGGGTGGTATCCGACCTAATTGGTGTAAGCGGGGATCACTGAGACGATCTTGTCCGCCATTGGCTTCGAGATAGCCAGAAGGTCGACGTGGTTGCAGATATTGAGCGACCCCAGCAGCGGTGGGTACCGGTGATTGGAACTCTGGAGTGGTGTCGTAGGATTGCCGCTCGAACAGAGGATTGATGGTAGGATATTGATGATCGGAAGGTCTTCGTTGACCTAGAGCGTTCTGCGGTGCTTCAACAGGGACATGGGAAATCCAAGAATCGACATCTTGTCCCGTCCGAGCCATCTGACCTCGTTGTATCCATTGATCCCGAATTTGTCTTCTCGTTTGACTCATGACCGCGGCTCGAGTATCGTGTTCTTGGCTGGCGTCCCATTGTGTATTAGCTGCCTCTTGGTGTCTACGAGATTGATTCATAGCCGAAGTCCGAGAACCAAGTTCTTGATTAGCTTCCCATTGTGCATTTGCGGCTTCTTGTGCTCTTCGTTGATCCTCCAGTCGTCTTTCATGTTCTTGAACTTGACGCTGTAGGTCAGCAAAAGGAACAGCACGTGAAGGAAATATCCTCACAGCTTGTGCTTCATCCTGTTCCTGTTGCCGTCTTCTATCCTCTATCCCTCCTTGCAGCCGTTCCCATTCAATTCTTTCAGCTCGTTGCTCCTTACGTGCTAACTCCAGATCAGCTTCTTCTTGTCGTTTACGTTCCTCAGCTTCGAGCCTGGCCTCGTCTTCTTCCCTCTTGAACTGCTCAATCAACGCCCTGGTCTCGGGATCCATACCACTCAAGTCAATATTGAGGCCGAGTCCAGCATCTGGTCTATTCTGCGGTCTACTCGGACCTGCTTGATTGTCCGAAAAGGGGAAAGCTTGAGCGGTAGGGGTGAGGCTACCACGTTGCTGTTTGTGTCCGTCTATCGAAGGAGAGCGAGGCACGTCGAGAGTCTGTCCTCTTATGGATGGCGAGGAGCTGGCTGACCATGATTGGAGTGGGGGGTTGAAATGCGGTGGAGCTGGGGGAGTAGGTAAAGACGGAGAACTAGTCCCGAGTGAAGTAGAAGGATCAGTCCTTGGAGATCTCGAACTAGAACTTCCTAATAATCTTCTACGTCTTCTCAATTCTCCATCGGCATCCACCTCACTCCATTCGCTAGCACTGTTACCTGAACCAGCTCCTAGATCGTAAGCGTCGCTGATGGAGCTTTGACTTCCTTCTTTAGAATGTCGACTAGGTGTTCTCCTCAATCTACGAGCTGCGAAATCGGTAGCGATGGGAGGCATGTCGGCTCTTCTCTCGGCGTTGGAACGGTAATGGACTGTTGCGGGAGGGACTACAGGTGCGGAGAAAGCACTAGGAACTCCGGTCTGTTTGACGAGAAGTTTGAGGAGTGCTTTAGAATCGCACAATGTTTCGCACAATTGAAGTAAAGCTTCTGGTGATAAAGGTTGTGGATCAGGAGCTTCACCGAATTCCGTTCTGTAGATTCTTAAACCAGGATAATCATCGTCCGCGAATCGTAATTTGGAAAATATCGTTTCCATGATGGTAGGTGCTGTATGCATCGAAGTGATGTCGACCAAAGTGAAATTATCGCCATCCAATGTGACTTGTAATAGACGTTTGTGCATCGATCCTGATCTGGCTCTTCCAATCATTGGAGCACCATTGGGACCACGTCCACCTTCACTACCTGACGCTGGACTCAAAGTGTCTTCAGGACTGGTGACTCGTGTACCGGATAGAGGTAATGGTCGATCAGAACTGGAATAACTACTGGATGGTGTAGGTGGTTGAGGAAGGAAAGATATGGCATGACCATTTGCAGAAGAAGGTTGGGAAGACATTGGAGGAGGAGAAGAGACTATTTGTCCGATTTGTCCTGATAAACCCATTGGACTAGATGATGGTGAAGGAAGTGGCGGTAAAGCTCTACTTGGTGAAGCTGGTGGTCTTTCTCTTAAATTTGTTCCACTCGCAGTTCTAGGTTCGTGTGAAGGGCGAGGTAAATCGGTAGGAAGTATCGTGGCAGTCGGAGTTGTATAAGCTCTACGCATATGTCTTTCTGGTTGAGGAGGAGGTTGAGGTGGAACCGGTGAATGTATTTGATCGTTATTTGTAGATGTTAAGAATATAGCTTGAGATGGTAATGGTGAAGAAAGAGGAGCGGGGATACTAGGTATACCGAATGGAAGGCCATTCCCACGTATACCAACGGGTGAAGGTATTGAAGTATGACCATTGATATTTTGTATATTTTGACCATTTTGTAATCCTTGTGAAGTGGAAATCTGTGTAGTGGTGGTAGATTCTTGAGGTGAAGGTGGTATTGGAACTGGAATAGAACTTGTTATAGATTGATTTCGATGTGTTGACCATGATGATAATGGGGATGTTTTACTTGGACTAATACGTTGTGGTGAAGAAGATTCTTCATCAGAATTATCTGGATTGGCGACGAAAAGACCAGGTGCGATACCTCTTCTACGTGCACCTTGAGGTCTACGAATGGGAGTAAGAGAAGGACCAGGTTGAGTAGATAATGATAATCTAGGTGGACCAGGTATACCTGACATACTACTAGACATTATCGAAATGAAACTTGAGTAGTAAAATGTAGACGTCACCCGGTTTGTTATTCGTAGTTCGTAGTCGTAGTCGTGAAGAAGTTACTTTGATACTTCTATACGTGTAAACGTTGAGATTTGAGGAAATGGAAGACTCTGTGGGAAAGAAAAGGAAATGGAAGACAAGATGTTGATGGAAGAGGAAAGATATGAAGCAAGGCAAGTTGAAAGGACAAAGGTGAATGACGAAATAGATGGGAAAAAAGAAGGATGTGACGATTGGCGGAGAGAATATATATATAAGTAAACTAGGTCCACATCTCCTATTTCCCACTTTATCTATTCCTTTTCAAGTCAACCTTACTATCTTTACTAAGTTGAATTTCCTTAACGACCCAGACAGGAGCATGAAAGCATGGAGCAATCTTCCTTCCTCTACACTTCCGCTAATCCGCTACTTGCTGCTCACCAACGATCGTCGAATGAACCGACTCCGGATGGCCGCACCACTAGTCCATCATCCACTCCCACCACTCGGTGTTCGTGTTCGGTGTTGGGTGTGTAGAAATGATGGACCACGTACAATATATATCTTACCCTTTTCAATTTCGGTTCCGTCTTACCGCGGTGATGCGGCGTGTAAACTGGTCTTTTGATGAGGGCGTGCGATCCAGCATTACAAGGAATTATAACTTACTTGTAGGATCCTATGGGAACGAGTCTTGACACGAGGTTAAAACCTGATCAATATGTCCAATCATCTTTGATCTCTGACCAGTAACAAGTGGGGGATATCACTCAAGACTGGATCAACTCTCAAGCGATTCTCAACCGAGTTTCAATAATGAGTCGTAAACCTCGCTACCAGCCAAGAACACTCTAGTACGATAATCTCATAAACCTCCTCTCCCCCCCTCCTCCTCTCTCCCACTGTCCTGAAGATCTCTGATCTATGAATCATTGTCAGACAAGCGGTCTCATCTGACCGCTATCCAAACCGCCGCCTTCGTTTACCACTTACGCACCTCTGACCTGGAGACTGGCGATCTTTAATATATAGGCGCCGGGGTCGGCTGTCATTCTTCAACCGAACACCACAACATGTAGCCCCCCCACACGTCAAGCCACTCATGACATGACAGCATCGAGATAAACTTCTACACCGTACACCATACACCGTACAATTCGCTTCACTTTGCATCTTTTTGCATAACGTCTGCCAACACAATTAGATCCTCTTTCCAACTCTCTTCCTACTGATGTAAAGACGCACTCCACAACGCACCGACAAACGTGAGCAACTGATATCGTCAGCATTCCCGCCTCATGTCAGATCTGACCTCGAGGGAAACTCACCAGACGTGGTCGGACATCTACGATATCTGCGGATCAGCACATGGTCTGCATAAACTTTATCACGCTACTCACCTTCTGGAACAAGGAAGATCAGGGCGTTCATCTTGCGCGCGATTGAAATAGCCAATTTAGCTACGTTGTCAGTGAAATGCACTTTAATAAAAACAACACCACATCATGAGGTAGGGCCAGGTATGATGAGGTACCTTCGGTAAGATGACGAACGACTGACCATTCTGTCTCTTCTCCTCTTCATTCACCCCTTTGTGTACTAAAGAATAATCCACATAACCCGGTTTGACCCCATTGAGCAAATCAAGGAAGAAAATACCAGTACTTAACGAAGAATCTTTGAAACTCCTCATCGTACTTGACTTTCCTCCCTTCTTCACCGTCTCATTGGCCCATTTGATCATACTCTGATCCGTCACACTTTTACCGTTCTCCGAGATGCTCGCCAGGGTCTGACTGATCGACAGACGCATCAGTTGCCAAACCAGTCCAAGGACGAGGGTACGAGTTCCATCGACAATGTCTGATCCTTGAATACCGACAATGTGCATCCCGTTCCCTTTTGCGAGGTCAACAGCGTAGTTTGTATTCTCTACAGCTTTGAAACGGGAAAGTTCTTGACCTTCCTTGGGTTTGGTGACTCGTCGCCAGATGACAGAACCCGGAATGACTTTGTCAAAGCCTTGAAGCAGTACGTATCCATCCTGCTGGTCAACACCGATCGTCCCCACACGCCTTTCCCATGTTTCCTCTCACTTCGTGGCTCTGTCTCTGATCATGCACCCGGGAACGAAATGCCGTGTCCAAAACACCAGAAAGAACTCACCTTGAGATCTTCAAATAGATTGTAAACGCCAGGTTCCACATCGAGCGAGTTCAGCCACAAGGTGAAGACTCTTGCCTCCCTCTCACCCTCCGCATCGAAGTCTTCGATCACCGGAGCTTCCGCTTCTTCCAATGGTGCCAATCCAGGCCACGTGTTGAACAAATTGGCCACGAATGCCAAGTTTAGTTTCGGATTACCGGAGACCATCGAGCTGGGCGTGAGGAAACGCCGACATCCTATGCGATCTGCGCCTTGAAGAATTTCTTCCGCTCGTTGGTGCAGATCCCGAGTTTGGAGTGGTGCACGAGTGCATTGGTCGGGTTTCAGTTGATTAAGTAGGACAGTGTAGTTCTCTCCGTCTGAAATGTCTTTGGTAAAGTTTGTCACGCTGCACTTAGCGTCTTCCCTCCACAAATACCTGGGATACTGGATGAGCCCAGTCTAAAGGGGCACTGATTTGCAGAAGATGGTAACGATCTGAGAGGGCCAGCCACCAGATAGAAAGAGTTGGGAGAGTGGGTGTTGATAGGGAGCTGTGGACTTACCGTCGGGGCCAATTGGCAGCCTTGAGATGATAATTGAACCATCTCAACAAGATCTGGTCCGGAGGTAATTTCAAAAACGCTTCCATAGTTTCCCCATCGTCCAACAATCGATACAACTCAGGGTGTATCTTGATATCGATCTTACTCAACAAACCCCTTCTGATGATCTGCCAGATCAATCCCAAAATCAAATGTTCCCTGCCTTCGGCGATGTCGGAAGGTCCGATGTTGACCACTGAACATCCTATAGCTTTGGCTGAGGTGATGACGATATTGTTGTTTTCTGTCATTTGGAAAGCATTGAGATTTTTGCCTTTCGCCTTTCCTCCGCCAGGTTTGTTCAAAACACGTTCGTCGATGGTCTCGGGTACAGAATCGTTGATGAGTTTGCAAAGGAGTAAACCGTCTGAAATGTCAGTTATGTCCAGTTTTTTTCAATCGCATCTTCTCCTCATCTGCCATCCTGCTCTCATTTATCTCTTGCCTGGGTTACATCCCCTCATCTAGCTTTCAATCATCCTCTGGTCGATTCACATTCCTGATCCATTCATCGTCTCGCCACTCTTCGTATTATGTCTCCACCTTCTAATCATCCTTTCTCACATCTGGCGTCTGGCGTCTTATTTCTGATGATCTATGAAAGATCCATGTCCTTGCCCCCTGATCATGCCAGATTATGCGAAACAACTCACCTCTGCACTCGTCGAACAGCTGCATAGTATCAGTCGGGATAGGTAACAAATGTCCAATATCCAAATCCCCCCCTAACACCTACACAACCATCAGCCCCATACTTCCATCTCACTCAAAAGCAAGTACTCACGCCATTGATATGATCAGTAAAAGAAGTTCTCTCATCTTCGTTTATCGTATGTTGTGCGTTTGTCCCAGCTGTACCCTTCACGGAGATCTTTCCTTTTTTATGTTCCAAAACCGGTTGAGTTTTTCCTTGTCTAAGAAGAGAATGGAATTGAACCCAATCTTCTAATTCAACTCTTCCGGATGAATCTGTATTTACTGATTTGAGTGTTTCTCTTGCCTATCAGATCAGCCAACATTGTCCTCTTATTTATCTGGAGCATCTCCATTGTGTGATACCGGATCTGTCCCATGTCTACTGTTATGACCTCCACTAGAGCATTGCTTGATTGAATGATTCAACATAGCGAGATATAGACTGGAGAGCTCAGAATCTGGTGAACGACCAGAAGTAAAAGATGGGACCATATATGGCAGAAAGAAGATGAGACGGAGGAATACTCACAGAGTCGTAATCTGCATCTCCACTCTGTTGTAAGGCCGCAATCACTTGAGGTTTCTCCAACCAACCTCTATCTTCCACATCTATCTGTCTACATCCGTCAGCGTATCATCTGCATCTCATCATCCCTGCCAGGCCAACAAGGAAGAAAGACTGACTTGAACTTATTGATGAGGTCGAACAGCTCGTCTTGTTTGAACTCGGGGTATTTCTTCCCCAGCCTGATTGCCTGCATGATGGGTGGCACTAGATGAGGTGATGGGCACAGCGATTCGGGTTCCAATGGGATAACTGCTCTTTCTTTCGATCAAGAGCTATGTAGGACGTGGATAGAACAGATAAGGGCACGATGAAGAGGTAGAGAGATGGAATGGATGGCAAGAGGGAAATGAGGCGAGTGAGGGAGCTGTGCTGTGACGTAGACGTCGAGTGGCCAGCCAGGCACGATCCATTTCACAACTTGACTTCCATCCTCGGTGCATGCTGCATGCTGCAATTGGTGTACGGTGAACATCCATGCTTCCAGATTGCCATGCAGTCATTCAGCATGCAGCTCTACTGTGCGATGCCAAGCATGGTCAGCCGGCCAGCCTGGCTCTGGCCCTCTCAACTTCATCACTGGCCAGAGTTTGCTCCAATTTGTAGGTCGCACATCGGAGCAGTCAGCAGAGGGGAGAGGGTAAGCAGAGTCAAGCAGGGGTTAACAGCCTGGGAATGCAGCGAGCACTTCGCAAGGCGACACTGACTCGTGATTTGCGAGTTGGATGTCATAACCTAAAGCTCTACACTACATCTACTCAAGCCGCAGCCTTCTTCTCCTTGACGAAGGCCTTGCTGACCAGATCCCTACGAGCACGCTTGGCAAGCTGAATTTGGAATCGGTCAAAGTCGTTGGACGTCTGTCTAATCAGTACTCGATCGACTGAGATGCAAAATACGACAGTTCCTGGGCACGACTCTGGGAGTGCAACATTCGTGACGGTAGAGTCGCTGTGTGTTGTGTGATGAGTGACAGCAGAATAAAGATGTTAAAGATCAAACGCACAGTTCGCAACTGCCTCGCCGCCAGTTTCTTCGCCCATCCGCTGGCCTCCCACTTCTCCATGACGCCCGCCTTCTCGATAGCCTTCTTGACAGGGCCGGAACCAGCACCGCGGGGCAGACGGGCTAGGGTGTAGGGAGTGAGGATGAGGTTGCGATAGGAAAAAGGTTGTCTAGGGACGGATGTGGTGGGGCCATCAATGAGCGCCTGTGTATTAGCACGAGATCGTAGCGGTATCTTGGAATGCATGGAGTGCAATGCTGAGCACAATGATGGGTCGTGACCCATATGAAGGGTCATGAAGGGTGGTATGTATTTAAATCTGGTTGACATGTGCGAATGGGATATGCGCCAGCTCACCCGGTTGTGGTCAATGATCTCGACAATCACGGCAAGCTTGCCGGCTGATGGGCCTTCGTTGACGAGGACTACTCGACCGACCTCGACGAATCGTTTGAAATTGGAAGGCTGAGCCTGGAGGAATTAGCGTTGACTCTCTGATGGTCATGGTCCCAAGCCTCTCAGTCGCTTGATTGCTGGTCTGACAGTACGTCTTCGTAGACTTCCCAGCCTGCCTGAGTTGCGATGTCCGCATCAATCTGGGGGATAACAAAGACGAGGGCAGAGAACAGGCTTTGGGAAGGTTTGAATTCGTATGTTCAAACATAGAAGATCCTTCTCTCCACAGACTTGCTTCGAATGTTTTGAGGAGAATGACAAAGACGAGCAGATTATGAGACTCACCACCATGATGTCGAGAACCTAGCTATCTGTACGACTCGAAAGAGTTGAGGAAGTTGAAGTGATTTGACGGTTGAATGTTCACAGTAGACACTAGAATGGGTGACTCGTAACGGAGAGTGCGGCCCGATGGGATGTGAGAGAATGTGGCGGAAATATTGGACACCATCGGCGTTTGGAGAGTTGTCTGCAGCTTAAACCCGATCATAACGAGTGTTGGCACGGAAAGAACAAAACCCCGAAGCTTACCCTATCAGTGGCACTCGGGCTGGGACGGCTCGCTTGTACGCTTTGTCATCCATGTGGAGGCTGAACCCTTTTTCAGACCCAAAGAGGAAAGATTGAGCCGAGAACGTTTACAGGGCCGACTTTCTCTTCCTCTTTCCTTCCAGCCTCAAACTTCATCCCATCTCTCCATCGATCTTTCACTCCATCAGCACCATCAAACATATTCCTTTTGTTATCGATCAAAACCCACGTTTAAAGGTTCACAATCCCACGTCGCCACCTGTTCACTTTACGACGTCTTTCCCCGTGCTTCTCGGCTTTCACTCACTACTTTGTCCCACAACATCCTGTTTGACATTTGCTCCGCTTCAACATCGCACTTCATCCCTTCAAACACTTTTAACATCCATTGCCAAGTGGTGTCTGACATTCTCCTTCTCGTACGTGTCACACCCATCGCTCCTTTGAAGACTCAAAACACTCCGATAGAGCGCTTGTCTCTTCAAAACGACCGTTTACACCGCCCTCCGACCAGAAGCGAGAGGCCTTCGTCATCACAACTGAGCACCCAATCTTCTATCCTCAAACCTCACTCCACTTCATCCATTCTTACATATACACAACCTTCACTCCTTTGCGACTACTCCACATTCGTATTGCGTGATATACACATCATCGATATATATAGATAATCAAATCGTCATGTCGTTCGATCTCCCTGCCCATTTACAGGGTCTCAATACTCTTACCCCTTCTCCTCGTGACGACCAAGCTTTAGTACAGGATCAAGAACAAGAATTCTGGGCGTATCTTCACGCTGATGATCTGTTCAAGAACTTTGGAACAAACGAAGCATATCCCGGCAAACTCACACCGGCGGTCAACGATAAGAAGCCCGAAGCCACAACACAGCTACCTTCTCTTTCAGACTTTATTGCAAAGTTCGTATCGGACTCTACTCCCGCTGGGGACGACGAAGATATAGCTGCTCGACAGTTACCTTATCCATTCGCGGGTGGCTATTCTCCAGCCACGGGTGCCTCGACTCTACCAAACACCCCCAGGACGGGACTTCCCTTGGGTCTGGTAAACACGGCAGATGTCATGCCGAGACCACATGAGGAGGACGAGAGGATTTCAGGTGCAAAAAAGTTGAAGCAGATTGGAGCTGGTCCAGAAGTGATTCAAGAGGAGTAAGTTTATCACTTTATCGCATGAACCAGTAATGCTGATCGGTGGAAGCAAGCGAAGACGGAATACCGAGGCTAGTGCCAGGTTCAGAGCGAAGAAGAAGGAACGTGAACAGGCAGTTGAGCAACAGAACAGTGTGTATCATCTTCTATCTCTGCCTTTTCATTCCACGCCATTTCCCGCTCCAGTTTAGAGCCAAGCTGACCTATGACAGAAATACTTCAAGCTCAAGTGGCTGAACTCTCCGCTCAGAAACAACGACTCGAATCTGAGAACACGCTTCTTCGACAGATAGTCCTTCACGGTAAAGCCGGAGCTGTCGATGGCGGTGAACTCGCCGGTCTCTTTGCCGGTCTCAAGCGTCGACGAGAAGATTAGTCTCGTGTCATGTGTGGATAGGTCAGTGTATCTGTAGTGTGGTATAGAAGTTTCAAAGTTCAAAGTCAAGGGTTGTGGGAGGTTGTTAGCTATATCTAGCTTGCATCTTGATTTACTATTACATGCGTGACACTGACTACTAACTCTTGACTCAAACTGCGGATGGTATTGACACCGAGGGAAGGTTTTGACGCACTGACATGTTCACCAAACGCCGATGGAATGGGTCAGATCACTGGGATGACGCACAGACCTGTTTTCCCCAAGTTCCACAGATTCAGCACAAAGTCTGTGCGCTGCTACTTCGCTTCTCATCCTTTCCCCCCTGTAGCCTTGCCATCTCGCATTATCCACCCTTTACTATACAGATAACACTTCCAAGACATCCCAAAGAGTGTTCCAGACAATTGACATACACACAATGGTCAATAAACGTAAAAACTCTGCTTCTTCCTCTGACTCTTCTCCAGAGACAGTGTAAGTCTCTCTTCTCTTTCCCTCTCTTCGCCACCACCACCACCACTGGCACATAAGAATCAACATCTATCAACTCAATAGCCGATTCAGGGCCGACGCTGATATATAGGGATTGGTCTCAAATCATGCGTAAAGCAGAGCGTGAGTGATCACCTCATGTGAGATTCTTGACTGAAGGTTAGAACAAGTTTATGCGCAGAGAAAGACTCTAGCACAATCTTTGATCAAGTCGGCTCAGGAAGAGGTTGAATCGTTGGTAAGTTCATTGTAACCTTCTCTTCTTCTCCCAAACCTCATTTGTTGATATCGTACTCCTACACATTGAAAGCCACTCTATTTTCTCCTGTTCCGTTGCCAAGACTGGACATGGAATGTCTAAGATGTGTCACGTATATCACTACTTCCGAAAATTCCGTGGAATATTAAATGAGAACTGATAATAGACAAAACAACATTCCGAACTACTCCAAGCTCATTGCGCTGAACAGTAAGCTCTCATCCTCGTCTTATCTTCCCATCCTTCATCATTCTTCCAAACCTAAATGTCCATGTCAATCTCTGATTCCGATTATGTGGACCCATTCATCTCTTGCATTCAACATTGCGTGGGAATTTCAAGAGGTGAAATCAGACCCGTCACACGAAAGAAACCATCTGGTGAGAGTGGAGGATTTCCGATGAGGAACAAAAAGCGAGAAGGCGGAGAAAGAGAGAAGAATCAGACGAGAGCAAGAAGAGAAAAAGAGAATTAGGAAACCCGATCAAGCTGAGACGAATAGAAAATCCATATATACCTCATTCATCAATCCTGTTACTCTTCGTCGTGAACGTCAACAAGAATTATCTCTCAAAGCTTTAACTCAAGATCGGAATTCTCGTCGTATGATCATTGAATATATCGAATTGTTCAAACGTTGTGATATGTCCGGTGTAGGAAGTGATGCGCAGGGTATGATGGTAGAATTTGAGAAAGGTGAGTATTCAAGTCAATTCTGACTCTTCTTTTTCTCTATTACCTTTTTCCAGTCAAATATGATCTTTTTTCCAATCTGTATTGGACAAGTATGATTTTGGTTTTTCTCTTCACTCATCGTGATCTGCAACATGCAACATGTAACACGGAGCCGTCGTTTTTGTCTACCACAGATCGGTTTTTCTCTTTGAGATGGGAGGATTGAAGAAAAGGGAGAAGGGCGATGGGTGGTTGTACTGATCAAAAGGATTGAAAGAACAAGCCGGTATGATACAACTACAATCTAATGTCCAAACAAAACCCATTTCGTCCAGGAAGAAAAGCAATTCTTCCAGTATCTGAACGCCCATGATGATACCCAGAGCAGCTCGAAAATGTGGGAATGAGAAATCATGTATGAAGCAAAAGGGGGGAATAGGGATATGTATCAAAATGTACCGAACAACAATCATGGCATACAATGCATCGAGCATGTAATGTACAAATATCCAAACAATGAAATCGCACAATCAATCATCCGTACAACTTCACACTTACAATCCCACACGATAGAATCTACTCTCTCTCTCTCTATCAGTATCCCTTATCTCTGATCTAACATGTAGCACGTGGCATGTAGCACATAGTATGAAAATGACACATAGTTATTCACAGCGAGAACGAAAGAAGAAAAGATGGGAAATGAATGACGAGTAGATGACAAATGAAAAGATAGAAAATACAATCTATTCCTTCTTGCAAATTTTATGAGGAACCTTATGTCCATCTTGTCTAACACCACCACCCCAAGGAGTTTGACCAATGACAGAAGCATCTTGTCCCAAACCACGTTCAGCAAAAGCTTTCCAAATCAGACATCTATTCTGACCACCTGTCCTGATTTGATCAGCCTGAATGATGGCGTCTCTAGCGTGGAAGAACGAAGGACGACAAGGTTGGATTTTCATAGCGTCTATAATTAACTGAAGGGCTAATGTGTTGCCATGTTTGGGGATGAGAGGTAGAGGACGTCCTTGAATATCATACGTCTGAGGAGAGACGTAATAGTCGTTTGGGGTAGTTGGGTCGTTTGGCGGGAAAAGAGTCTTGGAGAAACCGTATTTCTCAACGAGATGTTGTGCCATGACAAAAAGGAATTCCGCCCATACTTCACCGATAGCGTGAACACCCCAATAACCAGGAGAATCGAGAGTTTTGTATGTCGAAGGGTTGGTAGTGGCGTTACTGGCGTACATATAGTTACGGATACCAGATTCGCGATTGGCAGCCCATGCACCCATGGCGAATGTGTCTGTGCCATTACTATAGAGTGAGCATGTGTCTTTCATTCGATTCCTTTGGTCCATATGTAAAGCCTGAAAATATGGATTAGAGCTGTTGGCATGAACAGAGAAGGGATGAGGATGGTTGTACGACTGAATGAAGGAGGAGAGAATGAAAGCTCACTCGAATTGATCATGTTCAATGACTTGACGAATCAAAGTCGCAATGGCATCACCCCATCCTTCACCCATTCCACCAGCTTCACCATAACCCAAACAACCAGAGTTGGCAGGACCTCCAGTTAGTCTAGTAGACAATCCGTGACTGTATGGTCAGAAAGTGATAAAAATCCATATTGAAGAACATGAGACTCACGAATATTCATGAATGACAATACCAGCCTCAAGATCTCCGTCACGGTAAGGCGATGCGGTATCCCAAACATACATCCTCATTCTGGGAGGAGTACCATCCGGAGGTGTCATAAAGTTGGCATTGTTGTATCCACTACCATCTTGAGCATTTGCGATGACGGGATCACCACCTCTTCCACCGAGACCAAAATTGTACGCCTGGAAATTACCGGAGATCTCGTCGAAGCCTAGTCGGTAGAGAAGATCATGGTACATGTTACTGGTGTAAAACAATTGAGTGACGACCATGTCAATGTACTCCTTGGGAGCAAGACCATCGGGTTCACCATAGTCATAGACGAATGAGAGAGATTCGTTGACGGGACGGTAATTGAGCAAGAAGTTGTTTTGACCTTCCCAGTCTTCATGAGCTATGACATTGTTACCGACGGTAGTGTAGAAGGTGGTCATATTGCCGGTTACGTTCTGTCCGCGAATGTGGGAGGACCAGGGGTTGGATGAAGTTGGGTATTGATGCCATCCGAGAGGAGAAGCCACCTTGTCCCATGGTTCAGATACAACGGTCAAGTTACCAGTCATGGGATCATTGATGCCTAAATGTCAGCTGTGCCACACATGCGATGATAGTGAGGCTCACCCCATGGAAAGACTGCATAAGTATAGGGCTCGGCCTTCTCCACGGGAGGAAGAGGCTTCTGTTTATCGCCTTTACCCTTGAGCTCGTCCCAATCCCAGGACAAGTCACTGGCCCAATCGACAATCCTCAACAGCTCGCCGGAAGCAACGTCGACGTAAGCCTCGTACCAATTGTCCCTCTTCTGAACTTCGAGCTTCCAAACAAGTCGTGGCTGTCCATCCGAGGTTTGAGTGTACATGAGACGGGCGGGCACATGGTCGACGATACCAGCAGCCGCCAGACCTTTGCCCGTGATGATTTCAGTGGGAGGTTCAGTCGGGGCGGGTTTGGGAGTGAGCGAGTGAATGGGATGAGACTCAAAATCTCCAGCTGAGAGATCGGCAAAGTTGTCTTCGTTTTTCTCTTTGTGAGTCGACAAACGAGGGATGAGAGTTACCAAGGCGTCGATAGGCGACATGAAGCCTTCCGATATGGTCTGAATGGCAATCTCCTCGTCGTCGTGACACAAGGCTCGAAGATGGTTCTTGATGTGACGCATGTTCTTCTTGATTTGCTTCCGAGCATGTTCATCGATGTGCTTGACTTCACTGGTTTGACCTCCAAGCATCACCTGGACGGCTGACTTGACAATACCCCAAGGACCCTTCTCTTCGCCCTTGAACTTGTGAAGTTCATCCTTCTGGGCTTCGAGGTTCTCTTTCAACATCGAGCAAGTTCGAGCAGTCTCGCCGGATACGCCACCAAAGGATACTTCGGCATTGTGAGCGGAAGGGAGAAAGCTGGAACCCCAAGAAAGCACTCGGCCATCCCGGTCCACGTTGACGTTGATGTCTCCATCAGAGACCTCAAGACCGTTGACGAGCTGTTTGGCATAGATGTGGGTGACTAGAGTGCGAGGGTCGGTGTAGCTCTGACAACGTCAGCCTCGTCTCACTCCTGTCTACGATACAAAGGAGGCCGCGTAACCCCCATACAGGAGTCAAATTGACTACAAAGGGATGAGTTCAGCGGCCACGATGGATGGATAAATCGATGAAAGGGATGGTCACTGGCTGCTGGCTTCACGGAAGAGCGAGAGGAAAGAGCGATACTCACGTCGGATCGAAGGTAGAACGAAACACCATCTTGTCCCCCGACCTTATCGGCTATCCAACGCTTGGCCACTTCTGTCGCATCGATTTCTCCCCCAAAGTCGGCAGACACGACAAATGGTTCAGGAGCTACCTCAAAAGTGGCGTGCTTGTGAGTGGGTCCGAATGAGAGCGTCTTGCGTTGCTTGCCAGACGAATGATGGTGATGTTTGTGATGGGGAGAAGCGGTAGATAAGGTGGCGAGAAGTGGCAAAAGTGCCACCAGAGCGGTAGAACGCATGATGATTCAGACCCGCTGTGAGATTCAGATACCCGGTGAGTGCGAGTACGAGATAGGATATGAGTTAGAAGAGAGTACAGAGAAGAGTTGATATAGAAGAGAAGAGAAGAGGTGGGGAGATAGAGAGACGACGCGAAGGTTTAGGGGGGCGAGTCGTCGTGTGATAGCGATAGGGTTAGGGTAAATAGGAGGATCACTTAAGCTCGAGGCTCCGGCTAACGGCCCGGCTAATCCCTTCTGCATTGCATGCAAGCTTTGTCGCATGCACTCTAAGCAGCACATGTTATCGCGTCATAGATTCGCTATCGTGTACATGAATCGCATCGATCGTCCTAGTCACGGCGGTACAACGTCACAGTAGTCTACTACACATTTCTACCATACAGCTAGCACGTACAGGCAGACGGGGTCTCCTCTTCCTTGCCCACCGCAACTCCCTGTTGCCCAGGCTTTCGTGGTGTCGGTGTGTGCAACGGTAGTTTTCGCGCTGCACGTCAGCTGAAAAGATCATGTGTGCTACAAATGTGAACCGAATGATCGCAATGTGCAGTTGGAAGATTTGGGGAGGCGTCTCGATACTTGGAATGCAGCGGGTAGACACATCACAAGCAGATTAGTGATTAGAAGCCACTCACCAATCTCCATGAACAGTGCCTCCACCCCTTCACCCGTCTTCGCACTGGCTTCTGCAAACAACAATCCCTCTTCTTGAGCATATTTCTCCCCCATTTCCCTTGGCGTTTTTCTTTGATTTTCCAAATCCGTCTTGTTACCCACTAGCATGATGACGATCGATGGATCCGCTTGACGTTGTAATTCTCTGACCCACATCTTTGCTTTCTCGAATGATGTCTTTGAAGTCAGCATGATCATACAGTACTTTCAACAACCCTTACTTCAGGAGGCTGTATGTCAGCTCTAGCCTCCGATCGGAATGGGAATCGCTCACCTGCGTAATGTCATAAGCGATCACGGCTGCGTTGGAGTTTCGGAAGTAGATTGGTGCGAGAGACTTGTAACGTTCTTGTCCGGCCTGCTCATCAGGTCATTCCGTCATGTTAAATCCATAGCGAGTGGGGCGAGCCACACGGATGTAAAGCTTCCAGTAGCAAGTAGAAGAGGTAGCCGATTGGGAATGAAGCGCATCCGTGGGAATGGAGGTAGACGAGACATACCGTATCCCATATCTCAAACTTGATGGAAGTGTTTTCGTCCAGTGAGACGGTTTGAGTGAGAAAAGCGGCTGGTTATTTGAGCGATGTGTGCCATCTAGGGAAGAAGTGCACGTACCACCTATGAAGACAAATAAAGACAGTATGAGCATTTTGTCTCAATCAGCGCTTTCATAGTACGTACCGATTGTGGACTCTCTGAGAAGCGTCAGCTTCATCAGACAAATGCTAAAGGGAAGACGATGATTCACCTGAAGTCTGAAAACTCGTTCCGCACCTGGAGACAGAATCAGCACTCATCAGTGATACTCCATGGTGTACCCACAAATCTCAGTACTAGACTGCTCTTTCCCACTGCTGACTCGCCTGCACATCAGCATACCGATACATGTCATGTGAGGGAGACAAAGGAAGACGTTGATAGCATATGCATGGGCGGTATGAGAGGCGAGACACTCACCTAAAAGGACGAGCTTGGACGAAGTCGTCCGTGACATGTTGAGTGTATATTGAAAGGAGGACTAGCGGTATTGTTATCTGCAGTCAGGTGATCGTGTCCTTGAGAGAAGGATGACAGAGAGGATGACAAGTCGAAGGATGATAGAGGGATCGTAGTTGGAGTAGAGGAGAACGGCGACGGTTCAAAGTTGCCACTTTGAGACAATTACCGAGCAATCGGACGACTCCGAGCTCACCTATAACCTACTGTACAACCATCCTGCACTCTACCCTTCTCCTCCTCCTGCATACTATACCAAACCTAGTACTGACATCCATCGTCAACATGCCGGAAAACATCTTCAGCAATACCTCACATGTCCTCACTACTCACCTTGCTTCTACTCACAATCATCCAAACACATCAGGTTTGATCGTCCGTCGGATCCCACAAGAACCTATCAAAGATCAAGGCCCTATCGTCGGTCATACCAACACTTCGAATCGTCTAGCCGCCGAGATGTTCAAACAGCTACTTCAAGATGATCCGCTTTCCCCAGCTATCAAGGATGACAGCCTCACTTCTGAACCCGGTATGCTGTCGACCTTCGGTTATGAGACATTAACCCTCGCCCTAACGTCCTGCGATTTTATGCTGACAATCTGATGACCTGACTGTGGCTGACGATATCCTCTATCATCAAGTCAATCCCGAGCCCGAATCTCTCTACGACTGGTACGACATCGTTCTTCGTCGCCCTGCAGACCCGAATGTCAAAGCAACTCTAGACATTTCCGTCGATCCTGATTTACATCCACTCGCCGTCGAACACCCGGCACGAGTATGGAACTTCCTCCTACATTCCACTCCGAGAAAGTACCAACCCACCATTCGATGGAAGTACGATATCTCCCATAGTCACGAGTTGGAAATCACAGGTGGACAAGGTGAGCTAGACCTTCACCCTCTTTCTTTCGGTCATTTTGACTGATAGAGAAGAAGATAGTTTCCTAGCTCATCTCACACTTACACTTCCGCCAGAACATCCCTTCTTTGACAGAAATCCTCATAAAAAGGCTTTGATGGAAACATTCGGTACTGAGGAATACGAGGTGGTGGCGGAACAGGCTAAGGGAGTGGTGAGATGTACGGGAGAGTGGAGATCTCTAAAAGTGGGTGTATGTCGATGCGTCAGAGTGAAAGCTGAGATCAAGGCCCTCGCTCAGAATGTGGCGATTACCAAACTCATCATTCATGGAGCTTTGGACTGGATCTTCGGAGAGATCTTGAATGTTCAAGTGAGAATAAAAGCAGAGGAGGATGAGGCCGATACTTCTGTGCACGAGTCTCACTCGGAGTTTGCGATCTTCTGATCCAATACTCTCCTCGGGCATGGAAGCGGGATGTAGGAGGACCCTAAATGAAGTGGGATTTGGATGAGAATGAGAACATTCATGACCGAGAAATTCGTGGTATCTCCCCGTCACTACGGATGTATCTGTGTACAAGTAGTCTGACAAGTCTGTATGTATTTAGTCTGTATTCAATCCCTCCGGCTCAACCTCGTAAGCTGTTCTGAGCGGGTCCGAGAAAGAAAGGATGCCACGTGGCAGCATGTGACAGATTTGACTCCGCTCTCCGAGTCTTCTCCATCCTGCCAATCAGTCACTTTCTTCTTCCCTTCCATACTCCGACTTATGACCTACCTCTCTCTCATGTCTCAATAACGTTCACCATATCAGCTGAGTGAAGAGCAAACATAAGATTACGACTTTCGTGAGAGATTCTTCCAATATCATAAGCAAATCTATCCCGACTTTGTTCAGCCACTTTGAGTGAGAAAAAACACAAAGTATGGGACGCGGACCTCGTCGAGGTAATCGACTCCGTGGTCCTCCTTACCCAAAACCCGACAATTCTTATCAGATTCAATCAGGTACAAGCTCCAATAATTCTATCAGAAACCCACAGAACACATATCCGCAATCTGATACCGGGTCATACGGAGTAGGTATACAGAGACACGACCCACCTGGTATTCAGACATCCGGTTCTGGAGCATATGGTCCACCAGGTTCTCAGAGAAACGACTTTGGGTCGCAAGTACTTGATCAAGGATATCCTGCTAGACCTCGTGAGAACTTTCAAATAGGTAGTGGAAGGGGTAGGAATAGGAGTGGTGGTGGTGGTGGAAGAGCTAGAAGTCCTGACGGTGAGCTTCAATTTTTTCGATTGGTTTCTTTCAGATTCTCTCTTTGTTTCTTCTAAACCTCGACATCTCTAACTTTTCTTTCACCATCAGTCGAGTAAGTAGTGATGGCCTTACTTCTATTGGATCATTGAATGATGAGACTTCTCACAACGTTGTCTCGCCTACGGGTCCGAGCGCGACGCTCGTGATGACATGTTTCCTCCAGTGGTTGTTTACTATCGGACGCTGAGAATGGTTTTGAGATCCAAGGTGTGAGATGTGAAATGAGATTTCTTCAGCTCTGAGAGCTAGCTGGACGTCAGATTTTCATGAGGTTCTCGGTGTCTTTGCTCCATATTCGTCAGGGCGCTGTTCAGTGAGATCATCTGACTGGGCGCTGCGGTCGTGTAAGAGAGTATACATTGGAAAATCAGATTTACATCGGTCAACTATCGTGGCTTGGCGGACCATCAAACAGCTGTAACGGGGAAGAATTCAAAACGAAATTCGCTAAATGTATAAACCTCATAGACGAAACTCACTTGTCAGGTAGAAGAAGTCGTCCACTCGGTAGTCGAGATCATGATCGTCCTATCCCCCATATCCCAGATCGAGGAACAATCAAAATGGATAAAGTGACAATGGAAAGAGTAGCACAAGAAAGGCCTTGTAGAATACTTTTCGTACGCAATATCACTGTAAGACCTTCAATATTTGTTCGAAAAAGGCTAAGATTGAACAGTACGAAACTTCCTTGGGGGAGATTATGAAATCTTTCGAAACTTTCGGAGCTGTCAAGAAAGTCTTTGATATGATACCGAGGAGAGGGATGATGTTTGTGACTTATGTCAGTTGAATTTGTCTTCTTACTTATTCCGTATCCCTCGCCTCCCTAGACGGTAATCTCAGTGATCTCACTTTGTAGTTTTGAGCCCGTCTTTCTTCACTCTGGTGGTTCAAGCTCATCTCTTAACCTTCTAATCCTTGTCCCTACCTACTTCTGTATTGAGAAAAAATGGATCCGAATGGTGGTCTTGCAACCGAGGTGAACTTAAGAAATGCATGTATCGAAGACTTACTCGACAGTATGACCTCCGAGCGGCGGAACGAGCCAGAGATGCTATGCACGGGACCATACTTGGTCCTCGAGCGGTACGTGAAATACACATTGCCCAGATGTGGTCATTGACGAAAAGATCGACGTGCATTACAGTCTTCCGAAGCCTGAAGATTTACAAGGACAATGTGAGAGGGATAGTAATCAGGTATGTTTATCGGTCCTATTCCTCGTGTTCCAGTGGGAGCGATTAATCTGCCGCCTCCCCTCCCCCCCTTCTGTCGGAGAGTACACATCTATCATCGTCTTCACTTATCGAGATTGAAAAAGACTCCACTCCGGTTAGAAAGGACAATCTCCAGTTGGAGAGGCAAGGGGAAGCTGAACATCAGGGTTCCGTCATGTGTATATTACACCAACAGAGAATACTCGGCGAAAGTGATATAGGACGTTGTGCCGCTAATTTCGGAGCAGTCAAGCTGGTACTTTCCACAAGGAGTCCCAAGTGAGTTGTCTGTGTCCGTTCAACCTCCACGGTCCCGTTCTTTCTGATCCACCCTGTGTTTGCGTGTCCAACGGTGACCATTCCTTATCAATCGCAAGTTCAGAACTGACGATCAGCGAAAAAGTAGTCGAGTTCTTCGACTCCCGTGAAGCTGTCAGATTTCACGATGAGATGGACGGTAAACCTCTCGCTGGCGGTACGTTGGAGGTCAAATTTGTATGGGACGATATGGGCAGTCCTGTTGCACCCCTTTCGTCAGTACCCTGATCTCTCTCACAAAATCTACCTTTCCTCGCCATCATACCTTTCCAACTGACATAACTCTCATAACGTATTTGTCACTGGATGGTGGACATATGTCTGATACCTTAGTGGTGATAATCAGCTACCTATGGCCCCACCTCCACCCATTCGACCGTATCCCGAATCACATCCTCCAGCTATACCTAATGGTCAATATGAGATTCGACGAGAAGATCAAGCTGGGTTGAGGATGGGGGATAATCGTTATGTCCCTCCTCCACCTGCAGTTCCAGCTGCGGGACATTATCCGCCGCCTGTCCCGCCTGTCGAACGGAGGGGAGATCCTAGATTTGAAGATCCTCGTGGTGAGTCAGACACTTTTGTCGCACCCTATTTCAATCATCACCTGTCATGGAAGGGCACCATCATCGACTTGCACTTAGCACAGCGTCACACGCGCTATTTGTTTGCTCTTTGGCATGTGACATTTTGGGAAGTCTTCTGACTCCCAACAAAGCGATCCGGTCGGGCAGATTGTATCGCACACCTCGTTTGGGCTGATGAACTGACTTTCAGCTCCCGGCGGTGCATCTCGATACGATCGCGCGCCTCCTGGTCCATCTCCAGGAAGATATGATGGTAATGCTGGACGATACGAAGCTCCTGTAACGTCTCAAGGTCCATACAACCCCCCAGGTGGACGATACGATGCTGTTCCACCTGCTCCACCGGTACGTCTTTCCCATTGTGACCTCGCTTCTCGTTCCTCTATTCACAATGCTGTTCCCCCCTTCACTCATCGCCCAGAGGTCATACAACTGATTCATAGGCTCCCGATGAGCGTTTAGAGCAAGCTCGAAAAGTACAACAACTACTTGCCAACCTAAGTGGAGCTCCTGCGCCCCCGTACAACCCTCCGCAGTCTTACCCACCCGTAAACACTTATCCTCAGGAGAACAAATATCAACCTCCTCAACCCACTTATCCTCCGGCTCCCCCAGTATCTTCTGGGCAAAACTACCAACAACCTGCCTCTGAACCTCCTCGAACTAACTATCCCCCACCTCAATCATCTTATCCGCCTCCACCTTCAGGGTATCCTCCCAGTTCTTATCCACCACCCCCAACGGGATACAATAACCCACCTGGGCAGACACAACAAGCTTCGTCATATGCCACCCCTTCAACACCAGGACAACCACCAAGACCTTACCCACCTAATCCTTCCGCTCAACCTGGATACCCGGCTAATCCACCTGCACCTGCACCCGCACCAGCACATCCGCAGTATCCTGCGCACACACAGCAATCACAGTCGCAGCAATATCCATCTTACCCGCCTGCATCTAACCAAAGTCAAATTCCTCCGAATGTGTTAGCTATGATGAACAATCCGGGAGGTCAATACCAACCTTCTGCTCCTGCGCAGAATCCTACGTATCCTCCCTCAACGGGATATGGTCAAGGAGGACAAGTCAATAATTTGTTACAACAATTGGTATGTCCCATCAGTATTGGTGGAACTTTTTGCTAATGTCAGGGTGGTCAGAGATGATAATTTGACGTATGGATGAGAGAAGTTTCATATCCATGTGTATATCCCCATGTTACAGAAAAACACGTATGAAAGTAGTAGTATTGCAATGAAGTAGAGAAATCCATATTAGATCTTGGAAGCTTTGGGGGATGAAACCACGCCACGCGAGTGCCACGCGTGAAAAGCACAGCCCCTGACTAACTGCGTCTACGCGACCCGTCATGACATGTAACATGTTGCTTGAATGCATTTCGTTCATATCATCTACACCACCACCACTCTCATATTGATCACAGCTCAAAAGGTTACCTTGCCTAGAACCTCATCGTACTTCCTATCAGAAGCGGTGGAGACTGGAAGATTCTCTCTGTCCTACTGGCGAGGCTGAAACATCTCTTGAGGCCGCCTCAACTTCACCGGTTCAATATCTTTCGCCCGGTGTCTTTCTTTCCCTTCTTCCTCCTTTCTTCCTACAACATTCACAAGAAGTCACTCATTCAAGTGACAAGCGACAAGATAATCAAAGGACAACATGACTTCTGCTTTCGCCCGTATGCCTGGGTTTGGGGCGCAATTGATCGACCCCAAGTTTTGTTGTTGTGGTGAGTTCTCAGTTTCCATAGGCCATAGGCCTACTAAATCAAGTACTCGACCACTTCCCTCTTTATGGATAAACACTCTTCATTCATCCATGAGTTATCCGAACTTCATATCCAAAGTTGTACGACCGTCTTTCATAAAGATTATCAATCATGATAGTTGGAATGTGCCAAAGTGACTTTACGGATGATTGATCCGATTATTTGATATTTTGTTCAGCGGTGAGACTGATCTTCAGCTGTCCCACTGGTCAACGCTGGAATATATACGATCTTAACTGAACAAATGGTGAGTATTCTTCTTACTATGACCAAATGAGGATACGGCTTATGGATAGGCTTTAGGGTTCGGAGTGGGTGTTATGGCTTTGACTACGCCGGACGGTGAGTCGTTTTCTCTAGATTAGGGTGATGTCCTTGAACACATTACCCAGTATATATCTAACAAGATTGGTTTCCAAGTGTCTTCCCCACGAGTTTAGAGCGTGACTACTATTGATTTGAGTGTGAAAGGCGAGGGTCAATTCCGATAGGAATGTCATGATGTCATGTCGAACGGGGAGCGGTGGTAAGGACGCCACAGGCCACATGGGAAAGAAGGGAGGAGTGACTGTGAATGGGGTAGTAGCGGATGAAATCAGATGGTAGTCGTGTGATCTGACAAAACAGTGGTCGGTGCGACATTTCCAAATTTCGCTAAAGTCATTTTTGCCATAACTTGTTTCGTGGTGGCTTTATGTCAACCTATTGGGTTTGTCGGTATTTATCGAGTGAGCGGACTTTCTCTTCCTATCCTCATTTCGATAAAACCCTACGTAATTCCACTCTTTCGCTCTTTCCCCTTTGTAATGTGACTGACATGGTTCACTATTGGATTTGCTTTTTGCCTTTTGCCAGTTCTACCAATTGCCTTGCAAGTAGATTTTAGCAAGGAGGGAAGGCGAGAAAGGGTCGAGACAATTGCGGACAGCTTGTCACCAAAACCGTGGTAGCTGACCGTGATAGGAAAAAACGAAAACGTTCAAATGGTACACTCTTATCAACTTCCTCTCCCAAACAGCGGCATTCTCAGTTGCCGCTGCTCTTATCGTAGTCTCTGCAACGTCGCACAACAAGGCGGTAACAGCTTGTGAAGTGAGTACTTCCGAAATGATCTCACGTCGAGGCAGATGGTAGAAAAAGGAGGATGGGAATTGATTGATAGAAACAATACTTCGAAACGAACAATTCTACTTCCTCTACTGCAATTGCGAATTCTACACTTTCATCAGAGAGTTCAGCGTTATGTGATGCGTTCACTTGGGCAGATGTGGGTATTATGGGTGGATTATGGTTATTGTTGTTACTCGTTCAAGCGTATTTTCTATAGTGAGTAGAATTTATAAACCCACATCGCCACTTTTTCTACTTACTCAGTCAAAAAACTTATCACTCCTGTCTTCCCTCCTCCATTGTTGGCTTTCTTTCCCATAACACTTTCTCAAATTTTCATTTCGGATAAAACATCAACCGGAACGTGCTCCATATACACAGCAATTTTTCTGTGGATATCAGTGTAGTCGAGTCTATAAGAAACTATCATGACGGTCAAATTAACCTTCAGCGAAACCCGTTCATATTCCACTTCTCAAGTATCAGATCATAAACTCTATCACTCTGTCTATTCCGAAAACCCAGAAGCGTTCACAATGTCTATCTTACGTTCATCCCGATACAACCCCGGATCAGTATACAACAATATGCCTTTACCTAACGAACGTAATTCTCAAGATGCTTGGGATCCACGTGCAAGTGTGGAAAGTCTTAATGATCCTTCAACACAAATGGGAGGAGGATATCATGATGATCAAAATGCTTATGGTCATAGAAGAATGTATAGTGATAGTCCTTTGAAACAAAGTGAAAGTAGGTATGATGACGCTTTTGAACAAGCTAGAGGTTATGGTGCTGGTCCTTCGAATGCAGGAGAATATCGAATGGGAATGGGTCAAAGTGGGAATTATGAAGGATATCAATCAAGAGATTATTCAAATGAACATGGTTATAATTATGGTCATGTTGAACAACCTCCGATAGCTACTTCAAGAGATCCAGGTCCGACACCTACTGTGAATCAATATTATGATGGACAAGGTGTTGGTTTTGCTTCGAATGGTGGATTAAGGAGACCTGATGATGTTCAAGGTCATCCTGGTGAGTTGGTTGTTTTTTTCCTTGCTACATTTTTAATATCATTCTTCCTTTCCACGGAATTGTCCTTTTACATTAGAGACGAGTGTCTATCTACAAACAGAAAAATCGTCCATCTACCAACAGAAACAATCGTCCATCGGAAAATCGAGATAACATGTGATATTGTGATTCTTGTCGTGTTCAGGACTTGCTTGGACATATGTCTAGTTGTTTTGTTTAGTGGATGAAAGTGAAAGGATTGGAAGTCAGGAAAGTAATCCAAAACTGACGAGTAGCCGAGGGAATGATGGGTCGTAAAAGTCCCAGACGGTGATCAATTTACATTTCATGATATGACCGAACAAATGCATGTTGTCTATCTACAGTAATGATCTCGCTCGACTCTCTGCTACTGTATTCTGATTTTCTCAAATGTACATAATTGTGCAAGATGTGATTTTACATTTCTCAACCATGAGCAACAATGCCGAATGCTAAATGTGTTATATGTGAAACGAATACTCGTACTCGATATTGGATCAGAACGAAGAGGTCTCCCCCATCCCCATAGTAGATAAAATATCAAACCTTCCCTTCATCCCATTCTCACCCACTTGATTCTTCCCCAAATCAACTTTTTGCTCTCCACCTTTCTTCTTCTTCCGGTTATTCTTTCGACTCATATCCGCTTCATGCTCTTTCGAGTGATCTGGAAAAGTATCCGAGAGGGGAGTTTCAGAAGATAAACCAACGATATAATCTTCCATTCCATCTATTATAGCTTCCCAACATTTCTTCTCCCATTCTTTCTCCTTCTCACCCCATTTCCATACCCCTGACTCGAGTTCCTTCATCTTCCCCACCCCTCTCCCTTTTTTCTTCCCTCCTAACCCATTGTTCCCGTTTTTACCATCGACCATTTCGTATTCTTTCTCTCCCTGTCTATTATCCATTGAACCATTCTCATATTTCGACGCCTTGGTCCCACTTTTCTTCCCATCTTGGATAGACATTCCTATTTTTGTGAAGGTCGAATCCTCTTGTCCGGAAAGAAAACAATGTAACACCTCTCCATTGATGAAAACAAAAGGTATCAAATGTGTAGGTTGTCTCTCCATCTCATCCATCAATTCCGACCGATCACCCAAATCACCAAGAGAGGAAGGAGAAGGAGGAAGTATCAATAAAGATTGTGCTAAGAGATACATCTCCAACATTGTAGTTTGATACTGAGCGATAAGTTGACAATTTCTATTACTCAATAAAGGTCCTATTGGAGTATACGACATATATTCCAATTGAGAAGATGAACTGCTTAAAGGTAATGCACCTGGCATATGTCGTTCTTCTTCTTCTCTTCGTGTTATAGATTCTTGAACATGGATATCGAGCCAGATAGACCATGTTCCTAGTGATGCACGAAGGACGGAACGGAGTTCATGAGCACGCCATTTCGTTTCTGGTCTTCCTCTTTCGGCTGCTAGACGGAGCACAATTCGGAGTCCAGCCACGAGAGGATGAAGGGAGACAGGGAGGGAGAGGATAAGGGGTGTGTAGGATTGAAGGATGGTCAGGTAAGTTTGCAGTCGATGAGAAAGGGGTTGTAGACATTGTAGAGGGGAGGTAGGGAGAGAGGAGAGAGAGAAAGAATAGGTGACAATTCGATTGGAAGAACGTAGATATTCAACAATGGTATTTGTGCTTTCTTGCAATTGGTCTTTTGGTTGAGTGTCGGTGTGAAAAGTGATGACAGAGGAAGATGATGGTGTAAAAGTGGAGCTCGAAGATGTCGAAGGAGTCTCTGGGTTGAGAGAAGTGTCGATAGAGACAGAGTCAGGTTGAAGAAGTCGAATCAAAGCTTGATCTTCCTTTTCAAGATCCTGTGTCGGAGTTTCAATCTGGGAAGAAGGAGCCGACGGGAAACGGAATCCTCCCAGACCTTGAGAGGCGATCTCGTATGACTTTATTCGGATGTCTAATAGTGTATTGGACCCCCTCAGACTTACCAAAGTAGGATCTTCAAGTATAGGTTGTAGGTATATTCTATCTGGCTGAAGAAAAGCATGTGACACACCGGCCAACAGACCCTTCCTCCTAGCTTCCGCATATGCCTCTTTGGCCCTCTGCATCGATATTTCGTGAGACTGAGCGGCCCCTGACGCCGCCCTACCTCGACATTTCGTCCCGTCACAAAGAGGATAAGCTAAGCAACATTGGTCTTCAGTCGGAAGTATATAATGTACCGTAGCATCCAAAACCGAGTCCACCACTACTTCTTGTTGTCCTGGACAATCAAAAGGTCGTATTGTCATCTTTTTCACTGTCCGATTGACAAATTCCACCATCCTATCTCCCCTATCTGCCGCATTGCCAGCTTGACGTGATTCAAGCAAATCTTTGGAGAAGTATGTCTCTCTGATTATGCGCGCCACTCGTTCGATTCGTTTTGTGTGATGAAGAGTATAGTCATCAAGATGCTTCAAGACGAGTGGAGAGGTGTAATCATTTCCGCATAACGAGGCAAAGAGGGGTAAGAGAGAAGCGGGTAATCGAAGTCGTTGACATAGCATCTGAGGTGGGATGACAGTGAGGACTAAAGATGGTTGATGAAAACCGATAGGGATGAGTGAATTGATATGTGATGATGTTTTGCCCCGGGTTACGCTCTTGAATCCATCCTCGTTTTTGGTAGAGTGGTAAAGAGGTGAGTTGTCGATCCATTGTAAGAAATCTAGAGGGACATAACCTTTCAGGTTCTCACTTCCTCTGGCCAAAATCAGAAAGTCAGAATCTCTCCCGATGACATATCCTCCCATTCTGTCCGCAAGAACGACACACATAGCGTCAGCCTCTCCTTCGGGTACGAAATGTCTTGCCACATTGAGACTCTCTAGAGCGTGGTTGAAAGCGTGAAACGCAAATGGTGGTAAGATGAATTCGGTGTCGTTATTGTTGACTTTAGACCGTGTCGAAGGTGACAAGGAGTAAAAGAGTCTAGCCGAAGAAAGACGAGCTTCCATTCTATTTATCATGGTATCGTGTTTCCCCATCGGGGCGACACCTATTCGCCCCTGTCAGTTCAGCTGTGAGATATGGAGGAAGCTTACCATCGAAAACGAACAAAGGCTCGAGACCTACTCGACGCCATGATTGTATCAGGTATTTTGTTAGACGGTAAACACCTAGGTATTCTCCACCTGCAGCCCATGGCAGATTATTGAGATAGAGATGGAAGATGAGTCTAAACGTCAGCCAAGAGGTAAAGATGTCAATAGGACGACTGACCCCCAAGCGTCCACCACGGCCGACGAGGAAGGTCTAGAGGAGGTATTGTCAAGATTGAGAGTGACTGTCTGACAGAGAGAGTATCTATTATCATTGAGGAATGTCGTTAGACCCCTCACGCCCATGGTTGAAAGTGAGTGTTCATTGTTCACTTGAGAGTCATGGTTGAAGATTGAAATATTCACGGCGCTCGCCGCAACGCGCATCGTCCCCCTCTGCCGTTCCTGACTGAAGTCTCGGAATCAAATCCAAGCAGCCAGCGTGGCGACGGAGGCTGTTTGATGACGTAAGCTGAGTGAGTAGATTTCCGCCCATATGGAGCGAGGATTGTTCTCCGTTTAGAAGAGCGCAACAGAGGCCTTTGTAACAAATTTTCAACAGAACAAACCTGGCACCTGGCTTCCTTTAGGCTTGTCGCTCACCCCCTTTCACACCAACCACCACCCTCGGACGTATCCTACTGTTTATCATAAAGGTGTGAGAGAAGAAGCTTCTTTGTGTTTATACTTGCACTCATTTTGGTCGAATCCGGCTGTAGAGTGCGTATAACTGGGTCAGGAACGGAGGAGACAAGTATAGAGAGGGTTTAAGCGCCACACCGAGAGAATTATCGCCGAAGTGGCACCTCTCCTCACACCAAAAGCCACCAACCGAGCAACCGATCTGTTCCGTTAGTCACTCCATCTCCCTCAACACCTAACGCCTTCTCTTCACGCACTCTCTCTCATTTTCTAACCCTACCTACTCCGCCATGCAGCAACAGCCACAGACGGTCTGGACATCTCAGTATGACGGCGATCCTTGGCACGTCCTACCCACTCAACACGCCCTTCAACAAGCCATGCTATCTCAGCCTGCGTCCGTGTCAAGCGGAGAGGCGTCACAGCGTCACACGCCCATCGACCATAGTGGCAATATATCCACTCATGCCAACGGTCATTCCAACGGCGATAATCACATGCAAAAACAATCATCGGACCAAGCTTTGAGTGACCAGTAAGTTTAGCTTTGATGTGAACCTTGTTACATGATCTGACCATATCAGGAATCATGATGAAAGCGCAGAATCAGGTATTCTTCTTCCTTGTCCAAGATCCACGGAAGACTCACCAGTAGTTGGTACCGCCGACCTACATCCACACGCCAGTGGTTCAGGACCCTCACTTAAGAGAGGCATGTGAGCTTTTTCTTTGATGGCCGCAGCACCGTGAGTGAGACACTGATCAAAAACAGGGCTTGCGGCTTTTGCAGAAGAAGAAAATTGGTTCGTTGACTCTCACGTCGTCTTAACACTTCCTCTGACTTGATATAGAGATGTTCCGGGACACGGCCACTGTGCTCCAATTGTCAAAAGTACAACAAGCAATGCGAATATGGACCCGCTTCCAAAGTCGCAAAAGTCCGAGATTTAGAGCATAAGATCGGTGCGTGCCTTCTCATCACTACTCATCTTCCTGTGTCACTCACATCCAGCCGAACTTTCGGAATACATTCAATCGTCGGGTATACCGGGCGTCGATCGGATACCCCCAGCATTCAGCTCGACGCCTCTCCCTCATCATCCCAATCCTTCTTTTCTTCCGCCACAACCTCAATCTTACGAAGCGCAGTCTATATCTTCGAATGGGTCTGCCAACATCTACGCCCCGTCCCTCACCCCTCGACAGGCAGAACCACATCCTGTTTTTGCTGGCTATTCCAGACTGAGCGGCTTTGAGTCACCATACACCTATGGCTTTGGGTCAATTGGATCTCTCGAGCCTCATCCAATGGATACGGAAGCATATATGCCACAAGTGCAAACTGAGCCCCTCACAGAGTTTGGAGGTTATAACAACAATCAATTTGTAGACCCCATCGCCGTCATTCCTCCTGTCCCCCCGCCGCAACTTTCAAATATGTCCACTGTCAACGCTCAACACATATCCTCCCGATCCCCATTTGCTTTTGCACCCGAGGCAGCCAATTCCTACTCCTCAGTATACGACGATCGACCCGACTATCAACAACTAGCCGGCACATCCACGATTCGCTCGCGGGAAACGTCTCACAAGTCAAGTCCAGACGATAGCATCCCACTTCCTTTACCCGCCCAACCTACCACTCATGCACCGGCAGATGGCCGAGACATGTCCCTGCTCTATCCTACTTCCGAAGCCGGTCCTTCGAAGGAGAGCGGGGTCGACGGCCTCACTGAACGTCTGGGCGAGTTTCTGTTCAGTTCCAAAGAGGGTAAGGACGGAACGCCCAAAGTGTGGGCCAAAAAGCCTAGAGCAACAAAATCCGTCCGTGGTACTTCGAGCAAAAACGCGGGCACCATCATGGCCCTACGTGCAGAGTCTGACGGGTTGGACAATGCCACCAGGCAAAAGCTGTGAGTTTATCTCATACTCCGTGCGCTCTGTGACTAATCCTGTAGTATAGACACTTTTCTCTCCATTCACAAGCTCTTCTTTGACATGAGCGTCCCTCGATTCCGATATCGGATGACTTTTAACGATCGTCGTCGACCCAGCTTGGCCTTTTTGCATGCTATCGTACGTTGCTCCATAGACGGGCCCCTTCCTTTGCTAACATATAGTATCTTTGGGGTACACGGGTCCTCAATCCTTCATCCAGCTCCGCAGAGGATCGACATTTCGCCGCGGCCTGTCAAGCTTTTGAGACTTCCGCAGCGAGCGGAGATCGACTGCTGGACGCCATTCGCGCTGCTATGCTTCTGTCATCTCATGCCTATACTCAGGGTAGACACCACCAGGGCTGGTTGCTAGCTGGACATGCTGTCACGTGAGTCAAGCTCTGCTTGCTTCTCCCACTGTTCGTGTCAGCACAACCTAGCTGACTAGGCAGATTGTGCCGTTCCATGGGTCTACATCAAATCCGATCATGTGTCTTCCGTCCTGAACCTCCGAGAAACCCTTTTTTACGAGTCAAGCATTTCATGCTTCCCCCGCCGGAAGATGCTTTGGAGCTCGGGGAAAGAATCCATGTCTTGTGAGATTCCCCTGCCGCATGGCAGCAACTCAGCTGACAGCCAGTTGGTCAGTGTTCACCATTGATAGGTGCGGGGCCCTGGCCACGGGCTTTCCAAGTGCATTGAAAGATGAGGATATCACCACTCCGTTATGTCGGCCCTTGGAGGACATCGAATCGGTACGTTTGCCCCTTCGAGGCGTATTTCTCTATCGTAAGTACTTCTGTCAAATGCTGACAATATATAGGGTGCGGTCTCTCACAATGACGATTATACCGTGCGCGATCTGTATCGAGTGACGTATGACACGTCGCAAGCGAAGAACAAGGATTAGTGAGTTTTCAGCATTCCCTGGTTGGACCTCCTTTCGACTCGTGCTCATGCCCTAGTCTCCGGTTCCTGAAATGCGTCGCTATTCTTGAACGAGCCTCTAAACTTGCCTTTGTGGACGTGGAAGATGGTTCCGAATACGCCCGTCAATGGGCTTCATACCATCTCATTGCGCAGAGCGACCCTTCCACGCCTCAGCCTCCACCATGGCTGGAACAACCTAGATATCGCTGTCCGACGGCGTATGCGGAAACTAAGTTAGGACTTGAGTTGGTTATCTCCACCTGGGGAGAAGACGCCATTTTCCCACCGGATCGGAAACGTAAAGCTGAGATGATGGGTATGCCCGTACCGGACATCCCACCAAAAGTCATCGTGCTGCATCATCTGTTAGCGACGACGCATATGCTGTTACACGATGTGGACTCACTCGAAGCGGAGAACAAAGAGGCTTTGGTAGGAGCTAGGAAGAACGTGGCTTTGTTGAGGCATATGCCGCCTATCGTGAGTCTGTGAACATACTTGTGGTCTCACTTTCATAATCACCTGTTACTTCGTCTTTTCTCAACATAGCGTACTTCAGTCAGGCAGAACAGGCTGATTCGTTGGGGAAAGAATCTGGCAGGTTTGGGAACTGGCGATGAGAGCGTTGCTGTTGAGAGTGAGAATGAAGTATTGACCTCAGCCTAAATCGGAAACGGATCATGTCTTACTTCTCATCTGGACAATGGCGGCCAAGACCTTGATCAAGGAAATGCATCGACTTCGGTTGGCAGGTGATCACGCGGCGGCGGTGGTACCGGACGAAGAGTCGAATGTGATCATTGCGGAGTTACATAGGGTTGGGTATAATGTTTCGTGAGTTAGCACGCTCCTCACCTCTCTCTTCCTTCCTCCGTTTGGCTGTTCTCTTCTCATTTCCTCCTCCCTTCCCTCACTTATCTACTTCCTACTTTATCTGCTTCCACATCTGTCTCTCCTCATTGCTTTCATCACTCTTGAAGTCGTGTTCATGTGTCACCTCCATTGGCTTGTAAAATTAAACTCTCCCGCTCTTCCATGCCGTGACGATGTTTGAGAGAATCAGGTATGATGTGGGAATCACCACTTACCCACAGTGAAACTCACGCACTTTCAATGGAAGAACTCAAACGTCAATCCATCACTCAATCCTCTGGCGGGTTATCAATGCCTACTGTTCCCATGCCGTCGAATACCACCTACTACTCATCTCCTTACTAGGTTGTTCTCTCATAGTATCACTTGGTAAAAGCATAATCATTCATCATCCAATCAACATCCATCCATCATCACAATTGGAGTTTGATAATCAGTCCCAATCTAGAATATGTTGTTTTTGTAGCTCTAGTCATGCATCAGGTCAAAATTGACATCGGTCGTTTCAGTACACTCGTCTCATTGAGAGTGGCGTATCTCGTATGGCTACTTACGCCTTTACCAACAGTCTAAGTGAATACACTAGTCCTAGTCACATGTACACTAACTCCAAGTATATACAGTATGGAATGGACAAACAAATGTCAATTCATTCAAGCACAAAGTCTGAGTACCAAAATCCAGAAAGATGCATTGTCAATATACTGTATTGATGTTCAACCCACACATTGATCCAAATAACCCTCTGACCATCCCGTCCCACCCACCACGAACAAAACACACAAATGCCCTACTACCACACTAAACAAAACATAAAACCATCTCCATCTTTTCCGTCTTATCGCTCTACTTTCAACTACGAAAGTACTCACCGTACTCCAACATCCACACAAACCTTGTTGAACACCATATGCCGCCCTACATCCTACTGGATTAATCGGTCTTCGTTGTACCGCAAACATACCTGCCACTAAAAGAGTAGCGGGGATGTTGGAAAGGAAAGTTCCTATAGGAAATCGATCAATGAATGGTGGGAATGTGTTAAGACGGGATAAAAAAAAACGGAGTATAGCACCTGGTGGAGAAAATAGAAGTGGGAATAAAACTTTATGACGCCATGAATGAGGAGCGAAAAAGTAAAGAAGGAGAATGATGAGATAAGATAATAAAGAAGATAAGATAGTGAGGGAATCTAGGAGAGGTGTGGAACTTAAGTATCGAGATGATTCTGGTTGTTGGAATAGTCCTGATTCATCTAATTCCTCTTCATGTGGATTTTCTGGGGATTGATGAGAATTTTCATCGAGTATATCGATATTATTCTTTGAGACAGATGTTACCATAGGGTACGAATCCGCCACTGGGTTTGTATTGAGAGAACGAGGAAAGGTCATTTTGTTCCCAGTTTCTGAAGTAGGAAGAGTGTCAAGGTTCGTTTGATGATTAGGAGAGTTGGACTGATGGAAAGTTTGAACTTGTGTATGTGACGATGATTCGAATTGATGTGTTCCCAAAGTAGAATTTCGTTGAGAAGAAATAGATCGTGGACGCTGAGAAGAATGAGATAATGGACGTTGAGAAGAACGAGGTGAATTTTGAAATGTGATTTCTTCCATGGGGATAACACCGGGGAGAAGATGAGAAGGTAAAGGTGGAAGGATAGAAGCTAAATGTTCTCCAAATATTAAACAAGAGAGGGAAACTGTGAAAGTGGTGAGGGAATAAGCTACCCCGTCCACTGTCTGATAGTCAGGGTCATTCTGATGACACTTGTTCAGACATGGTGTCATATTTCTCTCAACTAGGTATGAATGTTTATATTCGACAGGAGTACTCGAGGGAGGTATGAAACTTGATATTCGACAGGAGCACTCGAGGAAGGTATCAATCTTTATATTCGACAGGAGCACTCGAGGGATGTATGTGCGATCTTGTCCAGTTTGTACACTCACACACATGAGAGATATGACGATGGTGGAGAAATAAAGTGAACAACAGGCTAGAAGGACAAGATTTCAAGAAAGGTAGGTGAGGGAAGAAGAGCACAGTGAGAAGAGAGTTCAGAGGAAGATTATTGAGGGAGAAGGAAAAGAGAAGCAACTGACATCATGTAAACCTTTTCTATCATATACATTAGAATTTGAAAAAGCTAAATAACCTTCCAACATCCAAGAAGAAAAAGTTGTGACTGAACCAGCTACACCCGTTGTGAAAAACGTATATAAAGGGGGATATCTACTCATCAACCATCCAACTCCCAAACTCCCAAACTCCCAACTTCCCAACTTCTCTTTCAATCTCATACAAATAAATCTGTGATGAAATACGAAATGATAAAAAAAACATCAAAAAAAGAAAAAATTATAACTTACATAGCTATTATTTCATTCTTTCTACCTAATGCAAATCCCATAATCCCACAACCAACACCTTGCGCCCATAATAATTCAAAGACGATCTTACCATCATAATTCCCTAAAGCTTCTAATCCCAATCGAATCAAACAGCCGAGCATCGAAGCAAGTACAAGACCACAATAATGAGCTGTTAATCGAGAATGTGTGACTTCGTCAGATGGAGGAGGTACGTTGTCACCTGGTTGAGGAGGAGATGGTTGTCTAGGTGGACGAGGAAGTTCAGGATCTTCATGAGATTGTACGTGACTTAATGCTTGGAAGATACGTGATAGTTGAGATGTTTCAGACAGATGGGATAGATGGGATCTACGAGAATTCCGAGATAGGTGAGATGGGATTGGATGGAGCTCGTGGGTTGAATGGAAGTGGGGTTGGAAGGTAGCAGAGTGGGCTGAGATTGGTGAGGAAGGTTGTTTTGGTGGTGAGATGTGTGATTGTGAGAGGGAGGAAAGGGGATATGGTTGAGATGATTGATCGGGAGGTGAAGACATCGTTCTGACATGGTCCAGAGTATGTATCTTTGGAGAGTCAAGAGAGATATAGAAGTCGAGTTTTGCAAGTGTTGCAAGGGGAAAGCTGGAAATCTCTCAGGCACCGTCACCAACGGCGATTTGGCCGACGCCGACGAGGATAAAGTAGCCATAGCCCATAGACGATATGTAACATAGATCATATACTGTACTCGAGTAGAGCAAGGAATGACTAGAGCACTCTGAACGAGTAATCTTGATGATTTATGTACATGTATCCTCGGATGAAAGATCCAATGATCTATCAATCCCCTAACCCCACAACCCTCACACGATATCCCACAAGTCCTCCATCGCACAACAAAACTTGCCACAAGCCACAGAAGCGGACAAAGAATATTCGCTGATGGAAATCTTCTGATCCACATAGGCATCGGCGAAATTATCCGGACTGCAAATCAGCACAAAAACTGAAACGTGCTCAAGACTCACCCTCTGGCCATGGCACCGACGAACACGGCGACGGAATGGGTTTGAGGGAGATCTTTGACGAATTGGTTCAATCGTATGGTCGGTGCATCGGCGGAGAGAGCTATAGTATCAGCTAAACCAAAGTATTAGACCTCTCGGGGACAGGGAGAATCGACGAGATGAGGGGTAAGGGACTTACTAAGTTTTATGGTATTTGTAGGGAAATGATCCGTCACGGGGTTCTGTCTGTCAGATTGCGAAAGAAATGTAAAAATATGAATATACTTTGATCACTCGCAAAAGCTTTTCAGAGCCTTGAACACCTCGGATACTGAGTTTGTGAAGTAACTGGACTGATCGTCAGCTTATATCGAGCCAGTAAGAAGAAAAAATGCGAGAGAGAGGGCTAAGGAAAGAGGATACGAGAAGACACACCCATGAGTCCAGAAAAACGCTTGAAAGTTCGTGGGATACGGACACTGGGATTTACTTCGATCAAAGTACCTTTGACAGTATGAACGTAGATCTGTAGCAGACCAGCTTTATTGAGAGGAGAGTCGAGCAACGTGAGAAGACACTAAGAATCAGTTCCCCGTCTCCAATCATCTCGCCCTTATTACCCTCTGGGGCATATCGGAGAAAGAACAGGTCTATTTGCTCAGTGTGAGAGGAGAGAAAGATTTGTTACTCTCATGGTGGATAGAGAGACGCTGGGGAATACTCACCTGATGAGTAATATCAGGTCTAGCATCCGCTATATCCCTCCCTTGTCTAGCTAAAATCCCCTGATGATCATCACAATTGAGTAAAGCGTATTTAGCTTCTTTCCCAGCTGCATTTTTTCCTCCACTGCCCGCGTTGACCCTATATGTCTCCAGGCAAGCCTGAGAGTTAGGACGTCTTTTTCTCACCTACCCCTCCTTTCCTCCTTCTCACCAGTCCAAAGAGAGACCGAGTGGCATGAGTTTTCAGAGGGACGGAGTGATATCAGTCTGGAGGTGGACAGAGTGACATTGTTTCTGAGAGGATTGAGTCACATTGCTTTGTGGAGGGACAGAGTGACGGAGTGGATTCAATATAAAATATAGATGAAGTGAGATCATGAGAAAAACTCACTTGAGACAAAACAACGATCAATCTCCTAGTGTTCTCTTTCGCATCATTACTCTTAGGTACACTAGCAGCTTTAGGTTTGAAATCCGCTCCTACTTCAGGTCTTCTACTACCTGGTAAAGGTTTTGTCCATCTGGAATTATTAACAGCATTATTTATTTTACTCAATGTAGCTTGATCCGTTTCACCTCCTAAAATTTGAGAACGATTGATTTCTTCAACATCCACTTTATCCTTTGTTTCATCTCTTACCACTCTTTCATCATGTACACCCTCTTTTTCTTTCTCCACACGAGATAAACGTCTAGAACCTTTATCGTCCTCTCTGGGAACACTGATCTGTCTAGGTCTGTCGATATGACGTCGTATTGGACCTCTAGGCTGAGGACTACTTCTTTGACCGGCGGATGTATATGGAGATGATCCCCGAGTGGGCTGACCAGGAGGTACGATACCAGGAGAAGAACCTCTGTCTATCTTTGCTGCTTTTGAAGGACGGGGGACGAAGGCAGGTGCCTCTGCTGACATTTTAGAAAGGGAAGAACGTGGTTTGGAATGTGATGAGTGAGAAGCTCGACGTTTGGGGTATGAGGACATTGTGAAGGGTGTGTGAGCATACGCAGTCGTCGGCACGAAACCTAGAAATTGTCGAGGAGATGAATATTCAAGACAAGGAGGACAGGAATGATAGAAGGGCGGTCAAGATGTGAAATGGGTAAGTGGTGGATAGAGTGGGGAGATGAGAAAGCAAGATGGAGGTGAAGATTTTTTGGGTGGGGGAAATTTTATGGTGCAGAGTTTTGAGCGATCGGACCGAAGTGACGATGCTTGGTGCATGGAAGATTTCATGTTCCAGAGAACGCAACACATATCAGGTGCGAGCTGCATGGCTGCAAAGATGGCAACGCAAGCTGCTGATAACATATCATTCCATCTGTTCATGTACAAAACCAATGCATATCTATCCCACCATCAAGCAGAATGAAGGATCTCGAGGAACTTGTCACCCGCCACGCTCGGGGCGGAAGTCTTGACACTTCCATGCGCCTTCCTCTGTTGTCGCAACAGCTCTTGACGACGAAGTGTCTTTGCGTAAGGGTTGAGCCTGAACAAGATCGCCTTGTTGCGAAGAGGGTTCTTCTTCTGGGTGAAGGGACCTGAACGTGAGCATTACTGCGTCCAATGCCGGTGCCCACATAGAGAGCGCAGATGATGAACAGTTACTCACGTTTCTGAACAGCAGGTCCTACGGGACGAAGCACCGACTGGATCTCGTCAGAGTTGATCAGCCCGGTGACGTCGGCAGTAGTGATTTTGGACAATGGCAAGCTTTTCATCAGTCAACTGATATTTTGTGAAGACGATAGAAGCTCACCTGAAGCCAGACTTGTTCTCGTACACAGCGTCAAGAGCAGCGATGGCAGATTCGGTCCAAATGACAAACCTTCCGACATGTCCACCAGGGGCGAGCTGAAGAAGGTTGAGAGCATCCACAGGGCAAGTTTCAACACCTGGAACGTTCTTCAGCGCCCTGACAATCCCCTCATCCTTAGCATACACTACAAGAGGACCCCTCCTCTGCCTGTACCTCCTGTTCCTCATCTTTCCCTTACCAGCACGCACTTTACGCGAGTTGGAAACCTTGGTGATGTCGGCATAAGCGTTGACGGTCTTGAGCAACTCGACGGCAGCTTTGGTCTTGATGGTACTCTCGATAGAAGAGGAGATGACGAGGGGGACTTCCTGAATCTGTTCGATACGGTGACCGCGGGCGAGGACGAGAGAAGGAAGGGCGGAAGCTGCGAGGGCGGAAGCGACAGCGAAACGCTTTTGGTTCTGGTTGATTTTGACGTGCCATTTACGCCAAGTTTTGGTAGGTGCGAACATACGACCTCCACGACACATGTTACCGAAAGCACCTTGACCAGAGCGGGAAGTACCCCCACCGCCCACACGGGGGATACGAGCGACGGCACGACCAGTACCCCAGGACTCGGCAGAGGTTTGGTGACCTGCGTTCTCGGCAACAGCGTAAGGCTGACGACGGTTCTTGTTCATCGATTCTAAGACAGTCAGCATGCTGTCCATGTCGTCTACATCTTGCACTCAAAATCGCAACGCAGATAGGTGCGGAACGTTGGTAAAGGGGGAAGACTCACTGTGTACCTGCTGGACGACATCGAGCCTGATGGGAGCGGTGAAGACGGCAGGAAGGGGAAGAGAGCCAGAGCTCTCGCCAGTGGCAGACCAGACGGTGACAGTGGGACGAGCAGCCATCTTGACTTTGATGATGCAGAAAGACTTGACGTTCGAAGAGAGGACAGGTGAGAGGGGCGAAGAAAGTAGGTTCGGCATTTCGATCGGGAATTTCTCTCACTCGAATACGTGAAATGTGGCGGAATCTGCTTCCGTTATCATGAGATGCATGAAATCGATCGATCGAGATCCAACGCAAATGATAACCAGTCACATTACTATCGCACTATGATATATTCAGTTTTTGCATATCTCTCTCCATCTCCGTCCCATTCGATGATGGCTTTGGTAGCTGTAGAACATCCACCTTTCTTCCCAAACCTATCCATGGCTTTCCTTTTGTTTGAGACGCAGGTCCTTCTCGACTGTTGATGATCTGGTGGACCCAGTTAGGATCGGTCAATGGAGATAGATCCGAAGGTTTCTCCAATCGCTACAGTTGTGAGCAAGAGTCGTGAATCATGGTACTTCATACGCTGCTATCCAAAGAGACGGAGTAAGATGTGCGAAGAATGTAATCCCCACACTCACAGCTTTCACCATCTCATAATCCGCTTCCATCCCCCAAGCCTCTCGTATGACCTCTTCTGTTCCGAATGCGTGGTACAATCTCACGTCAAAGATGCGAAAGAGCACTTGGTCTACACGAATAAACAGACGAGCGAGTACGAACCATGCGTGTGGCATGACTCTCTTTCAAGTTAGCTTTACAACGCTTCCGAGCCAATCCTCAAGTCAGACAAAGTGCAACCAAACGGTGAGTGAGAGGAGGCGTAAGTATGACAGAGAACAAACATACAATTCGAACATTGTAGATAGATTCCCCATGATCATGCAGTTCATCTTCGAATAATGGTACATCGTCGTAGAATAATATTTGATCCAGAACGGGATCTTGTCGGGCCAACAGTCGGAGGGGGAGCTCATGTGTTGAGGAAGGGGACATAGTCTGATTACGTCAGCCGATCTGTGCATACCGCTGAAGACCAACTCACAGATGGTCCAGCGATACGAGCAGCATGGGTGGAAGAGTAGGTCCAATCGTGTGGTTTGACAGGAGCGGGTGTCATAGGTGTGTCGCTAAGATATGAACTGGGTGCTGATCTAGTCCGTCAATGTTCTTCCTTCTCACTACGAGCACATAAATTCGAGCTTTCTCTTTTCAAGCAATACACCGAGGTCAGGCTTGATTCAATATAGGTATGAAGCGGGGAACGACGAGCTGGTAGCTTAGACCAACCGATTCTTCCAGCTTTCTGCCATAGAAACCAATACAGCTCCTCCTTTCTGTTCCTCCCATCCCTCTCCTACACCCACTTCACTCAGAGCGTTCAGCGCAGAGAAGACAATCTCCACTCTATCCCGCTCCCTCTCATGAGGGTCATACGTCAGAGAAAGAGAATTGTTGCCAAATGTCATCTCGGGTAAAGTGAAATTTAGTGTCTTCTCTGATCTTCAAATCAGCTCCTTCCTAAAGCTCAAATATGGGTTGAAATCATGAGTCATAAGATAGAAGAAGGTTATCAAACTAGTGTGAAGTGGTGAGTCGTTTGGGCTAGGAGGAGAAGACAACTCACGCTTCCACCTCTTTACCATTGAGTATAGGCCGTTTGGTGGATGTGATGGTCCAGTCTCCGATTTTCATGATGGAGGAATGTCTACCTCGTTCAAGGGTGAAGTGGGGCATCCGAACGGAAGGCATACGAGCTGGAGCGACGTCTGCCAGGGATGCCATGGTATATTGGTGTGCGAGAGCGAAATCATGGAAGATGAAACGTAGTGTGTGATCGGGTCATTTTATTTTCAGTGATCTGAATGACGCGCACCGCGCACCGCGCACCGCACACCACCAGAATGTGGCACTGGAATTAAGACCTCCCCCCTTTGCTTATCGCTCACTTCTTGCAGTCTGTCTTGTGACGTTGTACAACCCGACATGGTAAGTATAATTTGTGTCTAGCAACCGACTATAGACTACCAGCTGACACGACAGTCGTCAGAATTGAGATATACGCAAAACACCCAACTGGAGCAACGTGAGTTCTCTGTTGCATCACTGTCAATTGATTTGATTTGTCTTCGTGACCCGCTTCCTCTGTTATGAAGAAGCGTAGTTAGTGACTAGGTCGTAGGACACCTGCTGAGCTAATTACCAGTCCATGCTAGATATACGGGAACAGGGCACGCAGATACCACAAAATAGTCAGTTGCATTCCACACTGACCAACCAAGCTGACATCTAGTGAATGGCTCACCCACCAACATCGTGATACGCTGTCATCTATTGTTGGCCATCCCTCTCTACTTGCTTACGTGGCTATAGCCGACGGAGAATGTCAAGCGAGGGAAAGGTTTGAGCTGATAGAGGTAAGTCATCTGGATAATCCTAAGGCTTCAGCTAACAAGACCAGCGGATGCTTCAACCTTGTGGCAGACCTCCAGGCAAAACAGATGACTAGGCTATTTGCCTGTGAAAGGTCGTTAGCTGGCCAGATGGACTAGTCGGCGATCGGGCGAATATGTCAGAGGACAAGAATGTCGCGGTCACTTATCGCACAGAACACTGGTACACTGGTACACTGGCACTGGGGAGGAATTGGTGTAGAAGGTGCTAGGTACATCATGCATGAGATAGATTACCGCCATGAAGTGTAAATCCCTTCATCGTTTCCCCCTCACCACCACCCTCTTCATCTTTGGTTGCTTCTCCTCCCCTCCCATCGTCAACCCCTTCTTCTTGTTCTCCTTCTCCGCCTCTACTTCACGTTTCACCGCGGCCACGGCCACACCGGTGGGAACCATTGGCGAGTGCAGAGGCAATCGTTCTTCTAGTGTCGGCACAGGCTGAGGAGCCCTGGGAGGTCGACTGGGCAATCTGAAAGGGTTCGTGGACGGTGTTGCTTTGCTCTTTTTCTTCTTGTCTTTGGTAATCACTTTGGTCGATTTATTAGGACGAGCTTCAGATGTGAACACTAGTGAGGGGTGGGAAGCAAGAATTTGTTTGGAAAGCTGATGATATAATTGAGCACCTATCTGTCAATTCGAGCTTGGTGAGAAGCGATAAACTGACGATTTTTGACGATAGGATTTACGAATCTGCCTTCTTCAACAATTTGTACTTTGACTCGCCCTGGATTCGCCCAGTCGGCCGGATGTGTCTTATCAGGCTAATGGTCAATTCTCACTGCAATGTGACATACTCTGGGAAGTATCTTATGGTCAGACACTCACTTCGAGAACACTAGGAAGACCTAAAGTGCGACAGGCCGCACTGATATGAGTAGCCTGAGGCCACCATAAGCTGTCTTTTCGTCCCACTCTACGACCATTATTGATAGATACTTTGGCGTCGAAATACAATGGATAAACGGTGTGCCAACTTGACCGGTCAGCCTCATATTCATATGTAAAAAGGGTAAGAAACTCGCCTTTTGTAGACTGAAGCATCTACCATATTCGCCCCCTCAAATTGACTCCTAAGTTTGGCGATTCTCTCATCTTCGACCTGCTGAAGTCGCATCATATCCCCCATAAACGTCCCCATAGGTGTGTTGGGGTTGATAGGTGGGCCGCCGGAAGATCGTGAGATACTATCGGCACCATCTCTATAAGCCACTTTACCTTTCTCCGTAGATGTAGATGCCCGTGTCGATGTTATCGGAGCTTGAGTCCCCTCACCAAAAACTCCACGAGATTGTTCGGCAAGTCTGGTGAAGTCTAGATCGTCGTCTTCGTCCGCGATCTCCTCCAGCAGTGCTCCGCGATAGCCTTGGTCGGGTAGAGTTCGAATCTGGGAAGAGGAAGGAAGAGGAAGATCCGTCTCATCGTCGAAGTAGTCCTCCACGGTAGGACCTGAGGACATGTTGGCTCTATTACTCATGTTTATAACGATGTCGTCAATGTCTGACCACTACAGTACTAGCGATCTAGTGACTACTACTTCTGGGCGACGGACTTTTCGACGTGGGATGTCGGATAGTGTCTCCCATGAGCATGCCTATTTTGAGAAAACCTAAGCCAGCTCAGGTAGGCGCGGGGGTCCGGGTAGGAGCAAGCTCCTCTCTACCAGCTGTGTTAGCCTCGAGGTCTGTCGCCAACTCTTCTCCTTCTCTATACCTCTCATTCCTTGGTCTTATTACTTTTCACTCCTCAACGCTACTAATCTCGCCCAGAGCTCCAACGTATCGTATATACAACAAAACTTCACCTTCTCCATCAGCATCAACCTCTTTGTACTCGTTGTGTCGCTGAGCGCCACTGGATTGCCCCTCGATGGCGTCACCAAACACTCAGACGGCCAATGCCATCGCTGCCATCACCAACAGGTCCAACTTGGTCATACCTACCATTGACTTTACGCAGCATCAACTTGAGAACGGTGATGTGGTTAGTACGACCGAACGGGTGGTCAAGGATGTGAGTTTCTCATCTCCGCTTTGTCCTCTTTCACCATATTTCAGTACGATAGATTTGGGTCCTTCAGGTTTATCTTTCAAACATTACTTTTTTGCTAGCTTTGGATTATTAGTGAGAATATTGAGTCAGTGCTGATCAGACAGGTTCAAGCTCCTGCTATGTATCTCCCCTCTCCAGAGCAGTTCTGGGATAAGACGGACCCAACGAAACCTAACATCGCCTTTTTGAAGAACCATTTCTATCGCGAGGGAAGGTTAACAGAAGATCAAGCCTTGTACATCTTAGAAAAGTGTGTGAATCTCATATTTCCTCAGTAAAAAGTTGCTTATTCTTCAGGGGAGGTGAGATACTGAGGAATGAGCCTAATTTATTGGACGTCGATGCGCCCATCACCGGTCAGTAGTCTGATCGTCTTTGATATTATGTTGACATGATCAGTTTGCGGTGATATCCACGGACAATATGTTAGACTTTTGTTTCGACGATAGTGACTAGCTGATGCGGTAGTACGATCTAATGAAGTTGTTTGAAGTTGGTGGTAATCCTGCAGAAACAAGATATCTCTTTTTGGGCGATTATGTTGACCGGGGTTACTTCTCTATCGAGGTTAGTTATATAGCAGCTTTAAGCCATCAAGCTGACTATCAGTGTGTACTGTATCTGTGGTCACTGAAGATGTGGTACCCCAATACCCTGTTTCTGCTGCGAGGAAATCACGAGTGCCGGCATTTGACAGACTACTTCACCTTCAAGCTGGAATGTGGGCTACTTTTCATATTTCTTATCCTGACTACATTTGTAAAAAGAGGGGTACTGATGGTCAGGTCGACACAAGTATTCTGAGACCATCTATAACGCTTGCATGGAGACCTTCTGCAACCTTCCACTCGCGGCGGTCATGAACAAACAGTTTTTGTGTATCCATGGTGGTCTCTCACCAGAACTGCATACTCTTGATGATATCCGAAACGTAAGTTGCATCACTTCAAGTCGTTCCCGATTGCCTCAAAGACACTGACTGATCAGATAAATCGTTTCCGCGAGCCACCCACAAGTGGACTCATGTGCGACATTCTATGGTCTGACCCCCTTGAGAGCTTCGGCAGTGAAAAGACGACGGAGAATTTCCTTCACAACCACGTCCGAGGATGTAGTTATTTCTTCACGTCGGTCATTCTGTTGATTCCACGTGAAGGTAGCTGATCTGGTAGATATCAATCAGCATGCCAGTTCTTAGAACGCAATAACCTGCTATCCGTAATCCGCGCACACGAGGCTCAAGATGCAGGGTGAGCTTGATGTTGTTTGACTGCACGTTCGATCTCACGTTCAGATATCGAATGTATCGTAAGACTAAGACGACCGGATTCCCAAGTGTAATGACCATCTTCTCTGCCCCTAATTACCTCGATGTGTACTCTAACAAGGCCGCCGTACTCAAGTACGAGTCCAACGTCATGAAGTAAGTCTCCTGCTCAGACCCCAATTGTCAAGTTGATGTCGTAGCATCCGACAATTCAATTGTACCCCTCATCCGTACTGGCTGCCAAACTTCATGGACGTATTCACTTGGTCACTCCCGTTCGTGGGAGAAAAGAGTGAGTTGGTTCATCTCTATCTCCGCTCATGAGCTTATCCAGGCAGTCACAGATATGCTGATAGCTATTCTGAACTGCTGTACCCAAGAGGAGTTGCAAGAGGAGGAAGAGACGCCAGAAGAGGAGGAATTGGCCACGCCAGAATCACCTACAGGTGAGTCCTTCCTGTGCGAGACTAACCTGTCAGCTGATGTGATAGCAGGAGAGGAGACTCCTTTGGAACGCAGACAAGTGATCAAGAACAAGATTATGGCAGTGGGACGTATGTCACGGGTCTTCTCACTACTTCGGTATGTCCAGCGCGTCGCCTCTTTCTCCATATCTAGTGGCATCGAAAACCGCCCATGAACCGACATGGAGACATTTGCTGACTGTCACAGAGAAGAATCCGAGCGGGTATCCGAGCTCAAGAGTATTTCTCTTACTGGTGCACTCCCAGCTGGCATGCTTGCGTCTGGAGCGGAAGGCATCAAAGAAGCCATTCAAGGCTTTGATGATGCACGCAAGAGCGATATTGAAAATGAACATGTTCCTCCTGAACTTGTCGACGTAAGTTTTTTGCCATCTGTTCCTCCCTTTAGGTTGATCGTTCGCTGATATGCAGCCTGACTCAGAAGGATTAGCAGCCTTAGCCAACCTCTCTTATCCCCAAACTCCAGAAGAAGAAGCTTCTCCTCAACTCGACGGATCATCATCCATGACTAGTTCCCCCGGCACTCCCACGTCTAACGGCGCAGCTTGGCGTCGTGGTCATGCACGTCAGACTTCTCTCGGTACGACAAAGACGTCTCCATCGACAAGAAGACGTTCGATAGAGAACACGATGCATCTCATCCGGGATGTGGTGGATGGAAAGGATGCCAGTGGGGATCAAGAGTTGGAGAAGATTGCAGAAGTTTTGGCTAGTCCTTCTAGACCGAAAGGAACTCCTCCTGTTTAATCCTAAACCTCTTTTCCTACCTCTTCTCATTGACCCCTTTCCTCTTTCTTTCAATTCGTCTCCCGTCTCACCCTCTCGCCCCACTCTCACCACTTCCTCGAACCGTATCATTCCCATCCTGTTATCCAACTCGTGAACGCAGGAAGGATATGTTCATGATTGGACACAAAAGCCTAGGTGGGGATTGATGGAGAAGGAGAAAAGAGCTATGATAAACATTATTACGAACAGAATGAGTCTTGTCCCCCAATGATCAATTGATGGTTTTTGTATCCTGTTTTCCTGTTCACAAATTCGCGCATCTTAATTTCCCCTCTGAAGACATGGTGGGGATGATCCGTGTGTATACCAAAGAATGGAATTGATGACTGTACGCATGCACACATGAGTTAGCAACAGTGGTTTGTCATACATGACTACTGAAGAATACATGTGTTTGGGTATATGGAAACCCAAGAAATCTATTTGATAACAATCCGGTTTTTGAGACGTGAAAGAAGAGCGAGTATCATAATTGCGTAAACCTCGAATTGATCTTTGGAAACGAACAGTATACCTACGATTTAGCCAACTTTCATGCTTTGCCAATTGGTTGCATTCTTTGACTGAAGAAAGACTGATGTTATCTTACCCATGTTCACACCTTCACGTCTTCATATTGTGTTGGGAAGGGGAAGGGAAATAGGTACAGTGGAAGAAGAGAAAGACTGACCTTGACATAAGACTGCTTTAAGGATTTGCGCTCCTAGACCTCGATACCACCCTTTCATCCCTTCTTTCTTATATACATGTCGTAGAATGTCTAAAGCTCCTGTGGATTTATGGACACTCGCGGGAGTTCTAGATTTGTTCGTGAAAGTAACTTTCGTCTCGGAGATGATGTCGGAAGGGTCGGTGTCGCGTTTGGGAGTAGATATGGTCAAATCTCCTTTAGAAGTTTGAGCTTGTAATTTGACTTTTGCCTTTTTGTCAATCAATTCCCCCCGTGAGGTACCCAAATAATGGTCAGACATGTAAAGTCTATCGACCTGTCATGAGAAGACTGATGAGATAAGATGAGATAAGATGAGATAAGATGAGAAGAGAATATGAAAAAATGCTCACAAAGATATATGGATAAGTCACCACCGTCGCTAATGTTTTACTTCCCACTCCTAACCAAAAAGCCTCACCAACGTTCAATTTTCCTCCCTCTCCCTCTCTAGGTTTGGCAGAAAGTAGATAAGTTTTTAATCTCTCAAATACTCCGTAAGTGATAGCTGGGTTGACAGTGAGGACGAGACCTGGTCTAAGACCTGTCCACAAAGCTGTAAAACCACCTTCTGCTATTATTTCTTGAGCCACTTGGAATAAACCTGGACTAGTTATTTTCTCTTCTCTCGAACTTGTATCTGAGGAGAAAGAAGCTTCTTTCTCATGTTCAAGTAATGAAGGGGTTTCGGTTTCTTGGTTGGGAGATGAAGTAGTTGTGAGAGGTGAGGAATTGTTTGTGCTGATAGATCTTGAAGGATTCGTAAGAGGTGGTGTCCAAAGTTGTTGTCGAGTAGCAATAACAGCTACGGGTATCGTAAATATTTGAGCTAATGCTCCTGCTGCAGCTCCGATTAGTAATTCGGAAGAGGTACCTAGGGTTGGAGGATGAGAGTGAGAGGTAGGTGAAGATCGAAGTTTTCGTAGAGTCCATGAACGGAGAAAAGTATGAAAGAAGAAGTAAGCGAATTCTGAGTGGTTCAGCAATGTTGGCAATCATCAACATGTATGAGACACTCATGATTATTCCTGATAAAGAAAACAAATGTGGTGTGAGTGAAGACATCACCTCTGACTCACGTTGAGAAAAAGTATTGATCATATTGGCTGAGAAACCTTTAAAAACACCTCCGATACCTTCCGTCCCAATCACCTGTATAAGCATTTGAAGAAGTTGCCATCTTTTCAATCGTTTTGATAATCTTCGTATGACACCATGGGCATCATGTCGTACTGTGTCTTCAGTGGAAGAGGAGAAAGGTTTCGGTTGAGGAGGAAGGGCTTGAAGACGGGTTTTGATGGTGTCGAGGGGGTAAACGAGTCTGCGAGTCAGTAAGAAAACCACGAGACGAGGCGATGCTCACGCATTGGAGAAGACGGCTCCGAGAGCACCTGCTAGAGCTGAAGCCAATGGGGTGAGCTCTGGTGACATGATGTTCTTGATGAGATGAAATATGTCAACGTTCTTCCGTGGCAACTTAGATGTCAAGGACGATCGGGTAGATGCTAACCGGTGTACGGTGTTGCTAGGCGAAACTGGATAATCGCGACGGAGCTCGAATTAATCCCGACGTAAATTTGGCCATTTCCCACAAATCTCGTCAGAACCCGCGAGGATCCCGTCACTAGTTACCCAAATACCTACACTCACTCAATATCGAGAATTATCAAGATGTAAAAGATGTAAACTGATCCTAGAGAGTACAGGATGCATACAATGCAGAGAAATCAGGTGTATCATGCATATTGACAGCTCCGAAACGCGTCCGAAACGCCCGAAAGTGGTCCGAAAGTGATATTTTGGGTTTAAAGGGGGGGATCACATAATCCGAAACAGGTCCGAAAGCCATTGTAGCAGGCTCCCTATGCATGATTCAACTGATCTCTCTGCATTTTATGCATCCTGAACTGTGTAGGATCACTCTACACCTTTTACATCTCAATAATTCTCAATATTGACAAAGCGCAGGGATCCTCGCCAGTTGTGACGAGATTTGTGGGAAATGGCCAAATTTACGTCGGGATTAATTCGAGCTCCGTCAGGATTATCCCTACGCGCTGTTGCTAGTCACATTTGGCCACGTCATGATACATAGGGGGGTAGAGGGAAAGCTCCCCATTGACGACGTCTCCATCACAGCAACTTCTTCTCCTCTTTCTTATCCTCCACAGCCACCGAATATATCATACAGTACGAAAACTCCCATCAGAAGTTTCATTCGTTTCTCTTGGCACGTCTCTCATCAACATCAACATCAAACTCTCTCCACCCTCCTTTGTCCCCACTGCCACTACACCATAACTCTCACATCTTCTCTCATATGTAAACTTTCACCACATTCCATCCCCCCTTTCTGACCCATCATGACTTCCGAAGCCGTATCTCCCCCATCTGCCGCCCCTAACTCTAAACCTCGACTCAAGCGACTAGCAGCTCGACCTCTCAAACTTGCCGCATCAACCTTTCGTCCTCTATCAAGCTCCCGTTCCGGTGCAACGGCCCCAGTCGCGGTCATCAGCTCGAGTACCACGCTCGTCGGTTCCACTCAACAAAGCGATGGTGTCTCGACTCAGGGGAATGGAAATGGTAGGAAGAGATTGACGCGTATGAGATACAAAGGTAATGCTGGGGCTCTCACTCCACAACAAGTGGCCAGTGCGGCTAGAGGACCTAGGAAACCTCTCGAGGGGGAAGAACCCGCCGCTTGGCTCAGAGTCAGGGTCGTGAAAGCGGAAGGACTTGTGGCTAAGGATAGAGGAGGGACTAGCGATCCGTAAGTTCGGTCTGTCAGACATGAGGCCAGATCACGCTTTTCATCCACATTGCAAAGTGATCGAGAGGGTACTAATGCCCGTCAGCACGTGTGATGCTGATCTCAAACAGGTTCGTCTCTCTGGTCTTACCACCCTCTGGACGACATTCCACCCCCGTGGTCAAAAAATCACTTAGTCCAACATTCGTACCTGAATCCAGCACGTTTGACTTCCCACTATATCTCAGCTTAGCGGGGGTCATAGGCGGCAGAGGTTTGGAAGCTATCATATGGGATAAGGTCAGTTTGGCAATCTGCCTCATTCACTGCAGGGACTGACTGGCAGGATCTCATGAGAAAAGAGTACCTAGGGGAGATCTCTATTCCACTGCAGGAATGGTTCGAGGATTTACAAGTTCGACTATGGAATGATAATCCCGCTGTAAGCTATCCTCGTAGATGCCCGAAGATGCTGATACTCTAGCCCCGTACATGGAGCCTGCTCTCTACAAGGCGGAAACGGACCGTATCGGGTACAATAACTCTACAAATCGGCTTTGTCCCTCCGAAAGAAGCTCTCAGCCGTGAAGAAGCCCTCAAGAAGATTAAGATGATCTTCAGCACCATCGTCGAACGTGCCAGTGCTGGTCGCGGTCTAGCAGGCGTTTTGGGTGTCCCAGCTGTGAGTAACGGAGCGCGGATATGGCGAACCGCGAGCTAAATATCAGTACGAAGGTATCGGTACCATCAAGATGCGATCCTCACGTCCTCCGCTACCTGAAACCGCCTTTACGCCATCTCCTACTGTCGCGGCTGGCCACTCGCCCATGGCGCTCCTGCAATCAGCCACTGCATCCATTGTAGCTCCTCTGGCAGGCAAGAACCGCTCCGAGCCCAACGCACAATCAGCGTCTGCCGTAGCGGACATCGACGATGACCATTCCGATGACGATGATATGCTATTTCCCGATGATGGTTTATCAACCAGTTCCACAAGCGATGAATTCGAAGACGCCCTAGAAGAAGAGGACGAAACGCAGATTAATGATTCACAACCCCTTATGAAGCAGGGCATCACCGAGCGAATGGTAGAGGCTTTGTATCACCAATCCGCTGGACTACCCCCTCCTAGATCAGCCGATCTGAAACGAGTCGAGTCTGACGGCGGAACCCCGAAGACTGCTTCTCTCGTACCCCCTGAGACGAAGCCCATGAAAACTCCTACCCGTCAGTCATCTCTGCCAGGATACTTCGACCGTCCAGCAAAGACAGATGAGTCACCAGGACCTAGCACTCCAGGAATGACACCTGGGATGGTCACACCAGGAGGGACCAAACTTCGCAAGCCCTTGTTCAAGCGTACGAAGAGCAACGCACCCTCGAGGAAATCGACGAAAGACTTCAACTTTGATGCCAGTCAGGGAAAGCAAGTTCTTGGGATTGTAGTTATGGAAATTAAGAGCGCGTCTGATTTACCGAAGATCAAAAATTGTCAGCTTTTATTTCTCGCAGGTGGGATTGAGCTGACAGGCGAGCACTCAGATTATCTTTTGACATGGACCCATTCGTGGTCATTTCCTTCGGTCAAAAGGTCTTTAGAACCCGAGTCATCCGGCATTCGTTAAACCCAACATGGGATGAAAAACTGTTTTTTCATGTGAGACGACACGAGAGTACCTTCACTGTCAAGTTTGCCGTGCTTGATTGGGACAAGGTGAGTTCATATGTACTTCAGTGGAGTGTCTGATCGACTCAGATCTCTGGGAATGACATGGTCGGCACTGCCACTCTTCCTCTCAACGAGCTGATGGGTGACTGCCCAAAACCAAACCCCAAGACAGGGCTGTATGGAAAGAACGAAGACGGTAAGCATGAAATGAAGGAGTTCACCGTGAGTCATATCTCTCACCACCATGAATCCCTTCATTGACGCAACAGTTATCACTCAGTACCGAACGTGACATGCCCTGGGAATCAAAGCATTCACCCAAATTGACCATTCGGGCCAAATACGAACCTTACGATGCCCTACGTCAACGCTTCTGGCGTCAATACATCGCCCAATACGACGCCGACGAGACGGGTACCATATCTTACACGGAGCTCACCGCCATGCTGGATTCTCTTGGTTCCACTTTGACACGTTCTACGATCGAGGGATACTTCATCAGCTGTGGCAAGTCTGCGGACAAAGACGAGCTTACAATCGACGAGTTGATCCAGAGTTTAGAGTACGAAGTCACGAAGAGTCGGGCGGAAAAGGCGCCGGTGAACAAAGATGACCCAAGTCCATCCATTGGGTCAGGGATGCAAACGCCCAGCGTGGCTCCGAAGCCAGTGCTTGATGGGTTGAGTATGACCGGTCCGAGCGCTGCGATCTCTTCTCCGGTGGATGCGGACGAGTTGGCAGAGCATATTCGTCGCAGCACTCTGGACAGCGAACCCGGAGATGGGACTGGAGGTAACATGCGTCCTGTGAACAAAACCCCGGGGAGCGATTTATCAATCCCTGTGCTCAAAGTGGAAAGGGTTTCTTCGATGGATGGTGAATCGCGATCAGTGTCAGCCAGTGGGGCCGCTACGCCAGCCATGTCCGACACTGAGGATGCCGATTCGCTCGACGAAAGGGAGAGAATCATCAATATACGCACCTGTCCTCTCTGTCATAGATCAAGGTTGAAGAGAAAGAGCGAGCAGGACATAGTCACTCATCTGGCTATCTGCGCCTCTACAGACTGGACTAGAGTGGATAGGATCATCACTGCGAGTTATGTGACGAGTTCGCAGGCGCAGAGGAAATTCATGACTCGGATCGTCAATAAGGTGGCTGTTGGAGCTTACTCTCTCGGAGCAAACTCTGCAAACATCTTGGTTCAGGATCGACTTACTGGGCAGTTGCAGGAGGAAAAGATGGCTGTGAGCTTTCTTCTTTCTACAATTCTCATTCCCTTCGAAGATTAACTCCAAAAAACCTATGTCCACTTGATCTTGCATAGACAACAAGTTGACGAATACAGGTATATGTACGACTAGGCATCCGCGTGCTTTACAAAGGTGCCAAAAGTCGGATGGAAGGTACTAGAGGTATGTCTCAACCCCAGAATGTCCGTCTATGAAACTGATCTAAAGCCCGTAAGCTATTGAAGTCCCTCTCTGTTAAACAGGGGATAAAATACGACTCTCCCTCTTCCGTCGTGGATATTCTTCCATTCATCGCATTTCATCGACTTAACACCGATGAAATTCTAGAACCCATCAGTTCTTTCAAATCATTCAATCAATTCTTTTACCGAAAACTCAAACCTGGCGCCAGACCGGTGGACGAACCAGGCAACGAGGCGAGATTGGTCAGCTGTGCGGATTGTAGGATGATGGCGTTTGAGACGGTTGATGAAGCGACCAGTATATGGATCAAAGGTCGGGAGTTTACCGTTGGAAGATTGTTGGGGCCGAATTACAAGGATGTGATTGAACGGTATAACGGAGGTGCTTTGGCCATCTTCAGGTGGGTTTTCACTCAGACTCGTCTTTTGACCTCGCCTATCGTCGCTCGACCCATTCGTGATAGAAGAGTGAAAATATAGTATGTTGGGTGACTGTTGTGGAGATGGAAACGTATAGGGGCACCAGCTTATAGAAAAGACTAGCCCCTCAGGATTACCACCGTTTTCACTCGCCCGTAGCAGGTACGATAGGAAAGATGACCATGATCGACGGGGAATACTACACTGTGAACCCACAAGCTATACGGACAACTTTGGATGTGTATGGGGAAAATGTGAGGAAGATTGTGCCTATACAGAGTGAGGAGTTCGGGTTGGTCATGACTGTCTGGGTGGGAGCGATGAGTGAGTCGTTTATCCCGTAATCGCATCTTCTACACGCTATCACAACATTGTCACAATTACCACAATTCCTCTTCCCGCTCATCTCCAATGTGCTCTTCTTCCCGCAACCATCTTGTCTGGGGCAAATCTGTGTGCCTTGCTATCATGCTTGTTTGTTTGGAGCGAAATTTAGCTGACCTTCAGTGGTTGGAAGTATACTCACATCTGTCAAAGAAGGTCAACACGTCAACCGGGCGGACGAATTAGGTTATTTTGCCTTTGGAGGTTCGACAATTGTGTGTTTATTCGAACGTGGTGTAATGGAATGGGACGAGGATCTGTTAGCTAATGGTCGAGCGGCAGTTGAAACACTTGTGAGAATGGGGATGGGTATTGGACGAAGCACCCGATCGGCCCAAAAGACGGGCACGCCACGAGTAAGTTGAATGATATGGGCAGTGAGTATTGGGTGTTGCTATGTTGTTATTGCTCTAAGAAAAGAGGTTGCAATCGCTGTCAATGTTGAACTGTGGGAGGAAGATCAGTATGAGTTGTTGTGTCTGTATGACCGAGCAAATTTATGCTTAGATGTTCATAGAAATGACAATGATGCATGTTCAAAATTCGTCTTACTATTGACACGGCAGTCATCTCTTTTGGCCATGAAGTGTTCCCGTCAATACCAGATGATACAGCATGAATGGCCGGGATCGTAGGACAACGGTACTTAAGTTATGGCTATGATCATTTGTCAAACCTCACACCTTTTGACTATGAAGGGGACAGATTTCGAGAAATCAGAGGTGGTCCGGATGTTGTTCAAGAGTTGTTCGAGAGTTGTTCGAGAGTTGTTCAAATGTTGGTCGAATGTTGGTCGAAAGTTGGTCAAGAGTTGGTCGAGAGTTGGTCAAGAGTTGTTCGAGAGTTGGTCGAGAGTTGTTCGAGAGTTGTTCGAAAGTTGTTCAAACGTTGGTCGAAAGTCTGTCGACAGTCTGTCAAAAGTCTGTCAAAAGTCTGTCAAAAGTCTGTCGAAAGTCTGTCGAAAGTTGGTCGAAAGTTGGTCGAAAGTTGGGCAAATGTTAGGCGAATGTCACCCAATTGTGGCACAATTGTGAACCAAATGGGACACAAATGTGGCGCAAAGTATCCGCTGACCCGGATGGGATTGACCACATCAGGTAGCAACAGATAACATACATGACGACATGAACTGCCCAAAATATCTGACCTTCATTCGGATCATCCTCTCCTATACAAGATTACAGACCACTCAGCTCGTTTTCTCCTTCAAGCACAGACAATTCCAGCCTTCAGAGACAATGCTACCAGACCAGGCGGAAGTGGGGGATCGTATCTCGGTCCACGGCGCTCTCTGGTACCTAAACATCCTAGAAGGGCTCTCGCTACCTCGGGAGGTAAGTCGGTGAACTGGGTGACGTCGGATGGGGTGTGGATGGACGTATCGGTCATTGTGGTACTTGTGACGGAGATGTCTAACGTACTGACGTAGGTGCTTTCTTAGAGATATTTGGGTGTTTCTTGATGACTTATGATGTGTATATGACTTGTAGGTGGTGGTTGTTCTCTGATGTGGTGTTGAGATGATGGTGCTTTAGAACCCATCTAGAAGAGGTGCCATGAATATATATATATGAAAGACATTTGATGAATGACCGATTTATTCCTTTCTGTTTCTAAAAGATGTGACATGAGCTATCTCAAATGGACGGATCTACCTTTGTATGTCGACACTTTCAGATGTGTCTCCTTCTGAGGAGCTCGCTTATACGTATGGACGGGGACTGAAAGGTAAGGGTGGGATGATACATTGATCACCCTTCCCTTTGCTAATGGTGTGGGGACACGAACGGAGTATCCACATTTGAGAAGGCAAGAATTTATGTATGATCCATTCACATCAATACTGGTGTGGTGGTGATACTCATCATCATGCATATTCTCTCTCATGCATCATCATCATATTCCTTACTATTAGCGTCAAAAACCATCACCTCAAATGAGATGACTAGGAGCTGACTTCAGTCACGGTCATTGTGCTCTTGTATGCGTCCGGGGGATGAGGTGGATCCCATCTAATAGGTCCAGACGGTTGTGGTCGACGTAAAGATTGACCTTCGAATCGAGTATCAGTCTCTTGATTCAAGTGTTGTGATTGAGAAGTCGTATCCTCCTCAGAAGCTTCTACTTGGGTAGTCAACTCATCATGTGTGCCGGTAGACGACGCACGAGAGGTGTTGTTGTATTGCGTGTAAGTCTGTTCTGATTGAGTGGTGCAAGACATGATAGTTGAAGTGAGTATTGAGAAACTGATATGTCTGTCCGGGTATCTATTTATATCCCCACCCTGTAGACGGAATGAAATGCGCAACCACGGTGGGTAAAAAGAGGTGACCCTGTACATAAGCGAGGGGTGAGAGGAGTGTCGATTAACGAAGTCGGAGTATTGTCCAAGTCGCTTAGGCGGATGATTGGTAAGTCAATCTGATACACACGATAGCCGAGCCCTTTACTCCTTATGTTACCTAAGGAAGGTCTACTTAGCAGACTCTCATATTGATACAGTGATACGTAACGATCAATCATCGTACATCGAGGGGACCATCACGGGGAAGGATACGAGGAAGGTAATTGGAAAAGCAGAGACTTTACAAGAAACGGGAGAAGATATCATCATCATCATCAATGCATACTCTCACTATCTCTCTTCTCAATGTACCCATACAATCATATGTATGTGGAGCATAAGACAATCATAGTCATCCTGTCCTTGGACCTGAAGATTCAGACCCTGATTGTGTTACGGCTGGCAGAGGAGGATTGGTCGAAAATTTCCGGACCAAATGATTTCGGTCCGGGAGGTCCATGAGGAGGATCTACTCGAGGTTCTCCTGTGCCCACTTGAGTCGCAAACTGACTCAAAAGCTCCTTGAAAGACTGTTGGGACATTGTGCCGTTATTTTGTGAGACTGGTGAGGTTTCAGTGACGACAGAGTTGGTGGTTGTCGCATTGGTCGAATCGGGACCGATGGTTCGCACGGAAGGTGCATCGACTCGTGACATATTGAAAGTACTGGCTACGGTTGTCATTGTTTTCTACTATGAGATATATGTGGTGAGAACCTATATTGCGGGTGAGTGAGAGAATGTGAATCTCTGGATAGGAAGGGAGCTTATATATCTTTCTGTGCTCCACACGAATGAAGCGGGGTTCAAATCCTGTCATTGTCCCTTTCAAGAAGAACACGTCGGAGGATAGATGGTATGTCTTCCACCCGATGCATGTGCTAGGCATCAGGTGAGAGGAAGAGATGAAAAGCACGTAACGAGTACGTGCTTGATAACGTTTGTTTTCGTGCTTGGGAAGACCCGCCCAGGAAGAAAAACGGATCGTCAATCACTTCTTCGTCCGGGAGACGAGATGTCCCAGAGATAAATCCGAGACGTTCTCGGTTCATCAAATTCATACGTCCGACTTTTTGAGAAAGAATCTGGAAGTTTCCTCTATCTTCAATGATTTGTCACCACCATACAATGTGTTAGTATTATCTCAGGTATGAATATCAAAGCATGTAATGAACGTGTGAGATATGACATCCCCCTTAACGTTCCCCTCTCAAGAAACACCTCTCCTATCAAAGTTTGAAAGTTGGTTTCATGATTGAACAAGAATTTCCCTTTTTGTCAAAATCTCATACAAATTGTCCTTCTTTCTCCCCATTCTAACATAGGGTCTGGCCATTTAGTTTCCCACGGTCTAGGCATGTACCAAACCCCCTTCCTTCCATGTTCATAGCATGGAGAAGGATGAAAGGATCACGTATTTGGCTCTTTCCCCAATTGGATGAGAAGGATATAAGTTAGGTAGATTCTTGAACTTTTCTCATCATCAGAATCTCTCTCTCTCATTCTATCGCTTTTAACACCCTTGAACTACCTGAACAATCACCACATATCAACGAATTTTTCAACATGGCAAACATCACCATCAAATTGACGGTCAATGCCGGGAAATCTAATCGTGCGTTTTCTTCCTTCATCTTGTTACTTTGCCACTTTCTTCCATCTGTCTCATACCTTAGCTTCCCTCATCCCTCATGAGATCACCATGAGACAATTACCCAAGTTTCTATGATGATCAAGCATTCGATAGAAGGAGAAAGTTGTGAGAAAACGAGATTCATCACTGATTTCGTAGTTCGAAAGACGACCAAAAAGACCAAAACACCCTCCACATCTTCCACACCTACTTCGGCTCATGAAACAGCTTCTGCACCTACTTCTCCTACCACTCCCGTGTTGATCTCTACTGATAGAACCCTCGTTGACCCAGCATCACCAGTGGGTCAAGCGTTCTTCTTCAACTCTTCTCCTTCCGGAGGAGTACCGGCTCATTTGAAACCCAACCAAGTAGTGGGACAAGTGGGTTATTTGATGAATATGAAAGATCTAAGTATCAGTACACCTGGACAGGTTTAGATAGAGTTGAATTGTACGATAGACAGAGGTAGAGGAATGCATGATCCGTGTACGAGTCTTTTTGCGGTGTTCGAGAAGTATGTGCCACACTGCCACATCAATACCCAAATGTCCTCACTTCCTAACTTACCTCACATAGACGACGACGATACAACCAACCAATACTGTTGTCTTGAATCCAACATCCTGGTAAAACTCAGTACACCAATGTCCTCATCCTCTTCGAGCTCGTCAGAACCACAAGATCCTGTGGATCAGGCTTTGGAACTAGACTCTCTCGATGTGGAAAGTTTGTTCAGGGCTTTGGAAGGTGTGGACAAGGTGCGTTAGTGCTTTTCCCCACTTGTGGAGTATCTTCCATAGTTGTTCACATGTCCTGATGTACGGAGTGATACTACATTCTATCAATCAAATGGATCTTGCAAAAGCATGGTGTCAGAAAAGGGGGCTAGCGAAAGGTGACTACGATCGGGATACGACTGATATGATAGGCCATACCCCACCTCTTACTCTCGGTAAAACCCATCCTCTCACATCTACAAGCATCTTTCCTCCCTCCGACTTCGGCATTATCAGAAGAAGATAGTGGATTACAAACTCGGAAGAGCGTAGAACGATACGTGGACCTTCTTGATGTGAGTAGCCGCTATATCGTATTATAAATCTTCATTGAATTCCCCTCTATCTTCGCCCATCAGTACAACATATACTCCCTTAAGAGATGAGACCCTCGTCTTTCTCTCAGATGATATGTCTCTAAAGAGAGGTTAAGAATATCAAAGAGATCTGTGATAAAACTGACATCGCAGAAAATTCAATATGTTCTCCGCCAGACAATTTACTTCCTACGTCAAAAGAAAGTGTCACCATCGACTCTGAGACCCCCACACCAATTGCCTACACCTTATGCGGCCTCATTACCACCTGGTACCCTCTCTCCTGTACCACAAGCGTTAAATCAGCTGAATGAATCGGATGAACAAGTGGACCTCGGGCTATATGCTAGTAGGATAGAGGCGCGGATATTGAAAGACATCATCGATACTTTACGTGATTGGAAGGAAGCTTCACAGGACGATATGGATGTCGATTCTTCTCAGGGTACTGTACATGACCACGAACCATAACACGACTACATGATGAGGATGGATGGACGTCAGTAATTGTTTCGAACACCTCGGTCAATAACGATTGAAACTCATTCATCTCGGGCCAATAAGTGGCTCGGGTACATTTAACAACGAAAGCTGAAAAAAGGCAACTACGAGGTAGCGCAAGTACGAAATTTCTCCCAGACTGATAATCTGATTTTCATTCACACAGCGAGAATGCTGCAGAAGCAGGGCATTGGTCGCAGAACAGCTTAGGTCCTCTCGCCACGAAGACGACGAGCGAGATGAAGATCCTTCGGCTGGATAGTAACACGTTTAGCGTGAATGGCGGCAAGGTTAGCTGGGAGTCAGCGTTTGTCATGCCAAAGGTTTGTCTGGTGGCATGAGTTATCCGGTGCCAGACGAGATTAATGATATGAATGTTAGGGGCGTGGCAAAGTAACTCACTGTCCTCGAAGAGAGACACGAGGTATGCCTCACTAGCCTCCTGAAGAGCTCCAATGGCGCTACTCTTGATTGGATTAGCTACGCTTATCCACACACAGAAGGGATTGAACTCACCTGGAAACGAAGGTCAGTCTTGAAGTCCTGTGCAATCTCACGGACGAGACGCTGGAAGGGCAACTTGCGGATCAAAAGCTCGGTAGACCTGTCTGTTAACGACGTCTCGTAAGCGTCAAGGATCTTAGAGGGGAGTGACGCAGTGAAGTTTGGATTCAGACTGGAAAAGGGGAGGAACAGATCGTGCTCACTTCTGGTAACGCCGGATTTCACGGAGGGCGACGGTACCAGGCTTGTACCTGTGGGGCTTCTTGACACCACCGGTAGCTGCCTCTGGGTACTTACGAGCAGCCTTGGTGGCGACTAGGATGTCAGCGATGACCGTCTCGGTTGAAAACAGAATGGGTGGCAGAGAATCACGAGAGACTTGTGAGCTTGCAATAGAAGAGACTCACGCTGCTTCCTCGGGGCTTTACCACCGGTCGACTTGCGGGCGGTTTGCTAAACACATCAGTATTAGTACGTAGTATTGGCGATGCATCCATTGAAGGTGTGCATTGGACGAATGTATGCATTGTGATTGGAAGGAGAAGAACGGAGGGGTGAGAAGTGGCGAAAAGGTTGGAATTGCGTGCGATGGTCAAAGAGGACGAAGTGGGTGGCGAACCCCTCTTCACCAAATCGGACTATGGCGGCCACCAATAGAAGGGACATGAGGAGATGTATGCATGATGAGTGGTAGAGTGGGAAGGATAGAGGGAAAGTAGGAAAAGGAAAAGATTTCGAAGAGCCACAGATGGGGGTGGAGAGACGGATTGGGGGTGGTGTGTCTCCACCTCCTTCTCCACCTCTTTCCCGACCCGTTGTTTTCGGTTGATTCAAGAACGATTGCTCACCTTGGTACGAGCTGTATGCATGGATAGAAGAGAGCAGCGTCAGCGCTCATCCCTTACCTATGCATGCATGAAGTGAAAAGTTGATGGTACTCACCCATGTTGTATGATAATCGATCGAAAAAGGTCTCTCGATGGAAGATGTAACGATGAAGATGTGATGTGAAAAGAGAGGAAGAGGGGGAAGAAACAGACCGCTTTTTGTCCTCGAGGGTATAGGAAAAATCACTCTGGTCCTGGTCATCCCCCAAACGGCGGTGAGACGTGGATAACGGAGCCTCGCGGCGTTTCCGGAGTTTCGAGGTGTGGTGTGTGGATTGGGAAAGCTGGACTCATTGCGATCGGAGACGCTTTTGACCCGGTTAGGTCTGACATAGCCGACAGGAGGGTATATGATCATGGAGGGAGGAGGGGAAGGGGAAGGTTGAAGGGCTTGTCAATTTTTTCTATATCAACTTATATGATGCATGTCATAACCTCTACATATACACAGAGATTACAGCCAGCTTATGGAACTTCACTGAGGCCCATCGTGCTGCTTGTACCAGTTGTGGACAGTCAAACAAGCGAAGTGGTGAGACTTGAAGAGAGGGAAGAAGTGCCACATTCGACCATGTCTCTTCATTCCAAGCGGGTTTCTATGTCGTCATCCTTTCATCCTCTAAATGCTATGATTGTCTGGCCTATGTATGCATCAGCCAAAGTGTTTATCGATGCGTCAAGTGATACATGTATCAGTTGGGGCATGCATATCATGAACAGATTTTGTTCTAGTGGGATACAGATGACTGGTCGGCTGTGCCACGTCTAACTTATCGAGCGCATGTCCGCGTTCAATCTTCCACCGCAGCACGTTTGCATTCCATCTTTTCCTCTTTGGCACTCCTTTGTCTTCTCTAAAACCCCTAAATCTCCTCTTTTTCCCCTTTATGTTGAGTCTCATCTTGTTGACAGAGGAGGAGATCTTAACCTCTCTCCTGAGTTGAATTCCTTTCTCGGCACGAATTCCTTTTTCTCCTTTCACCTGTCCACCTGCTTTTGATCTTTCCCGACTCGCACGGGCTAGTGGGCTCGATGCAAAGAACTCTTGCTCCACCAGCCTTATCCAGCTCCTCATCCACCTCACCGGCCGCAGCTGCTCTACGGCGCACGCTCAAGACACCATCACACGCTTACGAAGACGACGAAGACGAGTTATCTGATCCACGCCCTTGGGAGACCCGAGCGTCTTTACAAACTTACGGTTCAAGGGACGGCATAGCACCGACAGAGTTACCCATGTTTAACGAAAATGAGTCTAGACGTCGATATGGTGAGAAGGAAGTGAACAGTACAGTGTCAGAAAAACAAGATCTTTTAGATGATCAAGGGAAGTGGGCCAAAGGTTATGGGCCGGGACCGAGCTTCAGAGGACGGAGAGGTTTGCCTCCACGTCAGAGACTGACAGGATGGGTGAGTGAATTATCCCATGTGATGAAATCAGAGCTAATGACAGCGAGGCGTTATGGTGGAGTACGAAGAAGAAATATGGACAGCAGTTTATACTTTACTCAGTATGATCACTCGGTATTGGCGTATAGGTGCAGCCAATTATGTCGTATGGGATGAAGTGTGTCCCTCTTTCGTTTATACACATATTTCGTGCTCATAATCAGGCTCACTTTGGTAAATTCGGGTCCCATTATATCAACCGAGACTTCTACTTTGACGTTCATCCTCCCCTTGGAAAGATGCTGGTCGGGCTCGCTGGACTGCTGTCAGGTTATAATGGTGGATTCGAATTCAAGTCTGGTGTCGAATACCCCGAAGGCTTACCATACACCACGATGAGGGTGATGCTCGCTAGCTTTGGGGTGGCACTTGTACCTATTGCATGGTGGACATCTGGGGAATTCGGGTGGTCGCGCTGGACGCGGCATTGGGTCACATTGTGCGTTCTATGTGGTGAGTTCAAATCAGTTTCAGATGTCCATGAACTTACTGAGAAAAGATATCGGATGGTTGTGTATCTCCAGATTCATCCTTTTGGATTCCATGCTGCTCTTTTTCACCTTCACAACGACCCTTGGACTAGTTAAATTTCATAGCCAACGACACGATCCTTTCGGGGAAGATTGGTGGATATGGCTGGCATTCACTGGCTGGTCAATCGGATGTGTTTGCAGTATCAAATGGGTTGGCATGTTCGTCACCGCTCTTGTGGGACTCTATACTATTGAAGATTTATGGGACAAATTTGGTGATTTGTCCATGCCTCTGGTGAGCTCCCTCATCCTCCATCATGCCAACTTGCCTTCGAAGTTGTGACCTTGCTGATCTCAAGTCTACATATATACGCCACTGGGTAGCCCGTATAGGCTGCCTGATGGTCCTACCCTTTGTCGTCTATGCCGCATGTTTCAAAATTCATTTTCTCATCCTCAATCGCTCCGGTCCGGGCGATGCTCAAATGTCTTCTCTCTTCCAAGCCCACTTGAAAGGCATCGACTTTTCTGAATCACCCCTCGAGATTGCCTACGGGTCTAAACTCACCCTTAAGAACTACGGCTACGGCGGCGGTCTCTTGCATTCTCACGTGCAGACTTTGCCTGTGGGGTCACTTCAGCAACAGGTCACATGCTACCACTACAAAGATGATAACAACCATTGGGTTATCACACCTACTTGGGAGGAGGATCCGGTAGACTTCGACGGGCCGATCAGATATCTGCAGCATGGAGATGCTCTACGATTGGTCCACTCCTCCACCGGCCGCAATTTGCACTCTCATTCTATTGCCGCGCCCGTCACCAAGGAGAACTGGGAAGTTTCGGGGTATGGGAATGCGACCATTGGAGATGACAATGATATATGGGTGGTAGAGGTTGTCGATGATACTCATCGAAGTCGAAAAGATCAGAAAGACGGTAGAATTCATTCACTCACCACTCGCATGCGATTCCGACATCGTACCCTGGACTGTTACCTCCGAGCCGCCAACGCTGTTCTTCCTCAATGGGGATTCAAACAAGTCGAGGTATCCTGTGTCAAAGAAAATAACCCACGTGATCTCCATACGTATTGGAATGTCGAGTCTCACTGGAACGATCGTCTCCCTCCTGGCGATCTCAAGCTCTACAAGTCACCGTTCTGGCGAGATTTTGTTCATCTCAATGTGGCTATGTGGACCTCTAATAATGCCCTGGTACCCGATCCAGACAAGGAAGATATCCTTGCGTCTAAACCTGGGGATTGGCCTTTCCTTCGACTCGGTCTGCGAATGTGTGGGTGGGGTGACTCGCAGATCAAATACTACCTACTCGGTACGCCAATAATATGGTGGGCATCTAGTGTCAGCTTGTTTGTCGGATTGGGACTGGCCGGATGGTACCTTTTGAGAATGCAAAGACAATATAAGGACTGGGCTCCGGGACAATGGGATCACTTTTTGTACGTTGGAAAAGTGGCATTCTTCGGATGGTTCTTACATTATGGTGAGTCGTCTTTACCGGCCTCCCTACGCTACTGTTTGTGAGCACTAAGAGACTGACAAACAGTGCCATTCCTGATCATGGGTCGAGTGACTTATCTTCATCACTATGTGAGTCTTCCCATCACACTACTTTTATGTGGAGGTATACTTGGACTGTATATGCACCGAGTCCACAGAAATATTGAGCTCATGATCAGCTCCCAACACTCTGGTTCGCAGTTCTCATGGCTGGTCAAGTCTTAGATCACCTCATCTTCTCATCCCCTCGACGGTCGCATACGGTCAAAGTGACTTGGTTCGTACTATGGGCGTCGGGTGTCGTGTTGAGCTTTTGGTGGTTCAAGGATCTGGCGTTGGGGATTCATGGACCTGTGGGAGATCACTGGGGTTGGAAGTGGCGTTCGAGCTGGAACGTGAGTTTCTCAATCTGTCTTTACATTTTGTCCCCGTCCAAACTCTACCGAAGTCTGCCATGCCTTGTGGCTCAAGTGTCTGTAGTCACTTGTGGCGCTTCTAGAAGACCCCACGATGCTGACGAGTTGCAGATATACAACTAAAAGCACATCATACTGCATGCATACAACTCGCTTCATGTGTTTTTCAATGTCCACATCTCGAATCTGTATCTTATGCCCTTTTCTTCGTTCTCCTCTGCGACGTCAAACCCTATCCAATGACACAAATCTGCATGACTCCGTCTCTCCCATTTATTCGACGTAGCTGCAGTGTCGTTCGATTGTTCCGCGAAGGGAAAGGGAGAGAGGAAAGTGTCGCATTGGAAGTCGTTCAACACCCTTGTGAGAAGAACGCGATCGCAAAGGTACGGAGGAGAGAATGCTAGGTTGTATAGCTGTGCACCGCCGATGAGAAATATTCTTCCTTCTTGTGATGATACTTCGATAGCGTGCTCTATCGACGTGTGGGTGGAGATGAGATCATTGTCTTGTCTGATAGTCAGAGTATGGTCATTTGTCACAGCAGGTTCGAAGTTATAAGGTAATGAGAAGGAGTCTCGGTGTTCAACGTGAGTAAGGGATAACACCTCCGAGGACGTCACAGAAAAAGACAGGCTCTACCAGGGAGAAGATCCGGTGGGAGAACGACGGAGGAACAGGAGTGATGCAATGGCAGGGACGAGACTTGATAACCTACATATTGGCGCCTTGACGAGAGATGATCACATTTCTTCGGTTTGGTAAAGGACGAAACTTGGCAGGAATTGACTCCCAAGTTTTCCTACCCATAATGACGGTGTTCATCGAAGTAGAATTGGCATCATGGGTAGAAAGACCTGAAGTAGTTGTGACTTTTCTACATTATAAGCTGTTCATTTCCTTGATTCTTCAATCAGTCCGTTATTGTTAGACCTCTTTTAGTCCTACCGGAAGTCACTATAGCGTACTTGACATATTAATATTGCGCTTAGAACATAAACAGGTTGATGTAGATACGAGAGTGATGGATCACTCACCCTTGGCAAAATACTTCATTTCTCCTGGTAATCGCCATGGCAGAGTCCCGTTCAGACCTATACCCCCTGAAGAAGTAGCGGCCACGATGGCCGTTACGTGTCTTGACATTGTCTCCTACGATATGCGTCACTTTTCAATTTGAGTTCTTCTCAGACTCTTCACTGGTGACTGAACACTGGATCACTGTATGGCCGGGTGAGTTTGTTGCGGTGATATTTTCTTAATTCCCAACGCGTCCTAGCCAGTGGCCAGTGGGTTATTGTGAAAAGGGAGGACCGAATAAATACACTTCCAAGTCAAGCGGTGCGTCATGCATGCCCCCTTCCCATCCCTCCCTCCATTTCAGCTTTCTCAAAGATACTCCATCATGCCCGTAAGTCTTCAATGATCACAACAGGATGAAGCTGAAAGATCGGGCATATCACTCAACCTTCAACGATGACCCTTCGGTCCGTCAAGTGGGAAATACTGCTATCTTACCTATCAACACTAAAATCAGGGGTCCTGCACCTCTAGCTGGTGGGTTTGTTCCCAGGAATGATGAGGAGTGTTGATGGTATAGCCGATCCGAGTTTACCTGATATCATTGAAGAATCATTGGATCTGTAAGATTTTTCAAGCTGAGACTGATGTGGGAAGAGCTGATAATCAAAGGTTTCGTGCTAATTGTCTTTTCAGGAATTTCGAGATTAAAGGTATGTCATGTCCTCTTTGCTTCCAACCACCTCATGTCCAATCTGGGAAAATATCATATCCAATACTCTCAACAAGGTGCATTTGACCGTTCAAGTCTTGGGTACATCATTCATGTTTCATGAGATTCATACACGATTCGGGTCAAGAACGAATTGTTGGGGAAAGGGAAAACGAATTTGAAAAAAGGTTGACTTTCCTTGATGGAATGTGATATGTTCGATGATGAGAGGTAATGACATTCGCTCATTGTCAGGCCCAGCAGATCGGCTCCTCATTTATCTCATACTTTTCATCTCTGAATGTCTCACAAAACTCGCACCTTCTCCCGGTAAACCATCACCAGGGTATCAAGAAGCCATCAAGCAACTCTCCACTCTGGCGGTTGATAACTTCGCTTTACCAGGAGATGCTGGATTCCCTTTGAACAGTCTGTATCATCCTCCTGCTAGTCGAGTGGATGCGGGTGAGTCGTTCACTTTTCACCATACTAGATATATCGGATGTCTTCCGGTACATTTTGTTGTACAGTCGTTCTGGTTGAAAAATCATTACTTCTTTGCTCACACTCAGACGCCTTACGCTCTTATCTCACCCAGACACGATCCGAACTCGCTGTCCGATTGTGTGATAGATTATACCCTCCTGAACAACTCGTAGGTCCCGATGGTCAGCCAACGGGACAATTTGGAACACGAGCGACGAAGCCTAGCAAATGGTGGATGGCGTTTCAAAAGCGAAGGCGAGTTATATTGGGTTATCTTATATTCATCTCTCCTAGTTCCCAAATCCTATCTCACGTCACTCGGACTCTTGTAACCTATTCCCCCTTATCCGTCCACCTCCGCCAGTGTAAGCTGGCCGTTCGGCCCTACTCCTTTCATTCAATTGTGCGATACTCACAGACCCCCCATCTCGAAGCCCTCCCATTGGACCTCCGCCCACTCAAAGTCCGCTTTCAGCCCCAGCCCTCGTTTCTGTACTGTATCACTGACGACCAGATTCATGGGTAGATCACTTGGAGCCGCTTAGACATTTCACCCATATCGCTAACCCTCCCCATCCCTCTGCCTCTGTTGAACAACGCAATTGTCCATGCAAGCTCCATTGTCCCATTGCTGGCTGATCCATTCTCACGACGTTTTTCACAGTATTTGCGAGCGCACCCTTTTTGCTATGACACACATCCCCGACGTCTCCGGATCTTGCAAACGCGTAGGAGAAGAGAAACTCGGACCATGCAAAGGAGACATGAAAGGATGTCTTTTTTGGTGACTCGAGGCGTAGGGGGAGAGGGATAAAGTGGCGATATATAACACAATCCCTGTATGATCGTAATTCTCTTTTTAACTCATCGTCATAAAGAAGTCAACTCCACACACGTTATCCAACGAAACCTGAAACCTAACGCCACCACTCATACTACTGACTTAGATCATCACAAACCAACAATCTCTGCAGTTTCCGACCAAAGATGGCCTCTGTCAACATGAATGTCGAACCTGAGGCAGTACCGGTCATCACTATCACTCCTGCTACTTTGCCATTCGAGTCACTCGCAAGTCCCCCTCTTCATCCTGACGATGTGCCCAGACTTCCTTCTGACTTTACTCCCAAGGAAACGGATGAACACAATACTCATCCCGTCCTTCCTCCAGGGTTCGGACTGGAAGATCAATATCAACAAGACTACTCTACTTCACCCGACCAGGTTGACGGGCAGGAGAACCCATTGGTAGTTTCGCGTCGGGTCGAAATACCTACTCCCACCGCAAAACCCATTTCTATCCCTGAACCTTCACTGTCTTTGATTTTCTCCTCCCCTCTCAACTCGATGAACTTTAACAACACACCATGGGGTCATTCCCCCTCGCTAGCTCCGGCTCTATGGAAACATCTCCGTTGTCTTCACCCTTCCACCCCGGACCCAGTGATCGATTTCATCGCTTATCGTCTCTTGTCACAAGATCGACCTTTCGGGTTTGACGGAAGTTGGGAACCGGTCAGAGCGAGCGATATGAAGATTGCAGGTTTGGAGAAGGACGCCGCGAAAGGTGTGGAAAGAAAAAAGGGTACACAGGGGGAAGTTGTGGATAAAAGGGTGGAGAGGATGTACGAAGCGGCCAAGAAGAGTTATGCCAAATTGGCTCAACGTCAAGAAGGTGTGGAGAGGAATAGTATTTGAATTTCAGCTCCCCTCCCCACTTCGAGTACTCCTGTTGAGAAATTCCCATAGAACTTGTTTGTAGAGTCCCATACATCCTCTGATACGCTATCACTTTGTCAAAGTCACTACCAAGTCGCATCCGCAATTCTCAATGAGAACAATGGTACAGTGGAGGATGACGTAGGAGGACAACATCTACACTTTTATAGAAATCTGTGAAATGCATGTACAGTAGTAACCACCAAATGACGCATGTCTATCTTTCTTTCATTTTCCCAACTTTCACTTTTTCACTTTGCATCACACGAATGAGTTGAAGAACCAATCATGTCCCTTCTCAATATCGGAACAAGATGTACATCATGTCCTTCCGTCGACTTTCTCCCACTCACTTGTCCAGACTGTCTCGGACCGTTTTGTTCGCTACACATACAGACACATGAGTGTCCCGAGAGCGCCTCGAGCTCAAGTCAGTCTACCCAATCACAAGAAGTGGGGAAAGTGAAGAGAAGAAGAGTACGATGTCCTATACAAGGTTGTGGGAAGGTTACTATTCAAGCTGTGGCTGGTGTGGAGGATGATGAAGGGGTAGGAAAGGAAGTGAGATGTGAAGGTTGTGGTGTTGCTTTTTGCGTCTGGTAAGTATGTTTTTCGATTAGGTTCCTTCTCTAATCTTCACTCTCTAATCCTTTCCCCTGTCTCTTGTGACAGTCTAGCTAATGATCTTGACTGACTCTGGTATGATTCTGTCTGACGATATCATCAGTCCCATACCACAACCACAGTCTCTCCTCTTGCTCCTGCCCTCTCGAACGTGGGTACTACTCTCAAGTTGACAAGAAAACCTCCACACATGACATCTCAGGGGAAGAACGTCATGTACTCATTCCATCGGGTAAACTTGACTGGGATGTTATAATTGACCACAGTCATCGACAACAAGATCAACATTCCTGTCCTGCCCCTTCTTCTCACACGGCTCGCGAGAGAGCAACACAAGAACGAAAAGAACGAGCACAACAAATCCTCCAACTTCATTTCCCCGGTACTACATCTAAACCCCGACCAACCCTTCCTCCTCAGAAAGATGTGGACATCAAACGTAAACTTCCTTCTACTACAGTTGATCAAACAGTTACCTCCTCCTCTTCTTCTTCCTCTTCTGCCTCAAAATTACATGAACCCCGAGACGTATCTGTGGAAGATAAGGAGGGAGTCAAAGTAGTGAAGACCACGACGAAAGCTGCAAAGATCCATCAATTACATTTGAGGAAATTACGTTCTTTGGCTGAACCACTCGAACGACCTAAAGGAGTAGAGGAGATGAGATACTTTGAATGGTGTTTATGTACGGACCATGGGAAGGTTAAATCTTGGTTGTATACTGGGAAATGGGAGGGAGAGGTTCAAAGAGGTGCTATCGCTTGTGTGAGTGCTCACTTGCCATTTATCCAGAAAACCTGCCCACCACCCAAGGCCATATTCCCTGGTTTTCCGAATGAAGATCTTAAGAGCAGAACGCGGATTGGAAGGACTGTGTGCGAAGCAATGGACATAGAGAAGGTTGATGATGTGGAAGATTGCCCGTGTGAAATGACAGAGTTCTGTGAGATACGGGATTGAGCTGATGGACAGGATACAAGCTGTGGAAAATTATTAGATCTCCTCATATCAAAAACAAAAGTCAAGCGGCCTGGCGATCCTTTAGACACATCTTCAGTGAGTCTCATACAGCACCAGAAGATACAGCTCATGTTGTCAGAATTGGGGTTTGATGTCCCTCGTGAGCCCGCTTGACGGCGAGAGGACGGCGAGGAGGATATCCCTGTTCAAATCGGCAGGAGGGGAGATAGAAGAGGGTTCTTTGTTGATTCTACCACGAGGCTCATTGCCTCTGCTGGAACCGGGCGAAGGTAAAAGATGATCCGAACTTGAGGCCTGCGGTGACCCTGAGTGTGGACAGGGTAGTGAATGAATCTGATTCATGATATGTGACAGTGATGTATGCTGCATGCTTCCCCGTTCCCGACGCTGCGCTGTGACACCCTACTCTCAAGGCTCCTTCTTCACCATGGATTCCCACGAAAACTACCGAGATCTGGTTGACTGAGGTCGGACTACTTGATCTTATGCTCTACGAACAGAACATGACGTTTGACTGTTCATCAATTTTGGTCCAGCACGCAACACCAAAGGTTCCATCTTCCAAATTGGCCGTCTTCCGTCCGGAACGTCTACGTCACTTTATTATAAGATAGCCACGGGGTATTACAGATCCAAGGTACGAGTATACGTAAAGACTTCATGGAAGACGAGCGGGTGTAAGAGGGAAGAGACAAACTCACCTTTCGGATCGTACTTCATCATAGACAATTTCTCCCCTATTCTAGGTCTAGAAGTGGTGTAGAAGAAACCCGTCAAAGCTGTTGAAACCAGTCTGACCAGTATCCGTCTGTATTGTCAGCCTTTTCACGACTTGTATTCCCCCCCTGACGGCCGACAACTCATCCTCCTCTTCACCACATCCACCATCGTCACTAATATTGATGAACCAGTCTTGATCAGCTGCCAATCGTCTACTGACCCCTTCCCCATCTCAGCACACCATACAGTCTTGTCTCTCTCCTCTCGTCTCATCCCACAGTATGGAATGATTGGTAGAGACTCACCTCGCTCTCGCTTTAGGTGCCATGTCGCAAATTCCTCCAAAAAGTCAAAAACCGTTTTCTTATCCATCCAGTCCTTAGAAGGAGGGAAGGATGATTTCTGACTTACGTAAGCAACCACTTTCTCGAATTTCAAGATGAAAGATGTTCAGTTGGGAAGTTAGATCATGTCTCGAACAACATCATGTCGATACCAGAACCACCACCGGGAGTAACGAGACCAATAGTTTTCTTTGACATAATGATAGGTGATACTCCAGCTGGAAGGATAAAGATGGGTGAGTTGATATACCCACCAATCCCACTTCTTGCCCATGCCCCGCCCTTCACAACTCTTCCTCACTTCTCTCCTCCACTTTCATGTTTCCTCCTAATAGCTTAATGAGCGTTCAATCTCTATACTGTACTACTATACCGACCATTCTCAGAAATTTGAGGCCTGCGTGTTTGGATGGAAAGCAATATACAAGGTGCGACGAGAATACATACTGATCAGCAGAGTTATTTAGCGATATTACACCCTTGTAAGCTTATACAAGAGGTCGAACTGTGTAGCTGACTATTAGGACAGCAGAGAATTTCAGACAGTTATGTACGGGTGAACAACGGATAAATGCTATTCCCCAGGGATATAAGAAAGCTACTGTTCATAGGTAAATCCTTTCTAAGGTCGATAAAATTCGTCGCTGATGATTAGAGTGTGAGTTTAGATATGATGTCTTATCTGGGAGGGAACATATCTTTCAATCACCTACCCCTTCCCCTCTTTCAAAACCTTCCTATCATAAAGTGACATGTATAGTGGATCGTCGCGTAGGCGACAGAGAGACCGTTGGAGGAAGAAGAGATCCTTGAATGGACAGTGGAGGAGGGAATGAAAATACAATGTTAGGCAAAGTAATAAATAAAAGATTTCGTTTTCCTTCGAACAAAGATCACGAGACAAAGAGAGAGGAGACTGATCAGATTTTCAGAATACCTCAATTCATGATCCAAGGAGGCGACTTTATACGAGGTGATGGCACCGGTTCATTCTCCATTTACGGAGGAGAATTCGAAGATGAGAATTTCACTGTGAAACATACTTCCCCAGGATTATTAAGTATGGTGAGTCGCAGCAATGTCCATCCTTCATGATCCTTCAGGAGCGAGGTCATCTCATTCGGTCCGCTTATTCCTTATCGATTTTGATCCAAGATTTTCTTCCCGATATCAATTGCTGATTTGCTAGGCTAATTCAGGTCCAAATACAAATGGTTGTCAAGTACGTCGATCTTTCTTCTCATCTCATTCCCCTGTAGCTCTCGTCGGCGACTCCTTCATAAACGACAAACGATACACAATTTCGGCGGCTGTCAATGGAGTGAGGAATCTCCAAGTAATATTCGACGAGATATGTTTCCAACGAAAGTCCACCTTGGTTGACTCACAGTTTTTCATCACCACAGCTCAAGCGGAATTTCTCGATGGGAAACATTGCGTGTTCGGTCGAGTAGTAGAAGGTATGCTCACAGTGCGCAAAATTGAAAATGTCCCTACGGGTGCTAATAACCGGCCCAAGTTGCTGGTACGGATATCAGAGTGTGGAGAGATGTGATTTAGGTAATATTGCCAAAAAGAATGTAGGTGGGAGTAGCAAAGTGCATAAAGAAAAAGAAGGGGTTACATCATCGTGAAAAAAATGTACATGAACAACATTTGGCATGAAGATAATCTAGATTCAAAATAAAGTGATTGCAGGAAAGAATGACAATCATTCTAATCCGACGTAACCGGCTGCTCGACCGATCTGATTCTCAGTACATCTCTCATCACATTTTGATTAGTCTCTGCCTTGCAGAAGAAGCTAGTGATGCCCCCGACAAGTACTAGTACTCGTACAGGTAATCTGGATTTCCGCCCGATTCCGACAGCAGTAGCGCAGTGAGCAGTCGCGGTGGGGTATGAAACTCGGTTGGATCGGAAGATCGGAGGAGAGGAAATGAGTTGGTTCAAACCAAAAGTAGGAGCAAGAACAAAGCGTTGTCCACCCACAGTAGTCTTCTCAAACATCTCCGTAGTCACTTGAGCCAGAAAACCAGGTACACTCTGTCTCTCCACGATCCAAAAATGTCTAACATCTTCTAAACCCTTTGCCATCCCACCGGTCATTTGCATAGTCCCGAAATGTCCTTCGTGCGAAGCGAACCGTAGTGTTAAACCCATTTTCCCCTTTGGGGCGTACATCGAAGTGAGACGTATATCAGCTCCGGATTCGTCGAATTTGATCCTCCAGCCTAATAAGGAATAAACGGCTTCGAGGAATTCTTTGGATTTACTACCGAATATCTGTCGTGAGCAGATTGTCATTTATCTATTTTCATTCCGGACACTCAGTCAATCACATTTCGAATCAAGTCGGATCCGACAATCTCGAGACAGATCAAGCATTGTGATTTGCAGTGGTCGAGCATCATTTGCACTTTGTATGGTTGAATTTTTTGATGGAAGATGGGGTTGGGCAATTTCAATGGAAAACTTACCTCTTTCAACCGTAATAACCTCTTAGCATGTGCCTTTTCCAATTCTTCTTTTTCCTTGACTAACCGTTCATAACTCGCACGAGGAACCATCCCATTGACATTCCCATCCACCTTTTCTTTCTCCTTGATCTCCATAGCGGGACCTTTCATGGTGGACAATTGCGCTAAAAGAGTTTGGTTTTCTTGTCGTAAATCCTCCAACATTTGAGTTCTGACTGCCATTTGTCTCGATGCGGGATTATCTTTCAATTCGATACATCGTTCTTTTGCCGGGTTGTACTCTCCGGAGGCTACACGACGCATGAGATCGTTCACTTCTGCATCTAGGGTCGTGTTGGCTGATGTGAGTTGAGAGATCGTATGTTCGAGTGATTCGATGTCTGAGGTGTCAGCCCTTTACAGTTTCCTTCACATCCGTGTGAACATATGGCATACACAACTTCAGCTTTCCGGATATCGAGATGGCAGTAACCAAAGCAAGTGGTCGGACTAGAACTAGAGGTGGATATGACGACATACCCTTTTCTAATTGCTCAACTCTCGCTTCAGCAGCTTGCAAAGCAGATTGTTTGACCAACCCAGCACCTTGAGCCAACCTCTCCTCGACTTCTCTGGAATCCCGAGATATTGACTCGAGTTCAGCTTTGTACATCTCCACTAATTGTTCCAATTGTTTGACTTTGGCAGTGTGATCCCCTGGTGAGGGAATATCACCACCCGTCGCTCGCCGCTGCTCATCAGCTTCCTACTCTCGAGCAGGGATAGAAACATGAAGACGCAAAACGTGATATGACTTACACTAAGTGCGACGGTCTCTTTCCTAGCCAACTCTTCTCTTCTCTCTGCCTGAGCTCGACCCTCCTTAGCCCATCGAAGTTCGCGTTCAGCGGAATCCAGTTGCTTTTTAAGCTCCACAATAGAAGCAGTAGAGCTTTGTGATAGTTCCGACAACCGGGATTGAAGAGAATGTATTTGCTTGTCTTTCCCAGCCAGCTCGGCCGTGGCCTGACTATGCAAGTTGGATAAGGTCGCTAATCTGCCTTGGAGGGTGGCGATGTCCCCGGTGGGACCCGAGGGATCCGAATATGTCTGAGTGAGGGATCTAAGATGTCAGTCGTCGCACAGCTCTTGACAACACACAGGCAAGAAGCAAGCGGCATGGAATCTTAGATTGGCCGAGGTTTAAGCAAGCAGCAAGAACAAACTTACTCCATATCTCTCCTGGCCCGCTCCAGTTGTTCACTGAGGGTTCTGATCTCGTCCCTCAAAGCTCTTTCCACCTCCCGACTCGCCCGTTCAGAAGCATCCACTTCTTTCCTCTTTTGTCGCAGTTCATTCAGCTCAATCGCCATCTCTACATTCTTCTTTTCGAGAGTGATCAAATGTTGAGATTGACCTGCGCGTCAGCCCGTCGTCACCCAAGTTAGTTCACTGATGACGAGGAGATTGTGCAGAAAACACGCCGACGGTGGTCAGGTCAAAGAGAGACGAGTACACACGTTTTAATTCCAATCGGACCTTTTCATCTACCTGTCTATCACTCGCCGCATCTTCCGTCCGCTGCATCCTCTGTTCCGACCTACGTTTCTCCTCCTCCAGGTCTATCGACAATCCCTTGGCCCTTCTTTCCCATTGTCGTAGTGAATCACACTCCGCCTGTAGATCTTTCAATTTAGATTCGTACAGCGTACTCTGGGAACGATATTGCATATCCAATGTCGAGTGTTTGTTAGATAAGTGATTATGTTCAGATCGAAGTCGTTCCAGAGATTCTGCGAGGTCCCCGTTTTTCTCCCGTAATAATTTCATCTGGCCAGCCATCGTGAGCTGCACCATGAGCAATCATCCTCTTGATACTTCAGTGTGGACACAATGACCTCTCATAGTGTGATATCAGGTAGATGAAGTGCAGGGATGAGGTATTGGGGAGAATGATGACCCACTCTTTCCTCTGACCACTCTTTCTCTCTACTCTCACCCGTTTGACGTTCCTCTGTTTCTCCCTCCAGCAGAATCATTCGTTCCCGTTTCAACTTATCGATCATGACTCTCTGTTCTTCAATCTTCCGAGCTTGTTCCCTTTCCCTAGCTTCCAATGTCAAGATGTCACGCTTCAAGGTCGTTTGGTGAGATTGACTTTGAGCCAACTGTTTTCGTATCGTATTAGGATCTTCTCGATCAGTGTTTTGTCCATGTTGCCACCTATATGACCCAATAGAAGTGGATCGATCGAACATACAGAAAGAGGAAAAGTCGTATGTATCATGGTGAGATCATATGGACTCACCTTCCAAACCCGCGTCACCTGCACCTCGTTTGCCCAATAGTTTGTCCCTCTGAACAGGGGTGAACATGGATCCTACTGACGACCTGGAACGAGAGTGTCCGCCGATGCTGACACGTCCCGAAGACCCAATGAGACTGCTTGGTAGCTTGTCTCCTTCCATCGTGACTGACGCCGTCTGTTTACACGTCAATGGGTTATCCACTTGTAAGTTGGTGAAGAGAGAGAAGGTTGTTGTGACTTGCCATGTTGTATGACTCTCTAGGTGCATGATTCCCCAAAGGAGCAATTTACCTCTTAGAGCACGTGATCTCTAGATTTCTGAAAGTCTGATGGCTTTCTGTTCAAAACTGTGCTATCAAACGAACAATTGCAGACAAGATCTACCGAAGCCAGAATGACACCTTCATCGAAAGCAGAAGCAAGCTCTTCAACAGCTGGAAACGCACATTCAAGTGTCCTATTCCCCTCTGAAGCTCTACCCGCGAATGCCGTCCACATAGCCGGACCTGATCTCTCCAAACCGATCGATCTCATGGCTCTATTGCAGGGGTATGAAACTATCGGCTTCCAAGCGACCGGACTGGCCAATGCTATCACTTTGGTGGAAGAGATGGTAAGTGATATCCTAAATTGATCTCACATCTCATGACATTAGAGAAGCAAACGGTCAGATCCGGATCAACCCCTCACTCTATTTCTGGGCTACACCTCAAATCTGATATCCTCAGGGTTGAGAGAGATCATACGATTTTTGGCACAACATAAGTTGGTAGATTGTTTGGTAACTACTGCCGGTGGTATAGAAGAGGATTTCATCAAGTGTCTGGGACACACGGTATTGGGAGATTTCCATTTAGATGGTGCCGAGTTGAGAAAAAAAGGGTGAGTGCATTCTCCTCTCTATTCCTTGTTGGATTCATGGCGATACTCTTGGAGGAGAATAAGGGTTAAGAGCTGTGTAGTAACGAAATCAGCTTGAATAGAATAGGGAATCTTCTGGTTCCTAATTCAAATTACTGCGCTTTCGAAGATTGGGTCGTACCTCTACTCGACACCATGCTCAAGGAACAAGAAGAGGAAGGGGTCAGATGGAGTCCTAGTAAAGTCATCAACCGATTAGGAAAGGAGATCAACGACGAGTCATCAGTATATTATTGGTGCTGGAAGGTGAATACCTCTTCCTAATCCATATTCATGTCCACTACAGACTTTTAGACATAGGTTGATAATCAGAACGACATCCCGGTCTTTTGTCCAGCTCTCACCGACGGCTCATTAGGTGACATGATTTACTTTCACACGTACAAATCATCACCTTTACAACTGAATATCGACATTGTATCTGATATCCGGAGGTTGAATGATTTGAGTATACATGCTAAACAAGCGGGAATGATCATTTTGGGAGGAGGAGTGTGCAAGCATCAAATTGCCAATGCCATGCTGTTTGTGAGTCATTCCTCTCCACGCTCACTTTGAATGTGTCCCTCTCGTTTTCACAGGCTTGGGTCTGTCATGTTGATACGTGCATCGCAGGAGTTGCTAATGACGCAGAGAAATGGGGCAGATTACGCTGTTTATGTCAATACCGGACAAGAGGCATGTTTCCATCCTCAGAGTGGTCCAACGAGGGTTTGCTGATACTCAGTACGACGGCTCAGACTCTGGAGCAAGACCCGACGAAGCTGTGTCATGGGGTAAGATCCGAGCTGGAGCCAAGAGTGTCAAGGTAAGTTGTTATCTCTCGAAGCTGCCTCCGGCTGAGAATCCCAGGTGTACGCCGACGCGACTCTGGTGTTTCCTCTTATCATCGCTGCGACATTCGGTAAAGCCCACTGGGCCCAAAATGCCAGTGAAAGTCAGCGTATACCAAACAACTAATGACATGGACTCCCTACAGCAACGTTCACCACCGGGGCGGCCGGAGGAAAGGTGGAGCGAGAGAGGGAGTTGGATACAGATAGAAAAAGTTGAGCCAGGACATTTGATTAGATACCCAGCATATCCGTGTATACCCAGAGTACATAGAATCATACAATCATACAACCATACTATCCTCTGTCATCTCCTCCTCATAATGTACATTTCCTCGTGCCTCAGCTTCGGCCTGCGAGTCCATGATGACTGCCCAAACTGATGCGCGGAACTAAGATCAGTCCATTTTCCTCTTGACGCGTCTTGGAGATGTACGGAGGAATGTCAGATGTCAAGGAGAGAACATACCAAAGTCAAGACGAGACCCATTTTTCTCTCCAAAGCGCGTAAATCAGTTAACAGTCCCTCATTTGGATTCTCCGCTGTTAATTTGGCTAGATTTGCTATCTGAAGTTCATGAGCTGAGATAGATTTTTGATAAAGGACTTGACTGACTCGTTTGATTTTATCCCCTAATTTAGCATACTCCCATAAGACTTGTTGTTCCAGTGATGATAGCTGAGGATGATTGATACTGGTTATCAGAATCGCTTCTTCAAGTAAATCTACATGTGGGGGGAATAACGTACTATGGATTGATAGTGGTTATCGATGACATTCTGACATAAAGTGAGGATCGAGGTTGAGGTCAGTCACGCTTTTTTCGTCAAGGTATCACTTGGGTTATCACTTCTCTGTTTTTTGTCGATATGCGTGATTGAAGAGTCGAACCTCGATTGCGTGACTTACGAGGAGGTACTGTACGGATCAAGAAGAGATATCAGCGTGACGGAGAAGTAAAGTCAAGATACGATGAAGAAGTCACACCTTAAAGATCCGAATGATCTTAGACGGGACCGTCGCTCATTCGTTCACACTCGTCTTTTCTTTCATTCATCTCCCTCCTTCCTTACAAACCCACGGAGGGAGTCTCTCTTACAAGGCATGACAGCTCCCCCTCCTAGACCGGCTGCGGTACAGATTAGTGATCCATCCACTTTGTCCGTTGCAACCAACCGATCTGGTCGAGAGACTGAAGATAAACGTCAGTCCTTCCCCGCTTCTCCCCGTCTCATCCCATATGTCTCCAACCCCGGAGGTCGTCACAAGCTTAAGATCTCATACATCATAACGCATATATCTTGGAGAGCTATCTGCTGATGGATAGAGAAGAGATTGTGTAGGAATGTATTAGTTTACGGGTATGTCTTTTGTCATACATTCAACGATTGCTTAATTCAGATCATGCAAGTACGAGAATCAAGGTGTATGTTTAATCCACATCCCATGTATGACAAATCCATGCTGATTCATCCAGTGTCCATTCGTTCATCCTTCTGTAAGTTTCTCCATTCATTAAAATAATCACATCCCTGCAAGTTGCGCGTTGCAACTACATTAGAATAGGTGCTGATGTTCAGTCAAATACATCAAACACGAACGACTCTTTGTCAATAGCCAACACCTCAAAGTCATTCACTCCTTCTTCAAAACAATCAAAATCCTCAACTCGTACATCCGAGCTCAGTGCGGAACATCTATTCGCCCCGGTTTTCGTCCCTAAAGCATCGAAAGATGTCACGTCTAGGTTTGTCGTTGTTGTCATAGGAAAGTTGGGAAGTTAACTCGAAGGACGGGTACGCCGGCTACCGGTGTCGAATTACACGGTCAAGTGCATACACCAACGACGCAAGGATGGTCAATGTCCACAGGGGGAGGCTTGATGTCTCAACCATCGGGTCCCTCTCCTGCTCCGAGGCCACATGACGTGGGTCATTCACCTATAGAATTGTTTCGACAATAGCTGAACCTGCTCTAGATGTACGAACCAAATATGTTTGATCCTGGACAAACCATGGAAGGCAGCATGTATCTTCCGACATCAACGCGCACTATCCCAGTGAGTCATTTCTTCTGCTATAACCTCCTCAAAGGACAAAAATGAGATAGCTGATCGTGTTAGTTGGACCAACACCTATACACTTCTCCGCTCCCACATGTGGCAAACCCCCCATTGTCTCAGAATCCAATGCACGCTTTCTTCATACCTGACGATATCAGACGTATGGTTCAAGCTCGTCAAACTGCAACGTACGCCAGACCTCCCCAGGAGATCTCCCTCAAATTACCGGATGAAGTTTCCTCCTATCATAATCTGATTCCTATCGGTCTGGCGATGCCTCCGCGTAGTCAGGTGTATGGATATCCCTCACCGATATACAAAGCGATCAGCTCGGTCGATGGGAACGTTTATGCTCTGAGACGCATCGCGGGATATAAAGTGACGAGTGAACAGGCATTCTCCACTGTGGAGAGATGGCAGAGGTTAAGGCATCCTAATGTTGTTTGTTTGAGAGAAGCATTCACTACCAAGGTCTTTGATGACGATTGTGAGTATTTGAAGCCCTCGACGACGTCAGGTGAGACTCACGTAGCTGACGGTAGCTCTCATAATGGTCTACGATTATCATCCCGAGTCGAACACCATGTACGACGAACATCTAGCATCCGACATGACTAATCGATTCATCCCTATCTTCCCTCGTCGACGTACTGGTATGTCCATCCCCGAACGACTCCTCTGGAGCTACATCACCCAAATCGCCAACGCTCTGAAAGCGATACATGTCAGCAACTTAGCGGCGAGGGTGTTGGACCCAAGCAAGATCTTGATCACCGGGAAGAACAGGATTAGGCTCAACGCTTGTGGTGTGGTGGACGTGATCGGTCAAGATCAGGGGGTGTCGTTGGCACAACAACAGGTAAGTGTCTTCGTCCCGTGTCTAAATCAATCATCTCTATCAAATAAGTCCTGCCAAGCATCTACCCCCTCACCATCAATGTCTTCCCCACTTCTCCAGCTGTATGACTGACTGTGCATCATCAAGCAGAAGGTAGTCCATTCTGAACAATCACGCTGACGTCCCAGGAAGAAGACCTTGTAATGTTTGGCATGCTCATCTTGACTCTAACCTGTGAATTCTTCTCTCCCGGAGTACCTCTTGCTGCACCCTTGGACTGGATCGCGAGACACTACACTGCAGATTTCAAGCTTTTCATCAGCGCTCTGGTCAACAGACAGCTACGGCACATCGACGAAGTTATCCGAGAAATCGGGCCCAGAATCTTGAATGAGCTCGATGCCAGTTTCCGGTGAGTCATCTTCAATATTCACGTCTCTTCTCTCACCCCTCGGTTAGGCACCTCATCGGACCATCCCTATTTTCCAAGTGATACTTTTAATCAGGACACAAATACTGGGACATACCCGCTAATGACAGATACAATGATCAGCTCGAGAGTGATCTCGGTGGGGAGGTGGAGAATGGTCGTTTGGTTAGATTGATGACTAAGCTGTCGTTCGTCAATGAGCGGAAAGAGTGAGTCCATTCCTGACTTTTCCCATTCATTGCTTTTTCTTTCATTTTTTGGACTTGCTCTCTGCGTCTTCCGTCACAGAAGGGGCCTCAATGCGGTCAAAATGTCGGTCGGTCACCAACCAGACGAGAGACTTTGAGAGATGATGGTATTAACTGACGGAAAGATTCGAACGAGATCCAAGATGGTCCGAAACGGGTGATCGATATATTCTCAAGTTGTTTAGAGACCACGTCTTTCATTCTACCGGTACAGATGGAACACCGGTATTGGACTTATCTCATGTTTTGACATGTCTGAACAAGGTATGTTGTCTTTCTCACCGTCCACTTCTCCACTCCTCTTCCATCCCCTGGATCCCCAATTCGCTTTTCCAGCATGTACGCAATCTGAATGGCCTACAACATCCCTATCTACACGACTCTTTGAAAACCCGCAACTGGTTCTAAAGGGAACCACATGGAGAGAACGATCAAGCTCACTCGTAGCTCGACGCTGGGACAGAAGAACGAGTCATGCTTGTATCACGAGACGAACAATCTTGTCTGGTCGTTTCATATCGTGAACTCAAAGCTTGTGTCGAAGGGACCTATAACGAACTTCGACTGGCTTCTTCGATCATTTCCAACCCCACTCTAGTGTCCAATACACCTCTTCGACGATAAAACCTCCATCATGGGTGTAAAATTCTCAATTTGAGACATATCAGATCTAGAGTTAGAAATTTCGTTTCAAAAGAATTTGTGCGATGCTGTGCAATACGATTTGTCCGAGGTACTAGGTGATACAAGTGGTGTCAAAGCAGTTGTCTTGTTTTGCAAGGATCGTTTTGGTACTGAAAAGGTGGATAGACTAGGGATCAGGGGATGAAATGAGTGAGGAGGACAGGTGGGGGAATTAGAAAACAAGAAAACACCAAAAACATTGAGAAAAAGCCTTTTGACTCCACAACGATGCATGCATCAATACTTTCTACAACAAGGTTTACATGGTCGTAAAATCTAACACTTCATTCAGAGACCCAAGAATTGATATTCGACTCTATCCATGCGACACGACGCGGCATTAGGTGAACTTCTATTTGTCCATCTAGCTGAATGGGACAAGTGGACCGATCAAACTTCACCCTCTTCCAGCCGAATTTGTTCTTCCAACTTCTGTCTCTCCATTTGTCTCATACGGAACAAAGCCATACTTTCCGTCTCTGCCATTTTCGCTTTTGCCGCTTTATCAACTTTATGTTTAGCCAACAGAGCTTCCATTGTCGTTCCGCTCAAATCGGGGGCGGTGTCAAAAGACGGAACTGTGTATGTTTCATTTGCACCACCGGAGCGTCCATTCTTCCTCTCTCCTTCTACCATCTCCGCCCTCCGTTCTTTATCGCTATCAGTTCGGACCGCATCGTGTGTATTTTCGTCAACTCCATCGCTATCTAATTGCTGGTTTTCTTGTGGGTTACGTTTTAGTGTTGAAGTTGTTTGTGCCCATTCTACCCAATCGGGTATCCTTCCTAATGCCCATTTAGCACGTACTCCTTCCAAACCTTTCTCTTCTGTCATACCACCTCTTCTGATATCTTCATCTTCCATTCCATTCAGATTCCTTGGTAGATCTCCTACGAGTATATTGGAAAATACAGAGTTGGCGGAATCATCCGAATGATCCTTCCAACAAGCCCAACAACCACCAAGATTACCAGCAGCAAATTCCACAATGGCTTTTGGACCCTTTGGTTTCTTCCCTGGTTTCGTCTCTCCTTGTCTGACGTGAACAGCAGCTATGGGTCCGTATCTTGTTGTGAGGTCTTGTTGAAGGTCGTGTGTGTACGAAGGGGGTAATTGGAGAGTCAAAGTTAGATCGAGTGCTGTGATTGGGGGTTTACTCGATTGTGGATCGTTGGTTGAAAGTGGTCGTTTGGAATGGGACTGGTGGGAAGAAGAGGTGGAAGATGAAGGAAACGGATCTGGAGATTTAGTGGAAGGAGGAGGATGTCGAACTCTTTGAAGTTCAAATGCTCGTCGTTGAGCTTCTTCCAACATCCTTTTACCAGCTTCTTTTATTTCTTCCTCTGCCGCTTGTGCACGTCTCCGTTCAGCTTGAGCAACTTTAGCACGTTTAGCTTCTTCTTCTCTATCGTTCAAAGCCTATACAATCAGTGATCTTTCCAGATAGCTGGTAAAGTGAATAGGATTGACAACAACATCTCCTTGGGTAGATGAAGGAGGGATCTGAATAACGAAGCGTGAACATGGAGAAAAGGATGTACCGGCGATGCGAAGAGAGAAACTCACATCAACCATAGCCTTTCTCTTCTTATCCATCTCTGCATATTTTGCTTTCTTAGCCTTCTCCGCTATCAATCTTTGATCCAAAAAAGCCCGTTTGGCATTGTCCACAAGTATTTCGAGTGAGACGGAGATCTGTCGAAACATTATGGCTGCTTCTGGGGTAGAGTTCTGATGGTCAGCCTTCACCTCTCTCATTTCTCCTTCTACCATTACGCAAGGGTGTCTAAGCTGTTTAAGAGCGAAGTATCATGTTTGAACATATGACGTGTTGTAGATGAAATACGTGGGGAGAGATGAGAAAGAAGAGACCCACTTTGTCAGGATGATACTTGAGTGATAATTTCTTATACGCTCTTCGTACATCTTTCTCCGTCGCTTCAGTAGCCAGATCAAGTACCGCATAAGGATCCAGAGCGGACTCCTCTTCGTTGAGTATAGGAGCCATGGTGAGTACCTCTGTAGGTAGTCGGTTTGAAATTGTCAGTGGCGGAGAAGCAACCTTTCATCTAATCGCCATAATCGCCACAGGAGAGAAGGAGAGAAGGAGATGGGTAATCCCGTTAAACGCCGAACATCCCATATCCCACGTGGCTTGACTTTTTGATGCCGTCCCGGTTCTGAGACATCCGGTCTCTCCTACGAAATGTCCGTACGGAGCAAAGGTACTAGGTACACTCTGCCCCCTTCCCAGCCAACACGGCATCAAGCCATAATCAAATCCGTCAAGGTTGGTGGCTAGGCATGAGCGGGTTTAGACGGGAGCTGATGGTCTGACGGTACCCTACTCGGCTGCTGGCATTCGCCTGCCGTCTTCTCCCCACTGACGTAACCATCCTTCTTACTTGGCACCAACTTGCCCCGTCCGCCCCGTCCGGATCTCCCGCAATTGACCTCCATAGCAGTATTAACATGATGTGTCCTCAAATATCTGTTCTTATCCCCATCTCCTTCTTTCTGTCCAGCCCCCAGACTCTCCCAACATGCTCCCTCTCCTACTCCTGTCCACCTTGTCAGTCGCCCTCGTCGGAGCCTCTCCCATCTCAACAAGAGCCAACGACACTGTCCCCCGCATACCGCAGGTCACCATCATCCCTTCTACCTCGAACGGAGAAGGTATCACTCTGACAGGTGTTGCTTACCCTCAATTCAAACAGGATGTGTACCTCGGTATCCCGTTTGCTGAACCTCGTGAGTACAACTCCTGCTCTTCATGATGCTCATTCGAAGAGTTGAAGATGAACTCACTTGCAGCGGTTGGAGATTTGAGATTTCGTCCTCCTCAATCAAAAGTCTACAATAGCTCATCTTTCAACGCTACCGTCCAATCACCTGCCTGTCTCCAGAACCCAAACACCTCCCTATCCGGGGATAGCGGGATAAGCGAAGATTGCTTGTATCTCAATGTCTATACTCCAGAGGGATGGGGTCCTCAAAGTCCTCCTATCCCAGTCATGGTGTGGATATACGGAGGGTCGTATCAAGCTGGAGCGACGAGCAGCTACAACGCCACGGCTCTTATGGCAAGAGGAATGGCGACGAACAGGCCTTTCATTTTTGTCGCTGTGGCCTATCGGCTGAATATCCTTGGATTTGGGTGAGTGACTAGGCCTACCTGGCCTGATCCCGCCCATCTACTTGCCGTCTCATTGGTCCAGTTTCTGGAAGCAAAGATACGTCATCACTGACTTCGGCAGCTATGGCGCCGAAATTGCTACTAATAACGCCGCCAATCTTGGTCTCAGAGACATCACTCTCGGCCTTCAGTGGGTTCAGGACAATATATGGGCATTCGGTGGAGATCCGACACAAGTGAGTCTAGGAATATCTCTTCCTGTCCTAGAGTGCAAATCTTGGGCTTGCGGCTGAATGTCAACAGGTCACGGCGTTCGGTCAATCGGCAGGGGCTATCTCCATCTCTTTGTTGTATCTTAACCAAAATACCACCCTATTCCGATCAGCTGTAAGTCATCTTCCGTGTCACTCGGCTCGATTCAGCTTTGACCTTGCAGATAATGGAATCAGGAGCACAAAGCGTAGCTCCATTGGGTCCCACTGCAACCACGTGGCAAGTAGGCTACGACCTGCTCACCGAGTTTTCCGGATGTGCTGCTGTTGCCGCGGCAGCCGTGGCAGGCAATAGTACCTCGAACTCGACGACTGTCGTTGGCTCCGCTGCTTACAATCAATCCACCTTTGAATGTCTGAAGGCACTGCCGGCGCCCGCTCTGCTCAACGCTACTCTCCAGGTTGTCAACCTCACTGGGGCCGCGTGAGTAGTTTCAACTACTGTGAACATATGACAGAGCTGACACGCAGTTTCATATATGGTCAGTTGATGTTGTTCAGTGTGCGAGCAATAGCTGATGAGTAGGCCCAAGCATCGATGGAGACCTCATCCCAGACTCGCCCCATACAATGCTGCAGGAAGGCAAATTCGCTCAAATCCCTTTCATCTCCGGTAATTGTCTGGATGAGTGAGTGCCTGTCTTTTCTGACTTGTTGCTTCCAGACACCGAAGGGAGCAAGCAGCTGACAAGTCAGGGGAACTTCGTTCGTGCCTACATCCGTGACGAACGAAACCCAGGTGGGCCTGTACATTGAAGCGGCCGAACCAGTACATCCCAACGTGTCAATCATTGGAGATCTGTTTCAGCTATACCCGAACAATGCTACGTTGGGATCGTGAGTCCATTCCCATCTCTTCCTCGCTCATTTTGCATTCCGCAACCTCTTCACTCTCGCGGTGTATCTTTTGACGTGGTCTCAGCTGACTTGCAGACCATATGGGACCGGCAATGAGACGTTCGGCTTCGCTCCTGAGTGAGTCACTACCTGCATCGTCGGTTATTCAAAATTGACAAGTAGATTCAAACAAATCGCTGCCATTGTCGGTGACGCGCAATTCCAGGCCAATCGTCGATGGTTCCTCGAACAAGCTAGGGCGCATGGACAATCAGACACTTGGTCATACCTCTGGACTGAGCCACCGGCGGGACTTGCAGCGTACAGGGGAGGTCAGTCATTTCTTCATCACTCGCTCAGCGGATGGTATCCAGGTGAGGAGGGGAGAAGCTGATGATCAGTGGCTCATAGTTCGGAGGTCTACTATGTGTTTGGGTTTACTACACCGGAAACAGGTTATAATGCTTCACAGGTTGCTTTAGCGAGTCGAGTGGAGGATTACTGGTCAGTTCTTTTCATACCCCCACCCCGACCCACTCCGACATCCGTCGCCTGCTTCACAGCACCTCGAAACAATGAAATCAAGTCGTGTCGGTTGTTGAAAGAGCCGTACCGTCAGATCATCAATAGCTAACGGACAGGATCAACTTTGCTTATTATACCGATCCCAACGGTCCTTCTGGTACGACCTCAAACCTGACATACTGGCCGGCGTATGGCTCCAATTCCACCATGTTGCAATTTGCCGCGGGTAACGACACGCTCATCCCTGATACGTACCGCAAGACTCAGATGGACTTCTTTAATGGTAACCCTACCGCTTTCAATTATCGACGTTCATTGTACGGCTGATGCGACGATGAAAAGGCTGTTGTGTCTCAAAATGTCAGCTTCATGGGAATCAGAGCATGATCAAAATGAAGGGATTCCTGTCAGACAAGGGATATGTGTAGTGTAGTGTCAAAATTATCTGTCGATGGTATACAGCAATAATGCATGCTATCAGTGATGAGCTTGTTTATCCTTGCTCGATTCTCAATCGCAATGGTCTAGCATCATGTGTACAGCACGCTTCTTGAGTTTATGCGAGGATCAAAGTGCGAAGGTAAGGTCTCAAGTTGGACGTCATGCATCATCTCTTAAGATTACATACTGTATCATACAAGGGCTATCATACGAAAGATGGTGTTGAAACTGTCATGATAGTACACCCCTGTGGACAATGATATGAATAGGGATGGGAGAAGAGTGGAGGTGTCATGGAACTAATCCAAAAACACGGTGCTCACGATGGTCAGAGACCAGTATCCATTTCCAAAGCAGATTGAAGAGTAACCCGCGAGACATTCGTCAAACTGACTTACTTTATAAGTCGATCAAGATTTATGATCAAGGATGATCAGGGACGGTCCATAGATTGATGTTGGGGTATCGTTGAGAATCAGAAGGACTCGGTCGGATGATATATGCTGAGGAGTCGATTCCGGAGGTAGAAGCTGATGCAGGAGCAGGGAAAGGGGCGGGGAAAGAGTTGACCCGTACTTGAGGAGCGATGGGTTTGGGACGGAAAGTAGAAGGAGCTTTGCGATGAGCAGGGGTCGGTCGAACCGGCTCATAGCACGTTTCAACCTACCAAGATGGAGGACCAGAAGGGGTTGTTAGAGGGCTGGAACTCGGCCCATAGGGCGGTTCACCTGTCCCAGATGGAAGATGAGAACGGGTCATTGGAGGGCTGGAACTCGGCTCATAGGGCGGTTCACCTGTCCAAGATGGAAGATGAGAACGGGTCCTTGGAGGGCTGAAACTCGGCGCATAGGGCGGTTCACCTGTCCAAGATGGAAGATGAGAATGGGTCATTGGAGGGCCGAAACTCGGCTCATAGGGCGGTTCACCTGTCCAAGATGGAAGATGAGAACGGGTCCTTGGAGGGCTGGGCCTTGGCCCATAGCACGATTCAGCTGTCCAAGATGGAAGATGAGAATGGGTCCTTGGAGGGCTGGAACTCGGCGCATAGCGCGGTTCACCTGTCCAAGGTGGAGATTGAGGACGGGTTGTTGATGGTTGAGGTCGATTTGGAGTGTAGGTACGCTGACCTTGCCAGAAAGATGGATAAGGGGTGGATTGAGTTGGAGTGGTGTACGTGGAATTGGGCCTCGAAGTGGGAATCTTGGAGGTCAGCGAGATCGACAAGATAAGCAATTTGTTTGTAACCTAGCATGTATCACCTCGTATGTATCAACTGATCAACAAGTCTAAAACGAATGATGTGTCCTTCCCGACTCTTCTAACAACTAAGGGGAAATAGAGCATCACAAGCCAGTTGGCTCAAAATGATGAGATAGGATATATAACAATAACATTTGATGGAGAAATAGGTGATGCATTGGTAGTATGTAGGGAACGAAGGAGTGAGGGGGAAAAGATATGGGAATAATGAACACTCACGTTGTTTCCTCCTACAGAAAGCTTTCTATCGATAAGCGCTCGTTTGGTAGGGTCCAGAAGAATTTCAGAGGAAACACATCCTTGACGATACATGATAGCGCCGTCTGGTGTTCGATTCTATATCATTCAGCTAACCTTTATCTTCTCCACCGGACATGTAGATCGATGAACATACTATTCTTCTTGATAGAAAGGGGGTAAGGTATAGACAAGAGTGATGAGAAATGTGATAGGAAAAGTTTCAGAAAGGAAAAGCTTACCTTGTCAGGATGAAACTTCAAAGCCATCTTTCTAAAAGCACTCTCTATCTCATTCTTAGTAGCATTGTGACCTACTTGTAGGATGAGATAAGGGTTGAGACCAGATTCTTCTTCAGTTAGAGAAACCATGATTGTTAAGGACTTCTACGTCGGCGTAAAGGGTACTAGGTAAGTAGTGAAAGACTTGATGAGATGATGGTTTCCCACTTGGGTGAGTGTGTTTTATGAGACATCAGGAAGGTATTTATGAGAAAATGGGCGTGGGTCGATAAGAAGTATACAAAAGACACGCTTGGTAACCCCCTCGATACGATTAAGCGGGAATGGATGGTCGGAAGTTCATCAAGTGAAAATAGATTCACTTTGACGTTTGTATGTTGGGGCGCCATTTCGAATCAGATAGTATCCCAATGACCACAGATCCACAAATAGAACACGATTTTAACATGTATGGATGACGACGCTTCATCATGAGGGAACAAGAAGAATGAATCAGTCGACGATTAGAGCTGGTGATCATCGATAGACCGAGGGCAAACTCGTTGCTGCGGATAACGAGTCAGTGATGGCTGCCGCGGTTAATGGTAATATGTAAGGACACTAGTCTGTCATCTTTCATTGATCACTGACCTGGGCTGGCTGGATTCGCTATCTCGCTAGTCTCACGATTTCTGGTCTCTTGATCACTTGGTCTCTGCTGGATGTGAACCATTAGCCGTTGATGGCACGATGGTAACGGTGTCCGAAGTTCGGGAACGAGGATCATGTCACAAGACCCAGGGTTTCACGCGGAGTTTCTCGGGGTTGTAACCTCGTTTCAATGTGGCGGCTCACCTCGACTAACCGGGCCCTGAGGCCCTGCACTTAACTCTTGCCTCTGATCAACTTTCTTAAATCATCGTGGAGCTATGATTCCATGGACCATGGGCCATGAATGAGTCTCGCAAGTCACTCAAGATAACATCCTCCACCTAAACACACCCACCTGTGAGTGGCACACCGACAAAAAGGCCTCCACCTCCATGGAGATAGGCGGCGTGATAAACTACGAGTAGTGTTCCTTTTCTCGGATCTCGGACATGGCAACTCTCCATGGTCTCTGTGATCTCTGATCTCTCACCATTAGCCTGGCCCTTTGCCGTCTGACCGAACTGCTGACAATTCTCACTAGTGGTGTCATCTCTCCGACTCCGCTACCGACCTCGGGTGCGCAAGATCCCATCACTGCGTCCTCCGTTCTCCACATCCAACATTCTTCGGGGACGTGCTCACTATAAAGAATGACAAGTCTCGGTCCCCAAACCCGATTACTTCTTACTAAGCAGCAGCTCAGATGATCTTCTATAACCTCATCCTGCCAGCTTACTTACTTTCTTGCGTAAAGGCGTCTTCTCCAGGCAAAAGAGTCGATGAACCTCAGGTGACGATCTATCCCTCCACCTCAGATGGACAAGGCATCATTCTCACGGGGATCACTTTCCCTCAATTTGGTCAAAATGTTTTCTTGAGTACCCCATACGCTGAACCTCGTAAGTTCGCCTATAGCATCCCTTCAACCCTCCGAGCTGCCTGGATTGGTACAGTAGTAGTGAGACGCATTGTTGACTATCAGCCGTGGGAGATTTGAGATTCCGTCCTCCGGAAGCCAAAGTGTTCAACGCTTCTTCCTATGCTGCGACTTCACAACCTCCCGCATGTCTTCAGTTGAACAACACGTTGATAGGATCTTTCGGAGTCAGCGAAGACTGCCTGTACCTCAATGTCTTTACTCCCCAAGGATGGGGACCTAACAGTCCCCCACTCCCGGTTATGGTCTACGTGTGAGTTTCCTTCGCCTCACCAAGTGACAGTCCTCCACTGGCTCCTCGCTCTACCCCTTGCATCTCCTCTTCACCTCCGTCCTAAGCACGCATATGTCCGCCAGGAGCTGATGAACAGACACGGAGGTGCATTCCAGGCCGGTGGGATCTCTGGATACAATGCCACTGCTATCCTTGAACGTGGGATTGCTACAAACAGACCAGTCATCTTTGTGGCCATAGCATATCGGCTGAACATACTAGGGTTTGGGTAAGTAACAATCGCTATCTCATTTCGTTTGCGGGGGGCTCATCTCACTTCGTGGGCCTTGCTAAATGTCCTAGATCCGGGTCAGATATCGCTGCCAACGGTGCGGCCAATCTTGGTCTCAAAGATCTCCAACTTGGGTTCCAATGGGTTCAAGAGAATATCTGGGCGTTCGGTGGTGATCCCACTCAGGTACGTCTTCTTGCTATGCCATGTTTGTCTCTGCTAATGTCCAGGTCACCGCTTTTGGCCAATCTGCTGGAGCCACTGCTATCACCCTTTTATACTTGAATCAGAACACTACCCTTTTCCGATCAGCTGTGAGTTATTCCAATCCCGAGTCCATCATCTTTGACCCGTTCCAGATCATGGAATCTGGCGCTCAGGGCACTACTCCCATCGGCCCCACTTCTACCACATGGCAAGCAACTTACGACCTCTTCGCCGAATTTTCTGGTTGCATGGCGCCAGCGTCCACCTCCACCCATGCCACTGTTGGCTCCCGTGACTCTGCCGGATCTAATACTACGACTTTCGACTGTATAAAAGCATTGTCGGCTGAGGCAATCGTGGACGCCACGGCTTCAGTGGTCAATGTGACCGGTGTGGCGTAAGTTCATCTCTCTTCGAGTTGACATCTCTGACAGGCAGGTTCATCTATGGTCAGCTTCTAACCTTCTATATACACTCTATGAAGATCTAACGCCTCAGCTCCTAGTATAGACGGCGAAATCATCACTGATTCCCCCCATACCTTGTTGGCGGAAGGAAAATTCTCCAAACTGCCCTTCATCACCGGTAACTGCGTAGACGAGTGAAGTCATTTTCTCTGTGTTGGAAAGATATGCTGACATAAAGAGGTACACCATTCGTGCCCACTTCGGTGACGAATGAGACACAGGTCGGTATGTACATTGACTCTTTCGAGCCGGTACCACCCAATACGACAGTTTTGCAAGACCTTTTCCAGGTCTATCCAGACGATCCTTCTCTTGGCTCGTGAGTCCATACTTCTGCAAACCTTTGGGCACAATATACGCAGGATAGACGGGAGACGATCTTGCCATTTACACTTGTTGAGTGTTTCATGCTGAAGCATAGACCATATGGAACCGGGAACGAGACTTTCGGTCTGGCACCTGAGTGAGATCCGCGTTCAACTCATCGTGCAATGATTGACTTGTAGATTTAAGCAGATTGCTTCCATTTTTGGTGACGCATTGTTCCAAGCGAATCGAAGATGGCTCTTGAAACAAGCAAGAGATCATGGACAACCCAAGATCTGGTCGTATCTATGGACAGAACCGCCCATCGGAATCTCTCCTCCATATCAAGGAGGTTCGTCGTTTCACCCTTCGCATTTCTCGTTACTCGAAATCAATGATCTGGGCAGACAAGGTAGAAGAGGACGCGTAGCTGACATGCAGTCGCCCATGGGTGCGAAGTGTACTACGTCTACGGCTTTGTCAGAGCCGAAACTGGCTATAACGCAGAGCAAGTGGCTCTGGCGCAGCGTGTAGAGGATTATTGGTGAGTCTTCTATCCTCTCTCCGTAACTCGACCCCTTGCCGGACCGCGGGAAGGTGACCTGATACAGGATTGGCTCCATGGGAGGGAAAACTGATGGAAAGGCTCAACTTCGCCTACTTCTCTGATCCCAATGGACAGTCAAATCTGGCCCTCACATATTGGCCAACGTACGGTAGTAATCTGACAATGCTCGAATTTGCGGCGGGCAACGATACCCTCATTGTGGACGAATACAGGAAAGAGCAAATGGATTTTTTGAACGACAATCCGAAAGCTTTCAACTATCGCCGAGGGCTCTGACGGGGCAGTCGAGAAGGAGCACCCTTGACAGAAGGGAGGATTTGTTGGACAAGGTAAGTTGAGTATGTCACTTGTCGTAGTTCCATGAACAATGTGGAGGTATCGAAGAAGTTTTGACTTCCCACTTATCGACTGACGTGATCCAGAGACGAGAATCCAGTCGTGGCATCTCTCGGATCACACCCTTCTTCCTCTCACAACACACAGATTGTCGGATCTTCAATGAGAACAGATGCCCTGCCCGATCAGCTCATCGCTTTACACTGCCTTTCACCTCGGCAACGGCGTGATCTCAACAACAAAATCTGACGTACTCATATTTTACAGGCGATCGTACTATGCGACCGCATGCTTCAGGCTGCTGGATATATTTATGGCCATGAACTGAGTTCTGCCCCACTCTTTGGCTTTTCACCAAGTCGCTGATGTTGCTGCTTTCTCTAGGTGCCCTCATCTGGGCGTCGGGCCTTCTCGCTGCCGCTGCAGTGGTCAATATCTCCACTGCGCGAGCTCCTAGAGTGACCATCCACCCTCCAAAATCAAAGCGCAAAAATGTCACCATTACGGGGGTATCTTTCCCCACGTTCAAACAAGACGTCTATCTAGGTATACCATACGCTCAGCCTCGTAAGTCTGTCATATCCCACTCACTCTTCTGTTCCACATTACAAGATCATCAACTTATGTTTTGATACTGACGGACAGCGGTCGGTGACTTACGATTCCGTCCTCCCCAACCGAAGACTTTTACCACTTCATCGTTCAACGCCACGGCTCAACCTCCAGGTTGTATACAGATCAATAGCACTTTCATTGGTTCTTATGGTATCAGCGAAGATTGTCTTTATCTCAATGTGTTCACTCCGGAAGGATGGGGTCCGCAGAGTCCTCCGCTGCCAGTGATGGTTTGGGTGTGAGTGTCGATCGATTTTCTCATCACACCATTTATCACCATAAGAAACTTGTCCGGTCTGGGTGAGGTTGTGAATTGTCAGATTAGCTTGACAACGCTTTGACCTCAGATATGGCGGTAGTTTTCAAGTGGGGACAATCACAACATACAACGCTACCTCTTTGATGGCTCGAGGGATAGAGACTGGAAAACCATCAATTTTTGTAGCTACCAATTATCGATTGAATGTTCTTGGTTTTGGGTGAGTGTGTCCTTGCTCCCTACCACTCGACTCTTCTCTTTTTTCTCTCTCCTCCTCTTCTCCCAGACACTTCCCCGACATACGCATGGTACAGTATCTCTATGGTTACATTGACTTGTGCATGGCTGATGCTTTCAGATATGGTGCTGAAATCGCCTTGAATCACGCGGCCAATCTAGGATTGAGAGATCTCCATCTTGGCTTTCAATGGATACAGGACAACATACATGCCTTTGGCGGAGACCCCAACAAAGTACGTTCTTCTAGGCGCTTCTCGTTCAGCATCATATCCATTGTATTGGTCGCTGACGTGGAGGTCACAGCCTTCGGTCAATCAGCCGGGGCAGTCGCCATTTCACTCATGTATCTCAATACGAGCTCTCATGCTCCACTCTTCCGATCTGCTGTAAGTCTCTTCCAAAGTTTGTCAGTCTATCGAAGCTGATATCAGATCATGGAGTCTGGGGCACAAAGTGTTGTCCCCATTGGACCTACGAATACCACCTGGCAAATAGGTTATGACCTCCTGGCCAAGTTCTCCGGTTGTGCTGCTCGAGCCGCGACGTCATTGAGGAAAAAAGACAAGAGAATCGCTAACTACGTCGGTTCAGCGGCTTATAATCAATCGACTTTTTTGTGTCTTAAAGCCTTACCGGCAGACGAGCTGCTCGATGCTCTCGTTAAGGTGTCCAATGTGACTGGTCCTGCGTGAGTTTGATCATCTTTGTCATGAATTAACTGACATCTGTAGTGGGTTGATTTTCGGTGAGCTTGAGACATTGATACGATGTAAGGGTTCAAGCGTTTAGGTCCAAGTATCGATGGTGATCTCATCACTGATTCTCCGCATACTTTGTTGCAAAAAGGAGAATTTGTCAAATTACCTTTCATCACAGGGAGCTGTCTGGATGAGTGAGCAAACGTTATGCTCTCTTCCACCTACACCTCCGTCTGTCAACGACATGAGGGTTTAAATGTACACGTGTTGACGCGTTAGGGGTACAGACGCTGCGCCAGTCACCCAAGTCAAGAATGAGAATCAAGTCAAATCGTTCATCAGCTCTTTCGAACCTTCGCCCATCGAGCCGGCCGTTATTGACGGCCTTTTGAAACTATATCCTGACGTTCCCGCACTTGGCTCGTGAGTCATCTCTTACGATCTCTTACCTCTCTCTCACTTTACATCCTTTTCTCGGTGTAATCATGTATGTTAACAATGCACCATGTGATGCTGACGTCTAGACCATACAATACGGGTAATCAAACGTTCGGATTTGCCTCAGAGTAAGTCTACATTGATCCTTGCGTTATGTGAAGTCAATTCTTGACACATAGGTTCAAACAGCTCGCCGCCATGTTCGGTGATCTCCTTCTTCAAGCAGGTCGGAGATGGTTTTTACAACAAGCTCGAGCACATGGTCAGCGTGATACTTGGACGTATCTCTGGACAGAGCCTTCAGTGGGATTTGAGCCGTATACGGGGGGTGAGTAAATGGCCCTTGTGTCATTCTTTTCCCATCTCAGCCCGTCTCATCACATATTCTTCATCAACCAGTTTGAGGTGATTATGAATTTTGACAAAATGCTAATGCTTAGTCGCACATGGTTCCGAGCTGTACTACGTGTTTGGATTGGCGAGGAATTTTACGGGGTATGATGCCGCTCAAGTGGCTTTAGTCCAGCGTGTGCAAGATTACTGGTGAGTCTGATATCTTCGTCTCCTGTTCAAGTACCATACATACTCTCCACATTGGAACAGCAATCAGCAATGTGGTTGTCTTGCATCGAGCAAGGGATATGCCTGATAAGGTGGTGGATATGAAGTGAGGGATTGCTGATAGATAGGATCAACTTCGCTTACTATTCCGATCCTAATGGTCCCCCTGGCTCGACCTCTTCTTTGAAATATTGGCCTACATACGGAGAGAATTCGACCATGCTTCAATTTGGCCGGAATGACAGTTTGATCTTTGATACGTACAGGAAGAAACAATTTGATTATATCCTTAGTCATCCTGAGGCATTCAACTATTGAACATATCTCCGCGTTGTAGTATCCCAATGAAATCCGACTTGTAGATGTACTCGTATCACGCACTATGCAAGACTTGGTTCGCAGAGATCTGAAGTGGAGGTGTCTTTGATAAAGTACGAGTACGAATTAGACGGCGTTGCCGGGCCGGACCTTAATCGGAAGACAACTTCCGCGACCTCCGTGATAAACCCTCGGGAAATCTTCCGTGTAATCTACACAGTATCACCTTCAAATCCTACCCAATAGTCTAGGCAGATATGTAAATACTTTATTACTCCCTCTCTATCTCTATCTCATCCATTCATTCATTCATTTCTTCTTCTTCGTGTGAATACTCAAAGAAGAGGTTTTGACAAAATGACAATCCCTTCAAACTTCCTCACTGCTACAGAGACCATAGCTCTTATCAACGATGGGAAACTCACCGTCACTCAATTGGCTTTGGATCATTTCGCAAGATACGAAGCTAGAGATGCTGAAGTTGAAGCTTGGGCTTATATCAACAAAGATCATATTTTAAAAGAAGCTAAAAGACTCGATGATCTTCCTAAAGAGAAAAGAGGTCCTCTTCATGGTATGATCTTGGGTGTGAAAGATATGATCAGTGAGTTGGATCGGTTCCTTCCTTCGAAAAACTTTTTTGCTACTTCTATCTCATTCCCTCGTTTCTTACCTTTCTCAAACTCCTGATGTCTGGATGGATTGTTTGATACGATACCAATGAATCGACCTGATAATTTCCGGTCTCGACTTGAGACTTTTGAAAGGGTTTCTAGGAAATAGGATGAGATTTGGATAGAAAAAAAGAAAAGAAAAGAAAGTTGAATTGATATTTTAGACACCTACGATTTACCAACTCAACATAATTCGCCAATCTACAAAGGTCATCAACCTGGTGTTGACGCTGCTCCCGTAGCTGTATGTCGTGCTCTTGGAGCTTTGATCTACGGAAAGACTGTGAGTTCTCTTCACCTCCCCTGAGCCTCCTACCTTCGCCTCTGAGACACACATATTCTACGTACATACATACTACTTTCAACCTGATGAAAATCGATATGTTTAGAAAGGTCATAGTTATGTAAGTTAAAATAGTAACCATCAGCACACTACCGAATTCGCCTCGACTGGCGTAGGCCCCCCAGCTCATAACGCTTACGACCCCGCTCGTACTCCCGGTGGATCTTCTTCCGGGTCCGGTGCAGCCGTCGGTGATTATCAATGTCAGATCGCTTTTGGTACTCAGACCGGAGGTGAGTAGTTGCAGTGGTTTGTGAAAGATTAGACTAATGAGATAGGTAGTACTATCAGACCTGGTAGTTTCAACAATATCTTCGCTATGAAGCCTACGTGAGCGTTGATTTATTTGCTCTCCCCCTTCAATCTTGATCACCACACATCATGTCGTTCCCTCTCCCAACACCCTTCCCATGTTCGCCCTCTGTGGATGATCTTCCCTACTTCACCTCTGATCACTTTCGATCCTTACCCACCTCTGACATTCCCTACGCACTAATTCTTTTTTTAATGAAAGCTTTTGGGCAAGGATACGTCTGCTCCCAAATTCCCATATCGTGACCATTATCTGACAACCAGCTGGAGTGCCATCTCTCGTGAAGGTCTTAAAATCTTCTCTGTCACTCTCGACACCCTCGGTCTTTACTCTCGTTCCGTATCCGATCTTCAACTTCTAGCTTACGCATTCCGTTTGATCGATGATGTTCCACCTCCTCTTACACCTAAACCTCTTTCGGAATGTACGTTCGGATATACCAAAACTCACTCTTGGTACATTTCCGGTGGTCCTTCTCCAGAGCTCATCAGAGCTTATGAAACATCTAAAGAGATTTTACTTTCAGCAGGAGCCAAGATTGAAGAATTTGAAATGCCACCTGAATTCAACGATTTAGCTCTACTTCGTAATCGATACATTATGGCAGGTGAAGGACGTGCTGCCTTTTTACCAGAATACGTTGCCAATCGTTGGGGTCTTTCCGATCAATTAGCCTCTCATGTTGAAAATAAACAATTCGTTATAACTCGTCAAATGCAATTACAAGCTTATGATGAAATTGCAGCTTTACGTCCTATCGTAGATGGAATGTTAGGTAAATATGACGCTGTGGTAACTCCTAGTGTACCTGGTGAAGCTCCTATCGGTTTAGGAAGTACGGGTGATGCTCGTTTCTGTAGTATGTGGACGGCGCTTCATGTTCCTTGTGTACAAATCCCAGGTTTCGCGAGTGAGAATGGTATGCCAATTGGTTTGACCCTTGTTGGACCTAGGTGAGTGATAAGTGTTTCTTTCTCTTATCTCACATAGAATCAGTCATGTGATATCCTTCATCTATTCTTTCTTCTCCCGTCCCTAATCTTCCCCCCATTTTTCTTCGACTCATTTAACCTGGAGTTGTCGTGAAAACTCCATATCGAAGGTACGATCGTGAAGATACGATGGACATATCATGAATACATGTCAAGAGAAATCCATGTTATTCCCATGTTGAGAACACGACCTAATTCACAGATACCACGACCAAAAACTTCTCTCCACCTCGAAAGCCGTAGCGGCAGTATGGAACGGATACGACAATGCTAAACTTGTGAAACTCCCCGGTGAACCCGCCGAGGCAGTTCACGCCAAGCCTTAAAGTGTTAGCCTCATCTCGGCGATACCTATAGCCTAGAGGTGATGTTGTCGATAAAAATTGACAGAAGTGAGAAGATGATAGATACAGTAGAAATCTTGGGAAATGGTTGAAGTGAAATTTGAGAGATAAAAATTAGGTAGATGTTAGAGTGATGGGTATGCATTTGATCTTGTCGACTAGTCTGGTATTCATCTTACGAGCACTCGTACTCTGCCATCAACAGTTTATGTGCGGTAACATTTCCCTCAGCACTTACTTTCAAGCAGTGAAATATCAGGACTAAGAAGAGGAAACTGTTAGTTGTTCGTCGTAAAATCGTAATTATCACACAACGACACTTTCATATCTAACAACATTTGCCAACTACAATTTATGGTAGCATGGTAGCAGTAAAGCAGTAGCTCATATTAGAGCATTGTGAAAAATGATACTCTACATCTCAACTTAAATTCAATTGTCCCACATTTAATTGTACTTGACGATCCCCTTCCTCGGGATACTTATCCAATTCCCATTTATCCCATTTACCTCTTTTCAACCATTCTTCTTTTAAACCAATCACAACTTCATCAACATCTTCAACCCATTTAACTTTCATCTTCCTTTCTCTTAAAACGTTCCATCTTCTTTTCAAACTACCTTCATCTTTAGCTTCATGTATTAAACCGATAAATTGATTTTCCGATAAAGCTTCTGAATCTTCTGAACAATGTTTAATTATTAAATATAATATTTCTTCAGGTAATCCTAATAAATTAAATCCTTCCATATTTTCCATTTTCCTTTCATTAGAAATATCCTTCATGACTTCTTCTGCTATTCGATCGACTGATTTAGGTGAAGCATTTAATAATATTCTGGCTATCGGTAGACATTTCAAAGCTGCTTTTTGTGTTCTTTTCGTGAGATTTCTATTCCTTAATAAAAGTGATGGTAATCTCTCATGAACTTGATAATTCAATATCCTTTCTTCTGTTCTTCTATCCATACATTCTTCTGGGGAAGTAAATTGAGAAGGATCGAAATTTGGGAATAAAGATAAATCAGGTTTAATATCGTTTGCTAATAAACCTAATTGTTTTAAAGTGAAATTATGAGATTCGATAGTGTCGATGATTTTGGTAACGGAATCCGCTCCTAGGGAATTACCATTAAGTTCGAGTAGGTCTAAAGGTCGACTTCGAGGAGAACGAAGGAAGTTGGTTATGGAATCGGTCAAAGATGGAGTGATGTTACATGCTGATAAATAGAGTTTCTGTAGGTTTGGGGAATCTAATGAAAGGAATAAAGTGGAGAGGGAAGAAGGGAGAAGGGTTTTGTTATTGGTCAGAGAAAGACTGGTGAGGTTTGAGGAGTTTAGGGAATGGATAATTGAAGTGAGGTTTTTTCGAAGCTGCATGTGTTAGCCAAGAATTGAGTTATGATAACCATTGTCTGTAAATATAGAGACCAATCTTCTATAATGGAATGACCTCGAGACTACGGACTCCAGCCAAATCAACTTCAAGGAAAGAACGATTACCCCTTCTTGACCGTACAGCCATGAAAGTCAATACCTGATATTCGTTTCAGAGACAAGAGAAATGTGGCTTTAGGATGAATCCCATGATTCGTTATGTGAAGAAAGAGATGTAGGCAAATGGGTGAGGAGATAAGACTGACCCACCTCAATTTGATTAGCTTGTAACAACACTTCACGCATACAAACATCTTTCTTCGCATAACCTAAAACACATTCCAACCCTTCATCCGTTATCCCATTCGTACCCAAATTGATCTGTTTCAAACCCCATAGATCGTCCGGGGTGGAATACCTCATACGTAGATGTTGCAATCCAAGAAAAAGAGTTTTGATTCCTGTTGATCCTAGTAGATTGTGAGAGATGTCAAGACGACGGATTTGACGACTGAGTTGAGGAAGGATACGTATTGCTGGGTGTCAGACTAAAGCTTCTCATTATTCTTCCCTTGACTACAAGTACTCAGAGTCGCCGATTACTAAACGAACACGCTTCAATGAGGAGGAAAGCCTAAGGGTCAAGGGTTAAGGGTCAAGAGGGAGATGTGACATGAACTGGTAGCTTGTAGATCCGGATAGGAGTAAAGGAAGCTTCTGGTCATATATGATTGTCCGCACATTGGCCTTGGAGAAGGGGAAGAGGCTACAAAGAAACGAATGAGTGGGCAAGAACTCACCACCATCTTCACCTACAAACCCATGATCAGGTAGATAGACTAAATCCGAACTGGAACGCAAGACCACCGCCATTTTCACTCGACACGAAATATGGATACGTCCTATCTCGTTCTCAGTCCTCCTCTACTTGTCGGGTGTGGGATCGGACAAGGTGGTAATACACTCGGCTGGATGCTAAATGCTCTCAAGAAGTAAAATTAAAAAGTTGTCCTATGTGTATATGGATATGAATGGGCGTTGGGACGAAGTGGAGGAATGGAAAAGACTGGAAAGATCGTTGTTACCGACGACCGAAGAAGGGGGTTCCTTTCTTCCTGCCAATGCCGCCGTGTTCAACCAAAATATGAGTGTCGATTCCCAGAAGATCAATTGAAGAGGTAGAAGCAATAAGCAACAAGGATAAGCATTAGGTCTGATTCGGCAGTCAAGAGCCAGAGGATACAAGTATAGTCTCATCGTTATCGACGTCGGCGTCAGAAGGGTGCACGTGACGTCAGATCGGGAGCACAAAAGTCAAAAGTGGGGAATTCCTCGATGGCAACATAACAGTACACCCATTACCCATGCGTCTCCCTCTACTCGCTAGCTCCAGCTTTTTGAGGATCAACAAAGCGATTCAACCAGCGTTCGGTAGAAGATTTTTACAGCAGACGGGAAAGATACATACCGATAACATGTCCACTCCCGCATGCCCTAACGCACCTCCTGCTCCCGCTCCTGCCCCTCCCCCGAGAAATCCGACGAGAGTACCGGGTCCTATTGAGAGTGCTATGCAAGCCAAGGTGGGTTCTTTACTTGACATTCCTCAAGCCCACGGCAATAGAACCTTCGAACAGTGTATGCTTCTTGGGAAAAATCCGGTCAAGAGTCGAGACACCGATGGAGCACTGATTTGGTAAAAGTTCCGGAGTAGGAACGATACATTGGGAGACATGATCCGAGTTGTTCGAAGGTGGAGGATGGTAGAGCGATAAGACGTTGCGCGTTGCTGATCTCAGCTCATGGAAGCTCTTCACCCGACGTTGATAAGAATACAAAACGACTCTTCTCAACATTCTCACCATTCTGCTATGCGTGCGATGGGAGGAGGATCAGGCGAGACGCGTGAGTGGTTCTGCTTTCAATCTCATCACCGTATCAATCTCACATCTTCCATCTCAGCACACACTTCGATACCATCATAGAAGTCACATGTTGCATGACAGATCCACTGATCCACTGATACGATAGACTTTGCGGTACATATAGTCTCATCCGAGTTCAAAGGATTACCTCAAATAACAAGACACAGGTTGGTCAATTCTTTGTTGAAAGAAGAGTTTGAAAATGGGTTACATGCGTTGAGTTTGAGGTTGAAGACGCCTGAAGAGTGGAAGGTTGAATTGGGGCCAGAGTGACCGGAATGAGGTCATGATGTGATGTTTGAATGACTAGCACTATGTCATTTCCTCATGATCTGCATCGCATGCCTCGTGTGTGTTGTGAAGGGCAGGTACTTAGGACAGCTGAGAGACTACCCGCCTATGGCATGACGTAACATGCGTAGCACGGGCGATGTGGTCGCTCTTGGACGCCCTTGTCGCTATGACGCTTACTTACGCTGCGAGAGACTGAAAGACTGGATGAGGCAAGTGCGGTACGAGATTAATGCGGGGTAAGGCAGGACCCACGCCTGACGCCTGAGAAGTGTGTCAGATCCTTCCACGCATAACGCACTAAGGAAGAGGTCCGAGCGATGTACGTGCCGACATGCTAAATGTTAAACCATCACACCTTCGATCAGCAACAAACTTGTGAACCAGGGTGTGTAGACATCCAACCTTCCCCGGTCAACGTATCGTTCACGTCTCTTATCGTCAATGCGCCGATGAGATTGAGGGCCAGATGAGATAATCAAAGAGAAGGATGAATGAAATTAACCCTCTGCATCATGAATCTTTGGAAGAATGAGATCGGAATGTTTGATCGGCGATTTGTCCCCAAAGGACGCTAATTCTTGATACCCCGGAATGACTACATTGTCACACGACGAGTCCCATACAGTACCAACCAATATGCGTAGAAGGGAACAAAGGAGATGCTGGGCTGGTGAGCACCACAGGGAATGCAGTACTGTACGAGTTGTAGCTGATACCACTGGTAGAATAAAGTACGAGTGAAGATGTTTGGAAGACATTGCAAGCCAGGTGGCAGGTGGATCGATGAAAAGCCACGTGTTGTAGGAATTCGGAATTCACTCCGAGATGCTGTTATCAATGAAGGCTAGCCAATCACAGTGCGTCCTGATGACTTTTTCAGGTCCGAAATTGATGGTTCTGCCCTGAAGCCGAGGTTACCCGAGCCAATCCGACTGACTGCATTTTCCCATTTTCACTCCTCCCCTCCCAAATCGCACTCAAAAAAAGTTTCCCTCTCTTTCAATCAATCTTGTTTCTCGATTTCACCCAAAGTATATATACATAACAAAAAACATAACAAGTCACTTGTCTGTATCTCATCGTCCTTCTCTCTGGCTGAAAAGCCTCCTTTCTTCTACAACTTCGCCTCCCATCTGATCTTCTCTCTGTGAGTATATCCTTCTTGCCAAGTGTGGAGCTGACAGTGGAGCATCCCGTCCAAACCACCCTCTTCGCCACATAATGTGCGGTGTGGGTTTCATCTGTCATATCAAAGGTCATGCCAGTCATAAGATCGTTAGCGATGCTCGTAATATTCTATGTAACATGACCCATCGTGGAGCGGGTGAGTCTCTCCGATCCTCCCGGATATTCACTCTCCCCCAACCGCTTCACAAAACCTGTCAGATGATCGCGGCTAATATTCCAGTCGGTGCAGATGCCCGAGATGGTGATGGTGCCGGTGTCATGACTGGTATCCCTCATGACTTCTTTGTCCGAGAATGTGCATACTCCTTCACTGCCCACCTCCCCGCCGAAGGTCAATATGCCGTCGGGAACGTTTTTCTCTCTCCCGTCGACTACGCCTCTCAACAAACCATCTTCGAGCAGATCGCCCAATCACTCGGTCTCCGTGTCCTCGGATGGCGTGAAGTTCCCAAAGACAACTCCATCCTCGGTCCTGCTTCCATGAGCCGCGAACCCAAAATCATGCAACCTTTCGTCGTCCTCGAAGAACATTACGGTCCAGGACAAGAGAGTCAACAAGGAGTCTTTGACGAGAGAATGTTTCTTCGTCAACTTTACGTCCTGCGTAAACAGGCTACCCACAAAATTAGCCTCGATGCTGGCTTCTACATCTGTTCCCTTACTCCCACCAACATTGTTTACAAAGGTCAATTGGCTCCTGTTCAAGTGTACAACTATTATCACGATCTCAACCATGTCCTCTACTCCTCTCATTTCGCCCTCGTTCACTCACGTTTCTCCACCAACACATTCCCTTCTTGGGACCGTGCTCAGCCTATGCGATGGGCCGCCCACAACGGTGAGATCAATACTGTCCGAGGCAACAAAAATTGGATGCGTGCACGAGAGGGTCACCTCAAATCGGAACACTTTGGCGACGAATTACCACTCCTCTATCCCATCGTCGAAAGTGGCGGTTCCGACTCTGCTGCGTTCGACAACGTTCTCGAGTTACTCGTCGTCAATGGTGTACTCACTCTCCCCGAAGCAGTCATGATGCTTGTCCCTGAAGCATGGCAGAACAACGATCTCATGGAGCCAGAAAAGAAGGCCTTTTACGCTTGGGCTGGATGTTTGATGGAACCATGGGACGGTCCTGCACTCTTCACCTTCTCTGACGGTCGCTTCTGTGGAGCCAACCTCGATCGTAACGGTCTTCGTCCTTGCCGATTTGTTGTCACCTCAGACGACATCATGGTTTGTGCTTCGGAAGTAGGGACGATCGCTCTTGAGCCGGAGAAGATCATTCAGAAGGGACGATTGAAGCCTGGTAGGATGTTATTGGTAGATACAAAGGAAGGACGTATCGTCGATGATCGTGAGCTCAAGCTCAACACCGCTCGTCGGCAGCCTTTTGCCAACTGGGTCGAGTCACAGGTTCTCAAACTCCCTGACGTCGTCCGCAGAGTCATGCGTCAACAATCAATTGCCGTGCAGCTCGATAACGAGCCCCTCAGCACCGACCCTAAATTGCTTGCCTTTGGTTACACCATTGAACAGCTCAACATGCTCATGCTTCCCATGGTACAAGAAGGTCATGAAGCTCTCGGGTCCATGGGTAACGATGCGGCTATCGCGTGCATGTCCAACACTCCTCGTTCAGTGTACGACTATTTCCGCCAGCTCTTCGCTCAAGTCACCAACCCGCCCATCGATCCCATTCGAGAATCTATCGTCATGTCCCTCGAGACCATGGTCGGACCTGAAGGTAATCTCCTCGAAATAAAAGCCAGTCAATGTCACCGTCTCCACCTCAAATCCCCAATTCTCACCATTGAAGAGATGACAGCATTGAAACACTTCAAGCTCTCACACGCCTCTTGGCCATCTGTGGTAATTGATATTACATTCGACAAAGCGGAAGGTCTTCCTGGGTACCGTAACTCCCTCAACAGGGTTCGACAGGAAGCCCTCAATGCTGTCGAGGCAGGATTCAAGGTCATCATCCTCTCTGACCGCGCAACTAGTGTCGATCGCGTCGCTCTCTCTGGTATTCTGGCCGTTGGTGGAGTGCACCACTTCCTGGTAGGGAAGAAGAAGCGTTCAGACGTGGCCATCATGATCGAAACCGGTGAGGCTCGAGAAGTGCATCACATGTGTGCTCTCGTTGGGTACGGTGCCGATGCCATCTGCCCCTGGCTGATTATGGAAATGATTCACAAAGTCGAACGAGAGGGAATGTGAGTCATTGTGCAGTCCATTTGTACGAGACTGACAGCATAGGGCTAAAGACGGGCAAACCGCAGAGAAGCTTATCGCAAACTACCAGAAGGCGACGGACGAGGGTATCCTCAAAGTTCTATCGAAGATGGGTGTGTCCACCTTGGCATCCTACAAAGGTGCTCAGCTCTTCGAAATTCTTGGATTACACGAGGAAGTAGTAAAGGAATGTTTCGTCGGGACCGCCTCCCGTGTTCAAGGAGCAAATTTCGAGCTCCTGGCTATGGACGCTTTCGAATTCCACGAACGAGCTTGGCCTTCTCGCGAGACTATCAGCGTACCTGGTATGGTGAGTGATCAAGCTGTCGATTATAATACATGCTGACAAGGTAGCCCGAGAGTGGCGAATATCATTATCGTCAAGGATCCGAGATGCGTGTCAACGACCCGGTCTCCATCGCCTCTCTGCAGGATGCTGTCCGACAGAAGAATCAATCGGCATATGACACTTACTCGAAGAACTCATACGAGGCTACCAAACGTGCGACTATGCGTGGTCTCCTTGATTTCGCCTTTGATCAAGCTACTCCTGTCCCCATTGACCAGGTCGAGCCATGGAACGAGATTGTCCGTCGTTGCGTCACCGGTGCCATGTCGTACGGTTCCATCTCGATGGAAGCACATACCACTCTTGCTATTGCCATGAATCGTCTCGGCGGTAAATCCAACACAGGTGAAGGTGGTGAGGATGCCGAGAGATCGATTCCTATCCCTGGACCTGGCGCCAATTCGGACGGTCAGCCTTTCACTCACGCCATGGAGTTGAAACCCGTATGGGATTCACGACGCTCTGCTATCAAGCAAGTGGCGTCAGGTCGATTCGGTGTTACGTCCAACTATCTTGCCGATTCGGATGAATTGCAAATCAAGATGGCTCAAGGTGCCAAACCTGGTGAGGGAGGTGAACTCCCCGGTCACAAGGTTTCAACGTCCATTGGTCGTACTCGTCATTCCACACCTGGTGTCACTCTCGTTTCTCCTCCTCCCCATCACGATATCTACTCTATCGAAGATTTGAAACAACTCATCTACGATTTGAAAGCTTCCAACCCCCGAGCCCGTGTATCAGTCAAACTCGTATCCGAGGTTGGTGTCGGTATCGTTGCTTCCGGTGTAGCAAAGGCCAAAGCAGACCACATTACCATCTCAGGTCATGATGGTGGTACTGGTGCGGCGAAATGGACATCGATCAAGTACGCCGGTCTTCCTTGGGAACTCGGTCTGGCGGAAACACATCAAACCTTGGTGCTCAACAATCTTCGTGGTCGAGTCACCGTTCAGACCGATGGACAGATTCGTACCGGTCGCGACGTTGCCATCGCCACTTTACTCGGAGCCGAAGAGTGGGGTTTCGCTACCACTCCTCTCATTGCCATGGGTTGTATCATGATGAAGGCTTGTCACAAGAACACCTGTCCGGTCGGTATCGCGACTCAGGATCCAGCACTGCGTGCCAAATTCGCTGGTCAACCTGAACAGGTGATCAACTTCTTCTACTACATCATTGAAGAGCTGCGTAATATCATGGCCAAGTTAGGGTTCAGGACGATCAATGAAATGGTTGGTAGAGCAGACATGCTCATGGTGGACGAATCACTTCGTACCCCTAAAACTCGACTTCTAGACTTATCCCCTATTCTCAAACCCGCCCATCTCCTTCGCAAAGATGTCGCTACGTACCGGGTCCGCCCACAAGATCACAAACACTACCTCCGTTTGGACAACAAATTCATTGATGAGGCAGAGCCTGCATTGCAGAAAGGTCTCCCTGTCGAAATTGATTGTGAGGTTCTCAACACGGATCGTGCCCTTGGTACGACGTTGTCCTATAAGGTCAGCAAACAATACGGAGAAGCTGGTTTACCCAGAGACACAATTCATATCAACATGAAAGGTTCTGCTGGTCAATCTCTCGGGGCTTTCCTCGCTCCGGGTATCACCATCCAACTTGAAGGTGATGCCAACGATTACGTCGGTAAAGGTCTTTCCGGCGGTCGTCTTATCGTCTACCCTCCTGCACAATCCCCGTTTAAGGCGGAGGAGAACATCATCATTGGAAACGTTTGTTTCTTCGGTGCTACCTCTGGTCAAGCCTTCATTCGTGGTATCGCCGCTGAACGATTTGCGGTGCGTAACTCGGGCGCTACTCTGGTGGTGGAGGGTACGGGTGATCATGGTTGTGAATACATGACTGGTGGTCGTGTTGTCGTCCTCGGTCTTACTGGTCGAAACTTCGCGGCTGGTATGTCTGGAGGTATCGCATACGTCCTGGACATGGCACACAGCTTCGCTCCCAAAGTTAACAATGGTACTGTCGAATTGGGACCGGTCAATGATCCTCAGGAAATCGCAGAGCTCAGAAGTTTGATCGAAGATCACAGACATTACACTGGATCTGAAATTGCCGATCGAGTATTGCGCAACTTCCATCATTTCCTTCCTATGTTCGTACGTGTCATGCCTCTTGATTACAAGCGTGTTTTGGATGAAGAAGCGGCTAGGATAGCAGAAGAAAAGAAACGTCAATCTGTCATTGACCTCATTCCCTCTCAAACAGCTTCTCAAGTCGACTTGGTAGCTACTGGTTACGATCCTACTCTTCCTCAGAATGCCAACGTTCTCACCATGCCCACTCCTTTAGCTATTACTCCAACACAGACAGGAAACTCGGCACCGTCGACTCCCAAGCCCACTGAACCTTCCATTATCGATGTGGAAGATGCCATGATAGATGAAAGCATGACTAAAGAAAGATTAGCCAAAGTTGATAAAACTCGTGGTTTCATGAAATACAAACGACTCAATGAAGCTTATCGACCTCCTCGTAAACGTGTCAAGGATTGGAAAGAAATTTCAACTCGACTTTCCACAGCCGAATTGAAATATCAATCTGCAAGATGTATGGATTGTGGTATTCCCTTTTGTCAATCTGATACTGGATGTCCTATCGCAAACGTCATACCTAAATGGAATACTCTAGTGTTCGAAGAACGATGGTTGGACGCTTTGAACAGATTACTCAAAACAAACAATTTTCCAGAGTTTACAGGTCGTGTTTGTCCTGCACCATGTGAATCGGCATGTGTGTTGGGGATTAACGAATTACCAGTAGGAATCAAAAGTATCGAATGCGCAATCATTGATAAAGGTTACGAAATGGGTTGGATGGTACCTCAACCTCCTCACACTCGAACGGGTAAAAGGGTTGCTATTATAGGTTCAGGTCCTGCGGGTTTGGCAGCTGCAGATCAATTGAATCATGCTGGTCATACTGTTACAGTGTATGAGAGAAACGATAGGATTGGAGGTTTGTTAATGTATGGAATCCCGAATATGAAATTGGATAAAAAGGTAGTACAAAGAAGAGTCGATTTGATGTCTGCCGAAGGTGTAAATTTCGTCACGGGAGCTCATGTGGGTGTTGATACGGATGCGGAGGTTATAAAGGCTGAACATGATGCTGTGGTGATTGCTACTGGTGAGCCAAATCTCTTCTCCACATTGCCGACTCTTTGTCTTCATGCTTTTACCTTTTGCTATCATCTTTCCATTCTCTTACCTTCATGGCTTCTCACCATTGCATGCTTCCGGTGTGTGCCTCGAAGCTGGCTGAACGATCACCCACGGTAATTTCTCCTTCTTATCTCTCAACTGTGGCCCCCGCGCATGACCAGCGCTATACATACTTGACCTGAGGATTTCTCGCTGACATCCAGGCGCTACATGGCCTCGTGATCTCAAACTCCCTAACAGGGACAATGACGCCATTCAATTCGCCATGAACTTCCTTCACCCCAACACCAAATCCCTCCTCGATTCCCAACACGAAGACGGTTCCTACATCTCCGCCAGAGGCAAAGACGTAATCGTTATCGGTGGTGGTGATACAGGAAACGATTGTATCGGTACTTCAGTCAGACACGGTGCTAAATCTATTGTCAATTTCGAACTTCTCCCTGAACCTCCTGCCAGTCGTGCAACAGGAAACCCATGGCCTCAATTCGCTCGTATCAAACGAAAAGATTACGGTCATAGTGAAGCAGAGGTATGTATCAATAACGGTCGTGATCCTCGTGAATACTCGATCTCAACAAAAAGATTCGTAGTGGATGAAGAAGGGAAATTGACCGGTTTGGATACTGTCAAAGTTGAATGGACTCAAGTTGGTGGACAATGGAAAATGGAGGAAATTAAAGGTAGTGAAAAGTTTTATCCTGCTCAATTGGTTTTGCTCGCTTTGGGCTTCTTGGGACCTCAATCGGAATGTATCAAAGCTTTCGGTGTCAAACAGGATCCAAGGACGAATATCGCTACTCCTCAAGGTAAATATAATACCAATGTGGATGGCGTGTTTGCAGCTGGGGATTGTAGGAGAGGACAATCTTTGATCGTGAGTTGGTTTTGCAGTCATATCTTTCCTTAATATTTGATTTTATCTTTCATATCCCGTCGTAATATTCCCCTTCGTATAAGTGTCTCAAATACGCCCTTATCATCTCATCCACTCTCTACATTCCGGCTTTGGTTTCCCATGTGACATCCCGAATTCATCTTTTACCCACCTGATCCACTACCTCATCCCCACTCTGGTGTCTCATGCCATCTCCCCAATTCGCCTCCCATCCGTCTGACCACTCTGCTCATCAAACTGGCATCATCTGTCACCACCTGACCACCCTACCTCATCAAACTAGCATTTTCTCTCCGCTCTCTTCATTCCTTTAATCTGAAGCGACATGGTCGAACTTGTTCCACAGGGTAATCTTGCTAACTCACAGGTATGGGGTATCAAAGAAGGTCGTCAAGTAGCAGAAGAAGTCGATACCTACCTCAGTGGTTCAACAAGACTTCCCTTCCAAGGTTCTATCCCTAGACGTCAATGGATCGCTCCACCCGTATCGCGACACCTCATCAACGGATTCACCGACAAGAATGGGTTAGGACAGGATAGGGCGGGAATGGATACGGAGATCGCTGTTGGTGCTTAGAGAATTTGACTTTCGGGATAGGGAAGGTGAAAATTGTTTGTTAGACCCTGTGCCGGTTGATATGGTGTACGTGATGCATCTGTTCATTTTCTTGCTTCACGACTATCTCCTTCTCCGATATTTCCACACGTTCGATGACTTTGCTTGAAATGGACGATTCGGCTTAGCCTCCCCGCCTGAGTATGTGACTATTTATACGCCTTCACCTCCATTGTATCCAAATTGTGGTTTCTCACGATTCCACCTTTGTACTGCTTGAATACCTTGTAGACCTCCGCCCGCGGTCTCACCCGTCAAGAATAGCCTTCAACCACGATTGAATGTCGGTCAGGTCTCCGCCTTGCCGTCTGCAAGAGATATAAACCTTGTCACGGACTCACCCTCTGAACTTATCCATCATCTCTTCTACCCATTGCCTTCAGACATCTAAACTAAAGACAACAATATCATGTCTCATCAAGAAACGGATAACTCGAGTAATGGAAGCACTGACACTCTCATCAACCCTGTCCCTAGTGATAATATTGACTCGGAGGAGAGCCAGCCTCATACTGACGACTCAGATCCTTCTCACTCCTCAATTCCCGACCCCGACGGAAACGATGTCATGAACACGAATGTTATCACCACATTGACGACAAATAACTTTTGGGCAGTTATGATGTTCGTCTCCCAACAACGGGCAGGTCGGAATCCCGACCCCCAACAAGCTACGACATTAGGTATACAAGTTGGTAATCAGTTGCTTCGATTTTGTGGTTCAGGTCAGGAAGTGAAGTATGAGTATCCTTTTGATGATGCCTTCTTCACTGCTTTATCCAACACCCTTCGTAATGGACTGAGCAATCCGAGTGAGCGTGAGCGAGTGGAGGACGTGTGATATCGGCCTCTGATCGGTTAGTGTCATATTTGATAGAAGATCGGACAAATGTTTCGTTCTTCTGACGTGTGATTGAATAAATCGACTTGGTATCATACGATTATCTCCACATGACCTTGAACTGGACCTGAGAGAATGACTTGAAGGGATGATGAGGACTTGATAGTTATATGATTTGAGGGATGAACGATGTATGGTTGGTTGCGTTGCTGAATTGTTTCGACGTTGTTTTGCTCCCCAGTTTCCTTCCGCGGTCGCACGAGGCTCATCGTCATTCCAACCTGTTAAAATCTCTTCTATCAGCTTTTGTTCAGGTGTGGTCAAAGTTGAGCAGGCGATCGCGAGTGTTCGTGACAACAAGCAGACAAGCAGAAGACATGCTCTACTTAGGTAGGTTAAGTACTTAAGTGATAGTTCAGGATACTGTAGCTGGCAGGCGGCGTTCTCCGCCTCTGATCGCTAAGTAGGTTTTCTTCAACTTTTCCTGGTCGACCCAGACGCTCAAGGCTCAACGATCAACTACCCTCTTACTCGACTCAAGCTGCTAGCCTCATCACTCACTATCCACACACCGTCTCTCCCGCTCTGTCTCTCTATTCTTCTCATCCTCCCTGTGCTCCCTTCGGTCTGTAACCGACCCTTGTTCCCTGCTTCCCCATGTCAAACCCTCCTTCTTCCACTCTCAATGATGAACATTTGAACACCCTGCTCAATCGACTGGACCCACCAACAGATCAACACTCTCATGACAAGGAGATTGACTTTGTTTCTGAGCCAATGAGGAGTGACAAAGAGACACCACTTGAGCCACGAGTCAAGAGGACCGTAGCTGACAAATGGGTACAACCACATGGTCCCCCAGTCGGGTCCACCTTCGGCGCCAGACTTCTAGGCGAAGACTCTGATCCTTACTCTCACAACACCTGGGATCATGTGGTCTTACCAGATGGATTTGAGCAGATGGCAAAGGAAGTTTTGGAAGTACATAGATCTAGTCCTGTTTCGCCAGAGAAGAGGGGTGAGTAAACGTTACTCCCCTTCGTACCCGTCCCTGATTTCCTCTCACTTTTGTCTCTACGTCCTCTCCTCATCATTTCGATTTGATTATCCAAACTATTTGACGTTCATCTCTTTGTCTTGTCATATATCTTGTAGACCGTGTCTCAGACAGGGTCTCTCTCATCGCTGTGCTACAAGAAAGACATTACGATTGATGGTCTTCATTCACTCTCAGGGCTCGGAATCTCGCTGACTATATAGACGCATTCAACGCCCGTCCTGCTGAATACTGGAATGCATTCTACTCTGTCCATTCCGCCGCGTGAGCTTTTCAACGTCTGTATCCGGTAAAGCTCACCCGTAGGTTCTTCAAAGATAGACGTTGGCTTAGACTGGAATTTCCAGAGCTGATAGCTTGTACTGAACCTGACGTAAGATCCTGCCTCAGCCCTACCTACTACCATCTTCTTCCCATATCTATAAATTGCAAATCGCCCTACCTGTGATTTGCCACTCTCATCGAATGGGATCTTCTGATTCAGACTTGACATTCTACATTCACTTTCGCATTCCTCTTGAAGGTGGCTTCTCGGAGTTCTATCACGTCTAAGATAGACAATGCGGCCAGTGCTTGAGAAGGAGCTGACCTCAGGCTGGACCCAAGATCGTCTTGGAAGTGGGATGTGTGAGTCTGTTCGGTCACAGTCGAGTGGCATTTGACTGATGCAACAGGGAGCTGGTAACACTGTTTTCCCACTCATGCACCATAACGAGAACCCAAACTTGATCGTACATGCGACCGACTATTCTAAGACAGCCGTCGATATAGTCAGAGTGGGTTGTTCCATCCGTCATAAATTCATCACCATCTCGCTTGTCTCCTTGTTCATTCCGACTTCCACTCACACAAGAGAATCGGAATGCTGGTTCCCGAGCACCGTAAAGATGCGACGCTCACATCCAGGCAAACCCAATGTACCCAATACCTCCTCATGGCATCGGCCGCATGCATGCCAACGTGTGGGATATCACATCCACTCCTGGCGCTGGCCCAAGCAGGTCTCAAAATGGCGATCAAACTTTCCCTCCTTGTCCTGTGGCAACAAAAAGAATGGCTTACATGGCGCGTAAATCTCTACCCGCGGACTTGAATTCTTCGCCTCACACCGAGCCGGAGTCGACAGCTCAGTCGTTACTAGACGAAGCCGTGGAGTCTGAAGAATCTGAACATGGACGGAGAACAGATCAGACCTGGGTTCTGCCGAAAGGTGTCGAACCGGGTTCAGTAGACGTCATCACTGTCATCTACGTTCTTTCGGCTTTGCACCCGACAGAATGGCGACAAGCCATTCATAATCTATATACTGTGAGAATATTTGTTCCAGTGACCAGTGAGGAATTGCTGACAGTCAGGCATTGAAGCCGGGAGGATTGTTACTCATACGCGATTATGGTAGGCATGACCTTGCCCAGTTGAGAATAAAGAAAGATAGATTGTTAGATCCTGATACTCCTAATCTGTATATTCGGGGTGACGGGACAAGGGTGTATTTCTTCACGAAGGAGGAATTGGAGAGTATGGTGCTTGCGCCGCCTCAGGGAGGAACGGGGAAAGGGAATATGTTCGAGATTGAGCAATTGGGGGAAGATCGGCGGCTGGTGAGTTTGTCCACTGTACTGAATGCTCCCTCGACGATGAGGTGCGAAGTCTGTAAGCGATGCGAGTCCATACGACTGTGGGGTCAACAGGTTCACACTGCCTTCCGTATTGAAAGGGTGGATTGTGGAGGATATCAGCTGACTTGCAGTTGATCAATCGTAAAGAACGTCTCAAGATGTATCGGATATGGATGCAAGTGAAAGCCAGAAAGTTGTCACCATCTGCGCCTTCATAGATTTTGTCCGTCATAGAATTTTCCATCTAGCGGGATCATGATGCATCTTGTTTCGTATCTTTTCGTCGACTTTCACATTTTAGACTTCTGTTTGAGTTAGCTCAGTCTGGAACAGATACAAGTGATCGAATCCGACGCACCTTCTCAGCCTTGACTCGCAATGTCTTACGTTTCTTGGGTCCGGAGACACCAGCCTCTGGTCCTTTTGTCGGTGGGGGTGGAGGTGGGGGTGGTAATGATTTGATGTTGTCTTTCGCTAATTTTGAAGTCGTCTTTTCTTTCTTGGTTGGACGTTTTGTGATCTTTGCAGAGCGTCCCATGATGTTGTACTACCGTCACTGGAGTAGAAGAGATGTAAGGTAAAGTGGTGAAAAGTTGAAACAGAAGTTGACTTTTTTACAGGCACAACTCCGGTTGGCCACGTGGCTCCACACAGCACATACCCAACTCTATCTCCTTCATAACCCTCCCCCTACCTTACTTATCTCCATTGTCATGAATACATCTTAACGATCATGACCTCTCCAACTCCTAGAAGGTTCGGTTCACCTCCTTCCTCTTCACTCTCTTCAACCTCAAATTCATCTTCTCCAAACCTCACTTCCCTCCTTCCACCTCGATCAGATCATCGACGTAATTCCTCAGCTTCAACATCTTTCTTACCTCTCGATTCACTAGAATCAGCTGCTGATCGATCCCTCGCTTGGTTACATACTTGGGCACCAAAAGGAGAAGGTAGAGGACGTGAATTTTTAAGTAGTACTTTGAACGGTGTAGCTACTGTTGCCGGTGCTGTTGGGAATCAAATTGGTGAAATGAGACATGAAGGTTTACAAAGAGCTGGTTTAAGTAGACCTTCAAGTTTTCATGTCGTTCCTCAATCTTCTCAACAATCATCATCACTTCAAATATCTAATCGACCTCCGACATCATTACCTCAATCTCAATCTCAACCTCAACCTCAATCTCAAGCTCAACCACAATCTCAACCTCAAATTACATATTCGACTTCATCCGCAGGTAGCTCTCCTCCTGGATCATCTCAAAATGGGATCATACAATCCGGTACGATGAATGGAAATCAAGATGTTATACCAATTACTTCACCGCCGCAAATCAGAAAACCACTACAACCTTCTAATTTATCGAGATTAGGTATAAGTCATACTTCTCGTAGAAATTCAACAAATCCACCACCTATACCTAGATCATCTTCAGCTTCAGCCACAATACAACAACATACAGGTCCACATGGACCTAGTCATCTTAATCCTCATTCCACTAGACCACAATCTCATTCTCGTTCACCCAGTACTGGTCAGGTCGGTGTCGTATCGCAAGGTCTGTCAAGATCGAGTTCTAAAGCAACCACTGACGGTGGGTTTCCAAGAAGAGCTGGGATGCCATATAAAGTTGGGTTTCAACCTGCTGGAGTTAGGAGTGATAGGAGTGAAGAATATTTCGAGGAAAGGAAGAAATGGTCTGAAGAGATGGATAAAGAGGAAGGAAGATTGGGTAGAAGATGGGCTAAAGTGGGTAAAGTCAAATTCACTCGATTTTGTTTTTGTTGCGGTTCAATTTCTGTTCCCTGTCTTGTGTCGTTTCCCTTCTTGTCAAGCAGAAAATGATTTCCATGCGACGAACAAAAACTCATGTTTAGCTCGTCGACCTACATTTCAACCCAAATTCATATCCTGATCCTACTATCCCCAGTTTACCCCGATCGCCATCTTTGTCATCTACAAGCGACAAACGTCGTTCCTTACTCTCCATCGACGGTGCTCTCGATGCTTTGAAACCTAAAGAAATGTGGAAAGGTTTTAAAACCGCAGCTGGTCCTCCTACAGGTGGAGAGGAAGCCAGAAAACGAGGTGAGCTTTAGTTAGTCTGTTAGAACATTAAGCTAATTTCTGAAGCTGCCGAACAAGCCATCGTGAAATGGGAAGATGATTCTCAAGTTCATAAATGTCGTATATGCCAGTCAGTCTCGCCGTTTACACCTATAATCGAACTAATACTGTAGATCCTCATTCTCCCTCGCTAACCGCAAACATCATTGTCGTGTTTGTGGTCGTATAGTCTGTTCACTTCCTCCTACACCTCCGGCATTATTAGCTGTACAAGTTCAACTCTTTTCTCCTACCCCTTCCACCCCTCCCAGTCCATCTAGATCAATATCATTACCAGCAGGAACAAGAACAGAAAAATGTTGTCTTTTGTTAGTAGCAGATTGGAAGACTGGTAGAGGTGAAGAAGTTGATGAAGGGTTTGTGGGTTGGATGAAAGTTGGTCAAGGTTCGGAAGACGATACGAAAAGTCCTTCAATGGGGAAAAGAGCGAGTAGGACTAGTATAGCCAGTGGATCAGATAATAGTATTAGAGATATACCTTTACCTCAACAACCGAAAGAGGTTCAAGTAAAAGGTGTTAGGGTATGTAAGGAATGTTGGGCAACAGTTTCGTATGTTTTCTTCATACCCCAAATTCAGTGAAAAATGCTGATGAGTGTAGGAGGAAACAGAAAATGACAGATAGACAAAAAGTGTCAGGTTTCGCTAGGTTGTACGGGATTTTGAGATCTTTACAAGCAGAGATAGAAAGTTTAATGCCGGATTATGAAGATTCTCTAGCTGAACTCGGGTGAGTTCTTCTATCAACATTTCTCATTAACTCATAAGCCCCCCTCCCCCCTCCCCCCTCCCCCTTTTTTTCAAAAAGAATAGACAAACACATTACATCCAAATCAAGTTAAGATTTGCAAAGCTAATGTTACAGCGCTTCTCCCGATTTCCCAGACCCATCACCAGATTTATTATCATCACACAAAAATCTCATTACGCTATTTACCCAATACGAACATCTTTCTAAACGTTTATCCAACCTTCCATGTGACGAAGGATCTTCACAAGCTGTGGTACAATCCGCAGTGGCAAGATCATCAGCTTCTTTCTTATCTAAAGAAATGTTAAAAGTTCAAGCATTACCGAAATTGCAAAAAAGAGCAGCGGAAAATAAAAGGAAGATTATGAAAGTTGTACAACTTGATTTATCTGATTTGAAAGTTGGTGATGATGTTTCATCTGGACGAGATGAGGAAGAAGAGGTCGATGTGGCTGGATTGTTACAACCTCTTTTAGAACAAGAAGCTCAGTTGGAGTGAGTTGTCATTTCTTTTTTCCCAGTAGATTCCCTTTCTTTCCAACTAAGATCGAAACACTCAACTTTATTGTCTTTTCATGAACAATAGGTGTTTAAGAGTTTACTTCTTCTCCCTGCACAATCAAACCCCTCATTGAAGAAAATGGACATCCCTTGAAATCCATATAGTATGCCTTGGAAAGGTGTTTCGGAACAAGGGGTTTGAGGGGGGTAGAAGAGCCTGGAGGATGTCTGAGACTTTTGAGTGAAGATACATGTCGATATTGGACATATATAAGAGGTTGAAGGATTGCGCTGATGGAAATAGGAATTATATAGCCGAAGCAAATTCTCAAAGAAAATACGAAGATGCTAAAGCTTTATCTGAAGCTTTGATAGATATCAGAGCGGAAATCAGTAAAATCACTCAAAGAGCGATGAGATGAATCTTCGTTCCCTCATACCATTTTCATTCTTTTTTTTTTTCGGAACCAATTCTTTACTTCACTAAGGACTATCGCCTAGTTCTTCGGACTTCTAGATCAGCGAACATACACGAGAGACATATTCACGAGAAGAAAATCGAACAATCACATAGATGTATGTACTGCATATCACTTTTCAACGATGCAAGAGATGAGATTTCCTACTCCAAAACTCTTTCAATTTTTCAGTCTCTTCATCCTTATTCCCCATTCTATCATCCCCATCTCCCCTAACTTCTCCATCTTCATCCCTCGTATCTACAACACCCCAAGAGGTAGAAGGACCGGCATAATCTTGTGTGATAGGAGGGTTCAGATGTAACGCACAGGTGCGTTGAGCTACGTCAAGGAGAGAAAATGATAGAGAAGAAGTATCCCATTTAGTCCCGTTTGGACCAGGAGGTAATGGGGATTCAGATGTTCGAAGAACGTAGGGATTTCTTTCCGTCGGTTGAGTCATACGAAGAGGGGTACTGGAGAAAGAAGGACGAAAGGTTATTTCTTGGTTGATATCACAATTCATCGGAAAAGAATGTTGAGGATGGGGATCAAGGATCATAGGTGAAGGAGGGGTTATGTAGATGATTTCTGCATCCTTTTCTTCTTGATCTTGTTGAATGTTGGTTCGTGGGAGTGGAGGTGGAGGTGTATAATTTATTTGTTGTTGTTGAGTTTGATTTTTTCCTGGATACGAAGGAGAAAAATGAGGATCGAACTGGACCTCGGGGTGATTAGGGAAAGATGGATAAAGATGAGATGATTGGTTGATGTATTGATTTTGAGGAGTGTAATGGGAATATTGAGAGGGATAGACGTTGTTATTCGTTTCATAGCTCATCTGATACTCCCGCAACCATCGGTCAGAATGACAGACGACTTGTTCTGGTTCGACCTGATACACATATTCCGGTTCCGGTTGTTGAGGATGATACTCATGTGGGGTGATATAGTTTTCGATGGGATAAGGAGGATCGGGACGGTATTGAACGTCATTCTCCGGTTGATTACTCATACCCTTATGGTGCAGATGGTATTGAGTATTTCTCATATATCCGTCACAGACGCCGTAAGAACGAGGATCTGAAATGGACGAAGAAGGTTGAGGATCGAATGGAGGGATGTAATCAGCAGGGATGGTCTGACCAAAGATCGTCCGTCGTCTTGTGGGTGGTACTAGATGATCCAGTTGACGCGAAGGGATCATATCTTCGCCCTGAGTGTTTATGGTTGGGAAGAGGGGTCGGTCAGAGAGAGCTGAACGATGAGGCGTGTGATGTCGGATTGATGAGGGGACTGGAGGATTGGATGGCAGGAGACTAGAGTTGCTTGGATGTGAGGGATCATGACGTTGCTGTTGAGGCTGTTGTCGTTGATCGTATTGGTGATGTTCCTGGTTGTGTTGGGGTTGATGATAGATCTGAGGTCTAGAAGATCCTGTAGGATGTGATTTTGGTTGACTTGACCAACTAGGCCAACTCGGGGAATTGGTCCTTCCAGGCGGGGGCAGTTTACCTTGAACTGTCCCAGGACGGACAGATGGTGACTCCGGACGCGATCGACCACTTGAATGACGTAGGATAGGAGCCGACGGGGGATCTTTGATCAGAATGAGAATAATAACATTAATGAGCGGTAGGACTCACGACCAACAGCCGCACGAGCTTCCTCCGCCAATTTATCCGCTCGAAAAGCTGCCGGAAGCTTGCCTTTCACTATGACGCCATAACGCTTGTCTGGTGGTAACTACTCATCAGCTCAACGCGACTCGTCAACGTGCTCGTAGCTTACCGTCAGTCGATGACTACCTTTAATCTGTCGGGAAGTTCCCACTGGCGGAATATAATGAACAGTTCGACGTTTCTTCTCCAACGAATATGACCATTTATCCGTCTCGTCGTTGGTCGAAGGTGGATTGTCTGGTGAAGGGACCCTCTTGCGAATTGCGGCTTTATCTCTTCGACGAAGTTTGCGTTCATACATTCCTCATTGATCAGTAAACGATCCTACGCACGGCAAAGGTCAGAAACCATGAGAGGTCAGAAACGAAGGGTAGACGGACGTTGAGCTTTCTCCCTTGACATGTTTGGGTACTCTTCTCCGGGCACTTGGCGAGGCGTTTTGGGACCAGGGGAAGCATTAACAGCTCGGTGGTCTTGTATAGGTCTGAGGAGAGGATCAGCTGGAAGTCAGTAAGATCAATGATATGCCAAAATGGCTAGCCTTGGGTGTCGATCGATGGCTTGAGTATTTGAACTTGATTTCGCTGTGGAGCATTAGGACCCCATTTGTTCTTCCAATCAGTGTTTTGAGGTTGAGCATGATCCGGAGCAAATCCTTCACTACTCGTACAGAGATTTCTTTGGAAGTGTTCTTGTCCTTGTTGAGCGTGTTGGGCGACATGGGGTTGGAGAGAAGTCAGAAAACGATGAATTTGATCTTGAGGTGGGTCAGTCAATTCCGGTGGGATAGCGAGTATTTTTGGGTTAGCAGTCATTCTTATAGAGATGATGATAAGAGGAGGATCAAGATGAAAGATGAAATGGACCAAGGTGCTTCAAGTAGAGATGGGGAAGAAGTGTACTCTAAGAAAGAGAAGAGTTGATGGAGGAGGGAGATAAAGTTGAAACGCGCTGTTCGAGCTGATTCGCCTCCACTTTTAACACGCTCAACTTTGCATCTCACCACTTCACTTCGTCATCCTCTTACATGTTCACTTCTTCATTATAGTACACCATTAAGGTCATCCTCTCGTCTCTTATACCACACTCTCAACAACGCCATGTCCGAACCTAGAGTTGAACAACACTCAGATCACGCTCCGACCTCCGAAACTGCCGATGCGGTCGATAGTGATCATCTCTCCGACGATAGTATCGGTGACGAAGAATTAGCTAATTTTCTCGTACAAGGTGATTCGAGTTTCAGCTTTGTCATCATTATAATAGTCTTACTGATTCATAGATGAGGAAGAGGAGGCATACACTTACGCAGAAGTTGAAGTGATGCTAGAATATCTCAGAGAAGAAGGTGTACCTAGGTTCATGACATGGTATCTCACCCCTAAATCCGATGGGTCCATACCTTCTCTCACCAAACTTCTCTACAGTTTAGGTCAAGATCTTGTTAGTATCTCATATCAATTTTTTGCCACTTCCCTTCCACCCTCGACTTGGTTGCTCGCTCAGTCAACGAGGCAAAACTGACACGTCAGCCTGAACCCCTCCGTGATCCCCGGTTAGAAGCTAGATATCTACACCAATACACGCACAATATTCTTTGGCGAATAGTTCGTGATCGTGAACGTCTTCCACATCTCAATTCAGTTGAGGATGCCTTGACTTTGATAAGAGATTCGAAAAACATACTTGTACTTTCTGGCGCGGGGATCTCCACTTCTTCCGGTATTCCGGACTTTAGGTCAAAAGGTGGTTTATACTCGATTCTAAGGGAAGAGTGTCATCCTCAACTGGATCAACCAGAGGATGTGTTTGATATTAAAGTGTTCCAAGAAAGCCCGGAGATTTTCTAGTACGTTTTATTATACGCTGTATATCGGATTGGGTGTTGAATGACAGCTCTGTGGCAAGAAAGATCTTCCCAGGACAGATCCAACCGGGACCATGTCACAGATGGATCAAGATGCTAGAAGAGAAAGGCCAGGTATGTACCCCTGCGTTCACAAAGCTCGACACTGACGTAATAGCTTCTGAGAAATTACACACAGAACATCGATAACCTCGAGGGTCAAGCAGGTGTCAAACGTGTGGTCCAATGTCACGGTGAGACCGAGTCAAAAGTAAAAGTCACTGGGCCGTTGCTGATAGCGTAGGATCCTTCGCCACTGCTTCTTGCTTAGTGAGAGGGTCTCTGTCGCTGCTTTACTCCTACTGACCTGCTAGCGCTGCCGACGTCGAGTCCCAGGCTCTGACCTGGAGCCATACATCTCATCATGCACCGTCCCCTTCTGTCCAGATTGCCGTAAAGAGAAAGAAGAACATTTGAAAGAGCTACGGTCTTACAAACGGGCCAAGCTCAAAGCGGCTGGAAAAGGAAAGGCGAAAGCTACCCGATGGCAAGATCCGGATAGTTCTAGCTCGGAGGACGAGTGGGCCGGCGGACCTCCAGGGGTGATGAAGGTATGTCAGAATGTCTACTCGAGACAACCAAAGCTGATGGTGAAGCCTGATATCACCTTTTTCCATGAGAGCCTCAAGTCTGAATTTCAACATCACCTCGCCGACGATCGAAGCAAAGCCGACCTCGTTATCATAATAGGAACTTCGCTAGAAGTCCGACCAGTCAGCGAGCTCACTTGCGAGTCTTCTCCTCAAGATGTATCAGTTCATATATTGACAAACCAGATTATCTTCCCCACTCAGTGCCTCAAATACTGATTAACGCTCAACCTTTGAAGTATCACAAGCCTGATGTGAGCATACCAATCCTTATCAGAGACTCCTGTTGATGTTGTAGATCTGCTTGCTCGGTGATGCGGATTCAATCGTACAATACATTTGTCACGCACTCGAATGGCCTCTTCCAACTTCACAACATACGAATTCTCCTCGTCTTTCCCATCTTCCTCTCAGTCTTCCTCCTGAAGATGTCACCTTTCAATGTCCCGTGGATATGTGAGTCTCACTTTTCATTCGTGTCACCGTATCTCAAATCTGATCATCAGGCCCTGGAATCACTTCATGGCGTCTAAAATAGCGCTGGAGGAAAGGCACAAAACGCTCTCTCCAACTGACGATATCTCGGACACTTCAGTCCTTGATGGGTCCATCAAATATGAAGGTTTCGAATTGTACGAAGATGAAAACGACGACGACGAAGAAGAAGATGAAGAAGATGAGTATGACCTTGGTCCTGATGGAGAAGAAGATGGTGAATGGGCGACCGAGGAGGAGGAAGGTGTGATACCTGTCATTCCTCCAGAACTGAAGGCCGCGTGGCTGGCTAGGCGGGCGGTTGCAGAAGAAACTCAAGCGGTGGAGAGGGAAGATGATCGACCCGACCGACCTGATCGTAAGAGGAGCAAGACGGGCGAGTAGAGATCAAAATTTTAGATATCAGATCATTTGTATTTAGTAGGCAATCTCCATGTAGAACGTTCAGATCTCTCCTGTCATGTACATATAGCTTAAAACTTACAGTACGACACAGAGTAACATCTCTGATTGAGTAGATACAGTAGGATCACGTGACTGATCGGGTATAATCGGCCGTGTGCACTTGAACCCTGAACACTCGCCTCTTTCTTGCTCTTCTTCCCGATAACATTCCACCTCTTTTCCAATTCTCACTCTGAACTGTGCTTCTCGTCAGCATGATCGCTCCTTCATTGAGAAACGTCACGGCTTCTGTCGTTCGACAGGGGCTTCGAACACCCGTCAACGTTAGTGTGTCGAGAAGAGGCATGGCCTCTTTGGTCGATGAAAAACGAGTGAATCTTCTTTTCTTCTTTCAAGCCTTGTACTGACTGTCAGTTGCCTGCAAAGTTTGGAGGTGTGTTTTCATATCTTTCAGTTTCCCTTCACTCTAGATCACTCGAATCTCTACGTTGTCAAGGGAAATAACCTCTCGACTTCTCTCTCATGTTCGTAACCGGTGCGAAGATCAAGACAGACAAGCCGGTCTTATCTTCACTGGAGAAAGAGAACAATCTTCTTAATATCTGAACGACTAGACAAGAGCTCGAGTGAAAAGGGAAAGAACTGATCAATGAGGTAAATACACAGTCACCCTCATTCCTGGAGATGGAATCGGTAAAGAAGTTGCGGATTCCGTTAAAGAAATCTTCGAAGCTCTCAAAGTTCCAGTAGTGTGGGAACAGTATGACGTATCTGGAGAAACTACAGGAGGAGAGGAATTGTTCCAACAGGCTATGGAAAGTTTAAAACGAAACAAAGTTGGGTTGAAAGGTGAGTTTTTGGTTCATATCTACTCACTTGTCCAATCTCTCTCCATGTTTTCAAAGTCTACTTCTGACCTTTTTCCGACATCTCAACTATCTTTCTCCCCAAATAACCAGCATAACAACCTTCTTCACCCTCTTGTATCCCATATAACAAGATGTTACCCTTGATTGTGTTCCTGAAAGAAGGACTACATGACAGACACTGATCTGCAAGGAATCCTCTTCACACCCATCGACCAAACAGGTCATAACTCATGGAACGTCGCCATGCGTCAAACACTTGACATTTACGCTTCTGTCGTAGTTTGTAAATCCTTACCTGGATTCCCTACACGTCATGAGAATGTCGATTTTGCCATTATTCGAGAAAATACCGAAGGAGAGTATTCTGGGTTGGAACATCAGAGTTTCCCAGGTGTTGTGGAGAGTTTAAAAGTTTCCACTAGGGCGAAAGCGGAGAGAATTGCCAGATTCGCTTTTGATTTTGCTCTGAAGAATAATCGTAAGGTCAGTAGTATCCCTCCTCCGTTCATTATTTGTAAACTTTGTACATCTCACTCGGATTATTTCTTTAGATCCTTCTTGTTCTTTCTGAATCTTTCGTCTCAATTGTCTTCTTCATTCTCCTTACTCAACCTTCGTTTGGTATCTCCTTTCAGCATCTCGACACTTAAACTTTCCTCTCCGGAGGGAGGGAGGGGGGGGGGGGGGGGGGGAAAAAGAATCCATTGGGAGATTTGCCAAGGATGGGCAGACTATACAAATGGTCTGAAGAAGTACCCTCGACAACTCACTGACCTCTACAGAAAGTCACCTGCGTACATAAAGCGAACATAATGAAACTTGGCGATGGTCTTTTCCTCAATACTTGTAAACGTATCGCTGAACAAGAATACGGTCACACGGGTATCAAATTCGATTCTATGATCGTTGATAATACTGCTATGCAATTGGTCAGTCGACCTCAACAATTCGACGTCATGGTCATGGCAAGTTTCTCCTCCTTCTTAATTGGTCTTATGCTAACTTGCAGCCTAATGTGAGTATCTTCTCCCCATTCTCCTCTCATACAAGCCATTCTCGAAATTGTTTTGGTAAGGTATGCCAAATAGACGTATCCCTTTACTCGAGTCGGTGGAAGAAAAGAGATTCCCCAGTCTGATCAGTAGCTTTACGGTGCCATTTGCGCAAATGTTGGTTCAGCTTTAGTAGGAGGACCGGGTGTTGTGCCTGGGTGTAACTTTGGCAGGGAGTATGCTCTTTTTGAAATCGGTTGTAGACACATCGGGTAAGTTTTTCTCCTCCTTCAAGGGTCCGCCCTTCTCAACATCTCTTTCAGCCTGTAAGGTTTCGTTGACTGTATTTACTCCTCTGTGAATAAGATTGTGTTGGAAGGAAGGATGAGACATTTCTGTGTTTCATGACGTCGTGATCGATAAACTGACATGGCAGAAAAGACATCATGGGCACAAACAAAGCAAACCCATCAGCCATGATCCTGTCATCTACCATGTTGCTCCGTCATCTCGGACTTGAGACACAGGCCAATACGATCGCTTCGGCCGTATATGATGTTATTGCCGAAGGACAAGTCAGGACCAGTGATATGAAGGGTGAGTTCGCTTTTCATCGCCCATATCCTTTTGTCTCCCTTCTTTTCCTCTTGATCTCGAGTACGCGCGGAATAGATCGAGAATTTCCGCCGAATCCGTAGCCATGGGTTTCAGAGCGTCAATGTGGTCGTGCATGTCCTTCTTGACCCGCACAGAGGCTTCTACGGGTATCCTCCATCACCAATTTCAAGTTCTATCCCAGTGACCCAGCTCGGTATCAATCATGACATGGAGGGAAAGACGGATGCTGATATTCTAGGAAGCGCCTCCACCACAGATTTCACCAAAGCTGTCCTTGCCAAAGCAATGGCTTAGTCAAACGGTCGGTAGAGCAAATCAGTTTCTCAGGTTGTCACTTGTCCACGAATATGCAAATGCCAATGCGACAAACACTTTCCAAGCCTGATATAAATTTGAGCCTGATACCAAAAAATACGCAGAGTGTCCTTCTTCACACCTCACCATGGCAGACGTCGACCGAGATAGTCTACATACTGTCCAGAATCTGCAAGCGTCTTCCAGCTGAATGCGACGTCAAGTCTGCAGTTTAGCTATGTTCCTATGTCGACAGAGACGTTGGGGTTGTAATGCCGCGCAGGAGGATAAACGACACGGATCTTTGTATGAAGAATGAGGGATATCGAGAGGGACACTCACACATGAGAAGCACTTTGATCCGTTGTTAAATCCGCACCTAATCGACCCATCTCAGTTTTGATGAATCCCCTGATTGATTTAGCTCTCACGACGATGAATATATCTCACGAAGGGACATACGGATGTATAGCCCCCACAATTGCTCTATCCTATCCTATCAGCCTTTCCTCCCCTCGTGATCGTGAATCTATTTCGGTGTCTCTCAGATCGTAGTACGGAGGTGGGGAAGATAAATGCAGAAGTGGGTAAGATAAATTAACCTACTCACTCGTAACGTCCGAGCGAGATGTAAAGTCACCCCGCTCAAAGCCACCTTACTAGCCGCGTATATATGATGGAAATATAAATCATCTCTAGGATCCCCATCACCTGTGAACATCTCCGCTGCCATTCCCAACGATGCCTGTCTTGATGAGATGTTAACTACCACCGGTACTTCTGCAATCGCCACCTCTTTCTCTGAGTTTACCGTCGAGTAGTTGGTCGTTATTTGAGGAGGAGTCAGAAGTCCATTGTCTAAAAGTGTCGCAGTGATTAACAAAGGTCCGAAGGCGTTAGTACGCCATGTGGTTTCGTAATCTTTCGCTCCTGCCACAGTGGGGAATGATAAACCTGTTTCTCTTACTCCTGGTCGTCGATCGGGTTGATGTGCGTATCCAGCATTATTAATTCTTTTCCGTCAACTCTAAGCCATACGAGATTAAAACTTACAAAAGGTTGACACCATTAGGAGAGATATCTTTGATTTGCTCGGCTAAATTCTGTCACAGATTAGCTGATGATAATGAGAACACAGAAAACTTACAGCACATGAAGAGATATCTGATATATCTTCCAATATCACTCTTCTTATTCTTCCCTTGTTGGAAGCTACAAGAGAGGCTAAGATATCGTCAGGAGGTAGGGAACGTGAAGTACCGATGATAGTTTTGACCTGTGGGCGAAGTAAGAGTTGACGTATGAAACCCAGACCAAGACCTCTATTGGCTCCCTATGTCTTTCAGCTTGACACATACTGGTTAGAATATCAAACTGACAGTGACAAGTGCAGTCACCATTCTTCTGATGGATTGCTGTGTGGTCTTGTATGATAAGAAGTAGGAAAGTGAGTTGATGGAATGTCCAGATCCGACGATAACGAATTTGCTTCCGGCGTATTGATCTTCCTGCAAGACATGTGGCGTGCTCTTCAAAGATGCGAGTGAATATGGTTGACGAGCTTATCGAGCTAGACTGCTATGAGAAACTTGTTTCTTCCTCAACATCCCTTCCAATCTTCTCATCAGCACCGATAAACCAAGATCACGGATAACTCACGCGAGAAAAGCAGCCATGCTAGGATCTAAACCTTCTTCCATCTTCCTCTCTTCTTCAGCTACCATCTCACCCGGACCTTTCCTCTCGACCGCCAGAACCGCTGCTGGCCATTCTTTCCTTGGAATGTCGGCGATTTTGAGGGCTTTTACAGCTTCTGAAAGAGCGGCAGTGTAAGCTTCTAAAGCATCGGCATAGAGGTTGTAGACGCAGTTGACACATGAATTCATGCAACATTCTGAAAGTCAGCCGGTGGCAAGTTTCATCCCTTGATTGACCAGAGCCGATGGATCCCGATTATAGATAGAAATCAGAGAATACTTGTGCTATAGATAGATGAGATAGTGTTGAAAAATGAATGAATATAAACGGATTGGAAAGGACGGTTACTCACCTTCAGCACCAGGAGGTACAGGTTTAGGGGGTATCATAATACCTTGAACCCATATCTCTCCTTCTCCACTTGTTGAAGCGACAGTCTCTTTCTCCACTGTCAATTTGAGGGGTTTCATAGCAGGGACGGGTCGTGCCATCTTGAGGTCGACGTTCTGAGGTGGGGGTACTTCGGCCAATGATGGTGATACGGGAGAAGGAGAGGAAGTGATGAATACATCCTTGTTCTCATTGGGTATCAACTCTGCATCAGACTGGATAGGAGATGAAGTGAAGGGAGGAACGTTGGGTCGACGATATTTCGCCAAGAGGTCATGAGACTTTGGTCGAGGGGGAGAGGGCAAGGAAGGGGAGGTGTGAAGGTGATGTTGAATTGTACAAGTACATCGGGTGGCGTTTCGAGCGAGTTGAGATATCAGACGAGTAGAGTAGTGAAGAATGGTCATATCATCCTATCTGTTTGTGACATGTAGCATCAAGTAGATGAGCAAGTGTGATGGTAGGAGAGAAAAGAGAATTGTCAAAATCGTCAGCTCCGTCTGCAGTCTGGGTTATGCAAGCAGCTCAGCAGCTCAGCAGCTCATCAGCGGTGTGCTTTGTGGCATGTGGCACCTCTCACATCCTTCATAGTCACTATATCATGGAAATCCCCGTTCTCAATTCATCGACTTACGAGTATCCCTCTCACACGTTGAAACCTAAGTGATTCCTTACTGAGAAAGTAAATCTTCCAACTGGGACAAGTCCTAATCACATATCAGCCCTTACCAACCACACAGTTCAAGTAATGAATCACTTACAATGACACGTTTTTCTCGCTCGGGGAGTAAATTTCGCATGTCCGTGTTAAACTTGCTTTTCGCCCTATTAGCGGTTTCGAGATCCATCGGATATTCGCTCTGGTTTCTTGTATTCTGGTTTAGCTCCAGCTGACATTGCTCGATAATCTCGTTGATGCAGGAATAATCCGGGACCATACTAGCCAATTGTATTCTATCTTCATTTTGGTAATTTGAAAGTTCATCATGAAGCAGCGTCTGACTCAAAAGGAGTACCTGAGATACATGAGATTGGTACATTTGACCGGGCTTTGTGTTAGTCAAGAGACCATATACCTGGAGAGCAGAGGGGGAGAGAGAAGCAGGAGGGAGAAGATAGACTCACATCAACTGAAAACCCGCCCGCAACTCGGGGACGTGGATGACCACGTCTCCTCTCAGAACGAACCATAGGATGCGGAAAATCTGATTGCGGTTGAGTTTGTACATACGTGGAATTGCTAGAGTACGTATTCTCGTAAGTAGAAGGATAAGATGGGTTACTCCCTAGTGAAGGTCGAGGAGGTTGAAGTCCTTCTGGACCCCAAATACCTGACTGGGCTGTAGGATCGACTTGTGTATACTGGGGAATTACATAGGGACCGGAAGACCCTTGAAGATTACTGTTATTTTGACCATCCCAGGGTATGGTAGGATCATCTTGAGTCGTTTCCTGTTGTTGTGATGGATTGTATCCACCATAGCCTTGGTTATAAATGATGTTTGGGTTGTTATACGAACGATCTGGCATGGTGAGGGATAAAGCTGTTGTTTGTGATACTACTCGAAGTGTCTAAGTGTCAATTGAGAGTTAAAATTGATTGTTGGATGAAGAAAACGAACCAGATGTATAGCTCTTTATAGTTCACAAGGATAAGATGAGATGACACTCAGATTACATCATTTTCCTAGATGGTCGAATATCCCTTGCACGTTTCGATGTTGAGAACGGGTGGAAATGATCCGACGGCCGACGTGAGGCTTTGAGAGATTCGACGTCATCGTGTAATGGTTTTGGACCCCTTGATTCGCTATGTACTGTAGAACTCCGACAACGTCGCGATCGTGGGAAATTTACATCTAGAAACGACTTGGTCCCATAATTGCATAATTGTATGAACATGTTTCCAATCTTGAAAATTATACCACCTTCCTTTCATCCTCATTTGCAGGTTGTAGTGTCATATCAATTCGTAAATAGATAATTTAAATCATGCATCAGTAATGTGAAATTTTACGTTTTGTGACTCCGTCCAATCCATACTAACGGAAGCATATGAAAACATATCAGACGGTGTCATAATGTTAGGCCCAGTCACTGGACCGTTGCATATCACGAGAGATGTTGAGGGAGAATCCGGCTCCATCTTCATAATTGAAGGTACGAAAGTCATCGAATGTCTGAGTCGAATCAAACACTGTTTCATATGTCAGTGACCATACAATCAACAGGACACACAAGATCAAGGACTCACTAACGGTTCACCATGGTAACATGGGGGCACGAGGTGTTGGAAAGTAGAGATGAAATTCCGAATCAATTGGGTTGCCCCGTCCTCGGTCCAAGAGCCGTGATTTGGAGATTGAGAGGCCGCCATCCCTCGACCGGCTACCGTATACAGCTCACATAAGTTGTTATGCCATTTTTGTGATAGGGCACTTATAGTGCAGACAGTCTCACAATCAACTTGGATGCTGCCCAGATGGCTGGAATACAGGTTTGGGGTCTGACTACTTAGCAAGTGAGTGGTAATTGGATAATACGAATTCACGACGGGAAATGTCACAGGAGGTCCATACGGAAGAGATAGATGTTGTTCAGAAATCGTAGCGTATCCTTGGTCTGGTGCAAAGAAAGCCCGGAAAGATACCGATGAGTCGACCACAGCCGAGGGAGGAACGACAATCGTCTGCCAGTACTCTTGGGAGATAGATCGCGGATGATAGTATCCTTGTGCCTCTCCTCCGTATCCACTGTAAGCGGCGGAACGGGAGACCGCTCTCGAGTAGGGGTGAAAACGTCTGTTGCTTGCCCGTGAAGCGCTGTGGAAATGAGGGCCAACGGACAGTGACCGGAATGATGATAACGGATCAGTTGATGTTGATGGTTCAGTTGCTGTACCGACAGCCGCTGAATCTGAAGCTTGGCCAAACGAGTCATCGTGAGTCTGGAGACTGATCTCGGCTTCGCCAGGAGGCGGGGAGGTCATTCTGGGTCGGTCTTCGTGGATAGAATGAGGCGATTGATGGCTCTGAGGTCTTTCCGTTAGAGAATGATCGTCTACCTCTTGTCGAGGAGAGGGATGAGAATATTATATCTTGATATGATCTGTTCAGGTAGCACAAATATTTTGAATGGACCGCATCTCCTTCCCCTTCCCTCGCCTTCGAACCACTTCGGACCCTCAACACTATACCGCGGACTAAAGAAGTCTCCCTTGTCCCGATTGATGGATTCGACCGACCGCTTGCCTGCCGCAGATGACATTGAACCTCGAACCTCGGACTATGCGCGTTGAGAATAGACCTTTCAGAGTCTGCCTCCAACTTCCCTTCATCTCATGGCATAGCCTTAAGTCGTCCTTTCATGCATCGGGGAATGTCGGACATTTTGACAGATTCGTGATTTTGAGATTGTTGTGAAAGGACACAGCTTCTAGTCAGACATTCTATGCCGTGAGAAAGGGTAGCGCGAGGTCAATCTCCGTGAGGAGGAATGCGAAAAGAACGAGAAAGGTGATTGCGATTGATGAATGCACTAAATCATCTCCGCTCCTAAACCCTCCGCGAAACGCCGAGCTCGTCTGGTAACTTCGCCTCTTTCTCCCATGATGGTCAATCGGATAATGACGCCCTCGAGATCTGGCTTGAGGTCCAAGTCTGGGAAAGGAGTGAACTCGGACCTTCCAAATGCCCAATTAAGGATGTGTATAGATCCACGCTCTGAGTTCGGTGTTGCCCAACGGACGAGACCTTTGACTGTCCAATTAGCAATCAATACGTGGTTGATCGAGGGAGGGGGAGGTAAGTGTAGTACTGACTACAACAGCGAGGAAAACAAGGAAGATGAGAGAGGGAAAGGACGAGGGCGCACCTCTATATATCTCAAAGTTGAGTTTTGCTAATTGTTGTTCCAAGACCTCTCTGTCCACCGGTATCACATCTCCCTTCGTGTGACTTGTATTGTCCTCAGTACCATGCTCAACTGTACAGTGACAAGCTTCTCCTTCCGCATGTGAATGCGCATGATCATGAGCGGCCTCAGGTCTCTTCCCACCCTTCCATACAGTCCGTACCTCCACCTCATCCCCATGCCATCCGCTTTTACCCTTGATGATCTCCCAATCTATACTCTCGTCTCCTGTCCGGGAGAACAGTCGTGTGTCAATACCGAAGACCAACGTTGGGTCAACCGGGTTTTCGGGGGAGACTTTGATGCGCGGAGTGTCTTCGTTGAGGAGAGAGAGATGGTCGTGAAGCTGATCTAGCTCACGTTCGGAGACTAATTGATGTTTGGACAGGAGAAGAAGATCAGTGTATTTGGCTTGAAGCTGTGGATCAGCTTTAGTCTGGACATTTGACCTCGAGTAGACCTGCAGAGATAGGCAGGCTGGTCTGCAGAGCAGGAAGTTGGTGTGAATGACAACGCCATGAATCTCCATCGGGTCATGTGATGATTGAAGCATGAGAAGAAGCAAGGGGGATTATTAGCATAAGGACGAACCTTTGCAGACGGTGAAGAATCCTCATATCCTTTGAAATTAATACAATCTATCACCGTCACCACACCGTCCAGCTTGAAACCTTTCGGTTCTAATTCTCGGATCCGGAGTGCTAAGGTGGCCGGAAATGCAGATCCACTGTTATGGTCAGATCTAAAAGCGCGATTCTCTAGAAACTCACCTTGACTCAATGATGATACGATCTGGATGATACTTGTCCTTGATCTCCACAAGGGCGTTCTCAACCAACCCGACCATAGTGCAACATCTCTTTCGTCAGCTTGCGCTCAGAGAAAGGAGATGTATGGGAACTTACAAGCACCCATTGAGGATCTCAGAAACTCCCGTTATCTGACTTTGGCTGGCAAGGAGAGAGTCAACTGGTGATCAGCAAATGCAGACGGACGGACAGAGTGTGAAGGACAGATGTGAGTTAGGAACACTACCAACTTTCGACATCTCCATACTCATTTTTGACAAGGACCACTTTGTACTCCTTTGGTAATTGTTTCAGTAGACCGAGTATAGTCGTTGTTTTCCCCTATAATGATCAGATGGTTCAACCACATGGTCACTTTTCAAGAACAGCTCACCGCCCCTGAGATGGATCAGCGAGCCCGCTGATGAGGAAGGAAGGACAAACCAAGAAAACCAGTGAAGCAGGTCACGGGTATAGGTATTTCGTCGGTCATCGTCGGTCACGTAGGAGGAACGGGCTGCATGCACTGCAGAACCACCGTTCAACCTGAATGGATAAGTGTTGAGAAACGGCTGGGCAAGGCAAGAAAGGAGGAGAAAGTGGGAGGAATTGAGCGTATTACGGCGGCGACCGCCGACTGCGGGACTGCCACATGCCACCTACTGTACCTGTTCTAGTACTACTCGTAAGTATGGCACCATGCCCTATGGATCTATGGATTTATCCAACACAATACATCGGCGCATCGGTCTCGGAGTCGGGCATTGGCCATGGTCACCGAAGACAAGGGAATGTTTCATGGAAAGGCTGCGTGCATGGCAGATTCCCGTACTGTATGAGACGACGACGTACATACAGTAGATGGTTGCATGAGGCAACTTATTGCCTGCCTTTGGGTGGGGAGAGCAAGCTGAGGCACAATGTGAGAGAGAGTAGAGTAGTACTCGTTGTACTTTCCACTTGCAGCCCTAACTACCTCCTGCCTTTTTGCCCCCGTCGGTCGTATCAACTCGAGTTCTTTGTCAAACTTTGATCACTCCCCTAGCTATCCTTCCTTTCCAGGATACCCGCCCACACCGTCTACGCCGACCTTGCGTTTCCTTGACCCCCTTCCCCCCCTTAACCTTACTCGGTTCTCCTCACTCCGAAACCGGCAGCTCTCTCTCTCTTCCTCCGAACCACCATGTCTCGTCCCCCTCCGCACCCATCTTCCTCTTATCCGCAAGGGCACAATCGTCTACCTTCGTTCCCACAACTTCTCCATCACTCTCACCAGCAAAGTTCATCCAGCCATCCCCAATCCAGTCACTCTTCTTACCCTTCTCTCACCAGATCCGATCCACACGCCAGAATTCGAGAACCAACTCCGGACGATTTACAGGAAGATGAAGAGTATGATGGCAACAAGAGGTCATCAGGCGTAAAGATGGAAGCTGGGCCGAGTGGGAGTGGTTCAACCGAGAGAAAGCATGCGACCAGGAAACGGGTCGTTCAGAGTTGTTCGGAGTGTCGGCGAAGGAAGATCAAGTGCGATAAAAAGTGGGTCCACCAGCCTCCTTCTTCTTGCCTAAAGCTGACGACGTAGATTTCCATGTGGTATGTACTCTCATTCATAATAATCAAACGACCCAAGGCTGAATCATAGGTCCTTGTATCCTTCGGGGCGATCAATCAAAGTGTAGAGAAGTAGGCATGGTTCGTCGTTTCTCTGACCTTGCTGCTTCCTCATTCCTCCTCGTGCACGGATATGGTCGATTGGGACTGTTGAAAATTGCTTATCCTTCAGGCCGAAAAGAACATCACTGCGGCATCTCCGTAAGTTTCTCATCAACGTGCACAGACCTTTGACATCTGACATGTCAGTATCAGTTTCGCGACGACGACCGATCTTGCCCACGTCTCTCATCGATTGGACGCGTTAGAAGCTTCTCTTGTCAAGACCGGCGCCCTCATACCTGCCGACCTTGAGTATTTCTCGAGAGAATCACATGTCGGCGTCTCTGCAGCGGAAAAGCGTATCACCGACGAAGACTCGGAAGACCAAGATGATACAGAGGATGCTGCTCTGACTTTGGAACATCTGGCTTGGGGTCGTTCGAGAGTGGAAGGAAGTCACTCCATAGCGCACTTTGGTACACATCCAAATTCTGCTTCCACCAAAGCACCCAATAATGATTATCATTTCTCTACATTTTCTAGACCCCCGGTCAATTATCATTTACCATCCCCCCATTTCCGATCCACAGGACCGTCTCCGACTGCTCATCGGAATTCAATTGGCGAACGTTCCAATAGCCGGACTTCGGGTATGATTGGTATTGCCAATCAGTACGGTCAAGGGGTAATTGGTGAAGGGATGACAGAGGATGAGAAATTCAGGAGGATCGAGGAACTTGTACAGCTCATTGGGCTGATGGATCCTCTCGAGTTGTTCTGGAGCAAGACGACCGTTGGACTGAGATGGATAGTGGACCGTTTGCCAAGCCCAGATAGGGGGAAACTACTTATCACAAATGTGGGTCACACGTCTCTATACCTGATCCACTTCCCTCCGCTCTGACTGAGGCTCTATCGCCTTCACTATTGATTCTCGGGTGAATAGTCTTTGATCTTCAACTGACCCGGCAGTATCTCCAGAAGGTGGATTGGCTTTTCAGGTGCATTCACGTTCCTACTTTTCTCAAACAATGCAGTGATCTCTGGGCTGTGCCCCGAGATAGAATATCTGAAGAGATATCACTCCCATTTATAGCCCTATACATCTGCGCGTGTTCGGTGAGAATCTTTCTCTGTCGCTCTCACTCTTCTTTAGCTTTCTTCTCCAGTCTTTCTTGTTGCAGTCCGCACTGAAACCACCTAGGGGTACCGACTTACGTCCACGTATCATCCTTGTGAAGGGAGCTACTGATCATCCAGCTCGGCTTGCAGTTCATGGACCCCGAAGAGATCGCCGAGAACTTTACTCCAGAGGAAGCCCACTCAGTGCCTTCGCAATACTATAATTGCATCAGAGCGGTCAGTCGTTAAACACCTCTTTCTACAATCGAATTCTACTAATTTCAAGTCAATGTATGGATCCGATTTTGGTGGCCAACCCACTGTTGAACACTGTCAAACATTTGTTCTCATGTGTGCTCTGATGGTAAGTCGTTCTGCGTAATTCTGGATTCTTCAGACTGCTGAAGAGTTAGAACAACCGAGATAGATCCGAAATCGCGTGGTCATTCTTGGGTGCTCATATCAAAGTAAGTGTCTATCCTCGTCCTCAACATGTCCGGACCAATGATCAAGACACCGACTTCGAAGAGTGCCCATACTGATTGCTCAGATGGCACAATCTCTAGGCATGTCTCGACTGGGGGCCGAAGAGCCCGCAAACGATGAGAAAGGATCTCCCATGTGGACTGGTCGCTGGGAAAGTCTCATTCAACGTGAAGTGGGAAGGAGAACATGGTGGAACCTCGTCTACCTGGATTGGTCACAAGCTCCAAGTTATCATAACCAATCTTGTGTCACGCCAGATCAGAGTAAGCCGTCTCCTCCTTCATTGCGACTTTCGACTGTTCGATGTCACCAGACTGACAGTGCAGTAAGAACCGCCCTTCCTGCGAATATCGATGATGAAGACCTGATCGATGGCCTACCTTTACGAGCCAAACCATTAAATGTTCGCACGACCATGTCTTTCCAGCTTGCGAAATTCAAATTCGCTGAGATTGCCCATCGACAAATATCGCAGGAGATGAATATGCCTCATGTACCTTATTCCTTCGTGTATGTTGTTTCTCTTCTTCCCTCTCCATTCCCGTTCATCCTCTGCCTCCGCTCGTTCACACGCTTATCCTCCCTACCCTGTTTCTCAATTCCATCAAATAAATGTGTGATGTATGATGAAAACGACCTTGGAATGTGGATGTCGCTGACTGTATCACAGAATATCAGGTTTGTTCATTAAATCACTCTGAAACGCTAGCAAGATGACTGATGCACCAGTGGACGGAGAGTTACGAAAAGCAATGATGGAACTCCCCGCTTTCTTCCAACCTGATCGTGATCGAAGGCCTCCCCTACCGCATGATCCCAAAAATCTGGTCCAGTACTATGAGAAGATTATGCTCAGTTTGGCGGTACATTCAAGAATGCTCCAGCTTCATAGACCTTGGTTATCACGGGGATACAAGGATGAGCGGTGAGTATTCGTCACACCCTTTTTCATTTTCAGCTCCTCATGGCTCACCTTTGCCAAGCCATCTCTGCCTTTTTCGATTGGCCGAACGAGGGTAGCTGAACTATATGAGACATGTGAATGGGGTGCTGATGATCAGATTCGCCTATTCGAAAGAACAATGTCTGCGAGCTGCTAGGGCGAGCGTACGAATGATGTTACAAGATGATGGTGTTGCTTCGTTTTTGGAGAAATGGTGGATCCCGTTGTTTTACGGTCCGTCTTTCTTTCTCCTCGCAAGATGTAAAGCTCACAGATAGTGTCCGTAGCGGATATGTTGATCATCATAGATTTGCTAGTGCGTCTTTCTCTCCCAGTCCAGCTGTACTAGAGACCTTTAACATGAAGCTGACAACAAAGAGGACAAACAAAAAACATATGCATTCGAAAGATACAGATGCTAAGATTGCCGAGGTGAACGGAAGCTTGGACCAAATGAGGTGAGCTGTCTCAGGGGCATTGAACGAGAAGCTGAAAGTCCGACGGATTGCACATGTTTCTCATCCGGCTCGAGCTGTGGTCAAGGTGATGGATACTTTGATGGGTCAGCTTTCCCTCATGACAGCTTTTTCCTCTTTCTTACATGTCAAACATCACACGATCCATTACAAAACTCCCATCTCCCCCCTTCCTGACCCTTCTCGTATCCTGAATCTTACTTACATCTACAACTAGTGTTGGTGGGAGTAGCCCTCTACTTGTCAGCTAGAAAAGTACAGGCAGATGTCATGATATCTTTGATACCAAGATGATAGATAAACTAACTTTCAGCCGAAGTGGAAGAAAGACGAAAACCTACTTCAACATTAGGTAAACGTAAATCCCCATCAGCCGAAGCTGGTAATGAAGAAGAACCGAACCTTCAACATGCAGTTAAGAAATTAATCCTTCAAGCTGCTTTAGAACAAGATTCTTCCGATACTGCTTCACAAACAACTCCTCATTCAACTACTACTCCAACTGGAGAAGTTATTTCTCCATTTTCCAATCCGTCAAATCCAAATGTTCACTCATCATCAACACTTGTCAATACTTCCAATGTCAATTTATCAAATTCTCAAAACCAAAATCAATTATTTAGCGGAGGACCTATATTCGATGTTTATCCTCATTTCCCATTACATCAAATCCAACAAAACTCACAGATCCAATCCAATCTATCTAATCAACCGAATACATCTACATCTACATCTACATCAACGAATCTTCCTTCTCAAAATAATCAATTACTTCAACCTACTCAAACCATCCAACCCAATCAAACGTCACAACCTAATCAAACTACACAAACGTCACAACCTATTCAACCTAATCAGACGACTCAATCAACCCAAACGAATCAATCACAAACCAATTGGACACAAGATTTCCCAGCAGCTTGGTCATATACTATCGATCCATCAGGTCCAGTAATGTATCCTGGTCCATTAACAGGAAGTGAAACAATTGATCCAGCATTAGAAGATATGTTATCTTTCTTTCCTCGAGATCCTCAAGAACCTGCACCGGCAGGTATAGCACCTTTACCAGATGATTTCTTAAGTCGTGTTTTCAGTTTTTCATGGGATGCGAACGCTCAGAATGGGAATGGATTTTCCAATGAAGCTCAGAATAATTCGAGGATTTCTGGAGGAGTCGTGAATGTTCAAAATACAAATCCGAATGATCCTTCGGTGATGGGAAATACCAATGGGACCGTAACGGGTCAAGGAGTTGGTTGGCAAGGTTGGCAAGGGGGTAGAAGATGGGTTGGATGATGATATCAAAGTTATTGAGATTCATCGGAGACAAGAGAGGAATCAGAGTTCGGATTGATTAGACGAGTATGGAGAGGGAAAGAAAGGGATAAAGTAGAAACGAGTTGGAGAAAATCGACGAAGGTTATCGTGTGAATGACTCATCGGAAGGAATCTCGACGAAAAATCTGACAATTTAGCATCGTGCCCATTGCATATACAAATGAATGCATATAATCTTGTGGCTATTACAAGTAAAATCGTATATCATCATCAAGAAGTCAGACACAATGAGATCCCCAATCGAGTGAACGCAAAAGAGGCCCGTCTTCCCGGAACCCCCGAAGGGGAACAGGGAAGACGGGCCAGTTTCGCGCAACAGCGTTTAGTCTCCGTAAGAGGCAAGGGCTGTTGGAAGGTAGTAAAAAAGTAAAGTATATATAGCAGAGCAAAGCAAAGCATAGCACATAGGGTAAGAGAGAGGAGCGATAAAGGATATGAAGTCGAAAGAGTGTGGAGAATTGGATTAGACGACACGAATAATGATGAGTTACCAAAATAAAACAAGTGCAAAAGCACAAATGTAAAACTCGTGTCAACACAAAACCATTTCAATAATCAATCGCTCAACGAACCGTTTTAAAGAACGACCTTGCCAGCGTAGCCAGTGAGAACCGTCTTTCTTTCCGAATTCCGATTGGGCGATAACGACGATCCTAAATGATGAGGAAAAAATGTCAACGGCGTACCGAGTAAGACCAGATTATCCCCTCTCAATTGTTTTTTCTTTTCCTCTTGTATTCATCGAGAGTCTTGCCGACCTTGCGATCCTGTCATCCATCCCATCGATCAATTGATCCCTTGTCATATTCGAATTTAAACAAAAACTCCTATGTGAGCCGACGATGATCGAAACCTAAGCATGAATGCCGAAGTGAGAACGACGTCGAAGAAGTTAAAAACCACAAATGTCACTCAAAGCGCGATGCTGATGAAGTTTCCGAATGTGGTCAAATAATGAACAATGGGACAGAATGAAGAAAAATGGACTGTACTGGACGTGCAGACTTGCTCCCGAGGTCACACTCGAACTCCAACGCCACTTGAATAACCTCGCTGCGACCTCGTTCACGCACCTTCACCGCTTCCATCCCTTACCGGCCTTCGCGGCGGGGGAATTCCACGGGTCGAGTTTTGTTTCGCGAGACAGACAGAGGCGGGGGAAGGCAGTTCGAGTGGCCTTGTCGATAATGCGTAATGATGCGCTGAAGATAAATCCCCAAAGTGGACTGCTCACCAAGCATCTCACTCGTCATGTCTGATCGTCAAGGTGTGGATAGGGTCAGATGACCAGATTAATGATGACCAATGATGATAAATGAGTGAACGAAATGTCAAAAAGATGATGGTGAGATAAGACAGATGGGTGGATGTTAGTCTGTTGAAAGACCGTTGAGTTCCGATGGACAAATAAGCGATGTTATGTGAAATCGATATGCGAGCTCATGCGATCCAGAGCGAGTCGTTCCACCTCGGGAACCACGTAAGAGATGTGAGAACCAATTGAGGTGGATATGGATCGTGGCTGTTTATTTTCGTTCCAGTTGGGCGAGTGAGTGTCGACGGATGACCAATAAAACACAAGTCAAAATCCTCAGAAGTGCTCTGTCGAACACAACGTCAGAACCGCACCGAAGAGGGACCCAAGCCGATGGGTCAATCCCAATGGGACCGACCCTGTCGAGACACCACTGGTGTCCGACCACATTCCTATCGAAGGATGTTGACTGTCGAAATAACCGTGGAAGAAGTTCCGAAGGATCCGAAAAGTCTATAGGCAACAGCCTGATGATCTGAAACAAGTGGGACGAAGCCTCACCTGTTTGTAAGATACAGAATCTGGTTTAGGCCAATACTCGAGGACAAACGATGGACCGAAGGTCATGGGATGCTCACGAGGGCTATGTCACCGTTTACACATAATTTCCACCCTATCGCGCCTCATAACGTAGATAGTCAATCCTAAGCATGAGTTGATAGGTTGATTTATGTCTTGAGCATGTTTGAGACTTGCGAGAGGTAGATGTTGGGCCTCTGTGTGATGTTGTAGATGATGGAATGAAGAAAGAGAGAAGAGAGAAGAGAAATAGGGAGAAAAGAGGAAAGAAGAGAGGTGGAGTGGCGAAGTGTTGAAAGGGGAAAGAAAAGGGGGCCGTCTCCTTATACCCCCCACAAAGAGTCGCAAACGCGCGACGGAGACTTCGGTGATTTGAATGTGGCAGGAAAGCCTCAGACTTTGCGCCTTGCCTCTAATCAGTCCAACAACAATGGATACCGGCGGGAATTCGGTAAAAGACTTTGTGGCGCTTCTCTTTCTTTTGTTTGGGGCTCCACATGTGAATGGAACGTGCTCGCTCATCGATAATCGATCGTCGCTTGAATGAGAGAAAGAATGGTCTCGGCGTTGACGACTCTTCACGTTCCATTGATTCATCGACTCGCACCGCAAACGTCCTTATCAAGACATGTCTGACTACCGCGGTTCAACATCATACAATAGTACGTATCAACACATGAAGAAGCAAAGGCGCGCAAAGGCGTGCGTGAGGCGCGACGCAACAGTAATCACAAAACTCAAGTTTGTTACTTACTCTCTCCCCTTTTCTTCCACGTAGCTTGACATATAGCGTCGACAACGAACTCACCCTTACTTTGTGTACTTTACTCATTCTTGAGATTCAGGTAGCTGACCAAGTGTTGAACGAGGAATGCATCTCAATTCTCAATTGATGGAAATGACATCCTTTGAGACATGACGTAGAAACATCACCCAACTGACCCATGACCCTACTGTACTTGTAAACACCCTCGTACCATTCTCACCCCACCTTGCATCGTTCCTTCCTTGCTCTTTCCTCGCCTCTCTTCTCTCTCTCTCTCTCCTTCTTTCATATCAGTTACGACCGTCTTTGTCTCTGTCTTTGTCACATATACCAAACTCTTTCGTTCAAAGATCCGTGTAGCAATCCAACGATATCTCACAACATGTCCCTTCCTGTCCCACCTACTAAATCACCTCGACATTCTATCCACCCTCTCCCCTCTGTCTCTCATCATAATCACTCTCATACTCATCCTACTCAACTCGTTCATCCCGTTCCTCAAACATATCAACCTCACCAATCCCATCATCCCCATAGATCCTCACAAATATCACATTCCCATCATTCCCCTCAACATAATAACTACCCTACCGAGGTGACCACGTCGAATACTCATGTCGGACCTTCCCAAATCCCCATGAGTGATCAACAAACGATACATCCTCAATCTCCTCCCCCGGTAGATAAATCCGAAGGGAGAAAAGGTAAGATGATGATAGGTTTGAAAAAACATCTTTTAGGGAGAGAACGATTGAGTAGAACTTGGGAAAAGAATACACCTCCTGGAACTCCTAGACCTAAGACTGCTTTGATAGGGGATGAAAGGTCTGGGTGAGTGATTTTCCTTGCGCTTTACATTTTTGATATGTATTCCACTATCAAGGAAATTCTTCAAGATCGTCTTGATGAAACGAGGGAAGAAACAACCGACAGCCAATGCCCACTGGCAGGCAAGGCAACTGGCGCATGATACGTTCAATCAATGGTCTAGGAGATCAACTCTCATGCTACCATGTAACCCAAAGAAAGAGATCGAGAGGGTGATAGGGAAAATGATGAAATCAGGTTTAGGGCTGATCCCAGAAACCGCCCAGGATCTTTTTACCTATCTCCCGCTGAAATGGAAATGACCATGACATCTCCTTATCCAAGACCCATCGTACAATCTGCACCTCCTACACCGGTATACACTCATCCAGCGGCTTGATCCCACAATCTTTGTCTTTCACTCACCCGCTCCTCACATATACTTTGATGCTTGCGACGCCGCGACAAATACTTTCAGCTTCTCATTCTTTTGTTATGGAAAGAGACGATCTAGAAATGGCCGGTCCTGCGAATGACGATTGGTGTAAAAAGGAATGAGTGTACTGTACGAGTACTTGTATGATGATGGAGAACAAGGTGGACTTTGATGTAAAATCAATTAGAAATGAACGGATATATGAATGACGCATGACGCAGGGTAATGACGATGCATGACATGACCAATAAATTTACATCGTGATGATTTACGATGACAAGTCCATATCTACATTCTCATGATCTCACTCCTGCTTCCTATGCAAACCCTCTCTTGTCGACTATCGACTCATTAAACGTCTTTTTAGCCTACACACCTAATTTATCACAGATCTTTTCATATTACGCAAGACTTCGATGTACTCTAGCACTGTCGGGAAAAAACAGTCCATACCTCTATCAAATTGGTGAGTTGGGTGTAGAGATGAAGTAAGATAAGTGTCAGACGGCCTCTGGTACCGATTCGGGCGATTTACTGGCAGAAGCACTTGTTAGTGGTATGTAATCGTGTATCACCTCACTTAATTCTAAAGCGGCTTTGGCTGTACCGAGCTGTGGGTCAACGACGAGCCCCTCTTCTCCCTGATGACTGGCTGATTGGCAACTCGTTCTGGCCTGACCGGCGTAGCCATTGCACGGCACGTATGCAAGTGGATGAAGTCGGAGAAGGGGATCGTGGATTATCGGAATGTCGGATAAAAGAAAAGAAAAGAGTAAACCACTCACTCTCAAAGTCACAAACTGTCGTTGACCTTCGTCAAACACGGTCATTCTGACATGCTTTCCATCCTCCAGACACGACATTCCTGTGTACAACGCGCAATTCAGAATGAGCCGCAGGACTCCGTCAGCCCGCATGACTGAGCATCAGCGACGTGTTTAGAAATGCATTTGAACAATTTGGATGTGTCTTAAGACGTAATGACGAGCAGGTTAAAATCAAGATGAGACGGAAGAGGGAGAGAGGTTCGGAGGAGTATGTCAATGTCCACATCACTTACCTAGTCTGGCACCTTTCCCATCAGATCTCCGTACCAAAAGCTTGAGCATCCCTACACCTCTTTCTTTCCATCCGCCGTCCGCTTGCATAATGAACAATTTAGCTCGGGTCTGATATCGATTCTCCTCGTCTTCTTCTCCAGTAGATACTACACATCAGCCTCACAATCACAAAGAATCCATCTCCAAGCCTTCCAGATGAAATTGACAGGTTAATAAGACTTACCGTATTGTTCAGCCAGATGTACCTTTCCCCCTTCATCCTCATCACCCCCAGTAGTCTCTTTGAGCTTGTCATCGAAAGTACTGGGCTCATGGCTTTCCTTCTTGCTATTCACAGCGAAAGGGCTGGATGTGTTGGAATATGAACCGAATGCACCTCCGCCCGAAATACTTGGTAAGCTTGGTTTGGTGGCGGTAGACAGCGGGAGAGCAGATGAGGAAGCTAGTGGAGAGGCCGATCTGAGTGTTGCGAAAGGGGAAGCGGAGGAGAAAGAGGCGAATGTGGCTTGGGGTTTCTTGGGCTGGGAAGCCACATCAGATACGGCAGCAGGATCTTTAGATTTTGGTTCGACCACAGACGATGGAGCAGGAGGAAGAAAGGACGATTCGGGTGTTGAGGAGACCTCTGTGGGAGCATCTGCCGCCGGTTTGAGAGCTGCAAATGGTGAAGAGATAGAGGCGAAGGCACCAAAGGCTGATTGAGGTTTCTGCGGTACTGATACCTTCTCCTTCTCCTCGACGAGTTTCGGCTCAACTGTCAGTATTATACAATCATGTCAGTAAGTCGAATAGACGTACTGATACTCTTCCCTCGTCACCTACAGCTTCTTCACTCTCAGACTTCATGACTTTCTTTTCGACTTCCAAATCCTCTTCTTCCGCGACGATGGATTTCCTTTTCCCTTTGACAACAGGATCCGCGTCGTCTCCACTATCCAGCTCTACATCTTCTCTTTCTCGAGATTCATCAGGAACAGTCTCAACATGTTCCCGAGCATCTTTGACCTCGTTGTCTTTGATAGTTTCCCACTTTCCCATTGATTCGTCTCCAGCCACCACCTCAACGGAATCTTCGACAATAGGTTCGACTGAAAGGTCGGTGATGTCTTTGGTGTGATCATTTGTCACCATTTCTTCGACTTTTCGTCTCACTTCCCCAACTCCACCAGGTTCCTTGACAGGTGGTTTTTCAATTTCTTCATCACTGCTAGGCGGAGAGTTCAAAGGGGCCGGTGCGGGAGTAGGAGCTTGTGTTGGTCCGTCGGAAACGTTGTCGACCCCATCCATTTCTTCGACTTCGTCTTGTTCATCAGAACTAGTGGGTGATGGATGATCAGGTGTGAGGGGTTTACGAGAATCAAGACGATTTTTCTTCGTTTGTATAGGGGTGAAAGCTGCCACGTCCGCTTGAGTGGGTTCCTACTCGTCAATAGATATTCTATCTTACACTCAGGTGATGAGCAGTTCACTTGTGATCTTTGACGTGGCGAGTGGAAGAGATGAGGAACGGCAGACTAAGTGGGATTAAGATCTTGAGAAAGAGTGGCAAGAAACCTGAGGGAAGTGAAAAGACTCACTATGGATCCCTCTCTCATCCGTTTCAACGAAGTGGCATCTGTGGAATCAGCAAGTCATGTCAGAGCATCTTAAGCAGATTGAATTTTCATTGAGAGTAGATGACTCACTCTTGCCTTTATCAGGTGATCCGGGATCCCCAGGCGGTGAAGTCGCCATGGCTTCTGTAGTAGTTGAGGGAAAGGGAGTTTAGTCTGAAGGGGTGACAAGTAGCCGTAGGCGTCCTCCTCTTTCAATGATGCACAGCGTGTCTCTGTCCAACAATACAGAGTGAATATTCAGCGGATTGATACAGAGTACGGAAGAATGATCAGATGTAAGAGGAAATGAGATGAAGGTGAGATGGAAAGGAGAAAGGGACGGGGGGGATGGTTGGGGAAGCGGTTGTCGGTCGTCGGTCTTCGGCACCTGTTACGGCGTCGATTTGGTCTCATCGCCGTTTCTCATTCTTCATCTTCATTTCTCGTTCTTCATCTTACTTATCATCCAACTTTCTTACATCATGCAATCATGCAACACTTTGTCACTGTGCATACATATCTTCTCAATGTATGTAAACCTCCCAGTGTGATCTAATTGCTTGTTCTCGTTGTTCTTCGTTATGTGGTACATCCTATTTCTTTCTCTCTCAATCTGTGGCCTGATGCTGACATTCTAGTTATAAAGTAATTGATCCTTCTCCTAATGCAGATAGATACATCGAAAGAGCTCTAAGAGGTGATTCTGTCTCTGCAAGTCTGATGGATATATTATTCAGATTATACTGAGTTTAAAAGAGGGGAAAAGACGGAGAACATAATATGGTCTGAGGGGTTCTTGTAAGTAAGTTAAATTCTTCTCTCTCCTTCTTCCACTATTATCTTCTTCCACTTCTTTCCCTACACTTCTCTGCGTGAGATAGTTCCTCACTCCCAGGATCTCTATAATCTCATCATCATCATCCTGTTGATCATCCACATCGCCATCCCCCTCTTTCACCTCGACCTCCATCTTCTTCTCCATCTTCTCTTTCTTTTTTCTCTTGCTCCCTCCCTCCCTCCCTGGCTCTATCTTGATCTCTATCTCTGTCTCTCTCTTTGCCTCTTTGCCTCTTTTCAAGTGTTACCATGCTCATTAGTATAGAACACAGTAGACGGCATTATGCATCATCTTCCATGAATTGACTCGAATGTGGCACTTTTTGCGCTCAGATATCGTCCAGTCTGTCAGATATAGGAAACATCTCTTACATCTGCTTTTGAATGCATCATAAAAGACCGGAAGGTAGCTGCAATTGTACTGGTTCTAACGATGGTACTTACATGCATTTATGAGGTGTATTGATGAAGTTATGGTAGCCTAAAGTTCAATGGTTCTATCATGAAAGATGAGAAATGAAAAATGAAGAATGAGAAACGGCGATGAGACCAAATCGACGCCGTACCTGTTCCATGTGCAGTGCACTTTTCGACTTTCCTTTTCACATTCATCTCTTCACTACTTACTGCAGTCCCAAACTTTTTGACAGTAATCATGGGCTACTACGCCCCTGGACTGTTGATAGCTTCCGCATCAACTGCAACCGTCGTCGGATTATACCTTTTGTTCACAGGTCCGTCCAAGGTTCATTGTCCTTTTCTTCGCCCCTCATTCCAAAGATCCGTGAACCTAAAACGGTCACAGTGCAAAGTGTTCATCATGACCAGAGAAGGACTGATGCTGTAGGACAAGGAGAATCATTCAATGTTGGAAGATTTTTGGCGGAGAGTAGTCCCTTTGCTTGGGCTATGGTAGGAGTGGGATTATGTATAGGGCTCTCAGTAGCTGGAGCTGGATGGTGGGTTTCTCCCCCCCTTCTTTTCCTATCCCACTCATATCTCCAACCCGCTCTCAATTACTACTGTTAAGCTCGTTATTGACAACTTCTCTATGCTGAGACAGGGTGACGAGCATAATGCACATGAAGTAGGAGCTGATCTCAGGGGAATATTCCTCACTGGTTCCTCTATCCTAGGAGGTGGTGTTCGAGCACCTCGAATTCGTACCAAAAATCTCATTTCGTACGTTTCTTGGCAAATCTGATGCCATGAGAACAGAAACAGGGCTGACCTGTGAGAATCATCTTCTGCGAAGTCGTTGCTATCTATGGAGTCATCATGGCCATCGTCTTCAGTTCAAAGATCACGGGAGATGTAGTGGATATGTACACTACCAATAATTATTACACTGGTGCGCTTTTTTCCCTCCCAATACCCTTCATCATGATGAATTGCTCTGCTTGTACTTCTCGGCCGTAAAACAAACGACATCGGCAATCCCTCGCAAAGTTTGTGAAGCTGAACAGACCTGCCATCAGACAGGTATTGTAGCCCGGACTGATATTCAGGCTTCGCGCTGTTTTGGGGAGGTCTAGCCGTCGGTCTTTGCAACCTTCTATGCGGCGTATCAGTCGGTATCACAGGATCCACTGCCGCCCTTGCAGACGCTGCGGATCCTCAATTGTTTGTCAAGATATTGATCGTGGAAGTGAGTATCAATTCTGTTCCACCAACTTTCCCACTTCCCGAAGCGCAATCAATACAGATGGCCCGGGCTGACGGACAGATATTCGGCTCTGTGCTCGGCTTATTTGGTCTGATTGTGGGACTACTGATTGTATGTCAACTTCCTATCTTGTCCTGGGGATGCGTGAAAGCATCCCATATTCTCCTCGTCGAATTTCAGCAGGGATTTTCACTGATTGACAGAGCGGAAAAGCGGAGGAGTTTGCATAAGAATGTTCAATGCATGATATGATCATTCCATCGTGTGCAAATACACTCCCGAAGTCCTTCTCACTCAACCAAAATTGACCACTTCGTGACTTTTACACTCGTGACATTGAAAAGAAGATAAAAGGGAAAAAATCATAAATTTCGTTTGGCAGCAGCTCGTACTTTCGCTTCGAAATTTGGATTTCGTATGGGAGTGTTGACCGTGTGAAAAGGGTTCAATGTGACCTGTGAGATGAGCCTCGTGACAACAGCACAAAACAAGAAAACCGACTTTGACATATACTTCCCATAGCTCGATGAAGAAGGCTCGGATACCATCATCGTTTTTCGTATCGTGTAAGAGAATGAATTTGACGCTTGTAGCGAGGAATGCTGAGACGGTCCATTCGTTATGTCTATCGATGTTTTTCAAGTATCTCATAATCAGATTGTGTTTCTACTGCGTTATATCTCTGTCTCGATATCTTCCCTCTTGACCAGACTAGTGATCCCGTGCCCATACTCGACATGTGGATTGGCAAGCTTCGAGAGAAACGTCGTTCCTTTCAAGATGAACAGCTTCCAACTCTTCCTTGTCGTACTGACAGCAGAAACTACTCGGATAATGTGATGGGACATGAAACCGACCAGTGAGGAGATGTTAGAGGTGCGGTAGGGAGGACCGAGTAAGGACCCACAAATTCCCAGTTCCCTCCATAACCTCCTCCACGCTGTCCAAACTGGCATGAGCGATCATCTGCTGCATATGTCTTTCCGCCACTACCTGTCCTCCCGCACCTGTTCCACCGGATCCAATCGTTCCATTCCCATTCGAAGTCGAGTTTTGAGTGGTAGATCGAGCAGAGACCGGTTCATCCGAGGGACTGAAAGAAGACCAAGAAGGGAAAGGGGATGAAGTGGTAGGTGTAGAAGAGGGTTTGGAAGATTGGAATGATAGTTGGAAGAGGGGCGAATCTAGTGGTGAGACTATGGCGAGATAGAATGACATTGTCTTAGCTAGAAACTCTATAGATCTAACTTCTCCCTCTTGAGGTTTGTGGTGCCAGAGAGGTTATCGCACAGTCAAAGTGAATGTCATGAGGGTCTCATTTGGCTGACAAGTTTCCGACGGAAACACCAGGACCCAAGGAAAGTCTGAGTGTTCACATGACTTTGTGAGTATTTTGCATGTTGCATCTCTATTCTACAACTTTGTCGACTTTGTCCGGCAAATGAGGTTCCGACTGGGACTTGTAAGCCGTTTGAGAACTCGATGGTATCTCATCCGTAGTATTGGAACATCTCCCAGAACGCCTGGTGCCGCTTTGGAAGAGCTCGAACAGAGAGGTTTTATAGCGGCTCTCACCAAGTATGTCAACTATTCCCGTCCACCATGTTCGCCCTTCTTCCCGTACCTCTTTCTCCTCTTGAGTCTCTCCTGTCTATTTTTTGGGTAGTATGTGACATCAGTATCAGTGAGAAGAGAGGTGTTAAATCTGTACTTATGCTCAGTCCAAAACTCCGAGACCACTTAACGACCCCACGAACCATCTATGCCGGTATAGACCCTTCGGCCTCTTCATTACATGTCGGGAATCTTTTACCCCTCTTTGGACTCTTACACCTCTATAAGGCTGGACATAACATCATTCCTTTAGTACGTCCCTGCTTTATCCTCTTACTTTCACTTCTCCTCTTATCACTTGACTGCACTATCATGAGCTCGTGATGTGTGGTAGACCAATGAATGGATAGCGTGTATCTCGATACACAGCTAAGATGTAGATAGGAGGTGCGACAGGTCCTATTGGTGATCCCTCTGGTCGAAAATCCGAACGCACATCTCTCTCTCCAGAACAACTGGCAGACAACGCTAGTAAGATAACCACCCAAGTCGAGCATTTCCTCGAGCATGGAAGAATACTCGCTTCCCGACGTTCTGCTGAGACCCACCCTCTCCCTCCCTCCAGTCATGTAGACTCATCTCCATCAGATCCCGGTCAACCATCCGAAGCAGTAGAGAAGGTGTCCGATGATACGGACCAATCGGAGTATGGAAAAGTGGAGGTATTGAATAATCTCGATTGGTTCAAAGACATCCGTTTTCTAGAGTTTCTCAGCGATGTGGGAAAATTGGCCAGAGTCAACATCATGCTCGCTAGAGAGAGGCAAGTCGCAAGTCCCTTGATGTAGTTCACCCTTCAGACTCATCAGTAGTGAGTGTAGAGAGAGAAATATCTGACACTCAGTGTAAAAAATCGATTGAACTCATATTCCGGTATTTCATTCACAGAGTTTTCTTATCAACTCTTGCAAGCATATGACTTTCTTCATTTGTATCGGAAACATGGATGTACGGTCCAACTTGGTGGTTCGGATCAATGGGGGAATATCGTAGCTGGTATAGATCTGATCAAAAGGGTTCATTCGCCTCCCCCCTCAGAAGATAACGATAATGTCGAGAGGGTGAAGAAGTCAAAGGGGAAGAAAGTGGAAACAGAAGTCGCTATGAAGGTAGAAGAGAGTGATGATGAGACTCAAGTGTATGGGTTGACGATACCACTTTTGACCACTAGTAATGGTGAAAAGTTTGGGAAAAGCGCTGGGAATGCAATTTGGTTGGATGAAAGTTTGACCAGTGTTTCGGAGTTTTACCAAGTGAGTTTTTGCGACATCTTACAAAATCATCTCCTGCGTCATCGATTTTTCGTTCCTTTTCGACGAGAAGCGTCTCATCCACTGAAACCTCGGCTCCTTCGACAATCGGTCGGTATAAAATCCAAGAAGATGTACAAAATCCATCCAAGTAGATGTACTCCACAGAAAATTGTGTACCGAACGAGGGTGATTTTTGTCTCACAATGGAACTGATCACAGTTCTTCTATCGAACAGAAGACGCAGATGTCGAACGATATTTAAAATTACTCACTTTCATTCCTCTACCTCAAATCGAGGAGATCATGCGGGAACACGGGGTGAGTTCATTGGTACCCTTTTCTCACCATAATTCGCCTTGTATCAAAAAGGATTTATCCTTGAGAATGATACGTGGTTGATTTACCAGAGATTAAAGTCAAAAAATGTCGGTCAGTTGAAACTTGCTCGGGAACTGACCGAATTGGTACATGGTGGTATGTGTTCTCCCTATATACTGTACATTACTATCCTTCCCGCTCACAATCATTATCATTATCAGAATAGTGCTTTTCAAATCGATCTTGTTTCTCCATCGCCCTTTTGACTAGATGCTCATGTCATTCCGTCAACTCGTCTCCCATCCGGGATTTCTCCCATAATAGCTTACTGCGAATCAGTCGAGGGGGAAAGATATATTTTCTATGACTGAACCAACGTGAGGATATTGATAAGTAGAAGAAGGAGTATCTCGCGCGGAAACAATAGCCAGAATACTCTATCATACACCTTTAAGAGAACTAAAAAGCGATCAAGTTCTACAAGCTTTTCGTGGTGATCCACGTTTTCATCGAGTCGATAGGCGAAATGTGACAACTCAAACAATGACTAAATTAGCTGTATTGTACGGTTTGGTTCGTTCTAGAGGTCAGTGTCGGTTTCTGTCTTCCTGAAATTCCCCTTTTACACTTATTATTGCTCATCTTTCGATTGTATCACTAAACGACACACATCTTGAGTGTGTAGCGTCAAAAATCATTCTGTCCAACCCCCCCCCATCCCCCCCACACACACACGCACACACCAACACACCAACATAGATCAGATGTGGGACTCTATGCTGTGCTCATGCGTGACATGATGGAGTACAGAGTTCAAGCTAAGCTGACACTTCAGCCGAAGCTACACGAGCTGTTCAAACTCGTGGACTCTACTTGAACGAATTCCTCATCACCGATCCTCGTTCTAAACTCAGCAGAAGTAATCTGATTGATCAACATATCGGTATACTTCGAGTAGGAACGAGAAAACATGTTATATTCTATGTCGATTGAGAAACATATGTGCTATACTTCACTCTCGTCATCATCATCACCATTCTAATCATTAATGATATCCTGCAATCTTCATATATCTCGGACTCATAGGCATATGCATGGATGATAGAAGTTATACAACGACGATTTACAGCATGAACAATGTTGGTATCGAATGTGATAGGGGAAATACTTTGAGCGTCATGAGCTATGAAAATAAGGACTGTGGGCTTGGAAATATAGACCTGAAGCTTTACGTATAATGGGGCATCTAGTACTATCGGTTGTTTGCTATTGAAATGTTTACACCGAGGTATCGAAGTTGTGCGTGGGTGATGATCATGATGATGATTGTCCTCGACGGATCGCAGAGTTAACAGCACCTCTTAGGACTTGTCCTTGATACAGTTCCTTCAACTCCTCCGACTTTTCGTCCAACCACGGATGTTGGATAGCTTGACTTACGGAGATACGTTCTCGATGGTTCCTCAAAAGAGAATTGATGAAGTCTTTTCCTTATCATCAGCTTATCACGGTACTTGACTGATCAGCGTCCGGTTTCATAACAATACCCCCCGTTCCCATCGAATAAAAAGGGTCTGTAGACTGGTGATATCTGCAATCACCGATCGCTGGTTAGATATCCATCATCTCCCATCGACTTCGCTTCGATTATGTTTATCTAAGAGATCTATCTTCATGTCACGACAACTCGTGATACAGCTGAACCCTCACCGTGGAAAACATCAAAGAGTTGGTGGGTAACCACAGAATATAGATTACTCACCTGAATCCGAGAAGCCAGCCCATGCACCACGAGGTACCCACTCCGTAGTCTCTTTCATCTGAGCATCAGCCAAGCTTATTTTTTCAAGATCTTAAATAAACATGGGAACCGAATGAACAGGTCACTCACCATAAACTCCCTCACAGCCTCATCAAACTTCTGCACTTGTTGTAATCTGCCTTGTTGAGTCAACTTTTGGGGAGGACGATACTGTTCTAAATCTTCGGCATCGGCTTCTTGAGGGAATTTGAATGATTCATTGACTTCCGTCTCTACTGACTCCAAACTTTCCTTTTCCTGATCTTGTTGTGATGGAACAAGAGGAGATGCGTGCAGAGTACGAAAGGTGTTGTTGCTTCTCCTACTTTGAAGAGGTATCGCTGTCGGTTCATCTCCCAAACTATACGGATGTCCAGCAGAGACGCAATAGTGTAATACAACTACATGTCAGATTTAACCAAATTGCTGGAGAGGACTTACCGCCTATAGCCCATATGTCTCCCTTCACCTCCTCATTCCACCAACTCTTTGCCAGTGTGGTCTTCCTCTCCCCTAGACCTCCATGTACACTCTCGGTAAGGCCGCTCAATTTTGTCTTTCTCAAAGCTCTCTTGATCTTCTCAGGAGGCCAGTAAGCAAAGGTGCCCCCTTGTGGGGGACTTCGATATACTGTTTGAGTTGATGTATTCGAAGGAACGGTCATACGTAAATCTTCAAATGTCGTCGCCTCCCCAAAATCCGTGATGAGGAGACGAGGATACTCGCAAAGAGTGTATATCAGGATATTCTCTGGCTTCAAATCTGGGAATATCAGCATGATCTTCAGGTGGTATTGAATTGACAGGAAATGACTGAAAAGAACCTACCACAGTGAACGATTCCCCGTCCATGTATATGTCTGAGCGCCTTGAATAGTTGATATGCAAAAAAGCAGACTTCGTCCTCTGAGATCCATTTTCCATGCTCCAAACCTTCATGAATGTATCCGAACAAGTCTCCACCACATACCAATTCAAGTATGAGATGTTGACATTGTTCTTTTCCCTCATAGAATGCGTCGAGGATCTTCACTACATTCGGATGGTCTAATTTTTCCATCATTCGAATCTCTGCTTTGATCCTTTCCGGTAACATGTCATTGGTAGCAAGACTCTTGCAAGCAACTTGTAGGTGAATATCGGCGTGTTCGGTGTGATAGACTGTTCCGAAACCCCCATCACCCAAGGGCCAGTTGAAGATCTTCCATCGTCCTAGGTCGAGACTTGGTAAAGTGGGCGAGAGTACTTTGGGGAATGACACCGGCCGAAGATGGCTTACGTCCGAAGTCGGAGTTTCCCTTGGTATAGGCGGCTTGACTCCAAAATGGGTATGATTGTGAATATATGTGAACACTGAATCTAAGCGTCTGCCGATATCATCTGAACGAGCAAATGAAAGCAGCGGGATGAGTGAAGAAGGTCCCCATGAGCTCACCGGGTTCTGTACCAGGAATCTGTAGAGTATCCCCTGGACGAAGGATGATCATTCGGCGTAAAAGAACTTTTTCCCCTACTTGCACCTTGTTTGCGGGATCGATATGCACGCCATTGAGGATGTAACCATTCTTTGATAAATCGTACATGGCTACAAATGCGTTATCGGTGGATGTTTTCACTCTTGTGTGTCAGCAAGGACACTGTGTGAAGTTGTGTGGTAACTCACGTAGTAAACCTAAGGTGGAGCTTCGAGACTCCATCACCTTGCAGTTGTACTTGGCTGCAATCAGTCTCGTCCCTGAAGACTGTTTCGAAAATTCACCAGGAGGAGTCGCGTCCAATGTAGAGTTCATGTTCGAGGAGAAAAGACAGTTTATCTCTATATTAGCTGAAATTCTGACTATGAAGTAACTGACATACAGGGAAGACCGTCAATCTGTCCATACAATAAACCTACACGGACTTCATCAACCGGATCAACAGGGATTGTTTTGCGTACACATTTTTTCTTCTTAGGTGGTGATGGAGTGAGAGCAAGTTCACTGAGCCCAGAAAGAACTGTCAGCTCTTCATGTCGGCGTCTACGAACGGAGGTGGGATTCAGATGGTCAGAATTGGATGGGGGCAGGGACGGGGGAAGAGATGGCGACGAGAGGAATAGGGGCCGCGAGTTAAGCGTCTGGGATTGGGAGGCTTGGGCTCCGTTCATCGTGATCGACATGAGAGGTAGTCAGATATCTTAGTGTCGTTGACAGTTAGTAGCAGTGAGGGAGATATACGGACGAGTGAGATAGGGAAGCGGAGAAGAGGAAGAGGGCAGACGAGAAGTGTAAAGTGAAGCAGAGGGGAGGTCCGTGCACCGTCACACCTCTATGAGGTCGTCGGGTGGAGCATCCGAAGCCGGTCATCTCAAAGAGCTCTGATATCGGTCAGCCCAGTCTCTGCAGTTGGATTGGCGAGTGAGGGAAGCTCCGGTGAGAGCTCAAGCTTGTGCACTTCAGCTGTCAGAAAGGCGAAAGGGTCAAAATGCATCTCCCTACGGGCATCCCTCACCAGCTCCCTTCTACTTCTTCTTGGCAGCCATCGTCTTACCCCTTCGTCCCGTGGTCTTTGTGTGCTGACCCCTGACACGAGTATGCCAGTGGTGTCGGAGACCACGATGAGCTCGAATCTTCTTGAGACGCTCGAGATCGTCACGCAGTCTCTGGTCGATGACGTTGGAAAGCATGTGCGAGTCTTTTCCGTCGGCGAGATCCTTTTGCCTGTTGAGGAACCAGGAGGGAATCTTGAACTGGGCGGGGTTCTGCATGATGGTCACGATACGTTCGAGTTCATCCGAGTTAAGTTCACCGGCACTAAACTCTGTTAGTTTTTGATACACATGTGAAATATGACTTGTCTATGTGACAACGACGAGTCTCATGACGACGAGGAGGTGTGAACTTCTTCTCGCATGACACTAATGGATAGAGAGCATGACCACAGTTGAGAGAGACTTACCGCTTCGACATGTCAATATCCGCTTTCTTGCACACCAAGTTGGCATATCGCCTGCCGACACCTTTAATCTCGGTCAAAGCGAACATGATCTTCCCCTGGCCTTGCACGTTGGTGTTGAGCAGACGTAGAATGTGCTGTTGGGTCCGGAGCCCAATTGCATCATGATAAATGATGGAGATGCGATGGTTATATGATCGAGGAGGGTTTGAATGGTGAGAGTGCGAGAATGATGTTTAAAACGACATATCGGATAATTCGAAGGGCATGAGTCAGCTTATATCCTCATCACGCTGCTCCATATGCCTGGCAACACAAGTGACTGCAATGTGAAGCCAGGAACTGATTGCTGGAAAGACATTTGACAGAAGCATCCAATAACTCACCTGGAAATTCTGGTGGGCTTCAGGAGGGGCGAACGACATCTTGGCTCGACTTCTGATAAGTCAGCTCAGACTGTCTATCTCAGCAGCCCTCCACGTAGAGACGTGTGCACTCTTCTATGGATAGAGATAACGAGACTGACCTATGGGTATAAGGGAGTGACGAACGACTTGTGAAAGATGTACACGAGCAGTTTCGCACATAGACCCGTCTCGGGACAAAAGAGAGAAAATCGGGAAGAGGATATTCTCGGAGTTTCGCGGCATTACATTGTGGCGCGAAATCCCGTCCCACCCTTCTACTCGTTTGGTTCGCCTTTCCGCCCCTACTTCTGTCCTTCAACCATTCGTCCTACTCTATCCACAATGTGCGTCTTCTACTCTTCATTTTTGACAAGCTGACCGTTGTGCCCATTGGCGTAAACTCAACAGGGTCAACATGTGAGTTCATCTAGCTTCGGCCGGAGGATATAAGCTCACGAATAGTCCAAAGTATGTCTTTATGCCCACATTACTATCAGGATCGGGAAGAACGTACATGAGATGAGATCAAGCTGACACTATTCTCTTGTAGGACCCGTCGTACTTGTGAGATCAAACTTCTGTGAATACTCGAATGGAACTGATGTGCAGACTGCAAGGGTAAAGAGTGCAAAAAGCACACACCCCACAAAGTGACTCAGTACAAGAAGGGAAAGGACTCTCTCGCTGCCCAGGGGAAAAGACGATATGACCGTGAGTGTCCTCATACTAGTCGCATACCGTTGTGCAGAAAGATACCAGAGTATCGCAGAGTTGTTCGAGGACATCTGTGACTGGTAGCATTTTACGTCTCTCATCGGCGGTCGAGGGTGCCGTCGAGGTCGGAGGTTCGACAGTCATCTGGAGGCTGTATTATAGTCACCCTCTGGTCGCCCTTGCGAAGACTCAGGGGGAGGTGAAAACGGACATTATTCTGACAATGCAGGAAAGCAGTCCGGTTACGGTGGTCAGACGAAGCCAGTTTTCCACAAGAAGGCTAAGACGGTGAGTTTCCACCCTGAGCATGGTAGAGTGGAACTAACTCGGCTCTTCTCCTCATCTTTTCATCAACATTGCTCGCCTTCCTGCATCGCTCCCTCACTTCCACCATCACCCCGATCAACCGACTGGGCCGGCTGCCTGATGACTGTCTTTGATGATCGTTGATCTCGATACCTCACCCCTCACCCCTCTCAGACCAAAAAAGTCGTTCTCCGTCTCGAGTGCACTTCCTGCAAGACCAAGCATCAATTGACTCTTAAACGATGCAAACACTTCGAGCTGGGTGGTGATAAGAAGCAACGTGGCGCCGCCCTCAACTTCTAAGCTGGCTGGGGTGTAGAATGATATGCATCTCATGGTCCATGTTTTGATCCATTGGGTTTCACTTGACGATTGCCCCACCTGATCGTTTGACTGCCATTGACCACCTCTCAAGAATCATGGTGAAGAAAAATATCGCTGGTTGGAAGAAAAGTCTCAAACGACTCATGGCATTTCCGGAGGCGACGTGCTCCTTTTGGTCGCGATTTGCGTGGAAGGTTTCAGGAGACACAAGTGACATATCGGCACTGCGACACTCTGAGAAAATATTTGATACTAGATCAAGCGTAACAATCCAGATATTCACTCCATAGGACCTCCAACGGTGCTCCCGTCATTTCCTCCCACCAACTCTCGTGGTATTTCTCCCATTCCAATCTCGCATCGAACAGTTTCACCAATTCCGGCATTGGAGGTCGTTTTCTTCTGCTCGCTCGACCACCAACGGGGGTGATCTCTTCTTTCGAGATAGTGGGCATTTGCGTCGTCTTGGGAGGTGCTACAGAGGTATGACTTGTTGAAGTAGGTTGAGCGACTGGTGGAATCGGACTGGCCAGGAACGTCTGGTGAGGTGGAGGTGGGAGGTAAAGCAGTTCAGAAGGATAAGGATCATCGGGATCTTGTCCGGTGAGGAAAGAGAGGAACCGAGCACCAGCATCATACCCGTCTTCCCAACCTTTTTCCCTTTTCCCTTGACCTGGTTTACGCCAATGAGGTGGACCGAGATGGGTGAGAAGACGGACATAATCGGCTATAGACTCTGTGAGCCATGTTGGAGTAGAACCGAAACCGTCGTGTTGGATAACATGAACTAATTCATGGAGCACTTGAGAGTCAGCCAATCGTTTCGAGATCTCAACTTCACTACACGTATGCTGAAGGTGAAGCAGTTTCTTCTCTCACTCTGATTCTTTCAAAAAGACCGCCTAGGCGAGTGAGACAAGGGAAACCATCAAAATACGGAGGTTTGAGGTACTATATATCTGGCAAGAGGGAGATAATAACAACTCACAGACCCCTTTAAACTCTTTGATAGCACTTTGCTTATCACTCTTCTTCTCCTTTACATTCTCAAGTATGTTACCGACCCATTGAAGAGAAACCACAATCTTCCCATTTGAAGTAGCTGCCAACCCTCCCTTATCTTCCAACTCTAAATGAATCAATTGAAACCTCCATCTTGGCTCGTTCTGCTTTTCCCCACTATTTTGACTTGGGTGGACGTAAGAGCTACTTGGTATCAAATGAGATCTGATCAATCCCGCCGCATGGAAGAGAAAGCCGATAGGGTCAGGAATACAAGACAGGAAGAAAGATGTACGTTCGTCTGTATCTGGATCAGGATGGGTGAGGCCAAAAAGAAGATGATCAGACGGAATGACGTGAGGTCCACTTCTCGGAGGAACGGGGAGGAGAGTAAGAGCGGGAGAAGAAATGGATGGGTTATGATCGTTTTGAGCTGGATGGGGAGGGAGAGATGGAGCGATGGCAAGATAGAAAGTGGTTATAGGTACTTTGGTACGGTTGATGTTGACATTACCAAATTTATGAATGACGGTATCGAGCTTGTCTTTGATAGAGGATGGAATGGTTGGCATGACTATGTACAGCAGGTAGAGTAGCTAGTAGCTAGTAGGTGTAGGTGGGCTGGGTGAGAGAGACCGTGGTCAGTCGCAGAGGATCTTGGTCCGCATGGTGCCCCGCACTGCGTCATTCATCAACAATCTGCTTCCGCATCGAGACAGAGTCTATGTAAGGAACAAGGAATGTGCTTGCTTTCTCATTCCATTCTTCATCATCGATCCCTTCATATTCTCCTTACAACCCTCTATCCTATCTCTCCTTCAATCATTTCACTTGCCTCTCTGTCACCGCTCAGATCATTGAAGCTTGTTGTATCAAAGCTTCAGAATTCAGAATGACCGTTCAAGACGCTCTTTCCACCGCTGCCACAAAGCTTCACATCACCGATCGGCAAGCTCCCCCTGCCGGCCTCAAGCTTCCTACCAATGGTCATGCCAATGGTAATGGACATGTATATGGTCTGAAGGGAAACGGTAACGGTTCAAATGGTAATGGCTATCACTCCATCCCACAAGGTCTGCGAACCCCCAAGACTCCACAGGACGAAGCTGTCGCTTTCTTCTCTTCTACCGAAGCAGGTGGAGAGCCTGTCCAGGTGTGGGAGCTCGGACTTGAAGATGATGGTGGCCCAGGAGAGAACAAGTCGGTGAGTTGACGTCTCCAGCTTCTTAGGAATCAAAAGTACTGATGACGGTCAGTATATTCGCTTGCCAGCACCCGTTCGACCATACGTCCTGAGATTGAGTCTGCAACCAGGAACAGCTTGCACCAGGAATGGTGTATTGAAGAGCGACTTTCCCATCGATGGCGGAGTTTTTGATCGAAAGTCGTGGAGTGAGCGTAAGCTCCCAAGCGATGTTAGCAAGTGAGTCTCCCCCTCTCTCATCCCCCAGACATGTCAGTCAACGTTAAACCCTTACATCGTTTGATCATATAGGCCGCGGACGTAATGTCGTCTGATGAACGGGGCTGATATGAAGACCCATCCAAGTCGATTTACCTATTTCCGCCCCAGGTGCATTTTGCTACTATATCGAGCATGATGGTCCCACTCCTTCTTCCCCCCGCGTCCAAGGTCGTAAAGGTTACTTCAACGTCGACCCCATCATCACACTTCCAGCTCGTACCCCATTCTTCCCCACCGACTCCTTGTCCCCCACCAGTCCCCTCAATGACAAAACGTCCGGTACGATACTTGAAAAATCCACGACACTGACGATTGATGGACTGGTCATCTTGTCTGTCTTGGCGAAATGGATGGGCCCGACTACCGATTGGGAAAGACATTTTGCCGAGGCTAGCCGAAGGGGATACAACATGCTTCACTGGGCACCATTGCAGCAACGCGGTAGCTCCGGCAGTCCCTACAGTATTCTAGATCAGCTTCGCTTCGACGATGTCATTCGTGTAGACAAAAAGGCTCAGGACGGAGGAATGAGGGAGATTGATGCTGCTTTGAAACTCGCCAAAGCGAAGTTTGGCCTTGGAGGTATCACAGACGTTGTTCTGAATCACACGGCGTTTGATTCTCCGTGGCTGGAGCAGCACCCCGAAGCTGGTATGTCACTTTTCATCCCCATCATCTTGGTCTGATGTCTTTTCTCATTGTCATGCAACTTCACTGAGTGCCAGGCTACTCTCCCTACAACACCCCACATCTCACTCCGGCAGTCGAGCTGGAGGATGCCCTTCTCGAGCTCACCCAGAAATTGCCCACCCTGGGCCTACCCACCACTCTTCGGTCCTCTGCCGATCTTGACATTCTCATACCACACATCCGTAGTGCGATCAATGACGTCCGTCTCTGGGAGTTTTATGTCTTTGACGTTCAAGCTTCTGTCAGAGCAGTCGCTTCGGCGTTGGACTCGGGTGACATCAAATCGTGGAGTGGCCCCGATGTCCACAACAAGTCTCTGGATCAGCTTGCGGAAGTGGTCCGCTCAACTCCGGGTACAATTGACAACTATCGAGCATTCTGCGCCAGATTCTGCACGAGAATACAATCCGGTATCGCCGCCGGTCTAGTTCGAGCCGCATGGCCCCAGGACGATTCCACGACGGCCGCGGCTAAGTGGGGTAAGGTACTGGACATCCTTAATGTCGACCTCTACGGGGAGTGCAATGACGACGTGCAAGCAGCAACAGATGGTATCATCGGACGCCTACGTTTCACCCGCTTGGATGATCATGGTCCTAAGATGGGTGGCTTCACCAAAAAGTTAGGCGATCAAACTTCATGACTCATTTCACATTCCGTCCCAGTGAAGCAGAGCAAAAGAATTGAGTGCTGATGATCTAGAACACCCCTCGTCGAGCCATATTTCACCCGGTTACCTCGCAATGCCAATACTTCCAAACACCATCCCTCAGCGCTCGCTCTGGCTAACAACGGCTGGATGTGGGCAGCCGATCCTCTCAAAAACTTCGCCGAATACCCTTCCAAAGCTTACCTCAGGCGGGAGGTCATTGTCTGGGGCGACTGTGTCAAGCTTCGCTATGGCCGTAGCCGTGATGACAACCCTTGGCTATGGGATCACATGACCGCCTATGCAGAGCTTCTGGCAGGCATGTTTGACGGATTCAGACTGGACAATTGCCACTCCACCCCACTGCATCTCGGCGTGGCCATCATCGATGCTGGGAGAAGGGTGAATCCCAACTTGTACATCATGGCGGAATTGTTCACGGGAAGCCAGGAGATGGATCTGAAGTTTGTGCGGGAACTTGGCATCAATAGTCTGGTCAGGGAAGCATACAACGGCCATGATGTGAAAGACTTTGCGGCGCTGTGAGTCCTGTTCCTTTGGGTTCGCCCATCTCGGTCAATGGAACGTTGATTTATTAGTCTATATCGTTATGGAGTCGGCCAACCCATCGGTGAGTGTCCGCTGTGGGAACACGAGTCAGGCTAATGGTAAGGATCAATGGATCAAGCGTGTCTTTCCAGCAACGAAGAGCTGGCTCCTCCTTTTGCTAAAGGCGCCGCTCGGCCATGTGTGATCATGCCGCTCCACGGATCAGTACCTCACGCTGTGTTCTACGATGTTACACACGATAACGAGTCCCCCCGCGACAAACGGACGGCTGAAGATGCGCTTTCCACCGGAGCTCTAGTGACCTTCACCAAAGCCGCCCTGGGCAGTAACAAAGGTTTTGACGACCTATATCCTAAACTCTTAGACCTGGTCACTGATAACCGAAAATACGAAGTCTCCACTGCGGAGAAGGAAGCAGGGATTGGAAAGGTCAAACGAGTGTTGAATCACCTACACACAGAAATGATGGTTGGAGGCTATACCGAGGGTCATGTGCATGAGGAGGGCCAGGTAAGTTACGACCTAATTTACGGAATCTAGCTGACGATTGCAGTATATAGTCATGCACAGAGTACACCCGATCACCCACAAAGGCTACATGCTGGTAGCTCACACCGCTTTTAGAGGATTCTCTGGAAGAGGGTGGAGTGAGTAGATTATGACTTACACCGATCTACCATCTTCTTAGTCAAGTCATTCGCTATGAAGGGAACAAAGGCTCCCGTTTTGAGACGGGCATCGCTGACTGACAGTCAAACCGATCAAGCTGTCCCGCTCGAAAGTGAGCTTTATCTGTGGTGCTTCCGTTAAAACCCACTACAACGAATGGCAAGATGACTCGAAAACGCACCGCGGGATCCCCTCCACACTTGAAGAGATCAAGGACGTCCAAATACGAACTGGCAGGGATGCGGACGGAGATTACTCTGAGCTCATTGTCCCTGACGTATTCGAACCAGGGTCAATTATACTGTTCTCAACAGACGTGGACGTGAGTTCTTTTACCCACATCCCATCATTAGGAGCCGAATTTCCTTCAAGTTCTTTGGCTGACTGACAGGAAATGTCAACTGACCTAGATAACATCTGCAATTCTGGGGCAGATGAAGCTTTCGGAGAGCTGGATCTTGTGGATCTCAACACTGTTCTCCATCGCGCCGATGGGGAAGAGAGAGACGCAACAGGTGAGTCAAGTGTTGGTATCAATGCTGACCCACAGGTGGAGATGGCACATACACCATTCCCAATTTCGGCTCCTTAGTCTATTGCGGCCTGGAAGGATGGATGCATCCCCTTCGACAAATCACGGAGACGAACGATCTTGGTCATCCACTTTGTGAACATCTGAGGCAAGGTACATGGGCTTTCGACTATATCTTGAACCGCCTTGACAAGTGAGTCTATTCGCTTGTGTCATTCGCCTGTTCACGCAGAACGTCTCCCCCTTGCCAATGAGATTAGGGCTAGCAACAATGTCACCCTCACCCCCCCCCCCTTCCGGCCCAATATCCCTCCAGCCTTCGGAAGGTATCAGCAGCGAACTCAGAGCGATGCGAGGAATCTTGCGGCTGATTATTTCAGACAAACATCTGATCTCCCACACTTGGTAAAACCCGCGGCTTGGCTCAAGAAGCGGTTCGACTTGATCAAAGCCACATGTCCATCTTTCATGCGCCCAAGGTACTTCGCGTTGGTCATCTACCAAGCTTACAAGGCTGCACGACGTGCGGTCATGGAGCAAAGCTCTGACTTTGTGTCTTCAGGACATTCTCTCGTTCACGATCTTGCCCTGTGCAGTGTTCAGATGTACGGATTGGTGAAAAGCGCAAGTATCAGTCCTAGCAAGCCTGTGGCGTCTCTAGCTGCTGGATTGCCCCATTTCGCTTCTGGATGGGCTAGATGTTGGGGACGGGATGTGGTACGTTGTGTTCAGATCCTCTCATTTCTACTTCTCGACAAAAATTGGCTTTGATCTCACCTCTCTCATATTGGTGGAAGGTCCCGCATCGGAAGTCGTAGTTCGCTGACATATCGTAGTTCATCTCTCTCCGTGGTTTGTTCTTGACCACCGGTAATTTCTCCGCGGCAAGAGACCATATACTCGCTTTTGGCTCCACCCTCAAGCACGGTTTGATCCCTAATCTTCTGGACTCAACTCGAACTCCCAGATACAACTGCCGAGATGGCCCTTGTGAGTGACAGGATGACTTGTTTGCCCTTTTCCTCCATATGCTGTCCGGCATCCTTTCATAAGACGTCCGAGCGACGTCCAATTCATTTACTGAGTATTCAGGGTGGTTCATCCAAAATATCCAAGATTATACCAAGATGTGTCCCAATGGACTTTCTATACTACAAGACAAAGTCAAGCGCCGGTTCCCCGCAGATGACAGTTGGGTACCATGGGATCATCCTCAGGCGTTCTCATGGGAGAGTAGCGTAGCGGAATTGGTGCAGGAAATTGTCCAGAGGCATGCTACTGGCATCGAATTTAGAGAGTACAACGTGAGTTGAGATTAAAACTTCTGTCTCCGGACCTGTCATCGTTCACCATATCTTGCTGAACTGCCACTTGGTGTCTGGTCTCGCTGCGGCGTCAAAAGGGAGTTGTTGAGACTACTCGAAAGCTGACTTGTGAGGCTGGTCCTAATTTGGACATGGACATGCGAAATGAAGGCTTTGATCAGAAGATTTGGGTCGATTGGGAGACTGGGTTCATCTTCGGCGGGAACAAATTCAATTGCGGGTGAGTCCACTCACTCCTTTCCTCATCCCATTGCCCTCTCCTTCCCCACAAAAAAGTGAATATGGGCACGATTATGTTCACTTATACCTGTTGCGGCTGAAAGCTTACTGGTCAGGACCTGGATGGACAAGATGGGATCCTCAGAAAAAGCAGGAAACAAAGGTTTACCTGCCACCCCTCGGGATGGTTCACCAGTGGAGATTACGGGACTGCTCAAAAGCACCCTGACATGGCTGGATAAGTTGTCACGGAAAGGAGAATTCCCTTTCAAGGGTGTTACTGCCTCAGGTGAGTATCTACAACTTGTTTCAAGCCGACAGAAAGCTGACCTTTCATAGTGAGAGGAGAGCAGCGGTTAGTGACATATAAAGAATGGGCCGACCTCATCCAAACATCCTTTGAAAGGTGTTACTATGTTCCCTCTGACCCGGCCGAAGATGCCAGTTTTGACATCAATCCGGGGATGATAAACCGTCGTGGGATATACAAAGATGTGTATGGGACTCCGAAGGATCGCGAGTGGTCAGACTACCAAGTGCGTTATTGTCCTTCGTTTCACTAGTCTGGGCGCCCTCTTTTGACTTGTTGTTGGAGTTTGGTTGGAAGATCTAATGATATGCGTCCTTTACATTCTACCAACCCTCGGACCACGATTGACCTACAACACCTCGAGACGCAAGACTGTGAAGAAATACATTCAAGAGGAAAGCTGATGAATAGCTCCGCCCCAACTTCACCCTCCCCATGATTGTCGCTCCCGAGCTATTCACACCTTCTCGCGCTATCACAGCTCTTCAAGTTGCCGACGCCGTCCTCAGAGGCCCGCTGGGTATGAAGACGCTCGACCCTAGTGATTCGCAATACCGGCCGGACTATGACAATTCTAATGATTCCACCGATCAGTCGATTGCGAAAGGATGGAATGTGAGTGTCTCTTCCTCAAAGATCACCGTTCGACTATCGTCTTTATGTGGTTCATGAGCATTTTGTTGACGTATAGTACCATCAAGGACCAGAATGGTTATTCCCCACTGGATGGTTCTTGCTCGCCTACTTGAAGTTTGATAGAGTTGCTGGAGATGGACAGAAGGTGGGCTTTCTTCATTTCGCTCGTTCACATATCAAATCCTCGATCGATAGCGATACGATCGCAGCCTAGAAGAAAGTTCCACAAGCCGGATGAGCATGTTGAGGAAAAGAACATAGTTGACCGTTTGCAGGACCCATCGAGGACTTATCACTTCATCTCCAATATTCTTCTCAAGCACGCGGCTCATATCAAGTCTGACCCCTGGCGGGGTTTGCCCGAGCTGACCAATTCGAGTGAGCTTCTTAGTTTTGTCCCACCATATCACTGTATTTTCATTTTCATGGGATCGAGAGAAAATAAATGAGAGAATACCAACTGATCCTCAGATGGTGCTTATTGTCACGATTCGTGCCGGACTCAAGCTTGGAGCGCCAGTACGATCCTTGATGTTCTCGAGGAGATGCACAAGTCTTTGGCCAAGTGAAGGGATTGATGAAGAGACATGTCATGTATGTTTTATGTGGTAATTGGCAAGTGATGATGAACACACGGCTCGGGATGCATGATGATGTCAAAGTTTTGATCACTTAAGTGTGATGATATCATCATAGCTGCCATAATTTGAATTCCTGCTACATAGTGCATGATCAAGAAGTAGATGAATGCTATATATCCCAAATATGTACAGTATATGTGCGTTCTTTTGTCTTGAACCGTCACAATCCGCTCCGAAGAGGATTGCACCATACCCCATGGCCTTCCGATGCCAAGATGTTGCTGTATATTTCCCAAGATCAATCACTCTCGCTATCACCATCGAAGAACCCCATCACAGCGTCCATAGCCGACTACATGTCAGACGCCGTCTTCTGAGATAGATTCACTTACAGGCTCTTTGGTTTCTTCCTCTGACTCCGATTCCGACTTTGGGGTCGATTTATCTCGCGAGGACTTGCCACGTAATCCTCGAGTGGCTTCGAATTCGCGTACATCGTCTTTCATGTCAGCTCCAAATTCAAAGTTCTCTATTTCGTCCGATTCGACTGGTCATAGAGGGGAAAAGAGCGGCTGAACGGGTTTCGAACAGCTTTGAAAGGAAGTCTGAATCAAGAAGTCTGGAGGAAGGTTCGAGGAAGGAAAAGTGAAGCGAGAAGGAACAGTCAAAGCAAAGAGGAACAAACTGGGAGCGAATGTCCAGAGGAATGTTAAGGACAGCAGAAGGAAGAAAAAAAGACTATGAAACTAACTCAATTCAGCAGCCAACTCTCGACGTTCTTTCAGAGCTTTGGCTTTTCCCAACGTTGGTTGACCTCGCATACCAAGAGAGGACAGGATGGAATTCAATCTTGAGATTTGTTTTACGGTCTAATCTTAGGTTTCTCCTTCTCTCCCGAGTGGAATGAAGGAAGGGGAAGACGTACAGTTGGACAATCTGAAAATTCTTTTGACCTATTTGTCAGTTGATTGTTCGATAACGAATTATCTGACTTGAAATACAAATTCACTCTCAACGTGTCACACTTGAAATTGATGAAGTATTTGTATGAAATGTTGTCATCACCGTTCATGTTGTACGAGCAGGTGACATGTGAAATGGGTTTGACAGGCGTGATATATAGGAGATACAACCGATACTCAGGGGATGGAGAGAAAGGGAGAGTGAGAGAGGATAGGAACTGACCATTGTTTTCTGACACCACAAGCATTCACAATCTTCTTCAACTCTGCGATTTTACGTTCATCCCCTGTGAGCTGAATGTTAAGTTCGATTTGTATGACAAGTTTTGAAGACTTACTTCCTCGATTGGATCTTTTCTCTGCCTCTGTGAAAATCAACAAATCACCCATATCGTCGCATGAATCTTCCACCACTAAGAGGAAGAGAATGTGACCAAATAAATGTGACCAAGTAGGAAAATTTTCCAAGAGAGAAACAAAATGATATCAAAACATACCTTCACTTCTTTCTTTCCTTCTGTTGATCCTCTTTTGCCTTTCACTCCTTTATTCTTAGAGACTCTCCCACGAACAGGTTCGTCATACACTGAAGACATTTCAGATACGTCATCTCCATCGGCTTGTTTATCTATCTATCACATCAGCTTCGTTCATTTCTCCTGCATACCTCCAGTCCAGCAGTACACACCCAACCTCACTCCGTACTGCGCACTCCAATTCAAATGTTCATTCACTTTACTCACCTTCTCTTCCTCTGACTTCTCCTCTGAAGATCTCTCTTGTCTGACTTCCCCGCGCTTTCGTTTTCCCCCTGCAGAAGTTTCTTCGTCACTATCATCGTCTTTCTCATCTGGTTGTATCTCCACATTAGTATCTTCCGTCTCATGCTCCGAGATGTCGACCCGATCACCGAATGAAACTTGAGAAGAAGATGGACTGGATTTCCGTCGTTTTTTAGACGATTTTTCTTTAGTAGGCTGACGAGAGACTTTGGAGTTGATCTGCTCCCTCCTTTTGGTTTCGCTCCGATTAATCTTACTCTTGTGCTCAGATTTGGACTCATGTTTCGTGGACTTATGTTTTGTTTCAGAAGGATAGGATTTAGTTTTGGACTTAGGATCAGGGGAAGAAGGACCAGGTTGAATTTGAGAATTGGTCGTGTTACTCGTATTGTCAATTTGTTCCTTCTCCGTCAGTCTCCGCTTCCGCCCATTCTATCAACATGAAGACCGAAATTGGACAGAATCATACGTATAATGCTACAGTAGATCAAGATCTCATCGACAGTAGAGGAATTCATAGAAGAGATAGCGGGTCCACATAAGGAGTATACTTCATATACATGAGAGGAAGAAGGCCAACCGGGGGGGATGAAGGGTATACTGAACAAGGAAGGGACATTGCGTATGACAGTATTGAAAGAAGATCGTAGTAGTGAGACTTAACCTACCAAAGCCCACTCAACAGCTTTCTTCACCTTAACTTTCATCTCACCTTCTCTCAATAACCCTTCTTCTACGTCTAACTCCCCCGCTATCCGCTTTCGAGCGAGAGACATTGTGAATTCCTCTTTGTCCATTTCTCCCCCAGGTCGCGAGGCGTGTTGAACGACCTTTAGTGCCGCTTGACGTATTTTGTTGGTAGAGAAAGACATGATGTTCTACTCAAATTGACTGGTGCACTGTACTGTACGTGATGCTGCTAGCCACGGTACGCTGAGACGTGTTACAGTAGTGAGTTCACAGTTTGAAGTGAGAGGTGGGTAGAATTTTCAAGACGCGCCTGATTTATCTTCAGGGTCAACGGTGTAATTGCAAAGAGGACCATTAAAACACAAAAATTCTGCAAGTCGGGAGAAGTTTTGCAAGATCACAACCGTCCATACTTATAGATACACTAAATTATGTTAGATCCACTCCCTCGATCCCTTGACTCTTCCCACATCATCTCTATTAACGCCGTCCGACTGTTTGATCATCGTACCAAAACATAACCCATCACACCTGTTAAGAACATCCCCAAACCCGACCATGTCAGTCGACCAGTACCACTCGTGCTGCCGGACGAAGACGTTCCGGCTCCTGCGGTGATGGTCGACGTCGCACCGCTTCCTGATTTCGAAGCGGAGATTGATGAGTTTCCAGAGGAAGAGAAAATGTTGATATAGTTGAACTCGAAGTAAGCGTTGGCGTATGTGGTTCCTGGGTCTTGATTGATTACGTAGGTTGTGTAGCTGGTTGTTAGCTTTCATGACAATCAGGTACGTGAGCCCCGACAGACCGTCTTGACGAGTAGAGGAAGGGAATAAGAAAGGATGTGGGAGAATAGGTCTTACCAAGTTGCTGTTCCTGACAATGGCGGACATGTCTGCTCTAAAACGCTGGCTAGACCTGCCCAAGCGCCACAGAGGGTAATGTCAATTGTTAAAGTTTGAGCTGAAAGTCAGCTTACTTTCTTAGCTGAAGCTGAACTAATGTCTCCTATCAGTGAAACGGTGAGAAGGAAAAGCCGACGGAAAAGAGAGGTTGACTTACGAGAAAAGTTATTGCTAATGGAGCAGGTGGAAGATGAGTAGATGGCGGCAGCTTCACCCAACGTAGAAGTATCAATAGAATTACTCGATACTGACAGATTTGACGGAACATCCGAGCGCTGATAGTGAGCTTGTGATACTGGAGATGGCGTCCTGACTTACTGTCAAGAACCAAACCGAGATCGCATCATCACTAAATTCCGCGATGAAAACTCCGCCACCCGCTTGAGCAAAAGCAGCACCATAAGAATCTGTCCGTGTATCATTTACAATACACCCGGAGTCGTTGTTAGTTTCGATGGAACAATCATTCCATCCTGCTGTTCCTGAGAATGAAGTGGAAGATGACTGGGTACAAGTGGATGTATTGGTGTGAAGGGCAATTTGATTAGTGGTTTGTTGGTTGATGCCTTCCATGATGTCTATTTCGCCTCCCTTAGGCCAGTCGTTGCCTTCTGAAGTGGGTCAGCAGATGTACGGCGACTCATTCACCAATTGAAGTATGTAGACATGATTCCACTTTCCAGGGACATCGGAAATCATTGTGCGGGAAGATACAATAGTTCAAGAAAGTCGGATCGACGATGAAAAGCTCAAGTATGGGGAGTTGATTCAGATGACAGACTCACGAGTCCAAAGAGCCGGCCATACACTACAACCATATGGCATATGTATCAAATCCATCACAAACACCGTACCCGCCGCGTATTGTGTCTTACTCAATAATTTGGGCGTGTACCGTTTCTCATTATAAGGGACCACAGTGGTATTGTCAACTGAACGTCAGTCAAGGAAGGTTTGTCCATGTTATGAGACGACAAACCTTTTAAGACTACTGTACCTGCACTTGTGACATATATCAAGCTTGTATTTGCCGCCGTGGCCCAGAAGACATCTCCACTGTAATGTTAATGACTAAGCTCAGTTTTTACGAGGAAGATCAACATGTGTATAGGGTGTAAGAAGGTGATGGTGGTCAAACACAAAGAGGACTAACTCACTTGGTAGTATTGTCATATGTCTCCACTGGATATTTGAACCCATTCCTGCATATTAGTCACCTTACATTTTTACGTTCATTGATGAGTCACGACAAAGAGAGACCAGAGGTAAGCTAAACTCACATGAACCCGTTACCTGACCAACTCTCGATGAGTGGGTACGTAGCAGCACGTACTAATGCAGGTACTCCAAGTACCCATAGAATGTTCGCCCGCCACATTTTGTATTGATGATTGTCGATGTTGAGGGAAAGGGAGGCTTGGAGGGTGGTATGTCAGAAGAGTTGGTTAACGGCGGTGGGTAGATCCTTTGTTGAGATTTAAACGGAGAAGAGAGGAGGGGGAAGAATGCAGTGATGTACGGTGAATGGGGAGACTATCTTGTGCAACGCTACTAGCCAGCTGCGCAGGGAGAGTGTGAGAAAGAGAAGAAGTAGTGATGAGATGACGTCGTAGTGTAAGGTTGTTGAGAAAAAAACGAGGCAACAAGCAGTGCACTGTGCATCGATCGCTGCGCGCTGACCACTGCCCACGATCAGGCACCGCTCTACGGCTACGGCGTTACGGCACTGGCTGGCCGTTTGCGTCTTCCCGGAAATTGGTAAGTACAGTACATGTTCGGTATGACCACTGGCAGTAGATTCAGTAGGAATGAGCTCTTCGCAGTGACTGATATCTCAATCTAGACTAGCACAGGAGTCCTGCTTTTGACAGACATGTAGGTCGGCTACTCTGCCACTGGCACAGGCAAACGCAACAAAAGTTTCGGTAGATTATGAGTGGTCGTACTGGAATTATTGCCCTCTAGCTGGTCTAGACTTGGTGGTTGGCTCAGGTCACTCTCGCTGATCGCTGAGCCCCTTCCCTATCAAATGCTATTAGAAACTACAAGAGTCATACTCTATCTCTTAGCATCCAGCATGAGCCCTATGACCCATTGACATGTGGAGTGTGGGAAGAAGACCTTGCGCAAGCAGAGTTTCCGCTTAGGCGCGCGGACAGATAGAGTGCGAGCCTATTCTTCAGATTTCGTCTCCGAGTCTAAACCAACGATAAAACCATCATCCCAAGTTTCCAGCTCACCGTACAATTTCCTACTCCTGCACCTCCTCTGACATAAGCAACCGCAGAGAGAAAGTAGGAAATTTTTCAAAATGTCCACATCAGAACTCCCCTCTGTGGAATCCCTACAATCGCTCATCCTCACCACCCTCGACTCCTCACCTTCCAGTTCGATAGAAGATACTCGACAGTTGAAATACAAAGGTGTGGTCTTAGCCAATCCGGACGAACAGAATGCTATCAAGGCAGCATTAGACAGTCTGTGGAGCCGGGAGGTCAGTACATTCCCTGCTTGCTTCTCTCCCCCCACTTCGAATCGAGAGCGGATCTGATTCTGCACGGGCCTTTACATTCCTCTAGCACTTAGGCGGACCATCTCGCACCTGAGAGAGCGGAATACCGTTTGGCCAGGTTGAGATGAGTGACATGCGATTGTATCGTGGAGCTGAATCACAGATGGTGGAATACAAACAAATCACCACAACTTCCTACGACTTGACAGATGAGGGATATGGAATTGCCGCCTCTGGCTCACACGAATATCGAGTTTGGCAAGCTTTACCTGTTCTTGGAGAAGGACAACCGTTGGGTATACCAGAGCTTAAAGTGAGTTCGACAACACTATTGTTACATCGAGAGATTTGATCGATGGACGAGGTGAGAATGACGAGGCTGATGGGCAGAAAATCTTAGGTGATGAAGTGCCAAAAATTGGTCAAGGAAAGGCATTCAAAAACAAGTGGATTGTCAAAGATGGGAATGGGTTCTCACGAGCTGTAGGTCTTTCATCCTCAACTTCTCATTCATAACATTGTAATTTAATCATACTGGTAGGCCGAAGGGGTAACACCTGTGAGGAAGCTAATTCGAGCTGACAACAGCCTGGCGTGTTGCCTAGTGATACCACCGCAGAGGAATTACGGATAGTACGAGAGACTTTTACCCATCCTTCCGAATCCATACTCAGAGAGCTCTTGAAACGAAAGCTCGTTGCGCCTCGGTCAGTCTATCTTTCCAACGTATGAAGGCCTCTGATTCGATAGAAAACACATACATTATTCCGTGACCAAAGGGGAAGAGTTCTCAACAGTGGTGAAGCAGTTAGAGACGGATCTGACTGTGGAAATGTTACAATCGTCAGTAGCTTCTCTGTACTTCAACATCGACAACTCACTTCGCAGAGGCGCCTGGAAAGGAGCTCATTTCAAACAATATAACTTTGCCGCTGCCGGACAACCTACAGAGGGCGGTGCTCTCCATCCACTGCTCAAGGTTCGAGAAGAAATGAGACAGATTTTCTTCGATATGGGCTTCACCGAAATGCCTACAAATCGATTCGTCGAAAGTGCATTCTGGAATTTCGACGCTTTGTTCGTTCCCCAACAACATCCCGCTAGAGAATTACAAGATACTTTCTATATCAAAGGTCAGACTACATGGTCCGTAAAGGAGCGCGGCTGATGTGATAGATCCTGTCAAAGCTCTATCACCCGATTCTGAATACTACAAACGAGTCTCGGTTGTGCATGAGACTGGAGGATACGGATCTATAGGCTATAGAGCGCCTTTCTCTAAAGACGAGTCGGAGAGGTTGTTGTTAAGAACACATACGACGGCAATTTCAACGGCGATGTTGTATGAGATTGCCAATCAACCTGGGGGTTTCAAACCCGCGAAGCTCTTTTCCATCGATCGGGTCTTCCGGTGAGTTATCGCGAGTTGGTCTTTGTCGAGTAACTCGGTGCATGAAGACGTAGTACACGATCACTAGTCAAAGTCGGTGCACTGACATGCAGAAATGAAGCCATGGATGCCACTCATCTGGCAGAGTTTCACCAAGTGGAGGGTGTCGTAGCGGATTACGACATCACCCTCGGTAACTTGATCGGTATGTTGTTCAGTCTCACTCCAGCTTCGGAAGGTTTCCAGGGATGATCGTCGTATCCTGATTCCTGCTTACACTCCGCGGGCCGCGGGGAGGTTCAAGTCAAGCGTTGAAGTGTTGACGAACAGCTTTCATGCAAGAGTTCTTTGCCAAAACGGGTAACCGTAAACTGCGTTTCAAACCAGCTTACAACCCGTACACCGAACCCAGTATGGAGGTATTCTCGTGGCATGAGGGATTAGGAAAATGGATAGAAATAGCCAATGTGCGTGATCCCCCGCCGAGTGCAGTATTCTCAACTGACGACCAGTCTGGCATCTTCCGTCCTGAGATGCTCGAACCTATGGGTTTGCCCAAAGGTGTGCGGGTCTTGGGATGGGGCATGTCGTTGGAACGTCCGACGATGATCAAGTGAGTGATTGAGTGTATGCATAGGAAAATCAAGCTGATGAGGTAGATACAAGATCTCTGATATCCGTACGCTCGTGGGTCACAAGACTGATCTAGAGCAAGTTAGACGTAGACCTGCTGTTCGAATGGAGAAGGGGGATGATTAGTTTGTGGGATGCATATCGTTCTGTATCAAACCACACCGATTTAGAAATAAAAGTTCAGGGTAGCTTAATCCCCCCCACGGTTCCAGTTCCCCACTACCATCGTCACGTTTCACCTTTGCACTAAAATCGGCTCCACTAAATATAGAAATTTTAGTGCGTTGAGCGGTGATCGCCACAAAAGAGTGAATCACCCAACGGCCACACGGCCCACGGGCTCACGGGCATTGGACGAGGGGCCACGGCTCATTGTTCTCTTCATCATTGTCAACCTGCGCTTTGACCGTTTTCCTCGCTTTCTAAAGGACGTGTCGCGTATTTTCGCAGTAGATCTCAAAGTAGATTGAGCTTTGGCTTATCGCAGTCACACGACGGGTATTCCACAGACAATCCCATTCAGAAGAAATCTCCCTAATCAGACGACCGTCCTTCCAAACAATACCAACACCCTACCTACCTACCTACCTACCTCCTTCCTCTTCCCCTTCCTCATCACCTCAATCTCATCCCTTTGCGCAGTACGTCGGCTTGACGGCGCATGCACTTTAGTTGGGTGAAACCGTATCAGGTTCATTTTCAATTATGCCAGGACTTCTACCTTGGTCATCTTCCCCAAGTGTCGTTTCATCATCATCATCCTCATCATCATCATATACAACTTCACGTTCTCCTACCACTCCAACAGTACGTACACCTATACAACATTCTACTCCCACTTTGAACGACACAAATCAACCTCCGAATTCTTTTCCATCGAATAACAACAACATCGGTAGTGGTGGTATTGGTGGTTTTGGAACATATCAACAACCTGGTATTCGTACTCGATCCGTATCACCAGGAACACATCCACCTTTAAAATTATCCTCAACAGGTCCTCGTAGACATTCAGTATCAACTTCATTACGTATCCCATCCATGAGACATTTATTACATCCACGTATATTATCACCATTATTATTATGGTCAATAGCTTTATATTTGATACATCATTATCTTCTTCCTTTACCAGTACCTTCTCTTTCAACTAGATTATCAAGTTCAACAAAAATATCAGGATCTAAACATTTATTAAGCACATCTTTCCCTAAACCTCCACAAAGACAAGGTGATGATAATCTCGATTCGATAGATCCGCATTATCGACCTTTCTCTCCTTTACCTCCACCCGAAGCCCCTTTTCCAAGATTAAGACCTACGAGGATTTTACCAGGTAGATGTTTAGAACAATGGTTCGCAGATGGAGAAACGAATTGTGGACAAAAAGAATTAGGGGAAGAAGAGAAATTAGATGCTACTTGGTTATGGGTTAATGGGAGTGATTTGAGATGGCAAAGGGATTTGATTTATTGGAGAGAGAGAATGGGTGTTTATTCACCAGAACGACATTTCAGGTATGTTTGTTCTTTCCCTCGAATGTGTTCTCCTGGTCGTCAACACCCTCTTACCTTCCCCAGCCTTTCTCCCAACACAAATTCGTTCTCTCACTCTTTTACCACCGCAATTATGTATAAGTGATGAGGCAGAACTGATATGTCGTGCATCATTGAGCTGTTCGGAGATGGTGGTCTTTCCAAGGGTTTGAAGTCTCTGAAGGCCAGAAGGGACAGCTGACTTCTCAGAGAACAAGATGAACTAGTTCACTCCATGCGCTCTGTCCTCACAGCTCTACCAGGAAAAATCCGTACCATGCATCTCATCACCGCCGATTTCCCCTTCACACAAGAAGATCTTCCCCTAATTCCTCTGGCAGCTGCCAACCGTCTTCAAGACTCTCTTTCATTGAGTTCACAATCCAACGTCACCGAGCTCTTCAACAACATTTACAACAAAATTGGCGTGTAGCTCAAGCACCTATATGGCTAGATTATTCTCGTAGAGATCCTTCTTCCCCTACACACCCTTTTCATCCTTCAGCACCTCTCCCACTGGATATTCGTACCGGTAGGATACCTTCGGCCGTGAGGAATTATCCAACGTTGAGATATGCTGGTCATTCGGAGATATTTCATTTACCTACAATGGAAAGGGATGCGGTAACGGAAGAATTGGGGGAACATGAATGGAGAGAAAAACAGTGGAGGGCGAAAGCTTTACCTAGTTTTAATTCAATGTCTATCGAAAGTCGAATTGGTTGGTTACCTGGTTTAGTGAGTTACATGTCTCTTTCGTTGCAAACATCATTTCACCTCGTTCCTTTACGCCATCGGCTTTCCGTATTTCATGTCCTGATCACTTGTCTGAGCCCACATGCTTAGCGATCTTTGTGGATCGAGGTAATTGAGCAAGCTGAACAAGATTGGAAGCTGATCTGTAGGCCGACGTCTCTCTTTCTCTCAACGACGATTTCTTCCTGCTCCGACCTCACGCCGTGAGTATTAATTTGTGGACGTCGTCAACGCCGCTCATGATCAGGTATCAGACTTTCATTCTCCGTTCTATGGTTCTGTCATTCGATTTGACCACGGGGTAAGTAATCCTGATCTTCTCAAGGTCCACACTACCCCTAATATCCATCTTCCCCATTTCTTATATAGCCAACCCGAACCATCTGTTGGGGTTCCTCAGGCAGGACGAGAATGAGGAGACGAGGACTGATCTCGTAGTACTACCAACAAGTCAAACCTGTCCTGGACAAAACTCGTTTCAACGACGCAGGCGAGATGGGAGGATTGTACCATGCCAACTACCTCTTATCCCAGCGATTCCCAAAACGTCTTCGGCCGTATTTTGCTCATGTACCAAAGGTCATCACTCGGGGTTTGCATCATGAAGCTAGCTTGATGTTCAAGGAAGCATTGATGGAAAGTAGTTCGAGAAGGTTTAGAGAGTTGATGTATGGGGAAGGGGATGTACAGATGCAGTGGTTATTGACTTCGTTGAGGGTGAGTTGGTGTTTTTCTCCCTTCTCTCCCCTTTCTGGCCTGGTCCTGTGTCCGCCCCTCCACACCTTCTTCCCCCTACTCCTTCCACACTTACCGCCAGCCTTGATTCCTGCTGCGTCATGCCTAGAGCGCACTCAACTGCTCGTTTCGCCTTTCCTGAGCTGCGCACACATCTTCCCTTTCTATAGTTCAGCCAAGGCGCATTGTTCTCCTACGACCTAACTCCATATGGACATGGGAATCTTTTCCAGGTCTCTTAGTAACATGCGCAGCCCATGTCGACGATAGAGTTATGGGAGTTACCACTTGTGCCATGGATATCGTATCTGACAACAGGTCGAGCGCTGGCGTGAAGCCCTCCTGTGGACATACGTAGTAGCCAATCTCGGTACTCTCGGACCACCAGGCCTATGGTCTATCAGTGCCCGAGACGAACTCATGGATATGTTCGGTATGGGTCCAGGTGACGAAGATGTGATCAAGATTGAAGTGCATAAAGGTGAAAGGTGGACTATAGAAGAAGGCAGAATGGAGAAGCTGTTTTTACAAGCAGGATGGGAAGCTCCTAAGCAGACTGAATTTTTGTTCTGTAAGCTGATGTCTCGTTGTGATCATCATTCTTCCCTTTGTTCTGCTGAACCAATGTGTTGTCACTTTGGCAGGTTCACATGACATGATTTTTTCTTTGAAGCAGTTTCGGTCTTGTCTTCAGTAAAATCGTATGCTGATATACAGCATCTATGGATGGACATATGGATTCTATTCCTAAACCTGGATACAATGTAGATCCTGATAAATGTACCATAGACTTGGATCGATGTTTCGGTCCGTTTTGGACAAGAGCGGAAGATGTCGATTCGGCGGACATGTTTAAACGTCTCACTTTTCAATACCCAGAATGTGGTGATTGTCGTGAGTGCACATATATCTGTCTTCCCATACTTCATGTTGTATTCTTAGGCCACGTCTCCTCCTTTGCCATCCCCTCTCTCTCCTTCCTGTTCTCAATTATCATGGTGCCTGCTCCATGGGTCATAGTAGAAACAATAGCAAATTAATGACTCAAACGATATTGGGACTTCTGGTTATGACGATTGCAATCAACTTGGAAATCAGGTTGCGAAACTAATAAACAGTTATCAAAGCTCTAGTGACAGCTTCCGGACCACTTGGTCTCTCAGCTTTCTTCCCTCCTCCTTCAAGAACCTACCGAGCTCCTCGTCTACCTTTAGGTAAAGAATACCCTACCATACTTCCACCTCCTCATCTCCCTCTCACACCTACTTGGCACGAAGCGGATTTTTCTCTAGGTAGTGTATTACGTATCACCGCTTTACCGGAGGAAGAAGTTAGATTGAGAGAATATTGTATGAAGTTGTTATCGAGATATTTATATTTGTCCGGTGAGCGGGAGTCTTTTTCATCATTGTCTTCTGTCTCTTGTCTCTTGTCTCTCAACCTGACCTCAAAAACAAACCCCCGCAACCACCCTCGAGTAACAGAACGAAGACCAAAAACCGTCACTCCATCTCTATACCGTTTCTTCTGTCAAGGTCGATTCCCATCAACTCTCAGGAAATCTCTCTTTGCAAAAACTTTATCAAAGAAGAAGAGTGCATGAAGGATGAATCATAACTAACATCTTAGCTCGTTCCGTATCACATTTCCACATGCTCCGATCACCCGAACACGCCAACAAAGTATTCTCAATGATCCAAGATAACCCCTCGGTGTCTATCCTAGGTCTGAACGACGATATAGAAGAAGGGTATGATGTGGTCAAAGAGATTATGGGTAGATGGTTTGAATTCCGTTGGCCTAAAAAAGCCGTTTGGGAAAGAACTTGGGATTCGGTGGTTGATTCTGTTGAAGATGATTGAGTTGTGTTCTACACTTTTGGTTTGTATTTGGAAAGGACATCGACGGTAGTTAAAAACAAAACTAGATGATACTCAGTTACGTTGGCTCCTCTCCCTGTTTGATCTTCGACGAAAGGGGTGGAGGGAAATGTTTTCTTCCCAATAGATCGCGTCTCGAAGAGAAGGGTGAGAAACAAGGAAGGTTGATCAGTGGAATGTGTTGGAGAGTGAGAAAGAAAAACAGTCGTGACGAAGTGACAGGTGATGAGATGATAAGAGACAGGTATGATCGTTGGTATTCCACGGAAAGAGTGTATGGGATGATATGGAAGAAAGGAAGAGATGTAAAGAGGAACAAGATATATCTGATTTGTTTTGACAACCCATCAATTTTGTAATTATCAAAACCCATGCACTACATACTACATCTTTTCAATCGTTTCGAAATCCGTGCCATACTTATGTTGTTCAAAAGACAGATCTCAAGGTATTCTGCGATATATCTCATGTATTTTAATGGTAAATGGGTCATCTCGACCATATGTCACTCTTCACTCTGGATAAATCTGCTCAATGATGTACTGTATTATCACTTTTCAAGATCATGAAAATCAGTACGAGTACCCTTCTGAAATAGATCATCGGAGATGCGAAATAGACTTCTGATGATGATGTTGGAATGGAATTGACATCAAGGATTCGTAAGGAAGATGAACCTTGCAATTCAAACTTGATTTTTCAACCTCATAACGATATGCATGCTCCTGGCATGATATCTTTCAATTGTTTTATTGATTCTTTCTCCAAATTCCCCCAATCTCTCAGAGATGAAAAGAATACAATTCAACGTGTAGAGAAAGAAAGAATAAAAGACATAGACACATAATAAAAAAAAGAATCATAACGAGAGTTTCATTCTCAAACGGTGAAAGATTATACAACGATTCAACAATTGATGTTGACTGTAACCGTCAACGAAAAGCTCATTTCCTTCCCCATCATGAAAGATGATGGACGACTGAACGGGAACGGGTTGGTCTTAGGGGGTAATCGGGTTGGAAATGACTTGAGATGAAAATGAAGCTCAAACGTGTATAATGTGTGGAGTTAGATTATTATGATAACTCACAATATTGTCCAATCTTCGTCCCATCCTTGTTCTGCATCCAACCATTCGCGATCTGAGCCAGATAGTCCAAGTTTTGTTGCCAAGAACAATGCTGCGCTTTGGTAGCAGCCACATCACCTACGGTAAGACCCCATTTCCATCCGTTGTAGCTCCCCATGGCCTGCGAGGGTCAGCTTGACAGTTTTCGCGGGTCGAAAAACAGTACTCACGGCGAAGAAGTTTTGGTTGTTCGAATTGTAATACTGCATGAAAACCTTTGCACCGGCGTTGATGTTCCAATTGACATCCCACGGGCTGTTCGTATGAGCTGACTGCACTGTAGAGATTCCTTCTGAACCACTTGACCCCTCTCTTCCTTTCCACTTCCTAAAGTTACTGTTAAACGCGGGGAGAAAAAGGGAGCTGATATCGGGTTTTGTGTACGTGATGCAATCGTTTAGAACCATTTATCCACTCACTTCGAAGCCCCATCCCAGTTCTCCTGAGCCAATTGCATCAAACCAGCCTCACCGTTCGGACCGGTAGCACCTGAATTACAGCTCGATTCCTGGAGCGCGATGGAGGCAAGGAGGATGGGTGGCACTGATAGATCAGCCAAGTATATGAAATTGAGTGAACAAAATGTTGGGGTGGAACTCACGACCATATTGATTACCGACGCTGGTGAAGATGTCAAAGTAGGCAGAGCAAGCATCAAAAACTCCACCGGAAGTGAGTTCTGCGGAAACGAGTTCTTCGACTTTGACAGCTGGAGGGTTCCAACCACCACCATTCAAACCGCAATTGATCCAGTCTTCCGAACCGTTTGGGTTTTCGTCGGACGAATCACACCATCCGCAAGTCCTACATGTCAGTCAGATGCTTGCGTCAAAGGACAATGTTCTTTCACTCACGGGTCGTTGACGTTGAGAAGACCGTTATTGCCACTGTTTCCACCACCGTTACCACCACCGGTCGATGGAGCAGGTTGACTGGAAGTAGTGCTGGAGGTCCAGGAATCTTGAGTGCTCGAAGTAGTGGAGTGTTGCTATACGTCAATCATAAATCTCTCCATGTTGCTGACGAGAGAAGAGGATGACAACATATGATGTGTGCGAAATCACTCACTCCCTTGGCATACTCCATAGCTGCATCAGTAGGATTGGTCCAACCACCAGTATCGGTACTCGAAGACGTTGCTGGAGGAGTGTAAGAAGAAGTCGAAGTTGTGGACCAAGTAGAAGTAGCAATAGACGATGATGATGAGGAAGGTGCAACCAAAGCAGGTGCCTGTTCACCTTTCTTTCTACAGACACCCCTTTTCTTGATGTTTTTCTTGATCAACTTGTGAGCTTGGGTATGCGCCATGTTATCCCTAGGAGCCATCCTAGCTCCTTCATCCGAACGAACATGTCGGAGGGATTGAGATTGACGACGATGACGCATATGAGCGGGATCATGAGTGGAAGCTTGCACCAGGCTAAGCAAGGGGATAAGAGGGAGAAGAAGGTTGAGATTGATCATGACCATTTTGATTTTATGTCGTAAAGGTTAAGTATGGGCTCGTCGAATCAAACGTTTGTCTTGTGTTGTCGATATCGTGTCGTTATTCGTCGATGGAAGAGGTTGTCGTATATGTCAACGAATGGAGTGAGAATATGAGTTGATGTCGAGTGTCGAGTGGTGGAGTGACCGAAAGGGAGGGGGGAGTGAGAGAACGTTGGAGGTTGAATGAATGTGTGTGTGTTTTCAATAAAAGCTATTTATGAGCTTTCTGTCGAATACTTCCAATGACTTATGTGTCGAAAGAAGTAGTAAGTGGATACAAGGAGCGGAGGATGGATATCAAGGTAGGTAAGTATGTGAGGGATGGAAAGAGAGAAAAGAAGTAAAGGGATGAAGAATGAGGATGATGATGCGTGTAACAAGATGGAGGAGGATAATACAAAGGATGTAGATTTGGGGTGGGTGTGAAACTCGTGTGGGGGAGCAGGGGAAACAAGGCCAAAGTGCAGAGGGACCGTGCAGGCTTGGGGATCATGCTCTACAAATGCGGTAGGTCCAAGCGTGAGTCCAAGTGGTGAGTGAAGATCAACTTACTGATGCTGATGGACGAAGAGATGGAAGATCTTTATTGAACTCGTCAAAGTGTCGTACAGATTGGAAAAATGGAATCGTCAATGTATGTAATGTGGTGAAGGTGAGGTTAAGGAAAACAAAAGATGTAAGACGAAATGGAAACAATCACAAACAAAAATCTAATTCTATAAGGTAAGGGGGGGGACCCGCGGGAAGAAAAGAAAGGCACACGCGAAAAAACCCCTTGGCCCTTGGTGCATATGATCACATACATATTCTGGGGTCAATTGAGTTGGGTTTTTGAAAGCTTGGATAGCATTCTAGTTGTTCATGTTTGATTAGCACAGCCAACCACTGCACTGACAGTTTTAGACGTTCAAGATACGGAAATGATGAAGTTGGAAATTGTACAGCTTTTTCCCTGCATGCATGCAGGAGACCATGCTTAAACAGGGCGATGGCGGTGTTGCGTCGCGGGGACAAGACATCATCATTCATCTAAGAATAGCCCGTAGTCCAGTACACTAGGTCAAAACCTCATGTTGCTAGTTGCTGGTATTACCTGCCTTGCTGTCTGCTGTCATGAGAGACCAGAAGTAAAGCAGTTGAAACATACATGGGAATACAAGTGGTTTACAGTAAGAGAAACAACACGCCAAGAAAACCGCCGAGTACGCCGAGACAGGGTCAAAGCCGAAACACGCGCTCTTTCGTCACTTTAAGGAGTCAGGGTGGGGCTCCACGCCTAAGCACCCCAGCCATGAAGCGACACGAGGCGCAAGGATGGATCGAGCGCCGCATACTAGCGCCGGCGGTGGATGGTAGAGGATCTTCAACATGCGGCAATATTATATATGTCTCGGTTTGTCATGGCATGTCGTACTGTCGTACGTGCCAATCACCAGATCACCAGCCTACGAGGTAACAGTGGGGCAGGTGAACAACATGTTATGTGATCCATCTTCTTTCCTTTCGGCTTTCTGGTGCCATGTAGTATGCAACGTGTCTCGTGCTTCCATACCCTCCTGATCCTCTTGATAATCACCCCTCTTCATCTTTGATGTCGGGTAGTAACAAATTTAGACAAAATACAACAATGCAAAAAAATGTACTGATCAATCCACATGCATCATCACAAAACTTACACCTTCAATATCCATACACGGAATCAAGCCATTTTCTAAAGTTCATCCAAATCTCCTTCCAAACCTGAATCCTCATCTCTTCCCGTTGCTCTCCTAGCTGCTCGTCTTCCTAAAATACAAAGCACGCCTACTAATCTCTCTTTCGCTTGATTCAACCCGACACAATCCTCCCTCCCCATCTCACTTCCCTCACTCTCATCATCCATCACACTATCACTCAGAACATCACTTCCTGACGTACTCTCACCATCCCCTTCCACCAATTTATTTTCTCGTTCCAGACGCGATTCAATTCCCACGAATTCAGTTTGAGTCAACAACATTCTCAAGCTAGACGTGGCTTTATGAACCTTGTTACTCGCTTCCAACCTCTGCAATCGAGTCATACTCTCATCGTTGATCTCCGTGGAGGAAAGCAATAAACGAATGTAATCTATACATACCATTGCGAGTTTATCAATGGCCAATGCGTTTCTTGGGATTGTCATATTGAGGGTTTGATCGATCTGTGGGAGATGATCGGATGAACCGGGATAAAGAAGATCTAACATTGCTGATACTGATGAAAGTTGAGTGCCAGCACCTTGGATCTCTTCTCCCGCTAAAGCGCTAGCGAGAGCAGCTTGGGATTCAGGAGCGGGTCCGGTGAAAATACCCCAAAGACCAATGAGTACGAGACCGAGAGCGTGTGAAGCACTACCTTTTGGGATGGTATTGATCACATTGCGCATTTCTTTGTCAAAAGTCGATGAACGGAGTTTACGACCGAGATCATCAAATTGAAGCTTGGCTCTGAGAGTGGAGAGTGATATTGGTGCTGTTGTAGGATGATGAGTGGAATGATCCACAAGATGGATGAAGAGTCTAGAGTAAAGATCGTTTAAATGCACGAGGGCAACTTGTTCGGCGATAGCGGAGATTGGCGTAGAAGTCGATGGGGAAAGTGAAAGAGAATCGATCGCTTCTTCAAGTGGCAATGCGAGAACAGCGGCTAAGGCTGGAGTGATATCCTTCAAGGTGCGAGCTTGTTGCCATATCTTTGCTGGGGTACGAAGGAAAGGGACATTCGGCTGGCATAATGCCAGCAAGGTCATGGAGTAAGGCGAAGACGCAGTAAGATTGAGATGGAGAATCATATGCAACTTCACCCATGTGCTTGGATAGATAGCTGGATTGTCAGCGAGCACAACTGCTAACGAGTGAAGCGACTCACTATTGCCAATTATAGAGGCCGCGAGGGTATTCCACATCGAAGATGCAGCTTCGTCATCTTCTTGAGAACTGTAACCTGAAATGATCAAACGACAAGCATCCTTGATAATTCCACCGAAGGTGCCAACCCCACTTTCATGTCCCTCGTGCTGTATCTCCTGCTTTCTGAACCTCCGCAAGACAGGTCCAACCAAGACAAACACGACGATAGCAACCAACAACCTCCAGGTCCAATCGACAAGGGTGCTCGGAGATGGGACAATACTAACCGGTAGACCTCGTGCAAGAAGACGAGTCGCATGTTCCGCGGTGATCAACGGTATTCTCGCCAACACCTGACTTGTTGTGGCCGATGTATCGTTGCTGACCCCCATTTGTGATGCTGTCGTTGGATTGAAAACGGTCGAAGCAGAAGGCAAGAGAGAAAAAGACATTGCGAACGCTGCAAAAACCCTCGCACCATTTTCCGCGTTCCTCTTCCTTTTCGTCGTCTTTGGTTTTTTTGCAGGCTCTTCTTCTTCTTCTTCGTCCTCTTCGTCGAAATCATATGATCCGTCCGGGGATTCCGCCTTGACCTGCAACGACGCCAATCTCTCCGCTTCCAAAGCATCGAATTGGTTGCTCCAATTCTGGAAATCGTCTTCACCTCCAACAGCGCGCCTGTATTCTTCAAGCTCTTCCACTTTACGTTGCAGAGTTCCCACACGTTGTTGGAGTAGTTCGATGTACATTCTCGCACCAATGAAAATGGTTGCTTTTGCACTGGCATTGGGACGGGTTATCTCGCCTAATCCGTCGACACTCCCGTCGGGAGCGCGAATGTCGGTAGTCCGACGTTGTTCTTCACTAGAAGTACCGTACAGAACTCGTAAAGCAGGTACAGAGTCCCGCAGCTCAGCTTGAGCAGCTTGCACTTTCTGACGGTATCGGCGCTCGGTCTTGTTATGTTTGCCGACTGGTAGTGCCTCGGCCTCGACGGGTTTGGGTGGGGTGACACGACGGGAGATAGGAGGAGCTTTCTGAGTGGCAGAGGTCTGCGTTTGTTTCTGAGGTTTGATAGTGGAGCGACGAAGAGAAATGGGTCGAGGGTTCTCATCGAAAGACATGTCATCCGCTGGATTCATTTCTGAGTGTAAGCTGAGGCACCTCAGAGACTCTAGTGAGCGTAGCAGAGAGGTGATGCCAAGTACATAGCTTACGCATGGAAAAAGAGGGAGTACGGTGTCAGTGGAAGACCACTCACGATGCTGAGGAGTAAGGAACGAATTCGGTTTGAACATTGGCGTCTTGAGATGTTGCACCCAAGACGGTTGGATAGTTTGCAGCTGAGGTTGTTGAGGTGGCAAAGTGAAGCCATTCAAATTCAACATTCCAATATCTTGTCCTACACCTTGCATCTGTGGAAAGACAAAATCATCCGTTCCCTCACTGTTCGTGGCTCTGTGACCGGGTAGAAATAACCCATCCTTTGCCTGTTGATTCCCTTGAGGATAAAGTAACATGTCTAATTCGCTTTCTGTAAAGTTGCTGCCCAATAAAAACTCGCCCACTCCTCCTCCTCCGAATGAAAAGCTACTACTTGGTGAAGCAGAAGAATGGGGGCTTTGACCGTTGGACGAAGCTGAAATGGGTAAAGGCGCCGATGAGGGTGATAATGAAGGAAGTCGGGAATCAGAGGACAAGAAAGACATGGGAGCTCCGTCACTAGCAACGGAGAAAGATCGTCGATTCTCTACGTTGAGATTGTGGGAAAAGATGGTGTTGGTATCGCCATATGGAACAGAGAGATCGGGAAAGAGAGCGGAAGTGGGAGAAATGGTGGGGTCTTCGTAGTATCGATGAGGATCGTCCGTTTGGGAAAAGACCATGGTCGACATGACGACGGATGTGAAACGATGGTCAGGACGGAGGTCTTAGAGTAGACAGCAAGAGGAGTTTGTGTATCAACGGTCGAATTGAAATGACCTTACTACAAGAAGATGGTGAGGATAAGAAAGAAAGAAGCGGATATCCATCGTCCCATAGCCAAAACACTTTTAGGACATCGTCCCACCATCGAATCCATCGCCACTCTCAAAAATTCCCCTTTGAGTAATTTTCAGGGAGCAATAGCCACGTGGCGATCCTCACAGAATTCGTCTCTACAACGATGACTACTGGCTTGCAACATACAGTATCAGTACCACATTCCACTCATCATGGACATTGCTCGTAAGACTTTTGAGCTGAACAATGATATCAGAGTGAGTCGGTGTCCCTTGCAGGACAGTTTCATCACTGCAACTCCCAGTGCTCACACCTAGCCCCTCGATCCTTCTGATCGGTTGTTTGCCTACTCTCGAGAAGAAGAACGTGCCCTTGAAGATAGTGCACCTTGGAAGTCAGAGTGAGTGCCAGTCTTTAATCCTATGCAACCCACAACTTCTAGTCGTTGAGGTGTTTTTCACTCGATAAGCATCATGATGGCAAGAGACATGCTCGAATCCTTGCTGATATCCTCAGCCCGAATTACTTCCACACAGTCAAGATATCCGCCACTGCCTTGATCAAAATGGTATGTCTCCTCTCCTTTAGCTACGTAAGCGATAAAATAGCTCATAAGCAGGTGATTCACGCTCGTTCTGGTGGCATTTACGAGATCATGGGTGTTATGTATGGCAAAGTGCGAGATCACACATTTTGGATCATGGACGCTGCTGCTCTTCCCGTGCAGGGGACGGAGACAAGGGTCAATGCGGGAAATGAAGTGAGTTTGAAGATGCTCTATTCTATTGTGCTACTGTAAAATGCTATCGTATCGAAGGGGGAAGGTTGTTAAGACGAAGGCTGACGAGAAAGGCTTTTGAATATATGGTGCAATACCAAACTTCAAACTCACAAGTCGGAAAGGACGAGATGTTAAGAGGATGGTATCATTCGTGAGTCCGCTAGCACATCCCTACTGAGTGATTTGGTTATGTGGTCAATGCTGACTGTTTCAGACATCCGGGATATGGTTGTTGGTTATCAGGAATCGACGTTAGTACTCAAAGTACAAATCAACAATTTAATGATCCTTATCTTGCCGTTGTGGTGAGTCCATTTCCATGCCATCCCCCTTTCTCTTATATCCTGTACGGCTTGGGTGGTCATATACCAGATCAATATCTACCATCGGCAGTAAATGAGGGCGCAAAGGAGAGCTACGCTGAGTTTCCAGATAGACCCCAACAGGACTGTCTCAGCGGGCAAAGTCGAAATTGGAGCCTTTCGCACATATCCAGAAGGCTATCAACCACCCTCAACCTCCAGCTCAGAGTATCAATCCATCCCCATGGACAAGATTGAAGATTTTGGAGTTCACGCAAATTCATATTATCCCCTAAAAGTAGAAATCTACAAGTCAGCATTGGATGAGCAATTATTAGAGTTGCTATGGAACAAGTATTGGGTGGCTACCCTAAGTCAATCTTTGCTTTTTTCCGTAAGTTCCCTCGGAAATATTTGACATCGTACTGAATTGATCAAAGAATCGACCATACGCAACCTCACAAGTCATAGATTTGGATCTTAAACTTCAATCATGTTGTCGAACATTATTAGATAAAGCAGCTCGTTTAGCATTGAAAGAGGATGATCAGAAAAGTGATATAAGAAGACTGGAAGATATTGAAACGCCTTTGAACAAGGCTCGGAAAGATGGGTGCGTAGAATTCTGCGCTTGACGAGGGGACAAGTACTGATGGGCAGGTTGAGAATCGCTACAGAGGCGCAAAACGGAATGATCGCTCAAGTGATAAAAGACAAGTTGTTCAACACGCCTCTTACGCATGCTTTGAGTGTTGAGGAAGCCATGGACGCTGTGAGAGGGGTCATGTAATCATGTAGCAGATGTAAGATTGTCAATGTATACAGAGATGTACAAATCGTACATGACAATGGACAACATGGTTGTAGCGTGCCAGTTCCGGATGAGATCGGAGTGTCGTCGATTTCTGATTGCAAGTGAAACGATCCCCACTTTCATCAATACGAGCAATGCCGTCTCCTCTTTTCATTCAAGTCGTACACCACACAAGTACAATCCACAACACCATAGAGAGCTCGAAAACGACCGAGTCATTGACAGCCCAGTCGTGATCGAAACGCGAACCGAGCTCTAACTTACACCTCCATCCATCATCAACCTTTCTTTACCTCTGCTTTGGCGCTTTGGGTCCTTTACGACCGAAACCTACTCTTGACACCTCGAAATCATCTTGACATTTCACCCAGCTACGACAGATACATCATGCAAGGGATACGGGGTTTTGAACGTTGGTCTCTTCTTTTCATTCTCTATCACTCTTCACTCCATCTCTTCCGTACTTGGTCATACTGCTCAGAATAGCCATCACCGGCCATCGAATTGTGAATGGTCTACTGTGCAACTTACATCCTGACGCACAGCTTATCTCCGTGAACGTAAACTCATCCAATCCGCCCCTCTCTCCAGTCTCTCACATACAAGACTAGGGATAGACGCATCTCTTTACCTCCGTAATCTTCTCTCAGACCCTACCGCCCGTGAACCATTAGTAGCATCTACAGGTGGACTCCCTCTCGCTCTCACAGCAAGGGTCGAAAATGATCTTCGAACACTTGAAAGACTTAACATCAGACCTGTCTTCGTATTTGCCGGTTTACCAACTTGTACTCGTGCACCTCCCAAAGGTTTAGATCCGGGACAAGAGAGAGATAGAGCTGTGAAAGCTGAAGCTTGGGGATATTATGAGAATGGGGAAGTTGAAAGAGCTGTTTTGGCTTTGAGTCAAGTTAGAGGAGGTGCTTGGACGGATGCTAGGGATGTTGCAAGGTTGATTATGAGAACTTTTAAACATAGACAGGTGGAATATGTTGTGGCTCCTTACTTGCAGTTTGCCCAGGTGAGTTGAGTTTTGTCCAATCGTTTCCATATCACCTCTACTTTACCTGAATCTCCTTTCATAGGGCAATTAGCCTTATAAACAGTTCTCCATGAGGTTTCCTTTCTTCCTTATTGACTAGCTGGATCGTACATTTATCAAGCCACTGCTGCTCAGACGTTACATGGTTCGTGTCTCTAAAGAAAACCTGGACAAGGCGTTTACAATTTGCGGCATGGAGGGAGCGTATAGAATTGGAGTGTCACTGACACCAGCTCACATACCTATTGCAACATCAAAAAGGATACATTCACGCCATATACTCTTCCACCGAATGTCTCCTATGGCCCATCGACAAACTCATCATATCCATAGATCTTTCACAATCCACTTTCACATTCCTCGAAAAACCTCGTATCCTCTCCGACCTCGCCCTGAACGAAGATCAATTCCTAGATCTTGGTCTTTTGGCAGGTTGTGCACTCACCCGTACTTTCCCACCCGCTTCACAAGACTTTACTATGCGTTCAATCGTCGATCTTGTTCGTCATTGGAAATCAGGTGTTGCAGCTTGTCAAGCTTGGCGTGCTGATCCAAGCGTCAAAACTCAATCTTATGGGGATGTCTTTATGCGTGCGAGATTAGCAGTGAAATATTCTTTGATTCTCACGACTGAAGGAGCATGTGTCCCACTTCCTCTGGCTGTACCACCCGTTCAAGCCGCTATCTCGCCGGCGGACGTACCAGGTGATTTGGATGAGATTTTCAGTATGAGATTACCGGATGAATTGTATTGTCATATATGTCGAGGATTGGTGAGTCCTCAAGTCGTTGGATGGTTGAGTGGTGGACAATTGGCGGAAAATCAACCTTTGGCGGATTCAGCAGAATATAGGAGGTTTATCAAGGATGTTATTACCGAAGGAGCAACCTCTCCTAGGTGTACAACTTTGGCTCTGTTAGCTGATGGTTTACATCCTCAATGGAAAACACGAAGAGTTGTGGGTTTTTCTTTTCCCACATACCATTATCCAACCCCATCCTGCCAATCTCCTTCCTGTGGAGAAGGCCGAGATAAGACTTGGCCAAAGGGAGACGATTCGTATCTCTTTGGTCGAAGAGGACATGAGTCTTGAAGTAGGGACTGATGACAGACCGCTCAATACTACTTCGACGTCGTACAGATTCCTCCTGCCGGTCATTTCATACCTTTCTCAGACAAAGTAACTCAAAGTCTTGTGGACAAATGCTCAAATTGGATCGTACCAGCTGGGATCGTGGAGAATGAGCTGCGGCGACAATCTGTGAGTGTGGATCTTTCTTGTCGTTCTTACTCGGACACTTGTGACAATTATTCATCTGTCGCTGGAGTGGTATGGCATTCTGAGAGAGGAGACACATATTGACATTCACAGTCTTCAACCATTGATCTCAAACTGTGTGTCGGCGCTTTGGCGACTGATGAGCTGGCTGCATTGACTCGACGCGGTAAGAATGAAAAGAGTCATCGACCATTGGACAAGAAAGACGAAGTCGTGGCGAATGTCATTTGGCGTTTGTTGGATGCCCGAGGGTCAGTATATTCTCTTCTCTCCAACGCCTTTTCTTGATACTTTTAACCCACATCCTTGGTCTTCTTCCCTCCTCTGGCTGATACCTATCGGCCTCATTTTTGTCTTCTAATGCTGTGGCACCTGAAAACGATGGTAGACTGATTCCATAGATTCATAGCGGCCAACCATACCCTATCCATCATGGGCAAAGCCCTTCACGCGGCTTGTACCCATTCTCACATTAATGATCGATTCCAAGAAGCTACCTATCTCGTTCTTGAGCTAATTCGAGCTGGCGTTGTTCATGGTGGTCCTTGGGGTGGACCGAATGGAGATATTTTGTCCGGTGGTCCTAGCATCGGGTCAGAAGAAGAACAACGTAGCATGTTATTGATCATGCGTTGTTTGAGTGTTTTGCAACTTAATTTCAGGGTAAAGTTCTTCTCTTACCCATCCACCCTCTCTTCCACTCCCGTCCACAATCTATCTTTCCATCCTAGTTCCGGATAAACCTCCTGTTACCTCAAATAACTCACATTTTCCACTCCATCACACATGTTGTCCGTATCCAACAAAATTAAGCTAAACATCAGCCACAACAATGGTCAGGTCCACTCTCACGTGAATTACTGGTATTCAATTCTTTCGTCAGAGCTCTATCTAAATCCCTTCGTCATCTACTCGAAGCTCTTCAAGTTCATATTCTCCTTTCCGGTGACGCAAGACGTAACAGAGAAGATCAATTAGATCTAATGATTTCCGTTCCGTTCCAAACTGAACCCAACACTGGATTTGGTATTTTGGCAAAAACATATTTGGACGCGACTATCATTTACTTTGGGGATACTATCACTTTGGAAAGTGTGGAGAAAGACTCGGCTGGTGTGAAGACTGCGAAGAAGGAAGCTTTGAGTTTTGTTGAACAGAGCTTTTCGGGAGTTAAAGGACCTGTTCAGGAAGTTGAGAGGGGTTTCAGGTTTTGGGATGCTGTGGGTTATTTCTTTCCACCTTTGACTTGCACACATCACTCCCCCCCCCCCCTCCCTTCCTTGTTTTCATATCCATACAGACTTCCCGCTCACACACTCACTACTCACCCTCTCGCTCATCCATTCAGTCAGTGTCTTGCCGGACCACCATGGTCCCTCAAGTTAAACCTCTCTCTTCTTTAGACTGAATGTGTGACTTTAGATCCATTTCACATGAAAGGCGGTATGGGAACTTCGACTGATATCAGATAATGGTCGCCATCAGAACTTTGGCAAAAGAACAAGGCCCATCTCCATCCCTCACATCAACCATCATCTCCCCTGCAAACGTGGAAGAGTTCGAACGTGCTGATCGATGGTTGAAACCGATGCGACCTTGATGAGTTCTTAGGGAGTGAGGGGTAACGCTCTTAATCATGATCATGGGGATTTGAAGGATTTGTGAGGGACGGAATCGAGAGAAAAAACGTCTTCACGATGCATGGCATGATTCTGATGGGGCATACGTACAAAGGGCCCACTATCAGCCCTCTGACAATTGAGGCGTCCCATCGGTCATCTGTCCTTTCCAAGTCGTCGGAGATCGACATCCGAGGTCCGACCCGCAATCCCCTAAAATCCCCTTTGGGAAGCGGTTCCTGGTCCACGGCCGCGGCTAGCGAATTCTATACAACCGGTGATCCCGGTGATCCGGTAAAATGATGGGGTGACTGCGAGAATGGGAGGCGCTCCACTCCGTGTATACAGTACAGTAGAGTACGAGTACAGTAAGGTACATACGTACATCTCACTACTCCGTGCATACGTGTATTCACGTCGTACATGTGTATTCAGGACCCAGGACCTAGGAGCATGGGAGCAAGGAGCAAGGAGCAAGGAAATTTGCGTAGTACTCTACGGATCTACGGGTCATTGTTCGGATCAGACATTCTGACCGAAATTGCACCGAGAAGTCGCTATTCTGGAATTGAGCGTTACCACAACAGGACAACATGGTGGTAAGGAGATGAAACAGGGAAGAAAGAAGTAGATGAATTAATCCTTCAGGGTGAAAGAACCAGGGGTATGGTAACCAGTGACCAGTAAACTCGTCCTGATCATTTTGATCACTTGACCCTTGGCTTCATTGACCCTCTTTTATCGATCAAACATTTCATCTACAACTACAATACTTCAAGTTGGTGGGTTTTACATTTACAAGACAAAATGGACATGACGGAGGTTTCAAGTATTGAGTTTGATTATGTTGAACGTCGTGCATGCTCATGGACAGCACTGGGTGCACTGGAACATGGAAGAGTAAGTTAACATGCGACATGCGACATGCAACACTAAACACGAAACATCTTTGTCCGTTAATACCGCGTAGGTCATCTTGAATTTCTACTTACCCTTCCTTCCCTAACCTCGGGCCTGGGGCCTAGATGCTTCGGAATATCATTCTCAAGTAGACCTTGTCTCACTTATTTCCCGATCCCATAACCCAACCTCCCTCATATCGAATGGGTCCATGGCCGAGAGGTTAGCCATCCTAGAGTGGGAAAACACCGAATCGGGGAATGGTCTCAAAAGAATTTCCCGCCTTGGTTTGTCACCGTCACCTCTTCTTCTCTTCCTCGCTTTTCAGCTTACCAAATCCAGTTTTCACACTTTGCTTCCGGTAAGCCAGTCAATCCTTTTCGGAAAGTTTTCCAGGACCATGCCGTCATTCGTATCCCGACCTAATCCGGGCCGATGTCAGGGAATAAGACAAGAGGAAGAGAAAGAAGAAAGAAGAAGAAAAACGGTCAAAAGCGATAGCCTATAGTTTACTTGGTAAAACCATCTAGTTCTAGATTGTGAATTATGATATTCACTTGCACTTGCCTATTTCTCGTCATTATTCCTTCTTCCAGATCGTAACAACCTCATCCAGCATCGACACTTCGTCATTTCATCTTTCGCTCTTTCGACCAATTTGGTAGATTTCCCGTTAGTTCGACAGTAGTGGTACAGTGATCAGTCGATAGTTGGACAACCGGCATACGGCTTTTGAAAATTAACGCGATAACGAGCGTAGTTTGTCACAAGACCTTTTGAGAAAATTACTATTGAAGTTGATTCCGGTCTCTTCTGGCTTAGGTCGAAGATCGAAGACCAAGGTCTTGGAAAAGTTCTTAGTCAGAGAAGAGTGGTCGTGTGATCAAGTTTCGACATCGATTAGTTTGGTTTCGTCATCGTCATCGGCCTTAGGATCATAGGTTCAAAAGTTCAGTCAACGATCCACGCGGTCCGACTATCTAGGTAAAGTCTTCAAGTGGGATAGTTGTCTATTCAACTCTTCAACTATTTGTGTATAATACCCAACTTCAGTGGCTTTCAAAATCGTTTCTTTCACCTTGGATCCGTCCCTTCTTCTTTACTCTATAATCCTTTCGCTCAACGTATCGTCCCCTGTCAATTCGCAAGTCGTCAAGATTACTGGAAATTGCTTTCCATCGAGAGATCATTTCAATTGGCGAGAGACACCATAGTGTCTTCTTCCATCCCTCATCATGTCAACACACACTACCCCTTCCTCAGGCCAGACATCAAGGAGCAATCTCGATTCATCGTTCACCTCCCACCATGACACCTCAGGACATTCAACGGATACCCCCATCTCCGCTGATTCGGCCAACCGTCCATTCAGTCCTTTCACCCCACGTCAATTGTTCCCTATTGCCACTCCTAGGAGAAATAGATGTCCTATGGCTTGTACCCATTGTCGTCGTCGGTGAGTCAACGTTTCCACTCACATCATCCTCTTGTATCTCCCAGTAACTTCCTAATCCCTAGTCAACTACCTTTTACCTCCTACCCCTCTAGACCCCTCTCCCTCCGCTCTATATACCCTCGGCGTCGACGGGGTGACGGTACCATGACGAGGATGAGGTGATCAGCCAAGGGGAGGAATCTCTTAAGAACAAAGCTGACTTTCCAGAAAAATCAAATGTCAAGGTGGCCAACCCCGCTGCGACGCCTGCGTCCGTCGAGGTGGAACATGCATCTACGCAAGTGTACCCAAAGATGATAGTCCCGAAACTCGAGAGAAAAATTCAGCAGCTCGATTAGCTAGACAAGCTCGAAAATCCAGAACACAACCTTCCACACCTAATCCATCGACTCAACACAATTCTCCAATTTCCCTCTCAACAACTTCTTTCCGTGAGACTCACTTACCCGATACACCATTCCAAGGACCATTCAATTCTTTCGACATTGGTCTCGCTACTGTATCTTCTAACTCTACTTCGAATTCTGGTTTTTCCACACCTTTCGATTCCCCTCGCTCTGTCGCTCCACCGAGTCTACCTATGTTTTCAGGAAGATCGGATTATCCATCTTTGTCAAACAATCCAATTGTTTCCAATGTCGGTTTTTCAGGATCATCTCCATTATCCGGAATACAAGGATCAGGTTTGTTGGATCAAAATCGTTCAAGAACATTCATGGCTAGAATGCATGGGCATAGAAAAAACCTTTCTTGTCCTCCACCTACTTTATTATGGGCTAGACCTACCCCTGGACCATTATCAACTCCTCAACCTGAAAATTCAACAATAATACCTCCTGGTCAATTCTTACCTGTTCCTTCATATTCGTCTCTCACCGATAATCATATCAACCGTCAACAATATATTCAACATCAAATGACTTCTCATCAATCTACATCTGAATGGTCCAATTCTCTTCCATACTTGAACATGTCTTCATTTAATTTATCACATAATAATCCAAACGACATGGTATCACTTCAACAAGAATCAGAAACATTCGAAATGAATCATCTCACTCTCGGCCCTGCCATTCATTCAATGTCGAATGAAGGAATTTCAAATAGAGAATTCAACATGGAAAGAAGTTATACTCCTACTCAAACATCTTCTTATCATTCAGATTCTCATCAAGGTCATCTTACACCTATTTCCATACCAGATAGATCACAAACTGATACACCTTATCATACCCCAATCGAACAAACTCCTTATTTCCCTACTTCCGAAGGGGGAGGTTGGTATGACCCAGATACTTCGTTTCAATCTCAACCTTTTACTTCACAAAATCATTTGAACCCTCACCAAACACATGCTTCAAACTTTACGATGAGACAAGACAATCATATGATTCCCCAAGTTGATCAAGGTCATATGAGTGCTCCTGAAACTCCTGCGTTATCTACACCTACTTCAACTTCCAATTCGGGTTCGTATCTTGACGAAAATAATGTTTTGGAATGGGGAATGAGACATGGGAACAAAGGTTTGGGTATACAAGTTCCTACTTGGAATCAAAGGGAGGTGCAGATGGATGAATTCAGGTATAATGGGTATCCTCACGCTTCTGTGTGATGGGGGTGGGGGAATGTTGGTCACGATTCAAGTGAACAGAACTCATGTCAATTGAGAGACATGAGTGACAAGGGTTGGAAATCGGGTCAGTGGGAGGCGGTGTGAGAGAGTGACAAGGGTCAGAAGTCAGGTCAGTGGGAGGCGGTGTGAGTGGGGCAGGTATCTGGAAGTGTGGACGGAGTTGGAAATGATATAATCGAGCCAAAACATATAATCAGGGTGGAGCACAGAATAATGATGACTTTAGAAACATCAGTCGAACATTAGAATTATTTTGCATCTTTTGGCATCTTCATTAGACACACAAGTATATGCATGGTTCATTGCTTACTACCTCCAACCTTTCAGTCATATGACGACTATCTGCCTTACTTTAATCCCATCCGTGTACCGTCTATCGCACGTTTTCAGTCACTGGCCAAGTTGTGAAGAAACTTCAGAATACAAACCGCTCACACAATTGATTTCTCTCAGTGAGAAACCTCTCTCATCATGTCTCTCGTCGATATAAGACGCATGGGAGGACTGCAGAGGAGAACATTGACAGTGAACAATAGGTATTTTACGACAGTAAGTCACTGATCACTTTATCATGAGTGAAGCTCATAAAATGCAATGAGTGCATATACATATCTACTCGTCTGTCATTACCCATGGTTATGCTTATCACTTTTCGTCGTGTTCGTCTAGAGCTTACGCAGAGCTGGGATAACCAATAAAGTCATCGGAAGGATCAAAGCTGGATGTCAGCGGATTGACTACTCACTTTCTGTGTCATCTGCAGGAGTTTAAGACCATCCATGATACCAGTAAAATAGCTGTTGTGATTGATCTCATCTGACATTTCGGGGCAAATAGGCCACACTTGCGACGAACGGAATATGAAAAGCAAGATCAAGTGACACGAGTGTCTGGATGTTGGAAAGTTCAAAAATGAGGCAAAGTGACGAGAAAGAATATAGACCGAGAATGGACTAACCAAACTATCCATCCTCCCGAATATCTCCAACACAGTAGCCACCACTTCGAAACATAATTCTTCCTCTCCTTCTTGTCCCCCACCAGCCCCTGCACCCTGCGTGCTACCTGCTAACATCTCCTTCCTCACCTCTCTTACCAACTCTTGCACACTGTCCCTCCCAGCTCCTCCTGATCCTCCTTCACGCTTACGTCCCGTCCCACTTCCCACACTGACGGGCCCAGTACTCAAAGGTACCGTCTGACCGAATGGCCATACAGAGAATTCGGCGAGGATGTCGTCACATCGGGCAAAAGCGGCTTCCCGGGCGTCGTATGATAGACGTTGAAGGGCGTTTTCAAGAACTGAAGATGCGTAGGCTGTTCAGTCAGTCTTCCCTCCCAGTAGGTACAACAAAGTGATATTTCGGAGGTCCCGAACAAAATGCATCACGTCGTCACGATATATTGAGAAGGTAAGAGAGACAGGGGTGGAGGAGTAAGATGAAGAGACATAAGGAGAGTTCTGACCCACCCGCACAAACCAACGCCACTGCTCGCATGTATCGATACTTTACCTCTTCCTTGTGTAACGCCTGAGGAGGGACAGCCGTCGTTCGAGCAGTCAACAAAGCTAAAGTTCGTCGCAACACATCTTCCTTTGCGTTCATGTCGGCAATCGGATGAGTGGCCATGTCAAATAATAAAAAGTTCCGCTTTTCTGTCCTCAACACGCCTTTATCCACTAACCCTTTGGCGAGGCGTTCACGAACTTGTTTCAGTTGATAACCTATTTTCATCACGTTCCATGTTTCACCTGATACATCAGCGTTTGTTAAATCATAGAAGTTATCACAACATAGTCGCGTTGGTTCAACCGCTGTTGGCAAGAGAGTAAGAAAGAAAGAGTAAGATGCTTCGCGGGCTTCTTTGGGAGCGGGAGGGCAGAGGGGCAGACTAATGGACTGGCGACTCACCACTCATCAAATCCACCCAGGCTCCAGCTCCATACTTTTCACTACTCTTCATCATCTTCAAAGCCTCATCTAGGATCGTTTCTCCAGTTTGTCGATCGTCAATGACCTCTATGAGCCTGTCGGCCAAGGCGAGTCTCCGACGAGAAGGGTCACGAACCATGGCGATACGTCTGCGCAGAGCGAGTTCTATAAGTATGCAACCTCTCAGAGCGTAAGATATGTTGTCATTCCAGAAACTAAGGTATCCCTAGATGTATGAGCACATCTCCCCATTCTCTTGTCAATTCGGACAGTATGAGGGTATACCTCTTCAAGAGGTTTAGTTCCGCATTCCATGTCACAGATCACGGACTCGCGCAGCTCCCCTGTAACGGGCTCAAGGAGCGACGTGGGTGATAAAGATGTATAAGTTAGAGAGAGTTAAAAATAAAAAGTAGACTTACGGCTTTATCTTTAAGACCCAAGAGAAGAACCTCTTCCATTAATGTCAACCTAGGCATAGTCTGCGCCTCTCCTCCATCTTGAAAATCCCTCGGGTCATAAGCCACTTTCCCTCTGCCTTCTATAGCACCACCGCCCCCGTCTCCCCCTGCTGAAGAAGTGGGAACGTTATTCCCAGGTCTTTTAGGTGCGGAAGAGGAAGAAGGTAAAGGTGAGGGTGAGAGACGACCTCCAGAGGAAGAAGGTATAGCAGGAGAGTTGCCGGCGCCACGGCGCCGGGTCAAGCCTTCTCCAGACATTAAAAGTGGTTTTTTTGAATGATAGAAAGCTTGTGAAGTAGGAGATGATGTGAGGGGTCTATGAGGTGATACGTTCAGGGAAGAAGAGACATGAGGGGGGTTAGGTATATGAGGTTTAAGTGTAGTGAGTGGGGCTTGTAGCAAGTCGGAACAAATTGGCTGGCTCGGGCGCGTGCATAGCATCCACCCAAAGTCATTATGCCGATAACGCCGAGGGATGTGGCAGACCATGACCTCCTTCACTCCTGTCCGCTCATGGCCGCTGAAATGATGTCCACAAACGACATCATACAACCACTGGGCTCTGGGGTGGATAGGGTAACAAAGCGCAAGAACAGGCAGGATGAGTAATCTGTAAGCTAATCACTATACCTCTAATGTAGCCGGCTGATGTAATAGATATGTCACAGAGGTCAGCTTCGTGTCTTTCCCGGACAAGCCCAACTGAGCAACTGACCCATAGCCCGCAACGAATGGCAAGGTCGTGGTGGAGACAACAGCAGGTGACATAGAGGTGAGTTTGCTTCTACATCCCTTATGATATTGTGACAACCTGACATATAGATAGAGCTATGGGGAAGAGAATGTCCTAAAGCAGTCCGAAACTTCATAGCTCTGTCTATGGAAGGTGAGCTTGTATCCATCTGCCACCTCATATATTTAGTTCTCACATGACGGGCTAAATCCTGATTCAACTATGGTTATACGGAACACTTGTCAAGGATGAGCTGATACAAAGGATACTATGATGGTGTCATCTTCCATCGGCTGGTACCTGGGTTCATCATTCAGACCGGGGATCCTACTGGCACTGGGACTGGCGGAGATAGCTTCTACGGCGAGCCATTCGCGGATGAGATTCATGGGAGGTTGAAATTCAATCGGTATGCCATCCTGCCCTTTGCTGCTTATCTTGTACTCGAACAGCATTCTTTGTGTCCTTCTGGCAGCTCGAAGGCTTGCGGACAAGATTCTGGCGGAGCGAACAAGACAACGGGGTGATGCTGGTCGACTAATGAACAGACGGGGTTTGGTAGGCATGGCCAATCGAAGTCAACGGAACACCAACACTTCACAATGGTTCATTACACTCGACAAAGCCGAAGAGCTCACAGGGAGACATACCATGTTTGGGCAGGTCATGGGGAACACGATCTACAGTCGGTCTCTTCTTTCTCAATCATACAAGCCACCCTTCCCCTCCAAGAGGCTTATGAGCTGATTTTCAGATGTGGTAGATATGGGGCAGCTGGAAATCGATGCGGAGGAACGACCACTACAGTATGTTCTCCATCTACTCTCAGGATAAGTGCAGTCACTGAATCTCAGTCCTCCTCGGATAAAGACGATCAGGATAATCGAAAATCCCTTCCCCGATATCGTTCCCCGTATCACTGCTGCCGAACGTCGGGCTCAGCAACAAGCCCGTCTGGACGCAAAGAGGGATCTAGAGCAACGAGAGAAAAGGGCAAAAGCGAAAAAGTGAGCAATACATGTTCCAATTAAGATTTGTAGCTGATTGCAGGAACACCGGACTGTTGTCGTTTGGAGAGGCGGAAGAAATCCCCGAGGAAGCCATCACAGTCAAGAAAAAAGGAATTACACGTACAGACTGTCAGCTCAATTGTCCGGTAGCTCTCACCCATCAGCTGATTCTCAGTGGTGGACCCTGCCGACGTGCCGAAGAAACCAGTCGAGTCGTATGTCGAACTTCCGGAATCACTGAAGGGTCTGGCAAATGGAAAGAAAGAAGAGCGGAAAGCTGTGGATCTCAAGGCTATTAGAGCGAAGCATGAGAAAGAGAAGATGGGTGATGAGTAAGTCTTACTGGTACTCTCCTGTCATCTAAACCAGTGACAGTCCGCTAGGGTATTCGTGAAGAGCTGTGTTCTCCGCTGACGACACAGAATCGCGCGACAGGCAGAGATCAGACGGATGGAAGACTCTCTACGAGCGCTCAAGAAACGCCAAGGCAATGATTCTGATTCTGATTCTGATTCCTCCACCCGACGAAAGAGAAGAAAAGGCCCGAGCTATCTAGAACAAGAACTGTCAAAGTATGCTGCCGGAAGAGGTAGAGCCGCTGCTCGAAGCGCGAACAAACGAGGACGGAGAGACGAGGAAGAGGACTTATTATTGCAGTTAGGTGAATTCACCAAGCGCGTTGCGGCCATGGGTGAGGAATCCCCCCGGGAAGAAGCCCCGGAGGAGCCTCAAGCAGACAAGAGTCAAGAGGAAGGAGAGATGATCACCGGCGATACGGAAGGTTTGGAGACTGATGACGATGTCGGCTGGATGAAACACCAGCTGAAGTTCATAGTAGATGAGAAGGAGTTGACGCGGCGGGCAGAGGATGAGTATGCTGTGAGTGGCGTTTGGTTCTCTGCGTACCAATTCTCGATTACTACCACTTCAACAATACTATCGCTTATAGTCTGGAATTGGAACAGAGCTGATGCTTTTTCAGGTGATCGACCCCAGGGCGAAGGCAAGACAGCTCGCGCAGGAGCATTCAAAGGAGAAGGAAGGACAACGAAGAGGTACACGGACAGTGGCAGACGTGGGAAGACGGAAATAAAAGAATGGAAATGGAAAGCCCAGGTGTTCATCGTTGGGCCTCTGTGAAGGGGAAAGGTGAATCTACAATTGGTAGCGCCCCGTTTGTAAGGACAGGAACCGGGAGTCGAAGATGGTGATACTGAAACTACCCTGATGCCCTGGGTGTGATCGAAAGAGCTGAGCGGGTGCGTTGTCTGCCACTACTGGAGCAAGATTAATGTCTTTTCGCCATCTATCCAAAGACGCGTCGCCGCGCGACGGTTGTAGTGCGTTGGGCAAGGACATGGGATGGGATAGGATAGATAAAATGGTGTAAGCATCTAAAGTAGGCATAACGAGAAGAAACCACCCGCGAGCCGCGGATCGCGGAAACGCTTGATTTGGTAAAGACGCGCGCCTTTCACCCGGCTAACCGCACCGCGCGCGAGGGAGTGGTTTGACGCGCAGGATGAATAGCTCGTATTTTGACTAGCGTTGTGGATGTGGAGAATGACAACTTGCAGTCGCGCAGGGGAACAGATGCACGATACATGCGAGTATAGTAGCAACAGGAGGAGTGAGGGTGGTGAGGAGCAAGGTTATAGCAGAAGGGTAAGTTAGGCGAGGAGTGCGCCAATGTGCGGGGTTTCGGGTTAAATTCAAGGCACCGCGGGAACTTGAAAATCCCCCGCTTCCGCTTTTTCCCGCAATTCTCTCTTTACTTGTACTCCCCTTCCTCCTCTTCATCACCTTCCTCCCTCATCCTTACCCCCGCCTACGCTACCCCCTACTGCGCAAGCCCTGAGGGATGACGATGCTCCATGGAAATGGTATCGGGTAAGAGCGTGTTCTTCCCTGAGAGAAAAAGAATCCAACAATTTCCACGTCCGCGTTCCGGGTGACGGTGACAATTTTGGAGGAGTTGAATCTTTCAAACTGTCTGCCGAGAACGCGACATGACCGAACCTTTCCAAACTGGGCTAACTACCCGTTCATAGTTCCAGACGTAACGGATGACTTCCTAAGGGGCCGAGCAAATGTCGCCTGCAAAAAAAAGGAGGAAAGAGTAGACTTACCCGACTAAGATTTTTCCAATTCATACTCTGATTGATATATATTAACCCCATTCCCCTTTGAACCTTTCTATCACACAGACTTGGTCTCCTTTTCTAGTCGTCTTTAATCCTCAAACATCTCTCAACCTCTCTCACCTCTCCGACTTATTCTTCAAAACCGCCTCAAACAACTATCTATCTCATCTAACCAAAATATCATCTTAATCGATTTTTAGTGTACTAGCTAGTCTAGCATCTTCACACGGCAGCGCCTAAACTTCTTTCTTTTCTTTTTTATTATTATTCCTCGACTTTCGTCAATAAATATAATTTGTTCTATTCAACCGAAAATGACAACTCTTCCCACACCTCCTATCACTCCTCATACAAGACCAAGGACCAGTAGTCGGTACAACATGTCCATGATCGATCGAATCACTTTGCCCTCTGAACCCCCTACTCCTGTTTCTCCTGCCTCTTCCGCCATGCAAGGAAGAAGGGCCGTGACAAGAAGTAGGAGTGGAGTCCTTGTGGAGACTCAGACACCTGGGTCAGCTACCAGTTCGGGATCAGGGGATGGAAGGTCTCATCGTTGGAGAGATCCATCTGGAAGGAGTAGAAGTCGTTCACGTGAGGCTTGGAGCATGCTTGGAGGTTTCATGCAAGGGAAAACCAATGGGCAAACTGAAGAGAGCGAAGATGGTGAGGAGGAGATAATGGACATGGATGAAGATGTTGGTGAGTTATCTTTTGTCACTTTTGACCCTACATCATTCATCCTACAACCCTTTCCTTCGGTTGTGACACACACCCCTCGTCCCACAACTATCATGTTTTCACAAGCAAGCCTGTTCTGCGTGGTGAATCATCGCACGAGGTGTAGAGCGCTGACTCTCAGCACCATTAACTCTCTTTCGTGCGCCTACTCTACCGTCATGTTCCCTTATGGCCGAATTTCGTCGTACTTCAACTGGTCCCCCTCTCCCTCCAGCTTTCTACCCCGGTCAAGCTATTCCCACCATCCTCACTTTCAACTTAGATCGTCGTTCTTCTCTCCCACATTCTCTTCGTCCTCAACTCTCCATGTCACTAGTCGGCACCCTTCACCTAGCTTCCAAAGCCACTCGTACCATCGTCTGCGTTTCAGTTTCATTACAAGAAGGTCTTACACTTTGGGCACGCGATGCCGCTTGTGCACTTCGAAGTGTCACTTCTTCCCCTCCTCCACTTGAAGGTCTTCCAGGTGGAATATACAACCTTCCACTAACCGTTCAAGTCCCAACCACACCACGTTTACCACCAAGTTTCAGAGTTCGAAATGCTGGATTTGGGGTAAGTTACAATCTCGTCGTCAGTCTGACCTGCGATTCGATACCTCCCACTCAAGGACAATCAATAATGAAAAGAGTTGTTTTAGCCGAAACTGCAGTCCCATTCGATATGCTTCCTGAAACTTTACCTACCCCTCCTGTTTATTATCGTCCATCTGCTTTTTACGTCAGAGATTTTCATGGTGACGATGGAGGGATCGTCGGTGTGAAAGGATCCATTCGTCGTCCTAACGCACTTTGGTCTGTTAATATATCAATACCAACAGCAGCTTATAGTCCAAGTGAACAAATCCCAATTAATATCAATTTAACACCACCACAAGAACAACCTACTGGAAAATACGCTGAAAAATATCATATTTTCATTAAAGCAAGTTTAACAAGAAGAGAACATAGTTCAATATCACCACCTTCACCACCACCTTCATCAGTACCTTTACCACAACCAACAAAGAACGCTGCGGGTTTATACCTGATAGGAGAAGAAGAAATATGTTCAAGTTGGGGTTGGGTAGAATCAAATGATATTTCAACTATTCATTTACCAAATTTAATACTTCCTTTAGTTTCTTCAGGTCAATCATGGGAATACGGTTTTTCAACAGTTTTAAACGTAGGAAATCAAAGTTATGTGCAAGATTCAACTAGGAACAATCAAAATTCTAATGGTGTTTCAATAAGTTCAACTTTTCAAATAAACGTCGTAACTGCTTTTTTATCTTTACCATTACATTCGAAAAAATCAAAAATCACAGATTTCATACCTTTTTTACCACCCATGGGTATCTTCACACAACCAGGTTTATCACCTGATAAATTGAAAATGAACGTAATGAAAAGATATTTCTCAGGTACTATAAAAAATCATTCGATATCTATTACAGTTGGGAGTGTCAGTGAACCTAGGGGTGCTATGCAAAGTACTTGTTGGAGTGAATTACAATTGGATAGAACGGAAGATGGTAGGGAAACTGGAACGGGTAGAATGGTAGCTGGTAGAAGTACGACTTCTGAGAACGGTTGGATTTTACCTCCTCCTAGTTATAAAGAAGCTGTGGCTCAACCTCCTTACATCTAGGTTGGGACTCCCTCGATGTCCATCAACACTTGAAGTACGATGTATAATCGATTGGTTGAAGTAGACGGTATCAAGTATCCAGGTTAGTGGAATAGAGCCCGGGGTGGAGTTAAGGATCGGGTTGGAGAGGGGAGGCTTGTGAGTATCGTGACTGGCGATCGTATATCTAGTAAGACAAATCATATAATTTAAGCTTAGAATCATGCGGGGACAATTGTACTTGTACCGTATTCGTATCATACACTCTCTCATCACATCTGGCATTCTTTCATCGGTTAGCATCTATCTCTGGTTTTGCATGTATATTACTGTGTCGGCTTTTGAATATCTGGTCGGTGGTGATCTCACTCTTGCCAATCTGAACAGATACTGCCAGCCTCATCATCAGGCATCAGCGCTATTCAAAAGTGTGTAGTGATGAATACGGCGCGGGACCAAGCACATGAAAACGCTGGATAGCCGGAAACATCCGTAACATGAACATTCATCGTTTGTATAATATCACGCGAGACCGAGACGGATCAATTGACGTACGCCAGTCTACGAGTCAGTCACTTCCTACATCCACATGGTATCAAGTATCTGAGAAGGAGTATAATACGAGACTGACCAAAGTGAGAAGTAGAGAGGAGGAGGGAGGATATCACACTCACGGCCCATACCGTCACATCACCGGTAGCGTTAGTCATGAGTTCTACATGCATCGCCAATGCTCCATTAGCATCTCGTGCCATCATAGCTGGCCATCAGTACTCCATCCTCGCAATCTCCCCTTCATATCATCACACCAACAGTTGGTCATTCTGCTCAAAGTATATCAATTAGAGAAATCTGCGTCGTCCGTTTTAGTGAGATAATCAAGGAGAATGGGACTGAGACTCAAGGGTTTAGGGCAAATCGAGGTAAAGATGGAGAAACAAAAACCCACCTTTCGAAATCTGTAACATCTGCTCAACCGCCTCTTTAGGTACCGTATCATTGTTCAACCCGTCAAACAAGATATTCAACCTTCTCTCTGTATCCTCCACAATCTTCTTCACTTGCGGAGGAACGTTCATCCCTTTGACCCGAACCATCTCAACTGAAAGTACCTCGTAGATCGGTTTGGCTTCGGAAGAAATATGAGTTCTATCTCCCGGAGCTGCACGTTAGAGGCGTCTTTCGAGTAACTATGTGAACTTACGATAAGTGGGTTTCGCCGGGGTTACAGGAGCCGCCGGTGCAGGTGGTACACTTGGAGGTCTAGCAGAAACCACCGAGGATGTTCTACCAGGTGGAGGAGGTCCTGCGATTCTCTGACCGTGACCTGGTGGAGGTCCCGCAGACATTTGTCCCACCGTCGGAGGAGGACGGACAGACTGAGCAAGTGGACTGGCCATACGACCTTGAGGTCCTAATGGCGATAATACCCGTTGAGGTGGTGGACCAGCTAAAGTACCAGGAGGAGGACCTGCTCTCACTCCTGAAGGAGGGGGACGTACTTGTGGCGGTGGGCGTATTTGAGGAGGGCCAGATGGTTGTCGTTGTTGTTGAGCAGCATGAGCTACAGCTTGGGCGGAAGGAGGTCTTGGACCCCCCTTAGGTGGTGGAGGTAAGACACCAGGTTGACCTCGAGGAGGGGGACTGAGAGTCGACATGGGAGGTCCGGACGGCGTTGACAAGGGTGCAGATTCCGACATTGGGAAGGGAGACATGATGGGCGCAGGCTTGCTGGCATCTTTCATAGCACTTTGAGGACGCTTCGGGGGACCTGAAAGACTCGGAGCGTCGTTCCATCCTGGCATATCTCTTCGCTGTGCTGCGGGGAGAGGGGAAGGTGATGGGTTAGTAGTTGGACCGGTAACGCTACCGGCGCGAGGAGGAGGGGCAAGGTTGTTGGAATGTTGAGGAGTAGCGTTATACATCCCACCGGTGGGTACACCATATCCTTGAGGCTGGGGATCATATCCGTTGGCATAAGAAGAAGGTTGGTATCCTGAAGGCGCATACGGACTAGCGTCGGCTGGAGCGTATGTCTGAGGCGCGGGCTGATATCCGAGGGATTGAGATGGAGCATATGCCGCGGATGTTGCTGGAAAAGAGTTTGTGGTTGGGGCCGGAGGAGCCGTGTAAGCTGAAGTAGAATAGGTAGCTTGAGTCGGTGTGGGAGGAACATATGATGGTACACTTGGCACCGGTGCGGTCTGAGTGGCAACGACTGGCTTGACGATTTGAGATGCGGCCGTCAAAGCAGATGGTGCTTCGCTTGCAGCACGTAGTATCCTATCTCGAGCTTTGTCCAGCTCACTCGCAGTTCCTGTACCCTTATAATCCGGTGGTGTCATTTGAACATATCTCGCGGCGAGCTCCACAAGACCCTGATTCACCAGCAGATCTGCGTATTCGTAGTATCGATCATAAAGCGCTGATAGCTTGTACGACCTAGCACCAGCCTCTGCAGTTTCCACATTTTCCGTGGGTCGCATAAGATCTTCATCCACATAGCCACTTCCAACGGCAAAGACCGTGACTTTCTCGATGAATCCATGGAGGGCATGAGCATGAGCTGAATATTTCGTCTTTTCGGACGCTTCTTCCTCTTCATGCAGTTCGTCCACCCAGATGGGAATGAGCTTCTCCAGTCGACGTGCGGCGAGGTAGCAGAAAGTCGCATCCTCTCTAGCAGTCCTGGAGGACGTTTTAGCCTCAGGAGAGTCCGAACCGGCGAGCATCTGCCATCTATATTGCAACCTTTGACCTAGCTGTTCTGCCAGACCAGGAAACTCCGCGTCCTTGGAAAAAGTCGCAATGACAGCAAAAGCCACCTTCCACTCTGTCAAGTCGGCATTTTGCACAATGTCGATCAGATCTTCGGTGATGATAGATTGGAAGATACGAAGGAATGGGACCTTGCCGGTACGCTTGGCGAAATAGGCTTTTTGAGTGGAAGCGAGAAGGTCGGAACCACCACGGACAGCCAGCAGTAGTGCATCGGCATATCGTTCGGTCGCAAGGCAAATGTCGACAGCGGATTGGAAGTCGCCAACGACCAAGGCTTGAGTTACGAGCCTGTCAATGTCACTCTCCCCTGATGGGTAGATTCTGAAAGTGTTCTCTTGAATGGCTTCTGAACGGACCGAAGACGGCCGACTCCCGACCGTCGCTGCGATGGAAGAATCTGGTACATCGGGCTGCCTGTGAGGGATGATGTGGTCAAGAAGAGGATTGCGCAGAACACTCGAAGACATCGAAGAGAAGAAATCGGCAGCTGCCGCCGCAGGTGTCCCTGGCGCATCGTCAGGGAACAGTCCACTTTCCGAGTCCTTCACAGACTCTGCACCTTTGGAGGTGGGCGACGCTACGGATGGTTCCGAAGGGGTTGCCTCTGACTTAGCAGACGCCGGAGGAGTGTCGTCATCGTCCCCTCCATTTTCAGACTCCAGATCCGGCTGAGATATGGAGATAGTCGGTTCCATCTCCCCATTCAAGGCAGGTAGCTTTCCTACGCCGTACTTCTTCATCGCCTCCGCAACTTGTCGTTCCACTTCTTCCTTGGAGAAACCCAACAATTCAAGTAATTCTTGTCTCGACTTCGCCTTGAAAATCGTTCGTAACGTCTTCCAGGCCAAAGCCGCTCCTGGTCGGCTTGCCTGTCTCTCGCAGAACTCTTCTACCTTCTCCTTGTCACCGGTGATTTGACTGAGCGTATCACTGAGATCGATGATCTCCTCCTCTGTGACTATAGTACGCAAATGAACCACCCCACTTTGGTGCTTCCCAGATGCCCCGGGAAGGTTCGATGTGCTCGCGAGAGTACCGCCGAAGCCGAAAGAAGCAGAGACGGGACGTCGAAGCCATTTTGCTGGTTGCTTGAGAGACAAAACGTTGACAGTCTCATCCTCGCGCTCTTGCTTCCCCAACGCCCCGAAGACGTCGTCCGCCGTGACAGCGTCATTCAAATCCTGGGATTGCTGTGAGGAAACTTGGGTCGTTTGAAGGGAATGTATACCGATGTGACCATCGAAGGATGCTGTGGCCAGGAGATCAGGATTACGGGGGCACCAGGCGGTTTGGAACGACCAATCACTGCTGGCGGGTAATTCACCGATGATCTCTCCGGTCTGAGGGTTCCAGCAGAGAGTACGATTATCTTTTCCACAAGAGAGAAGCAAATCGGCATCTTGCTTGCACCATGAGACAGAAAGGACACCTTTGTGATGACCGTTCAGTATCTGGCATATGTCTCAGCTTTCTCAACTCAGGTGTGACGAAAACGTACTCGTTCAGGTGCTCGAGTGTTCCTAAGATCCCATAACATGATGATAGGCGACTCGTCGTCCTCCGAGGCAGTGATTAGTCGAGTGGCCTATACAGTTCAGCAAGACCTCGAGACTGAAAGGTAAGAGCTCACTTGTTCGGGGTGCCAACACACATCACTCATTCCTCGTCTCTTGCCTAACTGAAGACCTGTCATCCCACCAAAAGCTTCTGTACCTTTGGCAGCACCACCGCCGTACTGCAAGCTGACGATCTCCTTACCAGCCTTCACATCCCAGACTGAGGTGAAACCTGAGGAAGAAGATGCAGCAAAAATACGCGCAGTGGTCGTGTTCCACTGCAGCGAGGTGATCTCGTTGAGCTTTGTGGACGGAGGACCAGGAATAACCGGCGCACTCCCTGGGTTATTCAGGTCGTATATGTACAGCTACCACGTCAGCTGCTGCCGTCACTTCTAAACACTCACCTCTGCGTTGACTGATCCAGTCAGAAGAAGGTTCTTCTGGATCGGATTGAAGTCTAAGCCTCTCACGGGCCCTGTATGTCTGTCACTGGAGAAGATTCGGGACTCCTCCGCTCTTCATCTGTCAGTTTGCACGTACTGCTATTTCACAGGGGGCAGCTTACGCGGCAGCGTTCAATATCTTGTGGGGGTCGTAAACGTTCACCTCGCCCGTTTCCATTCCAGCAGCCAAAACTCCTCGGGTGTATTGTGGCAGAGATGAGGACCATGCTAGTCGGTTGAATCTTGCCATGTCAGCGATATTCAATCATCGTGTATCTCTAGGAAAATGAAGGGTGTACGGCACGTCATCAAGAAGAAACGACGAAAGCTCACCGGCTACCAACTGTGATGCTGCCTTGAGGACCGCTTCCTTGACCTCCCAGCTTGATCCCCTGAACATTGCCGAAATCAGGCTGCCATATTTCCAGTTGACTCTCATTACTGAAGCTTTCGTCAAGAGCACCGGCGACTGCTCCTGTAGCTAACAAGGGCGAGGCTGAGGAGGTGAGATCCCAAGCAAAGGTAGCCGTACGGGAGATGTCTTTGAGCTTCATCGCGGAGGAAGCGCAGAAGAGTTGTGAATAGTAGATTGAGTATGTACCGCAGCCAGCTGTACTGATTGGGCTGGCTGTGGACAAGAGATAGGGGGAGAAGAATAGAGAGTTGGGGGGAGGAATGGACACTTGATGACGCTCGTGGAGGGGGACGTGGCAAGGCCGTAAATAGGCTCGCGGCGGCTGTTTGATGGTTTTTCGCGCGCCTACTTAGAAGTAAAAAGTTGAAGATTTCCCTCAGAGTCAGTAACCTACAGTGAATCGACATTTGACAAGTAGTCAAGCACCATGCCAGACCCCTTCTTTCAGTCCGACAAGAAACGTAAACGAACACCTCGTCCCAATTCTACTTCCAGGCCAGGTGGAAACACAAAGTCTAGAGCCAAAACAGCTCCCAGGCGACAAAGACCGAGCTCTGATTCCTCCGAGAGCGATGGAGGCGATTTTGATCTCGACACTGTCGACTTCCGCAAAGGCCGAGACGACGATGCGATTTCTGACGAAGGTTACATAGATGAGAATGAGACCGCGGCTGAGAAAAGGGTACGATTAGCCAAGAATTATCTTTCCAAAGTCAGAACGGAGCTTGAAGCTGGTGAGCATGCTTCTCCACTTAACATACCTAGCTCAGTCGTCCAGCACGAGACGATGATGCGTTCGATGCAGCCGAAATCGACAGAGAAATCATTGCTTCTCGTTTACAAAAAGATGTGGTAAGTGATTTCTTCACACTAGGTCTAGTAACTGATATCAAGGCGGAAACTCAAGGTCGGATACATATGTTTCTTTCTGATCAATTGGGAGAACCTTCTTCGAAATTCATCACCACTCCGTGTCATGTACCCACTTCTGTAGCATTCAACTCCAAGTCATTGTATATATCCACCAAAAGAGGCAGCATCATCCCTATCACACTTTCTACTCTGAAAAGAACAAAATCATGTGGTCGTAGCAAAAGTGATGGACCACAGAATCAAGGACACAAAGGCGAAATTTTATGTTTGGCAACTAGCGAAGATGGAAAGTATCTTGTTAGTGGTGGTAGAGATAAAACTATTGGAGTATGGGACGTCACCGGTGATGAACCCATATGGAAAATTGGTATGAGAGGACATAAAGATGCTGTCACTGTGAGTTTAATCAGTTATCCTAAAAGTATCAAATTTGACTTTCTAGTCAATCGCTCTACCTCCACTAGGAAATCCTTCATATGAAATCCTCAGTGCTTCTTTATCGAGACATCTGGCACTTCATTCATTATCAACCTTATCACTCATCGATACTTTTTTTGGACATCAAGATTCTATACCTTCGGTTTCAGCTATAAAACCTACTGCCGCTGTCACGGCAGGATCAAGAGATAGGACTTGTAGATGGTGGAAAGTAGAAGAGGAAGTACAGTTGGTATTACGAGGTGGTGGTAGAAGTACTTTATTTCCAGAATCGAAAGATGAGGATGTGAATGTGGTTGAGATAGATGGAGAAATCAAGCAAACGAAAGAGAGAAAAGGGAAAGGAGTCGAATTTGTTGAAGGAAGTGTCGATGTGGTTTGTATGATCGATGATCAAAATTTCGTTTCTGGAGGTGATAGTGGGTAAGTCATTAATCTCTCTTTTTCTTCTATCATCTTCACAATCCCCAAAACCCCTCATACCATTGTACAATCAATGAGTACTCCTACCAGTCCCTACGAAATTGACCCAAGGGAGGATTGTCGAATTGTCGAATTGTCGAATTGTCGAATTGTCGAATTGTCGAATTGTCGAATTGTCGGAATGACGAGTTTTGACTCTTTTGGTTGGTCAAATTACTAACTCTAAGTGCTATTTGTCTTTGGAACATTTCCAAGAAAAAGCCTATATACACACATCATCTTTCTCATGGTACTGACAATCTATTGTCAGAAGGTGGTAACATGTCTTCTCCTCGTTGGATAACCTCATTGGCACATTTAAGAAGTACAGATGTTTTTGTATCAGGTATGTCTTCCCATTCTTACCTTCTCCGAAATTCTATCCCATCCATATCCCCCCTGTCAAATCTAGTCATCAAAATCAAAACCATTGTTGTATATGTCAAGTTCACAGTAAATTTCAACTAGAGTATTGTCACTCATGTCAGGTTCTTGGGACGGTTATATTCGTTTTTGGGCATTGTCATCATCTCTTAGATCTTTTTCTCTAATCAAAGAAATCCAAATAAAAGGATTCATCAATTCTCTACAAATTTCTTTTTTACCTTCTGGATCTATCAATCCGACATCTCTTAATTCTCACACTTCTCATTCTTCAATGATCTCTCAAACCACCACCCAAGTCTTTGACGTTCCCACCGGAAATCCTACCACCAACACCCACACCAACACCCAAGGGGGAAAAGAAGGTCACATTCCCCATACTCCAGGAAACCCACAAAGAGAAAAAGAAGCTATGGGAGAGTCGGACAATTTAAACCCTTCTCCACCCATCACCGCCGGTAGAGTAGAATTGGGAATGATGAACCCTGTGGAGAAAGAGAAGAAACAGATGAAAGAAAAAGAAATTGTACTCGTCGCTGCTATTTCCCAAGAACCTAGATTAGGTCGTTGGATCAGGTTGAAAGATGTCAAAAATGGAGCTTTGGTCGTTATGCTTCCTCTGATCTGAACATCCACCCCTGAATACCCATCCCACTTATCCCGTTCAGATATCTGATGATCTCCCACCAAATGATTAAAACGTTTCATGTTCTTAGCAACTCTATCCAGAAATCTTTTGGCTATGATGGGGTACTTTGTCAGGTGAATGACAAAACTCGATGAAGATGCATATGTCTATTCTACATTTACTGCGTGTCATTAATCCATAGCAGTGTTATCATCTATCATTCTTGTTCTCACCACATCGATCCAACTTCTCATTTCCAAACATTATGATCAACTCGTCAGTCCCCCATCCACACGGTATCATTCTATCAATCCATCATCTCCCCCCACTCGATATACACGTATATATTAAAACTCCATCATTCAACCCACTGCTCAAGTGACAAAACGATCACCCCTCACTCGTATCAACACGTATCAAAGGAGTAGGTGATTCCGGTTCCATCCTATTGATAGGATTAGGACTAGGTGAATCCGGACCATCATCTTTATAATCTTTATCACTCTCATCATTCAACTCTTCCACCATCCCTGATCTCATCGGTTCCAAAGGTCCTTCACTAAGTTGAAGATCAGACATGAGTTTCTGAGCAAAAGTTCCATAATCGAATTCACCATCATCAGAAGTAGGTATAGCGAAATCGCTCAAAGAGAAATCACTACTTATAGGAACGGGTGATAAAGGTGGAGCTAATTGTCTTCTTTCACGTTTGACCCTTGGAGTACCTTCTAATTTGAGTCGATTCAATCGAGCGTCGATAAGGTTGACTTCGGAAATGGAAGAAGCTCCTGTTGTTTGAGGTGTTAAAGCAGCACGAGCTTGTGCACGACGTTCTCTAGCTAGAGCTTCTTCTCTTTTGGCACGATTTTGATCACGACATGCCTGTGATTAGTTGAATTCTTTTGTGTGTACCGATATTACCCCAACTGTCCCTACTTCTTACAACTGAGTTCTCTTACATGTACACCCGGGTAATTCGATCCGTGGACGGATAAAAGTCGAGATCAGATGTCATGATATACCGCGAACAGGATGCAGGACAGTGATCAGAGAAGACGTCACTGGAGATGACGAGTGAGTACGGACGAATTCACTCACAATGTACGAACTTGTAAAAGTTCTGAAAATCCCAAAGAAATCTTGACTTTGCATAGGTCTCGACATTTCCTCTCCCTCACAATAAAACGTTTGAACTTCACGTAAAGCACTTTCAGCTTGAACGATCCCATCTCGTAAATCTTGCATCTCATCTTCAGCCGAAGCGGAGAATCTGAACATTTTTCGAGTATAACCATCATCACTACTGAGGAAATTCGCATTGAGTGAACGACGGATATTTCGGATTTCGTCCAACATAGATTTCGAAGTCGCTTGCATATCTGTAAAATTTACTGGATCAATTAGCGTGACTGAACACATTTCGACAGAAACACGGGCTATTGATTAAGATATAACGTGAGGAAATGACTTGATTGATAATAGAAACAAAATAAACTCACCTCGATTCGCCTCTGAAGGTTTGACCAGTTCATCTAAGAAGCTTTCCAGATAAGGGAAATGTTGACTGACGACATTCTCAAGGAAATGTAGCAAGTTTTGTCCATGGGAAGATTTGGTATCTGCCAACTATTTTATCAGCTACTGATCACAGGCCACCTCACTGGCTTGTCATATCCGTCCACGCGATACGTTGTGTGGAGATACGAGACATAGGCAAGGATTGTCGGTGGCATATGACAACACGTACCCTGTTGATCGAGGCAATTTTGAAACCATAAGCCCCGCCGGCATAATTCGTACCATTGAGGAAATTGCCCATGACCAGGATCACATTGAGTAGCTCTCGGAAACGCTTGGCAGCGAGGAGATCTCTACATGCGACAGTGAGAAGGTCCAAACTCTGCAAATCAGTGTATGTTCTCTTTGGTGATGTCGTGCCGCGTGAGTCGATGTATACAGAGCTGGGCAAAGGCACAACGGATTCGGCAGATTGGATGATCAGTGAGGATGACATGTGGAGGGAGTTGAGAGGAAAGATGTGTGCAAATTGACGAACCTTCTGAAGCAACTCGACGTTTGTCGCAAAACGGATTTGGAACAACATTCCCTTGACCCGATCGTTGAGGTATGGAAGTTGGATCAGTCGGACCATCAATCGATCGGCAGGATGAAGTCGTTCCAGATCTTCTTCACTATCGGCGGAATGAGTGAGCAGCTTTCCACGCTGCCAGTCAGTATATGACATGTATCGAGCCATCCTAATGCTAAGGTCCTCCACCAGGGCAGCCCATCCAATGATTATTCCCTCATAAGATGGAAAGACATTGATTATACAGGGGTCGGGGTGTGCAGAGATGGTACATTGTGAGTCTTTTGATCCAGGCATGGCGATACCATCCCGATTATGAACCAGAGCTCAATATATGACGTTCAGAGACGACCAAGGAATATGAAACTGAGAGAGACCCACCTCATCATCATTCGGCAATTGACTCTGCAATTCAGATAAGAAAACCTCGGTGCACAGATTCGCGTCAAAGTTCGCAATGGCATCTGAGAGTTTTTCCGGGTCTTTATATGATTTGGGAGTTGGTTGTGACATCAAAATTTCGATTCTTCTTCTGTGATCTGGAGCGAGGACAGATTTGAGTTCTGTTTCTTTCTTCTTTTCTGCAATGTCAGATACTTCACTTACTCCGTCTGTACGCGAATATAGCCGAAGGTTCATCATTCTCATCTCAGATGGAGACGATCGGTTTCCTGAAGTCTTGATCACGTCAATTGAACAAGGGTAATTGGTGTTGGTTGATGATAAGGATATCTGATGTTGGTGTATGATAAGGGAATCTGATGTTGTGGTATGAAGGAGCTAAAAGAAAGGTGACAGTCGAAGGAGATGATAGGGCGATGAATGAGCTGATCACTCACTAACGGCATTGGCGATAATATCCTTCGCCTTGAACTCATCTTCCATCTCACTCCACAGATTGACAGCTTTCATCCTCTCGACCAGATCTTCTTCTCTAACTTCTTGTGTACCCCAAATTGTCTTTGCCAATTGAGCTTTTGAGACTTTCTCCCATTGAACCTGTTTTGTCTTTTTGCTAGCCATCATAGCTACGTCCTTTCTATTGTCATTTGAACCATGTAGTAAGGATGACAATGGAGCCAGAGGTGCTCTTGCACCTGGAGCTGAAGGTAGAGGGGGGGAACGTGTGGTCGAATCGGTCGGAGATGATGAGGGATCATTGGGGTTGTTGGAAGATTTAAGTTTGATACCTCCTTTTATACCTGCTAAAACACCTGCCATACCTGACATAGAAGCTGGGATTCCTGGTGGTAAACCATTGGTCATACCCATGGAAGGAGCTCCTGGCGGAGGTGGGGGTGGAGGTGGAGGCGGTGGGGGTGGAGGAGGAGGTGGTGGTGGTGGTGGTGGCGGAGGAGGCGGAGGCGGGGGGACGGATGGTATGGAAGTCGAAGAGTCTGATAATCTCTCTCCAGTACTGGAATTCTCTTCTTCCAAAGTCGATAAAGTAGGAGACTCATGTGGTAAAATATCATCTGAATCCGTTGAACTGATATGTCTGAAGGATTTTGCTCGACTCAATACTTGAGCTGCGAAACTGTCTCTTCTCCCCGTAGTCGGAGTTCTTAGTTCCATAGATGCCACAGAACTGAAATCCGTTCCTTGAGTCAAACGACTTTGGCGGTATTCAGACATCGTATCGTCCATCTGATCCGTTTGCACAACTGAAAACGCCGAGGTACTTCTTGACAGTGTCCTCCAATGTACTTCAGGCAGTAACCTCGGTGGGAGATGGGGTTTACTTCCTCTGATACGGTGCATGGACTTCTCCCCGATAGGAGGAGCGTTCGGTGCCCCTCTTCGGGTGATGGTACGGGAGGAAGTGGATGTTGGGAATTTACCCATTTGTCTGACGGGAGAAATATGGTCGGCACCTTTAGATAAAGCATCTTCTATATGTTCCCTCACTCGATCTTCGGTAGCATCGGCAAATTGGGATCCGGAAGTGGATTTCTTGGCTCGTGATTCACGAGATTTAACCCAACCTTTTGCTTCGCCGAAAGCGACTTTAGCAGCTTCCAATACCTCCCCATCTTCTTCTCCATCTTCATCTTCGGATCCCGGTACAACACCTTCGGTGGTATCTTGACTATTGGATTTCCTGTTTGATTTCCTTTTGCCGTTGATCTGATCTTTTCCTTCGAGCTTTTGGATGGTTTTCTTACGGGCCCATTGTTCTCGCAATTGTAGCAACAGCTTCTCTCTATCTATTGGTCCCGTGGTTCCGGATTGGAGTTGGTCGAGATACATACTTTCGCGCAACATGTTGAACAGCTCCTGAATGATCAATTCCAGGTCTGCGACTTTCGCAGCGTGTTCGGTCCTTTCACCCTCTAATCGATCTTCCAGTGATTCAGTCGTCGCCCGTGATTTTCGCAGACGTTCCTCCAGATCCGTAATGTGGGCTTTAAGTTGTCCAACAAGTCCATCATTACCTTGAGCCAGTTCTTCTTTCAATTCGTCCCTTTCACGATTCGCGGTCGCTAGAGCAGCTTTCAATTCCCTGACCTCTTCGAACGCCATATCCATCCGATCTTGTTCTACGTATTTGCCAATCACTCGGCCCACGGACGTCCCGAATGCCCTTGAGAAATCTTGAGACATGTCCGGTGTGTCCGACATGACGATGCTGGAGATCAGTCTGTCGAGAAGTTGGAAATATCGGTCTCTCATTTCCCCTTCTTCTTTGATGAGTAACAGATGTCGAAGAGCATCCAGAAGATAGGCGCTTGACTTTGTTCCTCGAGTCATTTGAAGCAGAGCTCTTATGACATCTTCAGGGGTGCGCATGGAATGCAAGAGGATCCTGTCTTGTTCTTCAGCCAGGGCTTGACGATCTGCTTCGGCGTCTTCTTCGTATTGCCTGATCTTGCGTGTGGTCCCATCATCATGGATTTGCTCAATTTTGGCGAACACTCTTGTCACTCCTGCGGTCTCGAGTTGGGCCCGGACGGCACAACGAGCCCGAATGTGGATACTGGAGACCAAGCCTTGAATCAGGACTATCATCGTGTTCTGGATATCAGCACGATTTGCAGACGCTTGACAGTGATCACTGTTTATCTGTTCCCAAAGAAAGTGAATCAAGAAGGAGGAGAGTGTCACGAGACTGGTGACACGAGTGAGAAGCAACTCACACAACACTCCATGATGGCTCCAGCGTCGGCACCTTTCAAATCCTTACTGACCCCCACCATACTCCCCATCCGCCCTCTACCATCCATCATCTGTTCGAATTGTCTCAGCCATACGTCGAATTTTCCAACCTTGCCCGCAACATCAATGATGGTATCATTGAGCTCTTGTTCAAGTTTGTCGAACGCACCGAGAACCATAGGTAGACCCACGCGTGGCTCTGACTGTAGATCAAAGTGACAGAAGAAAGCGAGAATCTCTGCTGCCATTTGCCGACAAGCTAAATTTGGGGAGATGAGAGATTTGACGACAGTGTTGACGACGGCTGGCTTTTGCAACGCGTCCAACGCTCCTATCTATCCTACGTCAGTCTCATTCCCTTATGCTCAAGAGGTTCTCATGGGAAGAGCGTGAACTGGTGGAAAGACTCACGTTTGTGCCCAACGACAGCTTGAGACATTTGAGCAATTCAGTTTCCATCTCCACATCTGCAGCGCCACGATTTCTTTTTTTGGTATGATCATTTAGTAATTTAGCTAGGGCATTCTGACCTTGAAGCTTGAGGAAATCCTTGACGTACTCCAGCCTGTTGCTTCGAAGGTTGATCGAAAGCGTAGCGATATGCTGAGGAGTGATAGTACCGTTGAGCATCTTCTCAAGGAACCACTCTGGACTATCTTTGGAGATGCCGGAAGCGCCTTTCCTCTTCCCACTCCTGGCAGCCTCGCTCTTTGCTCGCCTGGCTTCGCGTTCCGCTTCCCACCGTGTCCTGGCGTCTGATACTACCATTGCCCATTTTGTCTCTATAGGTAACGCCGCAGCAGTTCTGGCCACTTGAACGGACGACATCGAGGTCCGAGATGAAAGAGTTGAAGGTGTCCTTAATGCGGTTTCGGCGTCTCCTCCTCGGCTCTCCAAGAGAGCCAGAAACCGAGCTTCTATCTCTTCATCAGATGGACGAGTCAAATCGAATTCCTCTGATAATCTACTCCCGGCCAGGGAAGAGCCGGTAACAGAGCTCGCAAAAGGTTTATTAGTCGAAGTGGAATACCGGGTGCTAGTGACACTAGATCGAGAAACTCCAGGTCGTTCGGTAAAACTTGGATATCTTCCAAGATCTCTATTGGGCTGAAATGAATGTGACGAAGAGACCGTACGTATAGATGCAGTCTCTGGATCCCCGTAGCCGGCGGCATAAGGATGTCTGGTGGATGCCCCAAAGTCTGAAGTAGGTGTAGGAGAAGTAGCCATGCCCAAAGCTACCGAAGGTGGTTGGTACCGTAGTCCATTAGATGTTGCAGAATGTACTGTCGATTCAGGACTGGAGGGAGGTTCGGTGAGATGTGAACCGCGAATAGGTCGTCTATCCTTAGGAGGAGGGGGAGGCATGCCTTCTGATCTCCTACTGGAAAGGTTCATGGGTGTACCAGCTTCGGTCAAACCGGGGTTCGTACTTGGCGGACTGATGATTCGAGCGCCTGATTGTATCATTTCGGCTTCTCGTCGACTGGGAGGTCTCGAAGGTCCTGCGACGGGCGGGGGACCGGGCTGGACGGCATTGTAGGGGACTGAGCCGGATAGTCCTATGGGGGATATGGGGTTGGAAGAGTTGGAGGCGGTGGTGGAGGTGGAGATACGTGATCTATCTTTCTTCCCAAAGAGGGAAGCCATCGGATTTAGGTGTGCAGACGTGTTGATAAGCTAAGAAGTGGCGAGGGTCAGATTGAAAGATGAGACGCGAGAGCCAAAGGATACGAGCGGAAAGATCTTGGACAATAGAGATGGTGGAAACATCAATCTTGGATGAGCAGGGACGCGTTGAAAGAGGGTGGACAAACGATACAGTGAGGCTACGGATATATGCTGACAGAAGTTTGAAGGTTCATGAAGAGTTTGAGTGTGTTGTTGTGGTGTATGAAAGAGGAAAAGTCGAGAGGAATGGTGGTGAGGCAACAGAGAGAAACGCAACGCACGCGCCTCCAAACGACGCCGCCGCCGCTGCTTCTGCCAAATTTGCTTCCGTTCTTCACCCGCACCCCACCCACCCACATTCAGCAACATCCAAACACGACAACTGAGTGCTGTACATCTTCATTGCTTCTCTCGAAGTACAGCAACTCGTCAGTCTCATCAATCCTTATATCGAAAATTCAAATAATATCTCAGCCATACCCCATGTCCCTCTCACCACTTGAAGACCAATCACCCTGGGGTCCCCCTCCTTCCGCGCCTCCTCCCGCCGAACCCTCCGTGGCCGACACCCTGGAGAAGGAGAAACTCATCAAAGACATTTTGAATCTACGTGATGGACTTAGAGGGTTGTTGGTACGAGTCACAGAGATAAACAAGGAGACGGACAAGTTGGAAAAGGACAATCAGATGTTGGGCGTGTATATCGACAACCTGTGGGTGACCACCATTCTGGTCCAAGTCGCTTATTGATGGGTAGTACGAGAAACTCTGTCGTCGCTGCTGGTATCAAGCGATGATCGTACCGACACTTGACATCATACTTGTATTGTGGTACAAGTTCTTCGAGTGTCTAACCGCCCACTGCTAAAGCACGTTAACCGGGCAGTCCCTCGAAGCCCCGCATCGCCCCAACCATGGACCACTTCTCTCATGAATCTATTTCATGTATACATGTATTTACATGACAGGGGCGGGTAGAGAGCTCCCACACCAGTCAGTAAGTCAGGCGGACAGGAAGGCATGCGTTTGAAAGGGGGGTTGGGGGTGGGGTAGGGCAGAACCAAGCCTCATTTGGTGCGAGATTACTCCAAGGTGACATGCATCCTTCTCTTTCCTCGAATCGCCGTACATAGCTCTCTCTCATAGAACTCTGGGTCGAGCGCTTGACCCTCGGACGCAAAGTCCATCATCAGGGTGCTGTATATCCATCCACCTCGAAAGAGCTCAGTGCCTGAAGACTAACCACCAAACTTTCACTCTCCCCTCTATCTCTTCTCCATCATCCTTCCTCTCCCCTCTGAGGGCCAAACCTACTCCGATAGGCAGCTGGCATCTAATGAGCAATAGCCATGTCACGTCGTCTCTTCCTCCGAGCATCTCTTCTCTGTGTGGTCCTTCTCCCACCTCTCCTCTACTTTTCCCATTCCAGCTCAACACCGACCAGATCACCAACCGAATACGCTCGACAATTGTTAACATATGACGATGACAGACCTTGGTTCTCCTCCAAACGACCAGCAAAAGAGACGGAAGACTCCTTTGTGAACTTGGAAGAGGGTATACCACTGACTACCTACCTCGGAGGTGAGTCCCTTCATTTCTTTTCCCGTTCGTTGAACCACCTGACACCAAGGTATACCGGGTTATACGGCCTTTTCAAATCTTTACGTATCAAGCTCTACATTTATGGTCGTGGCGGACAGAGAGAGCGGGGAGAATATCCCGCCTGTGAGAGCTATCATGTCAGCGGAGAAGAGCGCTAGTGGGGGTCGTCCTGAAGCTGGGGAAGATAGATGGAGGGTGGTTGATGAAGGTGTTGGGAGGGATGAGTTGGGTAAAAGGGCTGCGGTGCTTCGTGGGACTACTGTGAGGATTATTTCATACACAATAACAGCTTGGAACATCTTCTCTTCCCTTTACAAGACTCCCCTCGACATCTCACGTCTCCGTTTCCCAAGATAGAGACCATGAGCGTGGGGTGCTAACTCATGATTACATGTCAATTAAAGGGGCTGACAGGATAGTATATCTTCAATGATCCTCCAGGCAAAGGTGAGTACCTTCTATATCTTAAGACATCCCGCTGACAAATCGATAGAAGGTTATCTCAGTGAGTTAATCCCTTTCCGAGATTAAGCTCATAATGATCTAACTAAAATAGTATACTACGAGTCCGTGATTTTCACCTGACACATTCCTACTCGACAACTGCTGGATTAAGCTAATGGTCAGACACTTCGTTCTGGAATGTTTCCTCGGTGCAGCTCGAATATTAGGCTCCATCTTTCCAAACTCTTTAGTAAACATTATACCGACTAGAGTCTGGTATCCGCGTTGTGGGGTGCCTCCTGGTCCAACATGGCGAGATGCCAGGGGTGATAGTGAGTTTTGTTCTCTTCCTTGTCAACTATGCATCAATCCCCCGAAATTCGCAGGACCGTTCACGCACGACCCGTGCGATTCTGCACCACCCAATCTTGAAAATGTCTATGAAATAGTGTGGAAGAGGTAAAGGGAAGGAAGATTTCCCCAGCTACTCTTGAGGACCTGCGTATCTTCTACACTCGCTATTCATTGAGAATGCAAATGGGCTCACAGGTCAGACATTTGGTTCCTCTCACACGCCGCTCCGGGTCTGAGCATAGAAGACTCGCATGCTTTCGAAGATAGGGATCTGGCCGGATTACCTGTGATGTTGGAAAGGGCTGTGATTGTTGATCGGAGTGAGTGTTATGTTTCGTATTCCTTGGACTCCATCTCTCTTATCATATATTCTCACAGAAATCCTCGACCCGTAGAGGGAGTCGTGTCAGCGATATTTTGATTACATCTATCTGCAACAACTCGACATCACTGGAGACCAGTCGGCCCAGTAGATCTACGGAGCATTGATGTGATTTCACTCGAGTTGAAAGCTCACGAACAGGATCCGCACATTCAGCAGGAGGAGAAACTGCCAAATGGGGTAAAGTGAGTAGTGTTGTTTCTCCCCGTCTTCCACGCTGATGGAAGATGAACGCAGATGTACATCTAGTCCCTGCCCCTCAAGGGTTTTGGGAACCAATAAGGAATAACGTGATGAGATCTTTAGCTGTGGATGGGGTATCGAAACATGGAAGTAGAGGTTTACCAGTAGTAGTTTACGTGGATCGACAGGTGAGTTTTATCTTTCTTACAGCAAGCCGATCTCTTCCAATCCAGTTGAATCAAAATCCACATCCTTCTCATAATATTCCGAATTCTAGTCGAAGAGTTAAGCGTGTAATATTTCCTGCTTCGTGTTAAAATCTTGATGACACTAACCTAATGTCTAGTCTTCTTCCCCTAAACTTACCGACAAATCGCATGAAGATTTAGTAGAAGCGCTAAAAAGTTTGACGGATATCGCAGAAGTTCATGTGACTCGATTAGAAGGAATGACAAAGAAACAAAAAGTAGATTTGATAAGTCGAACAGAAGTATGTCTTTTGTTTTCTTGTATCTCGTTCTGTCCCTCTCTTACCTTCTCGTCATGGGTCCCTTAGAAAGGTGACTCGACTTTTCTATGTCGATTGCGCGGAAGGAGAGTATTGAGGAGGATAAACAAAACGACTATCATGATTTTTCCATTGAAAGTGAAGGAAAAGTTGTGTGAAAAGGTTATTGGGATGAGGAAAAGAGATGGAGCTGAATCAAGTTAGATATTATTAGGTTTACACAGTGATGATCTTCGAACTGCAATATGGATGAAAGCTACGGATAAATCTACAGTTATTGAGATATTCGAACCTGGTTCTTTTATTCGTCAGTCTATCTCCCTCCTTAAAAATTCCTATATAATCCCTATCCTGACCCTCACCGACTTCACACACATCAAAACTCCTCTCAATCAATTCATCTGTCCTCTCCTCACCATGTTCCTCCTTGATCTCGCAGATCAAATCTTACTCTCATAGTCTCATCTCTCCCGAGTCCCAAGAGAATGTTGAAATACATTCATCATAATCACAGTTAAATCACCGCTTTCTCACCATCACTTTCAAAAAGACTTTAGTCAACCCATTATAAATTGAAAATCACCTCGATGAAAAATATGTTCAAGAGATATAACCAAAGTGCATGTGTAGATATACAGAAGAACTGACCTTTTCCAAGGTGATCATCAATTACTCGCTTCTAATTTAAATCATCGACATATAGTCATACATGACGATAAAATCTTTCCGGAGAGTTCATGGCGTCTTTTAGGTAGGAAAAGCGGTACAATCTCAGAAATAGGATTGGATGGAAGGTTCGTCGTTGGTATTATAAGATCTATTCTGTTAGGGTTGGATTTTGAAGGGATTGGACCTATAGATTGAGTAAAAGTAGGAAGAGATTGGACCGACGGGTAGATCGAGTGAAAGTAGGAAGGGATTGGACCGATAGATTTAGTAAAAGTGAGCAGTACGCATATACCTTTTTTGGTATTTCTGGGTTGGAGTAGTACGATACCATACGTTATGATCTTTTTTTATATTTATTTTCTCTGCATCATGATTGTACATATGTACATATATCCACTTTGATTGATAATTGTTCGTTTTTGGGTGAGTGTGCCCTCCTTTTGGTGACAGTTGAGACATGTTCCACTCGCTGTGTATCTTCATTTTGAATGGACATGCGCTATTCGCTCTTCATCTCCATTTGACGTGTGAGATCTCGATTGTGTGGTGAACCTACAGATGTCCAAGTCACTCACTGATCGCGTGGGATGAAAGGATACTGTGATGTAGATAGGAATGCGAAAACGACTATATCAAGATATACAGTAGAGTACGGTACATAAGTGCATTCGGTGACATGGGTGGAATGTGGAATGAGATGAATTTGCACATTTATATGCATGATAAAGACTGTTTTAACCGATTACAACAGTAAAATTCTCTCATCTTACCAACGACCAGCGTTATATCCTTCCCCTTGTCTCTGTGAAGTTTGTCGTGTTGGATATTGATATTGTTGTTCATCAGGAGGATCATCATAAGCCAAACCAGATCTCGCAGAACCACCACTTTGTCTTCTTGTCGGTCCCACTTGATAAGGTGGTGATTGAATTTCATTATTCATGTTAAATGATGATGGTTGTACGTCATTGTTAAAAGGACGATAAGGTGGTGATTGTACGTTAGGGTTGGAAGGATGATAAGGGGGTGATTGCACGTTAGGGTTGGAAGGACGATAAGGTGGTGCTTGACTTTCCGTACTTGACCCTGAGTGATTGTTCAAGCGAGGGTCGTATGGTCTTTGAGCACCGTATGGTGATGGTGGTCTTTGATATGGTGATGGAGCACGAGGGAGGGGAGATGCAGAACTTTGTTGATATGGTAATGGAGAAGTTGTTCGTATGAAAGGGTTTGGAAGGTTTGATGAAGCGTAAGAACTTGGGATGACAGGTTGAGAATTTGACAGTTGTGCTGCGATGGGTGGGTAAGAAATACCTAAAGGAGCAGCGGCGGAAGTAAGACGAGTGGTGGATTCTGATGCTTCGGGGTTATAGGATGAATAAGGGTAATCTACGACTGGAGGGTAATACGAGTCGTAGGAGTCGTATGACGCTGGAGCTGTTGGTCAGTTTCCATATCCCTCATCTCGAAAACAGTTCTATGATTCTTCGAATGTTCGTCTGAAGAGGAAATCACAAGCGCTGGAGACGGAGAAGGAATGAGAGTGAACATGAAGGAATGGATCGAGTTTCAAGTGTGGAGAAAGAGGGAAGAGTTGCTGGTAAAGCATCAAACGGCGAAGAGAAAACCCACGCTTGCCAGGATATATCCCCTCATATGCCGCTTTCTCAGGTAATTGCAATCCAGCTTTATCTGCCTTCCTCTTGGCCCTTGAATAATCATCATCGTCATCCAACGAGACGTTCGGCAGAGTAGGTTGGGGCACAGAAGCAGATACAATCTCTCCTTTTGCATTACGAAATTCTCCATTGGCCATTTTCTTCTCCAGAGCAGCATGCCGAGCCACACGTTGACGTAATTTCTTTTTGATAAGTTCTGCGATACGCTAAAACGAGTCAGCTTGGGGTTTTCTTATCGACTGAGTAGTTTTGACTCACCTTGTCGACCTTATAACACACGTATTCTTTCAGATTGCCCTGGATGTAACACAGCAAAGGGATGTAGAGAACCGCAGCAGCGATCAACAAGACTAAACTGCCTAAAAAGATAAGAACGGTGAGGATCATAGACCATAAAAGCATGGCGGTGACGACGGAATCGTCCCAGTATGCAGGGATGTTGTCGGTTTCGAAATTGTTGGCAGAGGCGAAACTGTAGAGCAGAAGGGCGTTTATAGATTGTCGAGGACCGTCGGCGAGGATAAGGCGTTTCCATCCTGGTGGTCAGTAAGGTACTCAATACAGCTTCCTGCCATAGCTCTGTAAATGTCAAGCACGCCGACTTCAGCAAACAAGATGCCGTCAGAGAAAGCGGTACGACAGTATGGGCAGTAGTGAAGGGGCAAGCTAGAACGGTGGAGAGAATGACCGACCTTTGAAAGTGAAGAAGATCCAAAAGGCAAAGTCGTCTTTACGTTTGGCAGAAGCATCGATATAGCAGAACAAGCAGAAATTGTCATATGATTCTATCCCATCAGTCATTAGTCTTCCTCATACAAAAGATATTCACTGAAAGAGTAGTAGTCATTCGCCAAGAGATTCGTGAAAGCGTATGAGATGTCACGAGATTCGATAACCTGTTTGGCTTTCCATGTTTCATACGCGAGCTGACGGTCAGTCTCTCAACCTACGACTCCCAAAGGTGGGCAAGTTGTACAGTGTACGACGCATTAGAGTCAATAGTGGATGATCACGTACGAGCACAAATGAGAAGATGATACACCCAACGAATACCCATTTAGCGATTTCAAATTTGACCGGGATAGCACAGTCGTCTCCACATTTGGACTGGATGGAGTTGGTCCACTAATCATCAGCCCTGATCTTCTTTCTCATTTCTCACTGTCCTCATGTCAACCCGAGACAAAGACTGTAGGACAAGCCGGGAGAAATTTGTCTTGTGACGTGACGACAAATGAGCGGAAAACGAGAGGGTGTGGGGAAGACAAGTAGGGTGTATGGTTGAAACCCACGTGATTAGTAGAGATCAGAGTGACAGCGGTAAAAACATCCAATCCGTAGACAGCGATAGATTTCAGAAGCCAGATATACCGAAGGATGTATCTTATCGTCAGCACATCTTCCTGGCACTTGACGACTCTCTCTCTCTTGTCCCTCTGAGGATGTAGCTCATGGTCAAGTCGTGATCCCAACACCAGACATGGTGAAAGGAACTGACTTTAACCTAGTTAGAATATCCGTTCTATGAAACTCGCGAACGTTGATAAAGTCGAACTGTCCGTCAGCTCCGACTACACCCCCAGTTCTCATCCACGACCATCCATATAACACGACAAGCATAAAAATCCGTCTCTCTAAATATGAAGACATACCTTATGATCCGGTACAGCCTCTCTCTTCCAATCTGCCTCGCAACACATCTCGTCTCACCCCTTTCCAACTGTTTGCTCAAGATTATATACGATACCTTTATCGGGGGTCGGGAAGACACAATGGAGTCGTGTGTATACGTTGTGACTCAACGCCAGCGTCGAGATTCGATGTTCGAGGTTTGATGGATGTCGAAATTGGGGAGGGATGTGGTTCGTTCGGAAGGAAGGAAAGGAGGAGAGAAAGAGAGAAATGGTCTGAGCGTAGTCTAGTAGCTATGTCGTCAAGTGATTCAGGCAATAGGTCGATAAGGAGAAAATGAAGAGAGTGATGGAGGTCGTAAGGTAAAGATTGGGGGACAGAGGCGGTAACCCAAGTCCTACCAATCTTCCTATTTGCGGTAAAGGTACGATCGGGAGTGAAAAGATGATAAAAAAAGACGTTTCAGGTGTTTACCGTCCGGCGGTACTCGGTACGTGATGGGTTATCTCTCAAGCTGTGCTTTTGGAGAGAAACACTTGGTAAGAGTAATGACTGTAGGACGGAATGAGCGTGAGATTTCAGATGAGAGGTTTGATAGGGGAGTGAGGATATGGGAAGGAAGGAAGGAGGTAAGGTTGAATGACAAGGAAGTGAGAGCGAGAGAGAGAGGGAAGGGAGGGAGGATGCCTTTGAGATTGTTTCAAGTTTTCAGGGAAAATAAACCAAACGCTTTGATCACCCGAAAAGTAAAAAAGCTACCTTTTGATTTTTCACCTTTTTCACCTTTTTCTGTACAGCTAAGCTAATACTATCATATCACATGCTATAGCATAGAAGAGTACAACATTGTTCATTCACTAGCATCTAGTCTATTATATTTATACGGCATCTCGTCATACATGTCAAAACAGAGGAGAGGGAACGGAAGAATCACAATATGACGCAACTTCGATCTCTCCATGAAAATCGTGGGAAACCATTTTGACCAGTGACACCTTTAGCTCTGGATCCTATTGCTACTCGAGCAGCTTCGTAGATAGCTTCTTGTACTCCTCGATTATGTAGTGAAGAACATTCTGACGGTCAACCCTGATCTCTCCACTTTTGCCTCGTTTTGGTCTCTGTGCATTTCTTATATCTTAGCATCACACATTCTGTCTTCTGCCACGGGAAACCCCTCCTGACGCCAATACTTTATCCAGTAGATGATATGTCGTCCTTTACACACTGAAGTGTGTACCTTGTTCACCCAACCAAATAGAGATCGTGAGAAAGCGAAACATACCTAGATACCGAGTCGCTCTAATGACTCTAGCTACCGCCAATCCCTCCTCATAAGAAACCGTACGCATATTTCTCCTGGCCAATTTCTCCTTCACTGTGACATCTTCCCTCAGATCACATTTCAAAGCTGCATCGTCAGCTCCAGTCTTCTTCGAGTCATGACGGAGATCTGACCGACGAGTATGACCTTGACACCGGGACAATACTGATTGACTTCTTGTATCCACTGTGATATCAGTTGTCTCTCTGGATGCAATTGACGAAGTGTAAGACCACTCACTTTAGATTCAACGTTTTCTAATGAGGCGGGGGAATCAACCTGATTGTCAGGAATCAACAACAACACCACTCTTACTTTCCTCAGCCGTTAAGAGATTTGCATCGGTACTTCGCAATGTTCATTGAGCCAGGGCTCGAAGTACGGTCCAAACGATCAGCAGGGAAGGGATGAAGTTGGAGTGAGAGACAAGATGGGGAAGTCAAGAACATACAGAGAAACAAATCATCACGACGTGAGTATCAGAGTAAGATAAAGATCGTAATCTATCAAAATCTTCTTGTCCTTCTCATCAGCTTCTTTCATTTCAAAATCATATATCCCACCCTATCTAGGATATTACTACAAAAGCATGGGCGTATCACAACAAGAAGAATCATGAGTCAAGGAGCATGAAAAGATGTGCGGTGAACTTACCAGCCGTATCCCAAAGAGAAAACTCTACAGTCTGTTCATCCACCTGCATGAGCTCTACGTAATTCTCGAACACTACAAGTCAGACATTTCGTCTTTTGGGGAAGGTAAGATCAACCTGTGGGTTCACTAGGAGTCAGCTTTTTGATCCAAATAATCATCTTTACTGAATCGTCCGTTCGTCATACCTCGAGTGAAAGTGGGGTTGAGAAAGTGATTGGCACTCCAGCGTGTCAAACCAAGCGAGAAATACTCTGGCGAATGGTTCAAATGTCGTAGTTTTGAGATACGATGGACGTTGAAAGGGGGATGTGGGTAAATTTTCGCTTTGTCTTGGGGATATGTCTTATATGAGAGGGAAGATTATAATCACACTTGAGTGAGAGAAAAGAGAGAAACTCACTAAGTCGTAGGGAAATATCCCTTTGTAAAAACAGTCAAGAGTGATGTCTATTGATCAATAGTCTTCTCATCGGCTGAGGTATCCTTAGTTCTTCCACATCTACTAAATCCCTTTTTCTGATATCCCACACTGCCTGCCACATCTCCCTCATGGGTAAAACACACTTCCATCCACTAAATCACAAAGATGCTTCCATCTTGTGACATGTCGAACACCGCCTCAATGTCAAACATGTCAAGTGATACAACCCCTGAATATATCCAAAACAAACAGCTCCACGGTCAATCCTTTAGAGCCACAAAGAGTAAGTGAAGAGATAGAGATAGATGAAGAAAACTAACCTTTCCACATGCTCCATCACCTAAAACGACAAGTTTTCTCGATATCTTCTCATCAGTGCTTTCAAATAATCAGATTGGTGTACATACAGGTTTCCCTCCCATTTTATCTTCTCCACAAATCCACTCTCACTCCTTTTCTTCTTTCCTAAGACTTCACTCGCAGTCGATCTTTCTCACCGAGGAAATGTCTAAAGGTCCGAGATATCACTTCGAAACGCGTCTACGATCGACCTGTTGTCAATACGGCTCTGAGAGTCGGCCGAAGGGAAAGAAAGCTGTGTATCGTTGGGGTATATCAGGTCGTATGGGTCGTATGGCGATAAATGAATAGGATGAACCGTACGATTAGAAGTTCACAAGGAACTTTTATTAAAGTTGTTGCCGTGGTTGATACTGTATGGATGGATGTATTTTCTTTCTCCTGCTCTTGCTTGTTTCATCTCTTACTTCTCCAGGGAGGATGACGGCGATCGCCGCTTTCTTATTCGCCACCCCTCAACTCCCTTCTCACTACCCCTTCTCCTCCCCTCCTTGCACTATTCAACTATCATCCAGTCAAATACCTTCCCTACGGACGATAACCTGCACCATAATCAGTCTCGTGAATCGGTCAGTGAGGGTGTGATAAATTCATCGAATATAGACCACAAACTCGTTCAGAGACAACACGAACAAAGGAGACTATACGATGACCCCTCAACAAACATACGTCTCTTCTCATGGGACTTTAACCCCTCAACCGATTATAACCCGTCTATACCGTTGGGCGGAAGATTGGGGTACTTTGGGATATCTGTTCGTAGCTACTTTGATCACTGTAAGTTTATCTCTTACCTTGTTTTCTCTTTCTCTTTATCCTCCTCTCGGTATCCTTCTCAATTCACGATAACTTTTCCTGAGTTTACATACCGCCTGAGAGTATCGTCTTCAGTTGCTTCTCCCTTCTATCCGTTTATCCCTCATCATGATGATAGAGACAATCCATGAGATCATCAAGCTATATTCGCGTCAGGTTGAACCCTCAAAGTCAAGTGGGGAGATAAGTTCAAGTGGGGAGATCAGTGTTGCAACCGGGCAAATGAGAAGATAGAGTGAACAGAGATAATGGCATGAAGGATACTCATCAAATAGCCTTTATATGACCCTCAATCATTTGGTGACCCTTCTCGTATCACTCAGATCGGTGTTACACAAGGTAGAGTCGTACCTGGGCCACTAGGAGGCGGAGGCGGGGGTGGAGGAGTTGGGTTTGGAGGCGGCAATGGTGGGACTACAGGTAGAGGAGGAGGGAATGGTGGAAGTGGACCTACCGGTAGAGGTGGCGGTGGCGGCGGTGGTGGCGGCGGAGGTGGAGGGTTCATGACTATGACTCAACTTCGTGGTGGTGAAAGTGAGTTCGAATTTGAAAATTTCCATCAGATACCAATCTTCATCTGTTCAACCATGAAACCAGAGTATCACCATTGTATGTGAGAGTGAGATCAAGTATGAAAGTTGAATAACATCGGGCAGTTGGGAAAACAAAGCTGAAAGCTGATTAATAGCCGTGGATTCTTGTCGATCTACTTGTGGTTAAACCTCTTTGATCCCTTCATCGAACTCATCGTCCGAGTGCGAGTGCGAGTGCGAGTAGGTAAGGAAGATACAAGTAAGGTAAATGTATAGTATATATGAAAATATGAAAATATCGATAGTTGTATGCAAAGATATATCTTACGAGTAAATATACACCAAGATTATTCAGTGAAAGTAATACGAGTAGTTTATCATTAGGCTTCTGAATAACCGTGATGGGTGGCACTTGCCATTTGAGAGCGGAAGATAGTAAAGAGAGAAGTGGAATTCGCACAAATGTCATCAAACTCTGGTCTATCGATCTATCGATCTATCAATCTATCATTCTATCTGCTCGATGAACATGAATCCCAAAAATGTAAATAGATACCTTCCTTCCTCCATTCTTCATCCATCACTGGAGGTACTCAGACTCGAAGTGAGGCTAAACCTACCAGCGATGACACATGAATTCACTCGAAAAAGAAAAAAACCCATTTCAAGAAACTCTTTATTACTCTTCCAACCCTTCCAAGCCCCAATCGACATCTTCTTCTCCTTCTCCTTCTTCCCCTTCTAAAAACCTCAAACAACCAGGTGAACAACCCCACCATTTCAAAGGTACATCTTTCACACCACATAAATCTCTCCATTCAATTCTTTCTTCCGCTGGATGTAAGAATAACTTTCGTCTTTCTTCCATTTTCCCTGATCCCCCAACTCCTCCTGACACTCCTGATCCAAATCCAACTGATTCACCCCATGCATCTCCCATCATCCCAGATACTCCCACGTTAGAAGATAAACCCCAAGAGAGATCATGGTCCGGATTAGGACAAGAATAAAACCATGGATTCTCAGCTGCGTCATCCGGTAAAGGCGTATCATACGATTTTGGGACTGATTTCTTTCCCATCCTTTCCATCCTATCTGATGCCGTTTTGACACTTTGGAGCATTCGTTTGATATCTGATAAAGAGATGTGAGGAAAATAAGTATGCATCGTTTCTGGATCCAAGAGAGGATGTCGACCGGAAGAAGACGACCAATCGTATTGTGCTAAAGGGGGGATCGACGATTTGTGAGGTGAGATGAGGATGTTGAGACATATATCTACTAGACGGTTGATTGGGTGTATATGTCGAATCAGAGGACCGAGACGACGACCGGTGGGGGTGATGGTGAGGGTGTGTAGGTCGGGATACTTTGATGGAATAGAAGGGGTGTTGGGGGATGAGGGTAGAGGGGGGGAAGGTTTGGTATGGGATGATAGGACTTCTGTGGAGGGATGAGAAGCGGTGGAAGGAGGGGAAGGAGGGATGAGGAATTTGTTAGGGGCTGCGGAAAAGGTTTCGAGGTGTTGGAGATTGAGGATGGTGGATGGGAGGTAGACCTGGGAGTTAGGGCACTTTCTTTGTAAGATACAAAAGCGTTATGGCTCAGTGGAGATAACAATCAAAAATGGAACGTTCGTCAAGGAGAACCAAGGGAGACATCATGAGAAGAGATAATGCACAGGAAGAGATTAGGGCATAGTGACAGCCATCATGTCTCAGGTAGCTCGACGAGAAGTACGGCACGTGAAGGGATGAAGAAGGACAGTCGACGAAAGACACAACTTACAATAGGGTTATTACCAATGTTGAGCTCCCGAAGATGTCTCAATTCACCAATAGCAGCAGGTAAAGTGGTCAATTGGTTATGTCCTATCGTTCAGTCATCACCCCCATTTCTTTAATATAAACTCACGTAAACTAAGCGTGGTGAGGTTGGTAATGTCGAACAAGGCCGTAGGGAGGCTTGGGCATCAGCAATCACTTCCGGCCCTGTTCCTGTGGATATGGCGAGAATTCTAACTGAGTAGAGGGTGTCATCCGGACGTGAGAATTGATGGAAGAGGGCAATCAACAAGGTTGAACGAATGAACGACATACCTAGTCAACCGGTTTTTATTAGCATAAATCGCGATATCCTTAGCTGGAGGTGGTCCTAACGGTGGAGACAATGCCACCGCTCCAGTTTTAGACCTTGAAAATATCCTTTTGTTCATAGGTGAACCACTCGGAGTCCGATTTTGTGTTTCCCCAATACCAGTCCCACTCGTCCCTTCTCTTCCCGGACCACTCCCACTCGTCCCATTCCCACCAGGATGATCAATGTTCTCACTGACTACACCTTCTATCAAAGCGGGCGAAGCGAGCAAACTATTCGTCCTCTCCGAGCTCTCAGGTGCCGAGTAAGGAGAATATGTGAGATTGGTACGAGGTGGAGAACGGAAAAATGGCGCAGAGGCAGGTGCGGAAGTGGTTCTACTGAAAGATGAGAAAGATCGATTGGCTGAGAATGGAGAAGGGTGAGTATTCGTCGACAGTTGTTGGGGTTGAAAAGAAATTGATGATGATATTCCGGGATCGGGAGAAAGATGAGAGAGATTAGAAGAGTAGATAGGGTTGGAAGGAAGTCGTGATAATGATTTTGTCAAAGGGGAAGTGGGAGGGATGAGGGAACGTGGTTGGGTGGAGGTTGATGTTGAGGGTGAAAAGGAGGAAGGCAGGGTGACTAGATTACGAAGGTCGGATATCTTCGGACTGAGGAAAGGTAGGTCGCAATCGCTGTATGTGAGTATATCCTCTGCGGACCAAGTCATAGCATGAGATTTGATCTTTCATGTGGATGAGTCCAGATGTGACCTTTAAGTGGAAGATGTGACCTTTCAATGGCAGCAGGAAAGATATATTCATTTATGGCAAACAGGGAAGACAAACATCTTGAGGGTAAGAAGGGGAAACAAATCCGGTACGAATAGGGGAGAGGCGAATTTCGACGGTGAAAGGGAAAGACTTGATCGCATGAGTACTAGTGAAAACACGAAAACTCACTTGATCATTAATTCCCCTCTAGCACCATCAACACAAAGAGCGACTTGTCTACTCATCCATTCGTCACTACCTCTTTCTACTCCTTTCCCATTGAATCCACCAACGAACGTGTTAAAATTTCTCATACCCACTTTCACGTCCACCCTAGGACTGTAGTTGCTCAATTTCTCCTCTTTTCCCGATATGAAGACATTGGGAGCGCTAGGGATGTTGAGACTGCTGGGGCCACTAGGAGCGTTGACACCGTCAAAAACGTTGTGGTCGTTAGGACCACTAGAACCGCTGGACCTGTGAAGATCCTCAAAAACCTCATGATCGTTACGATCTCTAACACCTCTTAAGATTTGATCGTTGAGAGTGTGTGGAACATTTTGGTCATTAAGAACAGCTCTGATTCCCAGAGAGGAATAACTAGCTCGTCGAAGAGGAGCATGCATCGTATCGGGGAAAGTGGTTGGTAAACCTGTATCATGATCTCTTTTCTTCGGTTTGGGTAAAGGGCGTCTTCTTATTGTCACCACTTCGCCTTTGTCATTGACAGCAGAATGATTGATCTCCTTGGTCCGGGTTAGAAGGGTCGTATGTGGTTGGGAATTGTTCGAAGGTTGGGAGGTGGTGCGTGATTCGTGAGAGTCTGGAATTTGGGAGGTGGTGTGAGGTTCATGAGAGTTTTCAAATTGGGAGCGTTGGGAACTTGAAGATTCCGAGATACCTCGAGGGCCATGGAGGTATAGGAGAGTCGTAGGATATCTGCTAGATGATTTTATACTGATTTGTTCAGAGTTTCCAGAATGTGATTCGATCGTTGAAGAGAAGTCAGATTGGGATTTAGATACCCCAGATATTCCAGATGTCTCAGGTACTTCAGAAACATGATTGATTCGTGAATCGTACGAGGTCTGTTCATATGGTAGATGGTTACCTTCACCTATCAAAGTCGCTCGATTCCGATCCTGTCGAGTATCTAAAATAATCAATGTCTTCTCTCACTACTGGGAAGAGATCATGATGACAAAACCCTCTTCCATCAAGTCTCAACTAGAACATAGACAATCCACTCAAAGATACCGTATGGAAGGAGGACAACAGAGCTGATTCTTTAAATGACCTCTCATTTCCGGTTTTAGTTTTCGATTTCGTGTTCGGTTCGTTGCAAATAGTGAAAATAGAGTAGAATAGGTGAATTGGAAAATGACCCACCTGAATGATGTATATCACCCGATGGTATAACATCCAAAGAAGTAAAGGAAAAAGTATCTGCGAACCTTAATGGATCAGAAGGTTGTGAATCGAATGAAATCATAGGTCTTGAAGCTGCTGAGAAAGGGTCTAAAGCTGGCATTTTGTTGATATTTGTTAAGATGTGGGATCATCAGATAAGTGTGTGTGATAGTTTCACTAAAGAGCTCGATATGAAAGATGCGGGGTGATCCTGCGTTGCTTGAAGAAGTGTGAGAAGAGTAATCAGGAGAGGAAACAGAGAAATAGTGGAAGACGAGTGGAATTAAGTGTAGAGGAGGGAAAGGGGAGGGAAGGAAGGAGGAGGAGGAAAGAAAGAAAGAAAGAAACAAAACAGACGCGTGCGACATTCCACTCGTCGAAATTGCTGGGTATGGGGTGGATTTCCTAACCTTACTAGATATCATTGATGGTGGATGGCATGCTACATGCACTTGGACCCATGGATCATGGACCTAAGGTGGACCTCAACTATCTAAGATGTCTAGAATCTAGGAGTCGGTTTCGAGAAAGAAACCAATAGTTCTCGGATAAACTCAAGCGTCTATCACGATGACAAACGACCACGAACCATCGCATCAATTCAATGTTGCATTCTCTCAAAGTTCCTTCCTCAACTCCACAGATAGGTTATCTCCCTCTCTCATCGCCGGACATATCTCGATCGATCTCTGACCTACCTTACCGTTGTCAGATTCAATAACCCCTACAATAGTTAGACCCTTTCTACAACACTATGAGATACTGACCCATTCTTATATTCAGATGAACGATCATACCTCTCTTCCCTCCTGGGACTCCTAGCCCTGTCTCTTTCCCTGTACGGTTCACGCTCACGGTCATGATCCCTTCGAGGAGGATCGTATCGACCCGAAGAACGACCACCATAATGATCCCCCCCTCCTCGAGAGTAAGAGTCACCACCGCGGTTGTAAGAATCCCCATAGTCTCGTCTGGGAGGACCGCGGTCGTCGTACCTTGGACGTTCATAGTCACGGGGAGGACGACGGTCACGGTCGTCACCACCGGCACCTGCTGGAGCCTGAGAGTGAGCTCCATCATATATATTCTCCATACAAGGAAAACATCTTCTAGACAGGCGAGGAGAATGGAAAGATAAATACTACGGAAGTGGGCAAGGCTAAACATAATCCGTCGGGATATATCGAGATAGGGATCGGAGAGAAAAAGGTGAAAGTTTATACTCACGAGCTCGAGCCTGACAGGCTGTCCATTAATGTCGACACCGGCCAAACGACTCATGGCTTCTTCCGCTTCTCCCATAGTGGGGTATTCGATCACCCTAACCATCAGCTCACCAAGTAGAAAGGATTGGAGGTGGCTCACCCAACGCCAGGATTGTACCTATCAACATCGGCGTAGGTCACCATGTTGCTTCCGAGACGACCGTAGTCTTTGAGATCCTAAGGTGGGGTTAGGCCATCCTCCTCGAGTTGTAAGCCACGACCAGGGTATCCATCCGTCACGGGAAAGATCCTGGACCATAACGCAGGGATCTTCATGGGCATGGTGGGTGAGGAGGCCGAATCCAAGCTAAGCATTGTCAAGGAAGCCATATGGACTTCAAGATGGGAAGGACCGTGAACGACCATGAGAAGATATTCGGCCGGCCAAAACACTTCAAAAACTGAATATGACATGAACAAAGGAGGACCCGGCCAGAACGTCCCTTGTTTGGTAGTCTCCCACGTCGACCAGGAAAGAAAGAATGATGACCTAAGATCGTCCCCAGTGAGTGACGCTATATTTAGAGGATGATGAATGTCCCCACAAGCCATGGAGTCCGCCAGAGGAAAGAAAGATCCCAACGAAGCACTGCAGAGAATGGACGTTTCCCCAGAGGTGACCCATGGCGGATGGAGATCGACCCAGAAGTGAAGCCTGTTTGTCCAAAATGTAACCCTCTCGACTGATTCGTATGGTTGTGACCAAGGGATATGACAAGAACAAAAGACTTTATCCCACCTGCCAACTCGTGCTGCCGGGAATTCCAACAACGTTGATTCTCACGCCCCTTCTCGGTGGTCCACGAGGCGGTGCATCCCCACCTCTATACCCTCCGACGCCAGGACCGTAAGCGTCCCTACGTCTCTCACGGGGAGCTTCAACGATGATACTTGTTATCAGCTACATCCTTATCATCTAGGAGCTTACTTTTCACCGAGGAGGGAAACACCGTTGTAGTCTCTTAGGGCGTCTTCTGCGTCCTGAATGTTAGCTTTTACTAAGTTGGAAGGATTGAAAGCTGTATATAGTGAACAGGAGATGCGCAATGGTTGACAGGCTTGGATGAGGATCAGAAGAGATGACATACACGAGAAGATTCAAATTCGACAAAACCGTAATTGCCCAAGATACGAACATCCAGGATGGGACCTAGTCCTTTGAAGACCTTATCTCGTCAGTCAATCTTCTTCGCATAAAGGGGGAAAATCGGACATCTTCGACATCAGTCTTTGTGACGTCTGAGGTCAGTTGATGTCTCTCGATGAGTGGAAGACTGACTAGGGGGTAGATGACCGATATAGACGCGACGATTGGACATGGTTGTGAAGAGGCAAGGGGAGACAAGTGACACAAGAGGAAGAAGTTCTGGGGATATTCGGTGTAAAGTGAGGGGAAGAGATAGGTTTGTCGGGGAGACGCGGGACCGTGGGAAAGCTGCTTTGACCTCCGCTTGGTTCTCCTCGTGGCTGATCTTACACCTGTATCTTTCTCACAACATTGCATATGACATGGCTGACACTCTTACTCGCACCGCTTATCTGACGGTGATCTTACATGGTAGATACTCGAGAATGGAGCGAAAAGTCAAAAGCAAGAGAGCAAAGATGGACCGCAGTGAAAGAAGACGAAAGGACATCCTTCTGTGGTCCCGAAGAGATCAAAGCGAAAGGTACCCGTAGTGTTTCATCTTGCATCAAGCTTGTCCCTCGCGTCGCTTGTCAACTGGTTAAGGGGGAAGAGGAGAGGAGGACACGTCTATAGCTCAGGGCGGATGATACAAGGGGTAAATGACAACAAGCTTAAAACTGTAAGAACGGATTGTTGAATCAATCAACCTATTGACCCCTTGTCCATCCCATCCACTTCCCATCCCCACCATTCAATCTTCTATCTCTCCCTATCCTTCCCACTCTCACCACTTCTAAAATCATCTACTAACTCTATCCTCAAGACGCAAGACGTCCTCTCATCCATCCAAACTCTGTAGCCTTGTAGGCTCGTCCATTCCTTCTCATCACGCTCTTTCCTCTCCTCTCCTCATCTTGTTCGACGTAACGGAACCCGGTGCCCATCTGTGACCTAGTGATCAGCAGCTAACAACGTCGACAAAAATGAGATTCTCACTCGCTTTCATCGCCATGGTGGCCACTCTCATGGTCACCGCTCAACCACATTCCCCAGCATATGCCAAACGACACAAACTTCTTCAAAGACGCATGGACAATAACACGATGGTCAAAGCGTCCAACACGACCGTTTTAGCTCTCAACAGTACTCAGACGAACGATGATGATGATTGTGATGATTCCATTGACGATTTCTCTACCTCTTCCGACAACAGTACCTCTGTCGGGGATACGAGCTTTCTCATCAATACCAATTCGAGCTCTCTTTCCAATTCCACCGTGTCATTCACCGATGCAGCAACCAACGGCACTTCTGTTCTTGACACTGGGGACGGAGATTGTGATGAGGAGGAAGATGATGATGATGATGATGAGTGTGATGATAGCGACGATGATGAAGATGATGATGATTGTGAAGGTGACGATGGTAGTCAAGATGGAGGTGATGGAGACGGTGGAGATGGTGGGGACGGAAGTGAAGATGTCGTCGTTCCCTCTTCCGGTACTTCCAGCGTATCCAGTGCTTCCAGCAGCAGCTCTTTACCCACTGGCTCTCCTATCGGGGCACTCAACTTTGCTCAGACAAGCTCTGCAACTTCCACATCCGCCGCTTCAGGAGTGACAGCAGCGGACGATGCGGAATGTGACACGGTGAGTTCTGCTCCTCCTCAGATGATCCAAACTGACTGTTAGCCAAAGACTTTCACGGTCACCGTAACTGTCACTGCCAGCGATAGTGCAAGTGCAAGTGCCAGTGCCAGTGCCAGTGGGAATGCCGGAGTAAAAACAGGTGTTGTCAACGCAGCCGTCCCTGCCTCCTCATCTACGTCCACGGCCGCAGCGGCCACGAAATCCGCTACTCCCATCGTGGATGCAGCTACCGGAGGGTCAAAAACAACCACCAGTGGAGGAGATACGAGTGGAGACGATGGGAGTGGAGGTAGCGAAGATATAGTGACTGGTGGAGGTAACGATGATGGTGGGGATGATGATGATGATTGTGATGAAACCGGTGATGAAGATGATGATGAGGATTGTGATACGGAAGATGACGGTGATGATGATGAGGTATGTTCATATTTCTCCATCCTTTTCTTCCTTGCCTATTTCATCCCAATTGTACTGAGAATCTTTCAATTTGTTGACGAACAGGATTGTGATGACTCTGACGATTTATCCATTACAGCTACCAATTCGACCACTTTACTCTCCGGCTCTTCAGATGATGGAGAAGATTGTGAAGATTTACCTTCCCTCTCAAATGATACAATGTTATTCACCAACGCTTCTTGGACGTTTGATAATAAAACCGGTGGAGATTATCTCGGTACTTTACCCGGACATCGAGTTGTGAACCTCACCACAGAAGGTGGGAATGGTACTTTCCTTGGACATTTACCTGGACATGAAGTCAACGTGACGGAATTAGGTACTTTGCCTGGACATGAAGGTGGGGATATGGGAAATGGAACTTTTTTAGGTACTTTACCAGGACATAAAGTCAACGTCACTTTACCTTCTTCCTCTTCTTCTTCTCCTACCGAGATCCCAACCCCTTCTTCATCTTCTGCCCCTGTTTCCTCTTCCTCATCTTCATCTGCTCCGTCTTTCCCATCTTCATCTTCTTCGTCAAACAACCCAGTTGGTTCACCCCCACCATCTCCAATCGAAGATATCCAATCGATTTCAAGCTCTAAATCAACGAACGACGGTTTAGAAGGTTTCTCTCGATTTTCTTCTCCCGCTTCTAGCTCTAGTTCTAGTTCCAGTGCGGCAGGAGGACCAGGTAAAGAAACGACTTTAACTGCTCCTGGAGCCGTACCGACCGAAAGACGTAGGACCAAGATCTGGAGGGGTTGAACGGGGTTTAGATGAATCATACTTTATTTCTACTTTCCTCTCATCTCTCAATGTTCTGTTTGATCCACATATCTTACTCGACGTCTATCTCTGACCTTATCTCGAAACTCGTTCTCTTCGAGATTTCCCCTCATCTCGCTCAACCCATGACCCCTCCAACGTCAAATGGACATTTCCCATCACTTGACTTTGCCCAAAGTTTATCTGAAATCCAAGATTTATCCGTATGTGAATAAAGATACCCATAAGTAGTAGTAGAGTAAAGCGCTGTGCGCTGAAATACCACAATATCAATGTCAATGCATTTGTTGACTCTCGTTCGTTGTTCAAACTTGTGATTACTTGCTCCCATCCGCCGATACTTGCACTTACTTGCACCCAATTGCACAGACTCGAACTTACTTGCACCCAATCGCACCCACTCTCTCTCACTCGCACTCGACCATGTCGATAAATCAGATACAAGCACTACTACAGAATTTAGAGTACAAGTACTCGTAGAGTATACTTATACTCGTGGAGCATACTTATACTCGTAAGGGAGACAAAATGAAAAGGAGTAAAATTCCGAAAACTAATCCTCAATCGTTATCTCTCCGAGCAAAAATTCAAATTCCATCGGCCTTGTTCCGGCTGTTTCCCCTCTCTCCTCTCCTCTCCTCTTCCTCCCTTCACCCCTCAATGCCCAACCGGCGACCCGAAGTCCCGAATGTTCATGTCACTAATGGTTATTTTCGCTCACTACTACTTGTACTTACTTTTACTTTACTCTTGATCGTTTATACGACCATACCATACGAAATCTTTTTGACCATCATACGACCTTACCATAAAAGGTTTTTTCATAAGCTCATAGACGGATCGCGGGACAAGTCCGATCTACGATCAAAACGAGATAAGGGGGTTTTCGACCATAGGAAAGATCTTTCATTCCATACGATAATCCATTAGGCCATTAGGCTATCAGATCATTAGACCACTGTTCTAGATCAAGAACCGAATTTGTGACGAGGACACTTTGTTAGAACTGGATTGAGGTCTTGGAAACAAGGTTCGAAGACTAGAAGACTATAGTCATAGGATTTCAAGGGCTTCTTTGACTTTTGTCGGATCAAGTACGACGACCAAGTTCCGAAGACCTAGAATAAGTAGAATATACCAATTCTTAAGACGGACCGACCACCACGTCTTACTTGAGAAGGCTCGCAAGATCGCAAGTCTAAGCATCGAGTAGAGTTGAGTGAAAGGTTAGAGAAGACTCATGAGAGTCATAACGTTTCTTATAATTTGGTCTCAAGAATAGTAGTCTTTTAGTTGGAAAGATGACATTCTCACCAACGGGCGTTATCATCTACAAGGGTGAGTTTACAAACTTCTTCTTCTACTTTTGGTTTAACATTCTTCCCTTTCTTTCACTTCTTAAGTACTATTCTACAGAAGGGTCCTCCGTTTATTGTGTTCTTTTTTGGATCTGGATTTGGATTTTACCCTCGAGGGAACCTCATTCATCATGTCTATCGAATCATCATACATGTCTATCGAATCATCATATGATTGAGCATATCTCATCCATCTCTTCTTTTTCTTCTTTTTCTTCTCTTCTACTGGAACTGTTTCCCTGCTTGTTGTTTTGTCTTTGCGAGGAAAAATGAACGTCGTCCCTGTGATTTATTATATCACAGAATGGAAAGATCTTGATGATGTGCAATCGTCATTGCTGATACTCAGCCTTCGCGCCTACTCTCAAGATGATGCTTTGTATATGCGTTGGTTGGATTTTAGCGAAGAGAGGTATATTCCCTCCTCCGGCCGCTAGAGGAGTTTCCATTTTGTCTTTGGTGAGTGTCTCAACTTAAAACTTCTTTGTCTTTCCCCCTTTCCCCTGACATGGTCTCCCCCGCCTCTGTCTTTCTCTTCGATCTAGCGTTTTCCGTCTACCGCTTCATTTCACTCTACTTTACATCTATTCCTCTGTCTATCCCTGACTCTCTTCTCTCTGAGAATGTTACTCTCCAACCTTTAACTCCTTTCCCTCTGAGTCATACAAACATACATCCCACTCAACACGCCACAACGACATGGTCCTAAAACTGACATCAGAACGTCGGCCTCCCCTCCTTGATATTCAGCTCCATGGTATCTTCCTTCACCCCTCAAAACATCTCAGCATTCGGTCCACTCGCGCTTGTGGCTTTCATGTACATGACCGTCGGAGGTTTACTAGGATGGATAGTGCGGGAAATCTTCTACGTCCCTGCGGATTTCAGATATGGGATCGTTGTGATGGGTGTTATTTCCAATTGGGGTGAGTGCAGTTTTCCTCTACATTGATTTTATTACTTTTCAAGCTTTGGTACAATCGACTTCGACTTGTTTGAAGAACTCCCATGATTTTGATGTCCCATTCCATGGTCTAGTGCGGCATCACCACCGCGTTAAGCTCCTCTCATAAGTGTAATCACATCTTCTCAATCACCCGGAGCAAGCGAAAAAACATGGGGCCATCCGCTCTTCTGATAATATCCGTTGTATCCCGCGTTCTTTGGTCGTTCTCCGTTTGCAGGACCGATCGCGCTATGGCCTAGTCACCTTAGCCTACAATTCCTTGCATAGCTCACACTCAGGTAACCTACCAACCGCAGTGGTACAGACCGTGGCGCAGAACGCGCCTTTCGACCCGTCCACAGATATAGAACTAGGTGTTGCCTACATCGCCGTGTTCATTCTTCTTATGAACACCCTTTTGTTTCCTGTGGGATTGCACAAGGTTTGTCATCTAACATCCTTCTCATATTCCTTCCTCATCCTCAGTCCCATCTATTCTCCTCTCCATCAGACATATCAAAACGACCATCCTGCTGTCGTGTTTTCGAACGTAATTGTCATGCTCCTCTGAAGATTTTCAGCTGACCTTCAGCTCTGCGCCCTCGACTTTAAAGAATCCAACCTTGTCAAAGAACATCTTCCCGCCCGAGAACGCTGGGCCAACCGTTTAAATCTCTTGAAATCTCTCTTTCGTCATTCCTCTAAATCCAACACGAATTCCCTCAAAACTCCCGTTGATATCTCCACAATACCACGTCCTACATCACCTTTAGTCGAATTCGAGAAAAACGACGTCTTGACTCCAACAGCACTCACAACTCAATTCCCTGATTACCTAAACGAGACAGATGAAGGTCCATCTGATCTAAGTCGTGCTCGATCTACACCTCAATCTCGTACTCATCTTCTCAATAATGGTATTCCACCAACTCGTAAAACATCTCGAACAGCTTCACTCTCTTCAGTCAGACGTATACCACCAACAGCACCATTAGAAGTTGCAGATTTAACACAACCATGTTTACCCACTATTTCTTTAAATTCAAATGGTGGTCCTATATCTATACTTCCTGTTTGTTCTCATCGTGAACAAACAGATTTACAATATTCAACACCTATAACACCTCCACAAAGTATACATAAACCAACTATATGGCATAAAATCTTAATGATCGGCAAAAGTTTCCTGATGCCTGTTTCTTTAGCTGTAGTTATCGCTATACCTTGTTCAGTGGTTCTACCACTTAAATCTTTATTCACTCATGTGGATGGTTGGACAGGTAGTAAAATGCCAAATGCTCCTGATGGTAAACCTCCATTAGCTTTCATACAAGATACGGCCACTTTTATAGGTGGTATGACTATTCCTGCTACTTTGATTTTACTCGGTGCAAGTATTGCTAGGTTGAAAACTCCAAAGAAATGGAGTGATCAACCTATTGCTGCTATTTGTGCGATGACGGCAGTGAAGAGTGAGTCGGTTCTCTATTTTCTATCTCCTTATCCCCCTTACGTCCTGCAGTGTTCTCCCTTCACGTTTGAGAAACATGTCGTACATGTTGCCTTTCCACACTCCCTAATCGCTCCATCACTTCGCTCCATGTACGAAGAAATGAATGTCATTTCTTCACATCTTGAATGTCGTACTCATTCGAGGTTCAGGTCAACGCAAAGATGGTCATTGTTACGGCGCCAAAATATGACATGCTGATATCAGTGATAATAGCCCCTGTATTCGGAGTCTTCGTAGTTCAAGCTCTTCGAGACAACACTTCTCTTTTCCCGAAAGAAGATCTCAGTGAGTCTATTCTTGTCCTCTCCCTTCCTTCCCCCCTCCCTTACTTCACTGTTCCATCTACTCCTATCTCGATATCATCACATCTATGTCAAGCAAGCCATGTCCGCTTTCCTTACCCCACCGGTCATTTCGACGTCTTCAAAGACTTACTCACCCCTCTGATGATCAAGTCCGAGTCGGACCACCAATGGGCAATCATCAGTGTTCGTTTCGCTCTCATATCGTACAAGTTTATCGTGGTGTCCAATAAATAATAGGTATATACTGACGTCATAGTGAGAACTTTCGTTTCTGTCCTTCTATCAGGAACACCAGCAGCGGTCAATCAATTGGTCGTAACTCAATTATATAACCCAGCTGGAAGTGCGGACACTTTAGCTAGTTTTCTATCATTACAATGTAAGTTACTCTTTCTCTCCTTACACATCTCTTCCATCCTAATCTCGCCTTTCTCCACATCATATCCTCCCTTGTGACCTGAACATGTATCGCCTTCCCTGGTCAACCTCAAAATGGTACTGTTAATTGCCGTCCTCGTTCCTCGTCGAATGAAATATGTCGCGTTTGGAAAAGAGGAAAAAAGAAAGTGTTAATGGGGTAGATCTCTTGATGCCTATTTTATCTACGTAAGTCCCTTCTGACATATCAAAAGTTGGTGTGGAGATTGACCAGACAGTGCTTTAGCAGCAATAGCATTGTACGTTACGGAACAACAACGGTCATAGATGCATACATTTGAAGAAGAAAAAGGTTTCATCGTGTATCTTTCAAACTTCACAACCATCATCTAGTCCTTCATATCATGACTTGAACGATTTGGCTCCACACTCCAACGTCAACGTCCGACTTGATGTTCAATAAGGCGAACTTGAGTTTCTCTTCACGGTTCTGTTTGACTTCCCCCTGGCGGATCATAACGTTTGGTAGGAAGATGTGTTTGAATTGAGGAAAAGTAGGTTTTCTCAATCAGAAGGAGTGTGTGTCTCGACAAAGCATCATAATCTAATGTGTGGATCTGAGGAAGTGACTAGAGAAGTGAGCTAGAGATACTTTCAGACTATCAAACAATGTGTCGATGTCCACTACTACCACCTGCCACCCAACTTTCCCTCACTGTTCCCTTTCTAGCTAATTTAAAAGCTTCTTCTCTAGCTTGGTCGAGGGACACCATCTTTCCGTTCCCTCTCCCTTCTTTCTTCTTATCCTTTCTAACCTTTCTCTTCTCCGTCCTCACGATTTTCCTTCTCCTATACCGGATATCGAATAAACTTGGAGATCCATACCCACCGTTATTGTCAGATTCATATCCATCTTTGGACCAAGAATGAGATTTGGATCCAGATCCAGACCTGGATCTGGATTTGGACTGCGAGTCGGAACGAGAGTCAGAATCAGAATCAGAGTCAAGATCAAATTGAGAATCAGGACTTTTACCAGATCGAAGGGGAACTACTAAAGTCATTTCTAGACTCATATCCATTTCCACCTTTCGTTTCTCCTGTCTTTTTCCTTTGTCTAACGCACGAACAACGTCTCTGCTATGTTCGGAAAGATGTCCGGAGTTCTTTGGTCCACGTGAAGAAGTCGTTTTGAAAATCTTGTTCGCTCGAGAACATGTCATGGCTGATCTCGATATTTGAACATGTTCCCTCTTTTCTTGTCTCTCAATCCACTTATTCGACTCAATCTCGTGATTATGATCATCTCCATTATGTCGGTCGCCAATGTCCATATCAACTTCCATCCCATTTTCTTGCTCATTTCTTGAATCCTCTCTCTGACTGGTAAATCCAGCTCTCTGGGAAGATACTTTATCTGTGCGAGATACGCCATATGACCTTCTTTCACTCACACTCTTCTCACTTTCAAATTGTTCTCTACCTCGCACCTCAATGTCCGTTCTTGCGTATTCTTTAAAAGGCGAAGTAGATCTACTAGGCGGATCGTCCTCAATCTGAAACATACCTTTCCTCCCACTATTCAAAACGTTCTCTCCGATCGAGGTTAGTGAGGGTAAAGTAGGAAGAGTGATAGGTTCTGATTCCAACCATGATTCTTCAGCACTTCCTAATTCTTCTCTCTTTGACCTCCCTCCTAATTTAGGTGGACGCATTCTACGACGTGCTTCTAGTTCTTCGAGAGATTGAGAAGGATGAAATTGTGGTCGTCTCCATTCCCATGGTCTTTCTGGAGGATTCATTCTCACAGAGGAAGGTCGAGAGATTGGACGGATACTGGAGTCTACATACTCTGAATGAGCACAGAAGTTCGGGGTATCGACCAAACGGTGGATATGGTCGGGTTGAAATGTTTGTGGAGTCGTGTTGAAAGGAGGTTGGACGTTATTGGAAGATTTTACATCTTGAACATGAGTTGGGACATGATCGGTGAATTGGTGTGATTCTGAAGGTTTGAAAGTCGGATCTTTCGAAGTCTTCACTGTTTCTTCTTGTTGCGAAACAATGGTCGGGTGAGGAAGCGCATAAGTTCGTGAAGTGGACGGAGAAAGATGAACGATCAAAGATTGATCAGAGCTGTCGGTCCTTCCCTCTGATTCGTCACGAACGAAAGGCCGAGATGGATAATGAGCAGAAGTCAAGATCGTCTCGACTACTTGAGCTTTACGAGGTACAGGAGCAATAGGAGTAAGAATTTGGATACGTCTCTTCCCATCGAACCAAGCTTCTAAACTCTCCACTGACCCAACACCAGGTTCTTTCTTCATTTCCATCTTGTTCGGCTTCTCTTCTTCGTTTTTCCTGATCTCTTGGTTCGTCCTGAAATTCAGCTCAACGTCAATGACATGGTTAGTATGTACACTACCTGTGTATCTTTTGCCGAGCAGGATCGGAGATCCCTTGGACGTTGGGTGAAACCATGTTGATGGTGTCAGAGTGAGTGGAAGGGACGTGTCTAGGCATATAGTCGCGAAAATCCGGCTTGGGGATTGTAGCTCCAGCATGTGAATTATCATTATATGTGTCGTTCTTGTCGTATTTGTCGTACACTCCATGCTCCAGTTGGTGCTCTGGGTGTAAAGTCGCAGAGGTAAAGGAATCATGCTGTTGACGACAACTGTCGTATCCTACGTCTTTTGAAGAGGGAAGAGGAGAAAGATAACGATTGCGAAGTAAAGCTCGACTGGCAGCACGAGCGTTGGATTCTGCTTGTCGTTCGAATTGCTTGATGTCGAGCTCTGAGGGAAGGGCGTATACCTCTTCAGGAGGTTCGGGGGTGATTGGCGTACTATGCGCAGCTGTGGGTTGAGGAGGGAAGGTGGGATGAAGGTTAACGGCGAGCACGTCTGGTAGACCTGGTCCGGATCCCCGGGTCCGACGGGGAGAAAAGTGTGCGTGATCGGTCATGATGTGCGACTTGACGATGGAGTGATCAGTGCAAGATTGGGAGTTTTAGAAAGAGGGAATGAAGAATGAGGGAGGAGGGAGTCGCTGAGTGTTGTAAGAGGAAGAACGAGGAGGAGAAAAATAGAGGAAGAGAGTGTAAAGATCGGTTTGTAACTCCAAGTAATGAGACAGGATTCAACGCAAAGAGAGAAATGAGGAAGGCACACGAAATAATAGTTGAGGATAGTGAAGGGCAAATGGATCAAAGAAGATTCAAGGTGTCACCTGGAAAAGGGAGGGGAGAAGGAACGCTCTCGATGCGAAGAAACTAGTAATGAAGGCAGGGGCAGAATCAGCAATAAGCGAAGAGCTAGTTTGTGAAAACAATGATAAGAAAAAGTCTGGTATCACGAAGAAAGTCCACAATGAATATATCTTGTAAAGAAACTTGGTAGAAATCTCTCATTCACAATTTCAGAGATCCGAGCGTCAAATTCATGTTCAGTGGACACAGGTTAGTGATGAGTGAGTCGTGACTGTACATACTGTGAGTATATTATTGTCAGTACATTCTTATCAGTCAAATATACAATGTCCCACCCTCTAATCCAACTTTCTAGCCCATACTCTTCCTATCCCAGGAGCCTCCAAAACATGTTCTTCCACACTCGTCCTCGATCCCACTCCGTCCCCCTCTTTATTGGTACTTATCAATCCCTCACCTTTGGAACCATACATGATCATCTGAGTGGCAAGGACGAGATTCAGAATGGCTGCACTTAAGAAACCCCAAAATACTAGAGGATCGTCGATTTCTTGGTAAGTGGTGAATAACCTGGCTAAACAGCCGAGAAGGGCGTTAAAGACTGCGAAAGCGGAGAGGTTACCGGTGGATCGGGCGGCGTGGTTGGACATGATCTGCGGGGCTTTGGATAGAAGAGAGAGGGGTAAGGTGGCAGCTTGAAGAAGAGATACTGAAGGTTAGTTCAGTTCTCTTTTTACAGAGACCGTCCAGCTTTCACCAATCGCAACGACATTTTTCCTGGCCGATGAGATCGCAGGCATGGTGGAGGGAAACGATGCAGTACTGCTGACGATTTGTACTAATCACGAGAGAAGACGAGGAAGTTTAACAGACATCATATACGCGTCGGTCAGACGGGGATGTTATAGAAAGAGAAAGGGCCACTTACATAGAGGAGCAGGACATAATTGTTCAGACCATAAGAACAAACCCAATACAGCCGCCACCACCGCTCCTGGAAACACCCTCCTCAATCCTCCACGTGGTCTCGTATGGTTCAGAGGTCGTTTAGGACTGTTTGCAACTCCCTTTGAAGGTGAGAAATAGAGGATGAGAAGTGTGATGATGACATTTTGTATGGTGAGGAAGAAATTCTCCCCATAGGTCGAAAAAGGAAAAGCGGCTCGAGAGGCGTATGCTAGGGATATGGCGTAAGAGGCAGTTTCGAGGATCTGAAGTAAGCAGAGATTTCTTGCCTGCCCTCAATATCTGTATATACCACCGTCTGACTTGTTCGTGAAGACGATTCAATCAAAGCCGACTGCGCGGAGCATAATAACTCGATGAGTATGATATCTGTTACAGACGCAAAGAGGAAAGACGACTTACATATGCGGATAAGGATAATCCCCTGGCAGAGCTGGTACTGACGATAGTGATTATCTATCTATCAGCTTTTGAGCTGATCAGTAAAATACAACCTGGGTAGTGGGAAGATGGAGAATTACTCACCTGGGGAATTTTGACAATTGCTCCTCCTAAAACTATCCCTAATCCTAATCCTTTACTCAAAGCATACTTCAAACATTCCACATGTGTGATATCAAAGTCATATACCAGAATGGAATAACATCTCTGTCCTATGAGTGCTTCGGCCGGTTGTCGGATGAACAGGGGTATGTTTTGAGTGATAGTAGTGACCTTTGAAATATAAGCTACCATTCCACTTTGTCTGGCCTGTTACACGCTGGCCAAGTCGTACCGAATTACGAGACTCACGGCGGTATGAAAAGTTGACATTCTCTCGGTATCTCCTTGAGGGGAGTCGAGTAGAGTATACGGGTCCACAGGCGGCAGGTTGAATGTTAGGTGAGGATGAGAGGTTGATGCTTTCATACACAAGTAGTTCCAAAATCGCATTCCAACCATGACGCGCGAGGGGGATGTATGTGTTTACGTAATAATAGCATTCCCCCCACTGCACGGCTCAAAATCGCCTTTCTACGAGTCTTCAGACGACATTTGACGGGCAAGACCACAGCGACGACGACGAAGGTGAAGACGTAGACAAGGGCTATGAACATAGTTGGGACGTCAAGAGCGGGTATATCACTCTACAGATGGTCACTTCCGAGAAGATTAGGACGACCGGAGCATCGCTGTCGACCGACCAGATTCACATCCGGATTTCATGGATCTACGAACACAGCTCGTACTATAACCTCTAGTCCGCTGTTGAGACCGGTGAAACAGCTCCCACGACATTCATTTCGTCATATATCTCGACAAATCCCTCTCCTATCCTCTCACATCTATCTGTCAACATCTTATCGCTCTCTTTTTAGCTCTTCATCTCGTCATGCGACCATCTCCCTCCACCCTTCATCGATACCCTCCCCTCCCCTACCTGTAACTCGTATCAGCAGACGTCTTAGACGTCTTCGACGTCTTCGTAACCTTCTCATCCTTCTCATTACTTGCACTATCTTATACGAATCTTATCCTCCCTTTCGACATTCCTTACTAGCTCTTGTCCGTTGTGCTCGATTGATGGAAGCCGTCATTCTCAACGTATGGGATTACAAACAAACCTTTGCATTCGAAGATTCCCTCACACCACTTGACTCTCTCACTGCAGATCAACGTTCTGTCCGAAGACAAAGACGAAGAGAATGTCATCTCAGATCTTCCAAACGTATGCTTGAAGCACTTAAAAAGAATTCTGGTATTTACGTAAAACTAGGTCAACATGTAGCTGCCGTTCAAGTTTTACCTCCTGAATGGACATCGACCATGACACCATTACAAGATCAATGTTTTCCCACTCCTATCCCCGACGTGGATCTCATGTTGAAAAAAGATTTAGGAAAAGGTATAGAAGATCTTTTCTCTGAATTTGATCCTAATCCTATCGGTGTCGCCTCTCTCGCTCAGGTACATCGAGCCATTGATAAACGTTCCGGTAGAAGAGTAGCTGTCAAATTACAACATTCAGATTTAGAAGAATTCGCAAAGGTCGATATGGCTACAGTCAATTTCGCTATCAATCTTGTCAGATACGTTTTTCCAAATTTTGAATTCTCATGGCTTGGAGAAGAAATGAATCAAATGTTACCTCTTGAAATGGATTTCAGACAAGAAGCTATCAATGCTACTAGAACTATTGAAAACTTTTCAGAATTCAAAGGTAAAACGTCATTATATATCCCAGAGGTTTTATGGGCAGAACGTAGAGTGTTAGTCATGGAGTATATCGATGGTAAAAGGGTGGATGATTTAGCATATTTGAAACAACATAAAATTGATAGAAATCAAGTTTCACAAGAACTTAGTAGAATCTTTTCGAAAATGGTTTATATCGATGGATTCTTTCATGCAGATCCACATCATGGGAATCTGTTGGTGAGACCGAAAGCGAAGAATTCGTCAAGTCCTTTCAATTTCGATGTGGTGTTGTTGGATCATGGCCAATATTTTGATATTCCTGATGATCTAAGAGTCAACTATGCCAGATTTTGGTTGAGTTTGTTGAAGAGAAGTTCGGAGGAGACAAGTAAGGAAAGGAGGAAATATGCCAGGTTGGTAGGGAATATTGACGATGAGATGGTGAGTTTCCGAGTTTCCGAGTTTCTCTCCGCAACGCATCACCTCACCTTCTCTACCTTCATCAACAGATCAACAACCCTCACACCTGGGCTTCCTCTCCCCCTCTTTCCACCAGTTCGATACCCACCGCATGACTACCGTTCTTGTCCAGTGTGTCAATTCCTGTGATTGCCGAGTGCCTCGTCATTCTTTTAGTCGTAGAGTCTATGGCGGATAGTCAACTAGTGAAGAAGATCAGGGGGACACAAAAACCTCGTCGCTCACTCTCAGTACCCCGTCCTGGAATCAGCCATCACAGGTCGTCTAAACCTCTCCGACCCCACCACCGCCGATCCTTCTTCACGCCCTTCATCCCTCCTTGACGAAAGATCGATGGATGACAAGGAAATCGCCAAGTTGCGCAATGCGATGATGGAGAGAGAAGGTCTCATAATGGAGATCTTCGAGTTATTGAGGACTGTCCCGAGGAGGTTGTTGATGATTCTCAAATTGTCAGATTTGCAGAGGTATGTTTTTCACTGGTGTTTTCTTTCTTTCCTATTTCCTCTTTCCTTGCCTTGATGTTTCCCATCTGCCCCGCCCTCTTATCTGCGTTTCCCACCGTTCCCACCTGACTCCGGACTGCTCCAGATGAAGAGATATTGGAAGACCCTCCCGTGACCTTTGAGCTTCACTTACGATGCAGATCATTGGACCAATCACTATCTACGACTCACGGTCAAGTCAGTCGTCCCAGTCTCAACACCTCATCCACCATCCACTTCCCATACCCGTCTCATTATCTTGCTACCCCATCCATCCGTTCTTCATCCTGAAGCCGCCAGTAAGCATGTGAAGTAGCCTGAGAGCTTACGAATAGAGTCGCATATTTCTCATCATAGCACAATACTGTGCACAAGCCATCTACCAATCTGACCTTTCGCTCATCCGTACTTCTTACAATACCAACGGTCTCTCTTTTTCCCTTTTGGAGAAATACGTGTCAACGATAGGATCTTACATGTACTGGAAGACGACTTTCGGACTTGCAGAATGGTTGATGGATGTCCGAGCCAGATGGGTAAAAGTAGGTTTGTGGGTTCATGGTTTGACCAGGGGAGGGTTTCGGGGAGCGGGTTTGGAAATGGCTGGATTGAGTGTTGGTTAGTATCATCTCTTCCAAGGTTTCACGACATAACAGACGGACTTATCAGATCATCATGATTAGTCGTAGCTTGTAAAAATTGATCCAGCAACATAAACCGAGAGAAGATGTAAATGATGATGGGGTAGTGGTTGACAGTGGACGGGGGGATGTTTTGTCGACGAATGGATAGAAAGTAGAATGATAGTTGATAGTTGATAGACTCATGGGAAGATCTCCCACAGGGGGGAATCAGATAGCAATAGAGGTTTTTGGGTATTTAGACATGGATCCTTGCATTTGGCGGTTTGATCATCCATTCAACCCATCCAGATACTAAGATCCCCAGGTCGGATCCACTTTCCAACAATCGGCAAAAAAATTAAACAATGAGTTAAGAAAGAAACTTGGGTTAGGGATGCTGACATATGTTATAAGAGAATATATGGCAGAGCAGTAAGGAACGTCATGCCAAAGTCGATTGAAATGGAGTGGAGGATACATATCTTATGAACATATATGTCAACCGAGATGATCTAAAATTCCCTATTTTCAACTAATACCATCTTATATCTTCATTCTCAACCTCGACGCCTTTTTCCCAAGACTCATTTCTTCATCTAGACTGTAACCTCGACGCCTTTTTGCCAAAAACTCCTTCGTTCATCTTCAACATATATCAGTCTTGCGCAAAAACTCTGCTCAACCTCAACTCTTACTCAATCCTCCCTGGTTAACCTTTTCCTCCCCATTCCACTTCACAACTCTCAGCATGACGATCTTCCATAATTAGATAAAGGGAGTAGTTTGAGATTCAGTCAATTGGACCTCTTGAGAGATGAAATGAAGAGATGATGAAATATGAGGCGAGGGGGGATCAGAAACCGGGAGGAAGGACTGCTTGTTGGTTTGATTGACCTTGAGGACCACCGAGAAGCTAAGAATCAGCGTTGAGTTCCTTTTTGTTTTTCACAAAGAAACAAAGACGATTTTATACATATATCGTTCGAGATCCATGATGACACCGGTTTGAAAGGATTGCATGGAAGGAGATGACCATTGGCGACGTCATCCAATATTTCGAATGTAGCTTAAGGATTACATGATAAGATCAAATCTCTGTAGACTCATGAGTAGATAAGTTTAACGAGGAAGTGAAAACAAATCTAAAACAGGGTAAAAAGAAGGAAGATGCAAGAACGTCACAACACCGATAAAAATGTAGGACAAGATAGATGTGGTCTTTAGAAGAGAAAGTTTTCCCACTGACCTGTTGTTGTCCAGCAGTTTGCATTTGCATTTCCCTTTCCTGTTGAACTATCCTACCTTCATCCTCAATAGCTAAAGCTAATGGTAAACCAATCAACAAAGCACTAGTACTGATCACCCAACCTAAAGTCCCAACACCATTCAAAACTTTAAAGAAGATCCCTTTACTCTTTTCGTATTTTGTATAAACGGAAATTCTAGTAGAGGGTGGTACTATATCTTTCAAAGCTATTAAACGATCGTATATAGTTTCGTTTAATATATCTTGATCATCTTCAATATCAGATAAAGATGAAACGGAGGAAGTGGTTTCGTAATCTGATTCATGTTCGCCTGTGGGGAGAGGAGCGTTTTCTGGGATTTCTTCTACGTGAACTACCATTTTTTTCAAACTTCTTTCTTCTTCTTCGAATGATCAGACGATATCAGAGATGGAAAAGTTGATAGGGATAGGAGTCGGGGTTGTTTCTTTGATATGTAAGATTGAGATTATGTGAGATCTTGTTGTAGAGGATGAGTTGACGAGTTGATATTGAACCTGGACTGATTTGCAATTGCAGGACTGGACTCTTGAAGGACAAAAAAACGAAGTAGAGTGTAAGAGATAGGCGCGGCTAGGTGCAAAAGACAAATCTGGCGTACCTAATAAAGTCCAAACAATTTCTTTACGTAATTCTATATGACAAGGTTATAAAGAGGAAAATCCCTCACCCTCTTCTTCTTCTTTAGTCAAATTGTACAAGGTCTCATCTTATTGTGACACTCAAGACTTTACCTTTAAATGTCAGAGTCGTCCTACTATGAGAACCTAGATTATCGTCGAATGACGGGACAAGATTGTTTAGCCAACACTTTAGATAAAATGGGGTGAATAACGGCCTGGGTCTTGCCCACACACAGATGTTTTCGTTACCTTTTTCGATCTATGCATGGTGTTCTGAGTCTCATGTACATTGTTCAATCATCTTGACGAGATCGTTTTTGCCGGCATGCAGGTTGCACGTATGATGATGGTCAGAGTGGACATGTGCGTTTTACAGCTAGCAGCCGGAACAAGAAGAAGATTTGACGAGGAGTAGTACTTAGTGAAGAGATTAAGAGGTTTCATTTGCGTGTTTGACTCATGACATCGAAATGACCACATTTGATAGAAGACGAATACAAGCTCCGGAAACTTCTTATGCTCCTACTTTCGAGTCTTCCTCAATTATTGTAGATAATGGCCTGGGTACAGGTGATGATGGATTTCATGTGGGATCGTCAAGAGAAAGGAAAGAGAGACCGTTATGTGAGTATCTTTCTTCTAGCTCAGCCATGTTTCCACTTCCATACTCTCATATACTCCCTGTGTTCCTGCCCATCATATACACACGTCGTCAGGTATGGCATTGCCCACTATTCTTGAGCAGTGAAGGCATATAACTGGCAACGAGATGATCGACTATCAGTGGGACAGAAAGTGATCACCAAAGTGGTGGAAACCCACTTGGTAACTTCACACTCAGAGCTCCCTACTTGATCAATGACCTGGTTGTGTGACTTATATAGATAATGCAGCTCACAGCCAGTCTTCAAAGCGGGTCTTATTGACCAAGCTAATGGGAGTGGATACGTCGAAATTGGTGGTGTCAAGATAGCTTGTTCAGTGTGAGTAGTATCAAATTTCTTCCTCATCTCTTGCTTGAGCTTTACTCTCTGCCAGTTCCTTGGATCCCTTGTCCCACGTCGCTTCCAATATGGACTCTGTCTTTCCTATCTCATGGCTAAATCTGAATATATGGACACTTTGGTCACTTCGTTCATAGGTGGAAATGGGTTGACTAACTCGTAGTTACGGTCCAAGACCAAAACAACCACCATATTCCCCCGAAGGTACACTGAACCTCGAAATCAAATTCGCTCCGTTTGCTTCTCACCCTCGACGAGCACCTCTGCGGGTGAGTCTTCGTGATTCTCTCCCTTCTCCCAATCTGACAATCCCTCAGAAACCTCCATCTGACTTTTGTCCTCACCTAACTTTCCTGACCATTTGACGCGGAGACAAATGCCAGCGTTTGTTTCGAATAAGTTCTTGAGATCGATGCTGACGAACAGGACACCGAACCGATCCCACTCTCCACCCTCCTCTACCGTCTTCTTCTCCCTTGTCTCCAACTCCATCTCTTACCCAAATCATCCATAGACGTCTTCCTCCTCATCCTAGAATCAGACACCTTGTCCAACACCTTATCGGCAGCTTTGACGGTAGCTAGTGGAGCTATAGCCAATGCTGGTATACCCATGTCTGCGCTGGGAATAGGAGGAGTGGTCGTTTCTATCCCTTCTTCTATCGATCTTTCACTACCTCACTCTTCATCGACCATACTGCCAAATACGACCACCTCGAATTCTGTGAAGGCACGTGGAGAAGGGGCGGGAGGGGAAAAGAGATCCGAGCTTATATGTGATCCCTCAATTGAGGAAGAGAATAGTGCGGAAGCTTGCCTTACATTAGGCGTCATGCCCGCTTTGGGGAAATTGAGTTCTTGTTGGTTCACCGGAGAGGCGGATGTTGAGGATGTTGGTTTGGTTAGTTTTAAATTTGATTTCTCGTCAGATGACAATCTTTCTTCCTCTCAACTTCGACGATATCCCTTGTCTCCTTCACCTATACACATGGCCTTAACTCTCTGCTTGAACTTTAAGCTACATTTGAAGTCATTTGTGTGTTTCACATTTGTGGAATGGATCGCGAAACCAAGACTTTCCCTTGCCCATGCTAATGGACAGATGGTGGATTGCGCTGTCAAAGAGACAAAGATGACTCATGCGGTTTTAGCGACAGGTTTATTAGAGTCTGCCGATGTCTCATAACGAATGATATCTCATGCATGAACACTTATATCTCTTCCCCAGTAGTCACCACTTCATAGTTTTCTCTCCGTTTCTCCACTCCGAAGCAGTTAGACATCAGTGGTAGTTCTGAGCGAAACTATGGAGCTATGATCTATGGCCATTAGGGAAAATTACCATACGAACTGCCACTCTGCCACTTTCCTTGCACTCGTCCTATCACCCATGACCCAACTACTCTCAACCCCACCACATTACTTCCCCCTCACACATCCTTCCTTCATTCCTTCAATTCCCAAGTGGTCTTCAAGCAATCAATAACGATCTCATCCATTCTCAACCCACCAATCAACGATCACGACATCCACTGACGATTTCATTGAGTGAGAAAATACAAACGGGTTTTTCAAACGATATTTTACGAACCCTTCCCCCATCATCATCATCATCATACTCCAGCCAACCAATACATGTTCGGAAGACCCCCTCCTCAACGTACAATGAACAATAACGGTACTCTTACCCCTTCCATAGTGACCCCCTCGAATCCTAATGTAGGATCTAATGGAGATGGACAAAATCCGATGGCACAAGGGAGTCCTTATCCCAGTTTACACATGTGGCCTTTGCACGATACGTTCGGGATGAAGATGATACATCTTCCTGAAGGGCAAAGGGTGAGTCCTCCATCCATTATCTATCTTCTTCATCTTGAAATCTCTTGCTCTTCATTCATCACTTCTTACGCTCTTCCTCCAGACTGCCATCATCTATTCTCACAATCAACCGTTCATTAAGCATGCTATGATTGTTCAGACCGAGCCATCCCAGTCCTCCAGCGACAACCTAGGTACTGTTCTTGATGGCTGGGAAGGTCAGCAGATCACATGCATAAGACCTGATGATCTCCGGCTAAGAACTGTGTACCACCAGAGGAATATGAGAGAAAAGCCCGGGCGAGTGGAGTATACGAAAGTTGAACAAGTCGACATACTGATGATCAGATCAAAATTGGTCGTCAGACAAATAACAAGACCATACCAGGTGAACGTAATGCTTATTTCGATAGTAAAGTCTTATCAAGAACTCATGCGGAGATTTGGGAAAGAGGTGGGAAAGTGAGTTATCCCGTTTTCGATTAATTCAACCGTCTGTATCCAATACGTTTCTAACATCTTTTACTGTACCTGATGCATTATACCATTATACCACCAGTACATGACTTACTCCAGATCTATATGAGAGACGTTAAATCATCCAATGGAACATTTATCAACGGTCAACGACTCTCCCCCGAAGGTGTCGAATCACAGCCGTTCGAATTGAAGAATGAAGATATAGTAGAGTTTGGTATTGATATTATTAGTGAGGATAGCAAGACGATCATGCATCATAAAGTCGCAGCGAAGGTTTATTGTGTTTTTGGACCGGAGGATGTAGCTTTGTCTGCCAGGTGAGTTTGTTCACTTTCCTTTGATACCTTACCCATGCGACATGAGTCCTTCTCATAGTCATTCTGATATGCCGATCGATGGGCACTTGCGAGGTGTTCCGTTACTGCAGAAAATGGTCTTTCATCTCAATCATTCTACGTTACTCGAGCTGTGAAATCTACACTACTTCTGCTGTGAAATCTACATTACTCGAGCCGTGACATCAGGGAGATGCTCTGAGTTTATATTGAGGTACTTGCTCAGTCTGGAAGAACGTCTTGACTGATCCTTCAGAGAAATGTCCAACTATCAAGAACAACAACGGGCCGGACGAATGCCTCCACAAGTCGATCAACACCCCGGCGTCGGTCAACCTGTCATGTCGGCCGGTGGGAAAGCCCCAGGATTGAGTTTCGACCATGTCCTTCATAAATTGCAGACGGAGCTGGCCAGGAGTAAAGAAACGGGACAGGAGCTTGATGGGCTGACATCTGCCATGACGGATATACAGTCTACGTTAGGTGGTGGTTTGGTGAGTTTCATTCCACTCGCTGACAACCTCTGTTATCTCAAATGTTTCATGACTTCGTTCCACCAGCATCAAATGCACCAAAGCAGCGTCCGGCGATGTCGCGTGACCATGGACGAACATGCATTGACGATCAGCCCCCCAGCCAAAACGGTTCCGCTGCGAATCTCATACCACCACAATACAGGGCCACAACAGCCGAGGCCAAAGCTGCACTCGCTGGTCCCCATGGTCAACAAGCTGCCGCTTTCATATCTCTCCAGACCCAGCTTAACGAGACCGATCGGGTAGCCGCCAGCCATATGGCCAAAATTTCCCAGTTAGAAGGTCAGTTGAGCGAATACGATGTACTCAAACAACAGCTGGCAGTCATGCGAGAACAAATGGAACAAAACAAACGCGAGATGGAACTTTTAGTCTCTAATACTCGAGGTCGACAATTACGTTTCGCCCCCGAAGCCGACGATGATGATGCGAGAAGTGTCATGACTCTCATGGAAGATGACGAAGCTGAACAACGAGTACGAGATCGTAGGAGGAAAGAACGACCCGCCACTCCTGAACCCATCACCACTCGAGAAGAGGATACGAAATTACAAACTTTATCAGCAGAACTGGCTGAAGCTGTGGCTTTGAGTAAGACACTTCAAGTTCAACATGGTGAAGCAATGTCTGCTGTACAGGCGTTAACCGATAAAATGGGCGAATTGGAAAATACTTTCAATAGTCGGATCGCCGAAGAAGTAGCCAAAACGGAACATCGTTGGGAAACGTGGCGAACAAAATTCGAAGATGGTTGGAGAAAAGAAAGAGAATCTTGGGAAGCTGAGAGAGAACGATTACGTTCTGTCGTACGTGAATGGGAAGAAGCTAGTAGAAGAGCACACGAAGAAGAAGAAGAGAGAGAATTGAATGATTCTTTAGGTGAAGATGAAGATGATGATGACGACGACGATGAGGTTATGATGGATAATGATTGGAAAGATGATGTCGTCACTGGATTACCTATCTCTCCAACGAGGAAGAATAGGAGAAGAAGACCTAGTCATAGAGCTGTATTAGCGGTTAGAGCTTTGAAAGCAGTAGCGGAGGAAGGAGGTAGTACACCAAAAGCAGAGACTGCGAATCTAGAATTGGACGGTCCCATAGGTCATGGGTTGGTTGGGTTGGAAGGTTTCGGTCCTGAAATGAGGAAGAGGGATAGGAAAGGAAGAGAGAGGTTTGAAAAGGGACGGTTAGGAAGGAGGAGAGGTAGTCAAAGTACTTTACCTGCGGAGAAAGAAAGTAGTGAAAGTGGGAAAGAATCGGGAGATACTTTGAAAGAGGATGAAGTGCAAGGGCCTAAAAGACCTCAGAGGTTGCAGGTGAGTATATCGATTTATTTGCTCGTTCATTTTATCACTTTCGTCCGCCTCGTTCTTCCCCTCGTCTGTTCTTGTCTAACATCCGTCCTTTGTCTTTCTCTCACTCACCATTTGCGACGCTCAATCTTCACCCCCTTCGAGGCCGATTGTTCGGTTGTACAAATAGGAAAAGGACACCACTGACCCTAGCCAATACCAATTTTCACCACCCTCGTAGTCGTCGTCATTGCCGGAGCATTGTATTACAAACACAAAGATTGAATTGTATGTATCCTGCGTGCTTGGAATAACCTGACGATATTTCTAACATGGACAAAGAGGAGGAGAATAGGATATCCATAAGTCAATCATCCCCAATCCACTATCAACCACATCTTTTCTCATCAACGAAACGTTCCCTTGATATTTTCCTATGAATGGATCGATCTCGTCGACTGGACAACCATCAAACTTCGAGTGCACCGCATTACGATCGATTCGGTGAACGTGAGAACGTATCTCCGAGGTGGAGGAGAAGGATAACACCGCCCCCTTTGGATCTACATAGTCCAAAATGAGCTAATCGTTTCACACGTTCCCATGACGACCGCTCCACCCGTCTTCCATGACTAACTCCTGGTTACTTCTTTGGGAGCTCAATCCTGCACAGCATCCCTTCCAATCCAAAGCTGTGCGCGGGAATTTGCTAATTTCCTTTGATTTTTAGATTTTCGAAAGCTAGACATAAGCATAGCCCACTTACGTCCACGACAAGGGAGGTACTTGGTTTCCCACGATGGTCAGGAAAACGATTTTCTCTTGTCCGAGACGCGACGATGATCGAAGGCCGCTCGAGCATGGTAAATACTGAGAGATTCAAGTGTTTGCCACTCATAGATCACTGACCTTGACACCACTAGCATGGACACGAATCACAGTACAAATGGAATTAAGTGCTCCTTTCCTGGAAGTGAATGTTATACTGAAAGCTTTCAGGATGATCGGCGCTTGATTGATGGTCGTCTTGTTATAAGTCTCCACTCGACGCATTGCGTGAGTTCCCCTGATGCACCTCGCATAACTGACCGAGAGCCACTTCGGGCACACCCCTTTTCTAATCGGGGCACACCCCGCCACAACACGTGGCCAGGAACACATAGGCCTCGGGGTTTCAGAAACCCCGCGCAGAGCTCTGGTTGCTCACTCTTCTCTTTCATCGCCAATGTCAGTATCAGCTATATCATGTGATGATGATAACGAGAGGGCCTATCGAAGTCAATATTTCACTTATGATAATAAAACAACTACTGACAGACTCGCAGAGGCCAGGAGAACAGCGCCGAGAGAGTTACAAGACACCACGATCAATATCAAGAGAGTTGTAGCAAGTAGTCAGGGAGGGCACAGGCTGATAAGGTGGAGGGTAAAAAGTCCATCAATTTTGGTCGTAAAAGAGTGAGAAGAGTATCAAAATGATCCTTGAGACGATTAGAGACCTTGTGTGTGAAAGAGAGGGTGAGCTTACTAGTAGAATGATGATAAAGAGGTCAGTGGTGGTGAGGACAGGCCGGTTGGTAGCGAGCAGACATGTCGCGACGTTATGAGTTCATGTCCGTCGCGTGGTCGGGCTCTCTGAAACCCCGAGGCCTATGTGTTCCTGGCCACGTGTTGTGGCGGGGTGTGCCCCGATTAGAAAAGGGGTGTGCCCGAAGTGGCTCTCAACTGACCGCTCACTGATGCGCATGAAAGTACGATTTCCGCCTAAAGGCCAGTGGTCCGGAATCAATAAATCCTCATGTGGAAGGTTTTGCAGATGACACTTCCGTACCAGATACACACAATTTCTCTCACAGTTCTCCAATAGACCGTACCAGTGCTTATGACACTGACAATGATACTCGGATTTGGGAGTTGGTGGTGACCATAGGCGGCGCCTCAGCTGAAGACATTCTTGCAGATGCGGCGATGACTGATTCCAATGATTATTTTCAGACGCTGAAAGACCTAGAGTCCTTATTCGATGGGCAGTTGAGGAAATGGCCTTCAGAGGTGAAGATACCAGACAAGTTACGAGTGCGGGTTGAAATTGGGTCTGGCCCACTGACTATCAACGTACCCGACACTGCTCGGTTGAGAGAACCTCCCCCAAGACTATGGAATGATCGGAGATCTGTCTGCGCTGTGGAGATTGGTGCACTAGCATTGATGAACGACGTATTTCATGCAAGCGAGGAGTTTTCGGTACCTCATGAATGGCGGGCTCCTCAGACTGAAGGCGCTGAGGGAGAGGTGACCAAGTTGATCAAGGTCCATTCCCAGGCATATAGGCCACTGAGTACCTTCGATCCCAGTGATGGTCGAGTTACCCTCAATCTACTTTCCAGACCAAATGTGCTCATACGAGTATATGAAAGTCTGCTCGGTAATACTACTAACAGCCTCATCTATCATGATCAAGTGGATACTGATGCGTCTAACTGGAGCTGCGGAGATCAAATCAGGGCTGTTCTGGCTAGCATGGCAAGACATGTCACTGGCTCATCTGGATGAAGAAAGTTTTCTGCTGCATGCTGTATGTTGCAGGTAGTATTTGGGATAATTATGGCCTCTACAAGTGAAGTACTAGAACTATTAAACATAGCTTAGGCAGAACCGTTGAGAGGAATGGAATTATGCAGACAACAAAGGAGTGACTACTTAACTAGTTGACTCTTTGTGGATACTCATCTCTCTCTTGCTGTGTTCCCAGTGCGCAAGGACAGCATTAACATGATGAAACCACTCTCCACCAAAGTCATCTTCTGGCCGAGTGTGTGAAGCCGAGGATGACGTCATGATTCGATTCACCTTGCTCCCATGTTGTCGGGGTACGCCTTATAAGGGAGCTCGAGACTGTTAGGCAGATCTCGAGTATTGAGCCTTTTAGCGAGGATGTTATGATGCAGGTCCCTTACTGCATTCGTGACACATGTTCCCTTCTCCTCTCTACATACTTTTCTTCGATTCACTTGCAACCGTTCAGCGTTTGATTCCAGCGCAACTCGCTGTGGCTGCAAGGGGAAAGAATCCACTACTGTTCCAATGTCTTTTGACTACATACGTCAGGTGGTGTCGGGGAACAAGGCGAGGTATGTGGATCGTGGGTCCGGTGTCGACCTCGATTTGGTATATGGTGGGTTCCCCTTCACTCTTCCGTTTCTCATACCTTCTACCCTCCTTAATCTAGTCCACCAGTCCATGAATATCTCCTTACATTCAGTTATCCTATCATATCCTCTCTGCTCGGTCGTGTCCCTTTAAACTCGACTAGAGCACAGACAGACAGACAGACAGACATCCACACCTCCCGTCCTCTCACATATCTCGATTCTGTGCCACTAAACCCTTTCTCAAGCGGGAAGCATCCCTGACGTCCCATTAAATGTTCAGTTTTGAAGCACAGCTGACAGAAAGTGACGGATAGGATCATCATGTTTGTCATTCCATTCTCTTTCTCCTCCAGACGAGTCGAACTCAAATAATTAATTGAGCGGGGATTCGTCTTCGGAAGACAACGTGGGCGTTTGTCACGATGAAGCTGATGCCTAGTATGGGATATCCGGCTATAGGAATGGCTGGACTGTATAGGAACCGAAGACGGGACGTGTTAAAGTTTATCAATCAGCGGCATGGCGAGAAGTGGTGGATCTGGAATCTGTGAGTTGTTAGATGCCTCATCGTGGATTGTACCAGTCTTTTACCTATCTCTGTCAACCTTCATCATCTTGTTGAAATCTTCTCGGGACAACCAAGGACTGTCTTCTTACTCCAATGACTAGAGCGAGATTGAAGAATCTTAGCATGATTGAGTTGACCTGACTGACACCCCAGCTGCCCCCTCTACGAAAATGCCTACTCGCCCGAGAGCATGCACAATCGAGTATCGCGATATCCTTTTCCAGATCATCATCCTCCACCCTTGCCTCTACTCCCTCTGGCGGTCAAGGAAATGACAGCTTGGCTTCAAGGAGATGAAGAAAGGATAGCTATCATACATTGTAAAGCAGGCAAGGTAGGTCTCCCGTAGATATTCAATTCTTTCCCTTCCAAAAATTCCACCATATACGATCAAGCTATGGATGTCCACCTCCGCTCACTCCATCTCTGCTCTGTGACTGATCTACAGGGTCGATCGGGTACCCTCCTCTGCTCTTACCTCCTCTCACTAGACACCCTTCCCCCTCCGCCCCAATTACCCACCTCATATTCCACTCACGACCCCAGTCGTCATTCACTTGTCGATCGCACAGAGCCAGGTTGGATCCTATTCGGTGGAGGTTCCTCAGTCGCCAAAGCGCCTGTCGATCAAGAATCAGATAAGGAAGAGCTGCGTCATGATAACGACGATCGAGAGGCCCACACAGAGGATCCTCACACACCTGCGAGATCGGAGAGACTACGAGTGACCTCCAGGGCAGGATCGACAGCTTCATCCTTGACGACTATCTCCAGGCCATCGCCCCCTCCCTCCGTCCAAATATCATATCTTTCAGAGGAACCGTATGCTCCCATGGACATCGATGACGAGGGAGATTTGAGACGACCAGGGCAGAGGGACAGGAGAGATGGGAAAGTTGACGACGTGTTCAGAATGCATAGTAGTAGGAGGATGAAGCCTACTTCTTCGGGAAGAGGTGTTTCAATCCCGAGTCGTGAGTAACATCTTCAGTCATAAACAATCTCTGTACCAGCTGTCAACGGGATATCATGGAGAAATACTAGAAGAAAGCTGACGGATGCTAGAACGCAGATGGTGCCGATACGTCAACCTTCTATTCACCAACAAAGCTCCTCCATCCTACCTCTCCCCCGTTCGCACCCGTGTCCGTCTCATCTCCATCACCATGCTCCTTAACCCACCTACTACTTGGCAAAAACCGTTGGCGTCGCTCGTCGTCGGACGCTCAGGTGGACAAGGGAACGCATGGGCATCTGTGGCGAGGTACGACGATGATTACGTAGCAGAACTGAAGCGTCGGGGTGGGAGTGGCGAGGGCATTGGAGGGGAGATCACCTGGGGAGGGGTAGGAGGAACCGGAGAGTGGGACACGAAGAAGATGTTTAGGAGTTGTGGAAAGATGGTTTCTGCGCCTACGTCTCAGGACTCGGACGACGACGTGAGTTCGCCGCTTGCCCTCCCTCAAGAAGCCAGCCCGTCTGCAATAATTCCCATCCTCTCTATCATTTTATCCATCTATACACTACGACGGATGGGACGGGCCGGCGCAGGTCTGACTCAAGCGGCGGCAGATTCGCTGATCATACAGGAATGTATAAAACACGAACTTGTACCTAAGTCTGAACCACTGGTTCTCGAACGTGGTAGAGAAGTGCGACTCAAATTTCATTTAGCTTCATTACCTCTAGGATGGACCTGGTTCATTCCCGCCTTTCACCTCCCTGAACCTGTGCCCTCCACCAAAACACCAATCCAACAAAAAGTCCACACATTACATTTCGACAGATCGCAAATTGATTTCGCCATCGGACCAGGAGCTTCTTTGAGAAGTGTGGAGGTGAAATTAGAGGAGGTACCAGTGGATGACATGTCAGAGCCTGCGAGGTTGTTGAATGATGAGGAAGAGCGCGCTGAAGGGGTGGATGAGAGAGTGGAACATGTCAGAGAAGACGGGGAATGATGACATATCTGCTGCGCCTGCCGGTTGCCCCTTGGCCTAGATCTTTCTTTCAGCTAGTATTGTTTGTGCTGCTATGTCATCAACCCGTGACTCGGCTGCCTACCTACATATTTATAGTTGACTAGGTGTTCTAGAGTATGTCGAATGGACCCAGTTGAATGCCATCTGTTCTCGCGTGTTCTTCGCCACCTGCGCAAAGTGCTTCCGTCTTAGTTGGGGCACAAATAAAGCAACAGCCGCGTCATTGCCAGCTGACTATACCACTCACTTCCACCTTCCCCCCTTCAACCTCTTCAACCCTCCCATCCCCCTTCTTCTTCCTGTAACCTCACTTGCTGCTCTCTCACAGCTCTGACAGCTATATCAGTGTCTAACCTTCTACCCAGCGTTTGTCCTCACAGGAATATCCAACAACAATGGCTGACGATCCTTCCAAAGTGAGCTCTCGTTTGAACGCTGATCCACCTCGCTATCTTGTATCCTTACTCTTGCCACCCTGTCTACCTTAGGTTGTATGCTCTCATGTGGAGTTTGACAGATCCAGTATCCTAATGAGCTCTCCGTCTTTATCTGCGTGCTTCTCTGAGAAGGGGATGGCAGCCCGACTTGTCACTCCAATCCCGATCTCGTCGCCTCAAATTCCTTTCGAAGGTAGAAGGGAATCCGCGAGGCGGATGTCTTGTCGTATAGTGCTTATCGAGATAAGTGGCGAGGGAATGGTGTGATATGGTGGGAAAGTAAGAAATGCGAGCTGACACATCAGGCCAAAGTGGAAGATTCCACGGCGACTGCTATCTTGAGAGGAAAGAAGACGTCAGTATCTCCCACTGTCCTCCCTCCATTGCCCCTGTGATCATTTCTGCAATGATCATTCCTAAATTCCATGTCTCAACCGAGATATACCTGCACGTCTCGTCTTTGCAAGGGTAAACTATGGGAGTAGGCACACTGCGTAACGCTCAATAGTACGAGAGTGAATGAGATGGAATGTATCAGAGTCGAACGAAGGGAATGATCAAGATTCCAAGTATGCCCTTCATACGGACGCAGAGATGGATCGTGAAGTTGAAATAATTGAAGGGAACAGAGTAATCGAGAGATGTGGAGAACTGAACTAACTCAATCAGACCGAACAGACTTATCGTCGATGAGAGTCCATCGGACGATAATTCCGTAGGTATCATGCATCCCAACACTATGGAGATCCTTGGTCTGTTTCGGTAAGTCTTCACTAATTGGTTCTGAAATGCGGCTGATGGGACAGAGGAGATACCATTATTGGTGAGTGTTCCTATCTACTCAACCTGGATAATTCGCCTCTGTCATCTTAGGCACCGTGTGAATGGCTTTAAGGGGAAGTCAGATCGGAGGAAAAGCGACGAGCAAGAGCTCTCCTTGTCAACGAATAGGTTTCTGGTTAAACTAGCTCCGAGGCGGCGTGGAAGGTGGCAAAGACTGGATGTGGTCCATGGATGTGATATGGTTCAGACATGTATACTCACGAACAGTCCGCGGCAAGAAGAGAAAGGACACGGTACTCATCTGTCTCAGTCAAGATGACGTTGAGGAAGGCAAAATCGCTATGAACAAGGGTCAGCTCTCTTGATTGATGTAGCATTCCAAGCTGATGGTACAGTGGCCAGGGCAAATTGCGCTGTCAGACTTGGCGACCTTGCTCATGTATCCGCAGCCAATGATATCAAGTATGGCAAGAGGTAAGCTCTCCCAACCTCAGACATATTGAAGCTAACCAGTAGGATCCACGTCCTGCCGTTTGCCGACTCCATCGAAGGTACGTCGGGAATGTCTCCCATAATTTGAGGCTCACGAAGAAGGTCTATCAGGTAACCTCTTTGACGTATTTTTGCGACCATATTTCCTCGAGGCGTACCGTCCTATTAGAAAGGGTGAGCTGCACATGTTGAGTTGTGAACCGGTCTAACCTTATCAGGCGACGTCTTTCAGGTCCGTGGAGGTATGAGAACTGTAGATTTTAAGGTCATCGAAGTTGATCCGGCGCCCTACTGCGTGAGTCGGGATTTGCCGCCATCATTCTGAGCTGATAGGTTAGATCGTTGCCTCGGACACTGTCATCCATACTGAAGGTGATCCCGTCGACCGGGAAGCTGAGGAACAAAATCTGAACAACGTTGGGTACGACGATCTCGGTGGTTGCAGGAAACAACTGGCGCAAATCCGAGAGCTCGTCGAACTTCCTCTCCGACATCCCCAGTTGTTCAAGGCTATCGGTATCAAACCTCCACGTGGTGTGCTCATGTTCGGTCCTCCCGGTACCGGTAAGACTTTGATGGCGAGGGCAGTTGCCAACGAGACCGGTGCATTCTTCTTCCTCATCAACGGTCCTGAAATCATGTCCAAGATGGCCGGAGAGTCTGAATCCAATCTCCGTAAAGCATTTGAGGAGGCCGAGAAGAACAGTCCGGCAATTATCTTCATCGACGAAATCGACTCGATCGCGCCTAAACGTGACAAGACCAATGGTGAGGTCGAGCGACGTGTCGTCTCACAACTGTTGACACTTATGGACGGTCTCAAGGCTCGTTCCAACGTGGTCGTCATGGCTGCTACCAACAGACCCAACTCGATTGACCCTGCCCTCCGTCGTTTTGGTCGTTTCGACCGTGAGGTTGACATTGGTATCCCTGACCCTACCGGCCGATTGGAAATCCTCCGAATCCACACCAAGAACATGAAGCTGTCAGACGATGTCGACCTGGAGCAGATTGCCGCCGACACACACGGTTACGTCGGTGCTGATATCGCTTCCCTTTGCTCTGAAGCCGCCATGCAACAGATCCGAGAGAAGATGGATTTGATCGACTTGGACGAGGATACGATTGATGCTGAGGTTCTCGACTCTCTCGGTGTGACTATGGAGAACTTCCGATTCGCTCTGGGTGTAAACAACCCCTCTGCCCTTCGTGAGACGGTGGTGGAGATTCCTACTACCACATGGAACGACATTGGTGGGTTGGACAACGTCAAGCGCGAGCTTCAAGAAACCGTGCAGTATCCTGTCGAGCACCCAGAGAAGTTCCTCAAGTACGGCATGTCCCCTTCGAAGGGTGTGCTCTTCTACGGGCCACCCGGAACGGGTAAGACCATGTTGGCCAAGGCCATTGCCAACGAATGTCAGGCCAACTTCATCTCCATCAAAGGTCCGGAATTGCTCACCATGTGGTTTGGAGAGTCCGAGGCGAACGTCAGAGATGTGTTTGACAAGGCGCGTGCGGCGGCACCATGTGTCATGTTCTTTGACGAACTGGATTCCATTGCCAAGTCTCGTGGTGGTTCTTCCGGAGATGGTGGTGGTGCAGGTGACAGAGTGCTGAATCAGATTCTTGTGAGTGTTGTTTGCTTTTCTCTCACTTCTCTGCCAGCTGTATCATAGAGTGATCGAGTATGAGGGACAGTGCTGACATCTTAGACTGAAATGGACGGTATGAACGCCAAGAAAAACGTCTTCATTATTGGCGCTACCAACCGACCTGATCAGATTGATTCTGCACTTCTTCGTCCCGGTCGATTGGACCAGCTCATCTACATTCCTCTTCCAGACGAAGCATCACGATTGTCTATCCTCAAGGCTACCCTGCGCAAGTCTCCCCTCGCCGAAGGAGTCAACCTCGAGTTCCTCGCCAAGAACACTGCCGGATTCTCTGGTGCGGATCTCACTGAGATCTGTCAACGCGCTGCCAAGTTGGCTATTAGGGCCAGTATCGAGGCTGATATGCGTAAAGACCGTGAGAAGAAGGAACGGGTAGAGGCAGAGGGTGGAGAAGAGGACTTGATGGATGCGGATGAGGAGGACGATGAAGTGCCGGCGATCTCTGTGTGAGTGTTTCTTCAGGTCGCCTCCTTTTCACCGGGACTTGTCATCTAGTTCATCGTCTGACGCTTCCATGACTGTGTCCTTGCGCAATCAAGCTGCTACTCTGCCTTTTTTCCAGAGGCGGTAGATATGATAATTCACTCGAACAGCACTGAACCCCAGCGAACACTTTGAAGAAGCCATGCGCTTCGCACGTCGTTCCGTCTCCGACGCCGATATCCGTCGATACGAAATGTTCTCCACCACTCTACAACAGTCTAGGAGCTTTGGGAACAACTTTAAATTCCCTGAAAGCACTGGTGGGGATACACAAGCGGGTGGTGCCAGCTTCCAAAACGAAGCCGACGATGATGAGTGAGTGGAGGTTTTCTTTCACGTTACGATAAGTCAGATGCTGACGTTTAGTCTGTACGCCTGAGTCGTGCGGGAAACTTGAATGTAGAAAGGAAAATGAGATATGTTTCATGCAAATTGTGAAATGCTGATGCGTCTGTGTTTGCTCATACACCTTATGTTTCCTTCATATCACACGCTTTTTACCTTGTAGATCTCATTTACTCTTGTGTCATTAAGATCATCTACTTTGACTCATATTATAACTTTCACCCAGCCCATCGTGTCCACTCACACCTCGTTTCAGATCCCCTCAAGTTTCTTAAACCGACAAAGTTTCATGCCAAGCAACCCACCAAGCTGTCAAGCCCTCGTGTCTTATTTCCCCTCCACATTCTTCTCTCCGTAGTGACTGACCCACCAAGTGAGGGGGAGGATGTCCAGGGATCCAAGAATATTCAGTCCATATCGCTAATTGCTCTACTCCCCTTTTCAACTGACTTGAAGGACTTGTGGCGTGTTCGGTCATTATGACGTCGGACTTTTCGGGGAATGTGGATGAGTGGGGAGGACGTAATTGAGAACGAAGCAAGGTCGGTAGGAAAAGTTTAGCTTCTGGCCACTGTTTTCTCAGTTGACGAATACACAAGCAATATCTCTTTCTTCAATTCGTCTTTCCGATCATCTCATTCCTTTTCCACAAACATCTCAATCTCCTCTCCACACTCATTCTCATCCTTATCTCATAATCTCCTCAATCTCCTCTTCTCGTCCATCTCACTGTTAGCTCCATAATCATCTCACTGCGTCTTCCACAATTTAGAAAGAGCTCTCCCTGATAAATGTTCACTGACAAAGGGATAATCGGACATCTCTAGAAGGACAACTCAACAGTAGGGAGAGAAGCACACACCATAAGATCTAAAGGTAAACCTGATGAACCAGAATTAGATAATTCAAACCATTGAGGAAACATTTCTTCTGACCTAATCATCAACCTTATCGTTCTTCTTATCATTAAAAGGATGATAGTACTAGTAAAACTCACTCGGTGATCTCTCCAGACCAGGATGAACATATGTAAATGGATATATCTATAGTTTGGGCATTTACCAAATTTCTTCGGTGTTTCGTTTCTCTTGTGAATCCCGTTTGGGAGTCATCGGAAGGTTTCAAAGGAGAAGAAGAAGTGGGAGAAAGAGGATTGGAAGGATTGAGAGAAGAAAGATCAGAAGAAGAACAAGAAGCACGAGTTGATGATGAAGGTCGGAGAATCATCATTCTTCCTACTTCGTATAACCCCCCTGAGTTGGGTATAAGACCACATTCTTCCTTTTCCATCAGTTCATCATAACAAATGAACTTGACCAAGTCGAGATAGCATGTGACAAAGTCAATATTGATATAAAGCTTACGTAGAGTTCTCGAATAACACATTGATCCATCGTTTCCCCCTGATCTAACTTTCCACCAAACCCATTCCACCTAAATTGTCAAATACTTTTCTTACATCTCTCTTGCTCATATTTACTCCTCGATTCACTATTCATTACACTTTCTAGAGAGTTTATCATGATCTCACTGTGTGTCTATTGAGAGGTATACCGAGACAATCCCGGTAACTCAAGCTTGATCCTCCAGGAATCTTCAAACTTCCTCTCCATGAAGAATATGAGACAACTCAATATACTTAAATGATATCACCAGACAAAAAAACTCACAATCCTATTCCAAAACCACGTTTCTTACGTCCTAACAAAACCTACACTCAGTCTTGTCAACCCTATAAATCAACCAGAAACCAAACTCACACGTCGACCTTTGATGTCAAGTGGGAAAACTAAACTACATCGTAGTGGTTCTTCCGAAGGGTTTTGCCAACTTTTCAAAGGATATCTTCTGGTTTCCATTTTCTTTATATGGCCCAGATCTGGGAAAGGAGGTAACATCTTTTTTACTTGCTCGTTTTGTAGTTGAAACTTGTTAGGTCTTAGGGTTTGTGGATGTTTATTGCCTAAGCTCAAAGTTGTTGCTTACACTAAAATTGGGTGGGGGTGGAGGTACGCGGGGCCCCACAGAGAAGGGCAACAAGGGTGAAAGAATGTCTTGCTGGCACTTTCGACTTTGACTTTGATTTTGATTTTGGACATACTTTATAATTTACTATTCCTCAATACACGTCTAGCGAAGATACAAAGCCGTCACCGGTGGATAGGACATCTGGGTTAGAGAGAAAGAAGGAAAACGATGGCAGACTTTTCAGCAGTGTATAACTCCGTACCTCCTGTCACTAGAACGTTACTTCTCGCAACTGTCATCATCACCGGGTAAGCTGAGTTCGTTAGTTTACTCGTGACCAGCTGATAGTCCAGACCATGTTTATTACAGATCATACGTCCTGTCGATGTGAGCTTTTCTTTGTTTTTCCCAAAGCGCATGCACGCCCACACATCTCAAACGGAATATCATTGAAGGATGATATATGTTAACTAGTGTGATGGAACGGTACTGCCATCTATCTCCGGTACAATACGGAGGAGATGCTCCTTTTCAGATGTCTATGAGCTGAGAGGGTGGAGTGAGAGAAAATCAGAGGTTAGAGAGAGAAAAGCTAATGATAGGTCGCATTCATCTGGTGGCGTATAACAAGACGATGGGAGGTGAGTTTTCGAATGTAAGTACATGAGATTACAGCTGATGTTAGGTTTGGCGACTTGTCACTTCTTTCTTCTACGGAGGTCAGCTTGCGTCAGTCCACCATTGTGTTCAAGCTGATGGAGTAGGAGGAGGTTTTCCTTTTTTATATGATTTGTTCTTGATTTATCGGAATTCATCAGCTTTGGAGCGGAATGTCTAGTGAGTGGTAAATTGTCTCTCTCAAACCCCATTCGTACTCTTCCAGAGTCTGAAAGCTGCCATTCTGATATCGTTACACTAGCACTACCGACCTCCATCCTCCATCCTTCCTCAACCTTTCACCTCACCTCCGTCTTGAGTTATTGTGGGGATTGTGAATTCGTCATTTCACGGCGTAAATGTCCAGGAAGCACTAGGCTACCAATTCCCTAATTTCCCTGACAATGAGTAAACTGGAATTATGTCAACGGTTTGCAGGCGAGAAAATGTATGAGAATAAGCTGATGAACAGTATGAGCAATACAGCTGAATACGCATGGATGCATGTTATGTTGGCGACTTTTATTCTCGTACGTCTACCCTCCTTCATCCCTTCCGCTTTTTCATCAAATCCCCCAGTCGTTACCAAATCCCCAACACTTGCTTGATGACACCTTACCAATCAAAGCACTCCCACTCTTGTTTTTCAATTGAGTGTCGTTTGAGTAACTCGTAAAAAATGGGCTCATCTGAGCAATGGGATTAACACGACTAATTGCCAGATCTTCAACATCCCACTCGAATTCCCTTTCTTCTTCCGTTCTCTACTTCATGCTCAAACGTACCTGTGGTGCAGAGCCAACCCCACCACAAAAGTCTCAATCTTTGGTCTTTTGACCATTCCCACCAGCTGTGAGTGAATCTTCCTCTCGTGGTGTAGATCTCAACTGTCTTTGCTCTTGATCCCATCTTTTACTCGCACATTGACTGCGTGCTCGTTATGAGGGGCGCGGAAATTCCTCCAGTTCGGACACACTGCGCTGAGTCACTTCGAATTTAAAGTCATCGGGGAGAGAGAGAGAGAGGGAGAGGAGCATAAGAACTGATATCAGTATATCCACCCGCTCTAATAGTCCTGGACCTTTTGACGGGAGGACCTATGAAAGCTATTTCTGGTCTACTAGGTCTATTCGCTGGACATTTATGGTATGTTCCGTTATTCATTCCTCCTTCCAACCTACATCTCTTCTCATCCTTCTCTTCAAATATCACTCTAACATATCCCACCTCCTTGTCGGAGGGCATGTCGTTCTATCACACTCTATCTTGGTCGGAGAATAAAGGTATCATGGTATCAAGAAAGTTGCTCACACACAGGTGGTTCCTATCATCTTATCTCCCTGTTCACGCCCCAGTCCGACTTCGTCGACCTAACCCACTTTCCACCCCAAACCGATTCCGCTCCCTCTTCTCTAGTTCTTCTCGACCTCGTACTTCAGGCGGATACACAGTCACCCCACCGACGAGGGGTACGACCACTGCTCGACCTGTTCAAGATGCGGCGGAAGCTGTGAGACATCGATGGGGTGGGGGAAGTCGATTAGGTGGGGAGCCCTTATGATTTGGACTGTAAAATATCGTATTGTTTAATCATACTGCATGCAACGTATAGTGCCCCACCATGATGCATGCGATGTAAGGAATACTTCATCCTGAGGACACCATCGAATTGGTTGAAATAAATGACCCGTGATGAATTCATGCAACGTAACGTATAAAAGAGTAAGATGCGATGATATGAAGTGATGTATGATTCTATTGAGATATTGAGATTTTGACATCTTGAGATTCTCCAATGGCCATGTATCGAAGATAGAGATGCTGGTATTTGTCGAGAGTTGAAATATGTTATCATCTCGACGCCCAAGTTGTAAAAGCCATAATGACGATCCCACCTATCATCCCTCCCAGACCAAAGAATAAACAATCTCTCTCATGTGATGGTATCGCCCATTTTGATAATTTTTCAGGTATCCAATTGATTCGTGACAAGATTAAATTTCTTTCTTCTCCTTTCCCACTAAATT